CTTTATATGCACGCACCCAAGATATGTTCGCACTGCCCTCCTTATAGACTCCAAGTTTGCAAGATCTAGTTCGAGAAACACCGCCTCCTTACCTCCTGTCGTCGTGCGTAGATCTTCAATCGCGTCTTCCGCTTTCTTTGAGTTACGACCGGCGATGTATACCTTCGCATTCTTTATCAAGAGAGCCTACACACGCCAGGGGAGTGAGCACTGCAGAGGACGGATGACCAAGTGCGTTCGCTACAATCCAATATTCCTACTAATTAACTTACTTTCACTGTCTCTTTACCAATGCCGGTGTAACCTCCGGTTACGATGATGATCTTTCCGGAGAGGTCTGGTATGTTGTCAACGGAGAACGTGGGTTTCGGGACGACGAATTGGCTGAATGTCGACATGAATATTATGCAGAGGATGTAATTTCCTTCGGAACGCCAGCTATACGCGGGTAAGGGGGAAAGACAAAAGAGCACAGAGGTGTACAGATAATGGACATTCCGAAGGCGATATATGGAGCTCTTTAAAAAGGCTGTGAACGCCAGAATCAGTCCGATGACATCTTCCATTCCGTTCACATTTCCCTTTGTAGACCTATATCACTTATTAATACCCTACTATACCCATGAGTATTAGTTCGGTACTACGGCGCAGAGAGGAGATGCGTCATCTGTCACGGACATCTATGGGCGATATACTGTGCAAAAAATATTGTCGGTGGTCTTGCCCGCAGGTTCACGACTTTGCCAGAAAATCCGTGCAGGTCGTCCAAAATTCACTCAGGTTCGTTGACCGTCTACAAAAATACGCGCAAGCTGGTCCGGCAAGATGCGGCTCGCGCACGTTCGTGTGGCGTGCGTAAGTTCAACATTCTTACTTGGGTACTCGCAATCTCTCAAGTCGACACACAAAGCTCGAGGTTGATCGATGATCACCGGTGGTGTGGTCTCTCATACTTCCTTTCGACACTCAAGGTCTCGTGTAACAACGTGACTAGTTCTTTCTCAGTGTCGATATTAAATCTTGAATGCTCTTGTACCCGATCGACTGGCCCATCTACTAGTTGTCTTCCTGTCATTGGACTGTCGTCTTGCTAAAAAAAACCCACATCACAGTGAGGCTGCCACTCATCCGAGATCGTGATGAAGTATTGGCTCCATTTGGGCTCCATTGACTCCCTGATAACTTCCGAGTATGCAGTCATTGACTTTCCTCAGCCCTGACACCGCCTTTTGCCGTCTGGAAACATCTGGACTCGTTCGCTATTGCAATCCGCGGTTGCAGTTGCTCCTTGGATCATCGAATCATCTCGGACATGATCGTCTTGGGCCCTTCTTCCATAGTGTTCAATTTGGCAAAAACCTGGTCATCCGAGGGCACTGACTCCTGTATTGCACACACTGTCTCGTGTTCTACCTCAAGGGTTCACGGTAGTGACTGAGCACTACTGCTCGATAGTGCGAGTGCTGCTCTGTATTTACAAATTTATCGGCCTTGGATATTGTTGCTAGGTCCCTGGCTCGGGGAACATCAACTGTGCACTTAGGGGTCCGGGATACCACGTCTGGTTAGGAACCGCAAGTCACTCCGGACTTGAGTGTCGATGATTCTAGATACTCTCTAGGCCCCATCAGCTCCACATCCGAAATTATACAGCAAATGCTATCGATAATCCCCAATATACTCAGGCCAATTATATACCTTCCCATTGACCCACTCATCATTTGCCACTGTTGCTAGAGGAGACCGTCATCATGGATCCCCCTCCAGGGCTCCACAGATTCTTCGTTGACGCTCATCGGTTTTCTCGAGAAGCTCTTTTCATCATTATGTCACTTCCTAATGCCGACCGCCCCGCTGTCGAACGCACTGTGCGACAACTCGACTCTGTCAGACGTGTTCTTCTCAATCTTGACGACCCATACACCACGGAAGACGAGCGCTCTAGCCTTGTCAACACCACGAATGCCATGATACAGCCTCTACAACAGTTCCTTGACACCCCGCCACCTCCTCCCTCATATCATATTCCTAGAGTGTACACCGGGCGCCCAGGGCGTCCTCGTCTTGATCTTGACATTCCTCGCGCCTTATGTCTGCACTCATTGGGTGCATCGTGGGAGCGTGTGGCCAAGGCCATGGGCGTTGTTCGTCGGACGCTGTATTATCATCTGGAACGGCTTGGGATATCTACCACCGTACAGGAGTACTCCGACGTATCAGACGACGCTCTCGATGAAATTATTGCTGAAATCTCACTTTTGCATCCCTTCGACGGTGCAGGCATCATTCGCGGTCATCTCCAGACTCGTGGGCTTCATCTTCCGATGCGCCGAGTTCAAGAGAGCCTTAAACGCGTTGATCCTATAGGCGTTCTTACACGGTTCACAAAGTTCACTTTACCTCATATGTACATCTTGGTATTAATTCTTTTTTTCAGTTGGGCAGGTATTATTCGTCGTCGAGTCTATCGTGTACGTGGTTCTATGTCGCTCTGGCATCAAGACGGCAATGAAAAGCTCCTACGCTGGGGATTCTACATCCATGGTTGTGTCGACGGCTTCTCACGCCTAATCATTTACCTCGCCCTCCGTCACAACAAGACCTCGCGCACGGTGTTGGACGCGTTTTTGAAGGAAGGTGTGGCGAAGTATGGTCGCCCTAGCCGGGTTCGTGGTGATTATGGCCGGGAGAATAATGGTATCGAGAGCTGGATGGTTGAGCAGTGGAGCGCATCACATCGAGCCTACATCCGCGGCTGGTGTGTTTTTACTCGCGATTTCATCTTCGATTTTTACTGACTAGATATGATCCTTGCCCACAAGGTCGATGCACAATGTTCGCATGGAGCGAGGGTGGAGAGATGTGCGCAAGGGCACCATCGAGACCTACCGCAAGATCTTCTCATACCTAGAGGAGAACGACCTGCTCGACCTGAACAATATTCTACATCAGGTCTGCATCATTCTCGTGTTTCACGATCGCATACAAGACTCTCTTAACCGCACGGCACACGCTTGGAACCATCATCGAATTCGAACAGAGGGTAATCTGAGCCCAGTGGCGTTGTTTGAGCTGAGTCGAGAGAGGGGTATTCGCGAGGGATGGTGGGAGTATGACCCTGGGGATCCGATCGAGGTAGCAGAGCATCCGGACTATGGTGTCGATGGTGAGGGTCCAGTACCACCGGAGGATGAGATGCGTGAGGAGTGGGAGCGCTCACGTCGGGCAGATGTTGAAGCTGGGTTTCAGGAGGACGATGAGAAGGAAGAGATGATCCGGGAGGCGCGAGATCTGCTTGAGGGGCGTATTGACCTTCAGCGTGATGATTTGAACTGGGGTATTGACGTATATATTGAAGCTGTAGCTTTGCTTACTACCATCATGAATGAGAACGCGCCTGGGAGTTAGACTGTGGCGATGTCTATGTATCCTTCCTAGTATTAAAGTCGCTAGCAGCTCCATTGCTATCGCGGTTTGAATATTACTACTGAATTACTATCTCCCATGATTTCTGTGTCCAAGATTCAAGACTGCGTTAAACGACTCTAACTAGTTAAGTTTGTGGCTACATAAATCACAGAACCGGTGTGATATGTTGCATGATACATATATTCAGCAAACTCTGTGCGGATAGCACTAGCTTGTTGGGACTATGACAACTTACTTCCACGATGTCCACGCTCAGGGCTGTGCTTGGTCTTCCTGCCTTGGTTTCTTATCCTCCGACACATGCACTAGGTCATTCGGAACATCCAGAACTCGAGTAATAAGTATGAATGGGTTTCTCCCTATCAGAATCAGTGTGACTGGACTGTAATGTGCTCGGATTTCTTGATGCAGATCTTGTTAGTATTTGACCCTGCTCCCAATATGCATTCCAGCTGGATCGTGATCGACACCAGTCTGCTTTGTTTTACAGTGACACTCTGCATGTTCCAACCGTCCTCATCCCAATGCTGTATTGGTTGCGCTTTGCTTTTCCGCGTAGAATTTGGTGCCGGATACTTGTTCAGAATCTCTGTGCCGAACTCATGTGCGTTGGGAATGTTTGTCCTGTTATAAAGATCTTGCACGGAGTACAATTCCAGTCCATAGACCTCGGATGGGTGAACAACTTGACTACCTTCAATGAGTTCTTGTTCTATCATCAAGACATTGGGCTATCAATAAAGATATGAATGTATCGTCCATTCTAACATTTTATTCGGAGCCATTTGGTGGCCGGTAGCATGCTCTGGCGGAGTGGTAAGTCGAGCGGGAGGCAGAGAGAGCGGAGTTTGAAACGTTTCACAGGAACCAGCAATTCGGTGCGACCGCTAGAGGTTAGATAAAATCGTAGAAATCTGGAGGAAATTGTGCAGACATCTTAACGAGTGTATGAGTGTATATATATACGGGTTAGAGGACGATGGTTAAGTACATACTCATAGGAGACCCAGAGATGGGTCAGAGCCAGCAGCTCACCCGTGAGCTGGTCGGAGTGGCTGTTGACGCGGCTCAGCCACCGGCTTCCCTTTACAGGCAGGTGGGGCTCAAACTCCGACCGGGACTTTTTGCCGAGTTCCAGCTCTACTGTTCTTGGTACCTCAGTAAAATAGTAGAGAGACTGGAAAGTTTTGTGAAGTCTCATACGCTCATTTAGATGATTTTAAGATGTGTTTCACGATCATATAAACCGGTATAGGCTTGTAAAATCGACGAACACGGGTTTTTACTGCTGTAACACACACAGGATGAATGAGAAATGATTGAAGAAGCGTTTGTACGAGAGCTAGAACCCAAATATTTTATTGGTGCTCGGAAGAATACCTAGGCAGAAGTCGAGCGAGTATAATTAAAGTATAGCCAGGAGGGCTGAAGCTACGGCCATTCAATCAATTTCCCTGAAGAGACAGAGTTTTCAGTTAGTACTTTGCTTAGGGACCTAAAAAGATTAGCGCATGTCTAGTGCTAGCAATAAGCCAATCTTCCCGGAAAGCTGACAATTCGGTTTACTGGTTCGCAGTGACAAAGTGAATCTGTGTAGACTGGGACGTCGTGCTATAGGTATTTAGCTGTTGGATTGACCTTACAGCAATATAATCGGTAGAACAGAGTGTCGAAGGTCGTAAAAATGATAGATCCACCGCACAAAAACAGAATACCGATAAAGCAAGCGCTGCACAGCCTGAGCTACATTTGAGCGGCCGATGCAATCATGGTAGACAATAAAGTGTTCAAAATGATCGATGCAGAGCTAACTACAGTTCACGAATCACATCTATACTGCCACTACTGGGTGACAAGCCAGTATGACAAAGAAGGAATATCCCTATAATTCAGATACATTGCTCAACGTCTTTTTCGCCTGCAGGCATTCAAGATCTTCGTAATATCCTCGCAAAGAGACCTCCAGGTAGGTCCATATCGCATGTTTTTGTCCGGGTGATATACCTGATATCCGAATGATTATCATGATAGAACATGCAAATAATGATAGTGCGTACCAAGGACAGTCGTTTATACTGCTGGGCATATGTTTGGCTCCTTAACTGAATGATGTCGGGCCTCATTGATACCTCCGGGTGGCGTACAGACCGGACCAGAACATCTACTATGTCCTTCCAGTCGGACCGTCCCAGACAAGCGAGCATCTTGTCGACTGTTACCCTATACCGGTCAATAGTCTCGTCAGAAGCGTTAGCATAGAACGTTGATACAGGAGCTGTGGTCGAGGAGTGAGTGGATGTGGCGGTGGCGCGGACGTGGGCGGTGCAGAGGGGGCCGTAGATGTGGACGCAGCAGGCTGTTTAGGAGCATCGGGAAGTGTATCGTCTTCGTTCAATATAGGCGTGGAGGAGAACGAGTCAGAGTCAGAATATGGAGGAGAGGCATCTCGATAACGATGGGGATTATGCATCGCATCAAACATATCACGAAGGCACTCTATGTTCTGATGCACTGAGATTTGAAGCGAATGCAAGAAGGAATGTAACGTACTGTCGAGGTCCCTATCTGCCTCTGTCTCTTCGAACTCAGCATAGAAAGTATTTGTCTTGGGTGCATCATGCGGCCGTGGAGGAGGAGAGAGAGAGGGTTCATCGTCATCGGACTGCAAAAAGAGACTAGATTGTGTTCCCTTCAACGGATCACTCATATACAAACAGCGTGTAAACCTACGGATCGCTCGCCGTCCCATCTCCCGTAAACTTTGCATTACCACTATCATCCCTTCCTGAGCCATTCCCTTTCGCCGGATAAGCTGTGTCCTTCGCCTTCCTCGATTTTGGTGCTGTATTGTCTGCTCTCTGGGAATGGGTTCGAGTATTATAACGACCTTTCGAGCCCAATGTTGAAGATGAAGTCTATGATCTCGACAATAAGCAACAGGAATTTCGGCTTCCACAAGATGTACGACAAGTAGAAGACATGCCTGAGATGTACGAGTACCTTTTTCATTCTTCGCCTCGGGCACACCATCGGGCTTCTTTGAGGTCTGCGAAATGACAGAAAGAAAGAGACGTGATCAGACACAAATATAAATTTCTGAAATGAAAATGCGATTAAAAAGATTGAATATTGAGCTACCTTTGGAAGCGCTTGAAGCGCTTTCAACACATCCCCACAGAACGCTTCAAGTACTGTCCGTAGCTCGCCACGGTCCCAGCGGTACCACCAAGGTAGATTATACAGAGCATCGAATATGGTCCGCACAACAACTCGAGAAATACCCCATTCTCCGCCTAACAGTCTCTCAACAACCACGACCATGTGACCAGTGGAATCCGGAATGCCGAAGTCATGAGCTAGTGCCTCTCGAATATCTTCAACAGAAGATATCTCATTCACTGCCGCAACACGGAGTTTCTTCCAGTCCTGTACTGTGGCGGGCTGTAGAGAAGCATAGTAGCGAGTCAGATATCTAAAATGACACAGGAGGAGAGTTAGAACGAGAGAGAAAGCGAGCATACATTCAACTGGCCCCTCTTGTCGCACTGTTCAATAGTTCTGAGAAGGTTACGATACACGATTGGGGCGTACCGCTCTGGCCGTGATACCTCATGAGCGTGATAGAAGTTGTGGATGAGAGTAGTGACGTCGGTAGAGAGGTCGCGAAGACGGAGGCGATAGTTGTACCACGTAGAGATGGAGGTGTCAGGGAGAAACTCGTACGCAAACGAGAGACCTTCGGTGATGGTATGCAGACCATGAGGACCGAACTTGGTGACGGACGCAACTTCGTGGTCGCATTTGTCGGCAGATGGGGTCTGATCGCCTGCTATCGCCAGGACGTTTGTCGCCAGTGCTCGAAGGAATCCAAGCGAGTCTAGAAAAGGGTCAACAAACGTGTTCCAGAACACGTCTCGGTCGAAATCTTCGCAGCCCGAGAAGTGAGCCTACTAGGTACTGATAATGTTTCCTCAGATTAATATGTACCTTTATGTGAGGATCCCGGATGGCCGTAATATGTGCCATATGCCATGTCCATACCGCTTTTCATGCTCAAAGTACGTTGATAGAGCTCGTGAGCAGTCAAAGGCCACTATATTATCCGAATCATCAGCACACGAAGTTAAGATGATCTAGGTAATGTAACATCTCACCATAGAAGAGCGACGCGCTGGTTCCACAATGTTGTCGATAAGGTAGACAAGATGCTCATGCTGAGGGCTTATTGCGTCCGGTGCATCATCGTCAGGCTTGGTGGTGCTACTGTGAGGAGCGGATGTCAATTTGGGTGGATTTGTCTGGGCTTGGAAGTCATTGGTGTGGCTGGGAACATGGCTTGGTCGAGAGCGCTATATGAATGAAGTGTGAGTGTGAGGGAGAAAGCGAGGAAGATAAACATAGCTGGGATTCGAACCTTCTTAGGTTGGGCATCACCAATTTCGTCATTCTCATCAACATCCTCTTCATCCTCACTTGCTCCCTCAGCGCTGTGCTCTTCGCCGTCTTGATCTACCTCTTCCACCTCATCATCTCCATCAGAAACCTCGTCTCTGGCTGCTCCTTTCCCCGAAGTTCCGATATCTGGTTGACCTGGGAGAAGTGCAATGAGAACGAGATTCGGCCAGGCACGTGCGGCATTGCGAATATTTGTAGCAGAGACAACTCTGAGAGCAAGAAAATCATACAACTTTAAGCCATCTCATCGAATTAAAAGACATATAGTCGAACACGTACTGTAGGAGTTGATCAAGATCGATTTTTCGGTTAGCTGGGTACGATGTGAGAAATGTAGCGGCACCCTTGTTTCCAGGTTTTGGGACGAGAAGCACCCAAGAGGCAAAGGGATTGGTAGGGTCGGAGGGTCGAGTGGCGTGAGCGGAATCACGATGAACTTTCGAGGCGAGCATCTCTGGGACATGCTGGAAGAGGTTCGACACTGTAGTAGCGATGACGGACGGAGGGGTATTGGAGAAGATCGACGTAGATTTTATGAGGCACTGTATGTCGAGACTAGTTAGGCTATCGTCATAGCCGGTCAGATAATTAAACAGGGACAAGTTCAGGGGACGAAGACACACTCAGCAGGACTTGGAACACGACGAGTCCCAGCGTGCACAGACATGATCTCCGGAAGGAGGGCGAACTTGAATTTGAACTCCTTAACCTCGGCCTGTTCGTTGGGAGACTTAGACGATGAGGCCTTCGAGCTATCTGAGCGTTTCTTGTCAGCCCTCTTGCGCTTGTCTCGTGCCTTCTTTGTCTCCGGTGGTCCATTGGTCTCGGCTTCAGTTGTTACCTAGTATAGAGTGGAAACGTTAATTCATGGGTCAAATGGTAGCAAAAGGGACCAAAGGGCATGATGAGTGACTCGTATGAGGTGTGAGATGATGTCATGGATAATAACCAGACTTACATCTTGACTAGGATAGTACTTTTGGCCGAGTTTACTCGCTCGGATTGGCTGTCCGGCTTTGTGGGCGGCTCTGTTGTTGCCCATATGATCAGCACGGTCGGCAGCTCGATCGGCGTAGGATTGTGGCTGTGGAGTAGGAGAAGGCGGACTAGGATCCTGGGGCGCTGTGTGTCCGTCTGACTGGGCGGCTCGATCAGTACGAACATTCGCGTGGGACTTGAACGCGTTGGCATCGAATCCGAAGTTATACGAAGAATTGGAAGGAGATGATGAAGTAGGGTGAGTGGAAGGGGGCGGCTGTGAGTATTTCTTGCCGGTGGAAGGACGTGAGTTGAATAATGTAGACTGAGTGGGGGATGGTTCGCTGGCGGTGAAATGAGAGCGTTGATGCTTGAAAAAGGCGGTGGTTATGTCAGATATTGAATCGGGCGAGGGGAAAAGAAATAAAGAGTCTCTGGAGTGAGCGTACCGCCGAGTCAGGGAGATGCGGACTCGAAGGCGCTGCATTGGCAGGCTGGGCGGAGTTTTGTGCCCCAGGTGCAGGTCCAGCTGCAGCAGGTCTCTGAAGCGTAAATGAAGGTAGGTAAGATATGTTTATCATTTCGAAGACATGGGTGATATACCTGCGGTCTTTTATGGATGGCTGCTACATGTCCACAGAACATGCATTTAGCACGAGGGAGAGTAGAGGGATTGCGGGCAAGCTGGCGGTCGTCGTCCGCAGGGTAAAAGATCTGACAAAGACCCGGGTTTTCTCGACAAAGGTTGTGTGTACAAACACCTAAGTCGTCCATAGTGAGTGTCCAGTTAAGAACCTGTTCGTCGGAATACATAACGAGCTAAGCGGCTTCAGCACAGGGATATTACGATGGGGGTGCAAAAAGAGGGAAGGGGCGAGAGCCGAGCCGCGAAAACCTGAGCTAAATAAATAGTCCACCCAAATTAAGACTGTGTTTCGATGAAGAAGCGAATCCAAGTGGTGGCCGAAGAGTCCTGGAGACAGCCGTTCGACAAGATGGTGAGACATTGACATTTCGGTCACGATTTCTAGGCATGATGAAAAGATTTTTTCTGCTCCACAAGGGTGAGAGATACCCGTCGGGATGGTCGTCAGAGAAAGGGTTTCGTCGGTTTCAACTTTAATTGATATACTGCTTCCGTGATCGCAGTCTACTGAAAGCTATGAGCCATGAGCAAAGATGAAGAGCAGTGTACGTCGTCTACAATACACCACTCAAAAAGAATATTTCGAGGGCATGAATACCCAGAGTTACCGCCAGGGAGTACAAAGGAGACTCGTAGGATGTGAACTGGTGGGTATGAACAATAGGAAACAGGGCGCTCTCAGAAGTGATTAGCAGTCATATGTTGCTCATTGCGGATCTTTGATTCCGCTAGAGAGCCGACGTGGTCTCCTGCGCCTTGTCTATCGGTGACTCCGGACTGCGCTCTAATTATTCAATGGATCTCCTCATCGCAAAGTGGCCAGATAGCCTAGAAGTAGCTACAGGAGGAGCACCACAACAGCCCAGCGTGGTATGATCTGGAATAACGAAGCCATACTCGTTCAGATAGCATGAATACGAAGGCCCATATAGAAGAGACACCGTGAAGAGCCCTCATAGAGTAGTCGGTGCCACAGCAACTAGACTAATCAGTACAAGCGAAAAAACCATAAGCTATACCCAGTGAGTATCTTGGAGTGAGTATCTTGGATAAGGATCGAGCAGATAGCCTATGTACAACCGGGAAGGGACCAGTCAAGAACGGTGATGTTGCAACTGTACAAAAAGGGGAGGAGTGAACAGGGATTCGGAGGTATATACTACGGCATGCGCCAGACCATAGACCAAGAACCGGCAACGTGGCCTGTGTAAAGCTTCGAAAGCATGGCAGTACAGACCTGCGTGAATTTCGGCTTGTGATCAAACCTGCGTAAAACTTGGGCTCCTCTCGGAAACTTGTGCGCATTTTAACAACTTCTACAACCTGTGTGAATTAAGGCTAACAAGAGGACGACCTGCGCGGGTTTTCTGGCTAAGTCGTGAACCTGCGGGCAAGACCACCGACAATATTTTTTGCACAGTATATCGTCCATACCTATTAGAATAGCACCGTAGAGTGCGACTCAAACGTTGAGAATGATGTGCCTTCACAAACCTTTCATTTCGTAAGCGGTGATGTGTAACTTGAAACCATGGGTTGATACCCGAGAATTTTGATGTAGGTGGACTTACCGATCATCGAGACGAGCGCGAAGAGAGCTTGATCCGTCGAGCTCGCAAAGAGGCCATGCACATACGAGTAGTACATTAGCATAAATACTCTTCCACTCCACATGATAGACGAATGGAATAGTACCAGTATGCCGACCGAGCAAATCCAGATGGTTGTGATTTGTGGCAACGCCTGGACAGCTCTGCGGAGAAGCCGGATGTGGGAGATAATTTCGTCAAGAGGTTGTTGAGGGCGAGGTATCATCATCGGTTTTGTGTGAAGTACAGAGATACGCCGAAGGATGAGTTGTTTTATAACGACGTATCGGTCAGAAAGTAGATCGTTCGAGCGTAGAAGAGTTGTGTGTAATGAGCGCGTTTCCAAGGTTGTGAAGCTGCCCAGGTTTATAAGCCCCATTCTCACCCGTAAGGGCGATGGCGTGGCTATGGGATAAGATGCACTGGTCGATATCGTCTGCGTTGCCCAGAAGCTCGAATCGGTTCATAAACGTATTTCCAAGATCTTCGAGATGCGTGGGCTTGTGCGGATTCAAATGTCCGTCAGGTGTAAGCTCAATAGAGCGATTCTGTAGTGCAATGGCTTCCTCAACGTCACGAAGATCTTCCGACTGTCCGAAACGACGAAAGTATGACGCCAAGATCTGCGAGATAAATGACACTATATTTGTGACCATCAGGAGTGAGCGCCACAGCCTCCTTTTGTGCAGAAACGGCGGCTTCAAATTTCAATATCAACATTGTTTCCAAAAAAAAATGGAATCGGTAACGGAGACAAATGCCTAAAAGATCGAGACACATGGCAGTTTCGTTCGAGTCAGAGGAGGGGCAGAGCGACGTCGCATTCGTGGCGTGCATCACTACCTCGTTGATATCATCCAAGCCACCCGAGTCAAGGAAACCATCGAGCAGTGCATCTGCAAGGTCGCGCACGCGAGAGTAACGCTGCGGATCCAGACGTGATGAGGTCTGCAACCATAGACGAATCCGAGCGACCCTTCCGGCATTGTCCTCCGAGGGATCCTGCTGTACATGGACATCAAAATGAGTAGAGTATAACATGTCGGAGAAACACGACGACGAAGCAGCTAAACCACATCGTTAGACTGTACCGAGTGTCGAAGCTCGGGAACTTTTGGATATCCACATCCTGAGAAGAACCTGTTGGTCGAATATAATCGGTAAATGAGGTGGTGGATATCTACCTGGGATTTAACCACCACGCTAAGCTCAGTGTATGTGACGTTGGCGTCAGTACTACCACGTCGTGGAGTTTCTACTTCGTTCAACATCTTGTCAAGGGCGAAGAAATTGATATTAGATGTGGGCGTCACAGTCTAACCACGACACATGCATACCACAAGAGATAGATGGGCGATGGCGGGAGAGATCAAGAAATCGGGAGAGGTGGGATCAGGTTATATACAGCACCATCGAGGCGCTAATCTTGATCGGTAAGTAAGAGCGAACCCCGAAGGGTAGGATGGACACTCGTTCCACGTTTCTACCAAATCACATGTCATGTTTGGAAAGGCGCTCATGCAAGTGCCACACAAGCGACGACAATGCCCACAAGAGGCATGCTCAGAACCGGAATAGAGCGGGACGAATGGTCAGGACCCCCGACTATTATAATACACGGTGGTATGGGAGTAAAGACCTTGGAGGGTAGGCCGTGGCACGTTTACCGATTTCAGTTCAAGGACCTCGTTTTCTAGCTGGAAATCGACAATACTTTCAGCCAACTGTACATCGAATTCCCTATCCGAACTATAGCATCGGAGAAGCAGCGTCCTATTTCAACAAAGCTGTTGGCGGACTCGAGTACTTCGAGCGAAATCAAGGTCGAAGGTTCGACGTGTCAGCTTCACAGCGATAGTGTGATTGACGGTTCACGGAGAAGGGGATCATCCTTTGAGTGAGAAAGCACGACATGTATCTATCGTGCGAGCCATCATGATCTACAAAACAATGATATGTCAGAAGTGGGTGATGGAAGAGTGACTGTGGCGAAAGGAAGAGACGACGATGACATATACTGACAGCAAACGCGCTGAGGAAAACCGACGAGGTATGAAAGGGACGCCGAGCGTACCCAGCGAGCAAAATCGGACCTGCGAATAAGTTCGACGATGTAAGAATATACGGGTATCATCGCAGATCGAGACCTCGCACCCACTCACTTACAATACCTACAACGTCTAGCTTTCACTACCTCCCTCGTCCCTCCTCCCGGTTCTCCACCACTCATCGCAGAAATCCCCGAGTATTACCCTCACTCTGACTCATGTGCAAATCCCCATGGACTTTCCCCCTCGATATCTCACACTCCGAACCGTGGCAGAAGAACCCTCACGCTCCCCACCATGACCGTCATGCCCTATCCGATCTCCCCCGACAACTACTCAAACATCTTTATCGACCTCGACCCCCGGCGCTATATCCTTCATCTCCATCACCACCCACTCCTCCTGTCTCCTCCATCCAGATCCCCTTCATCGCCACTTCCTCCATTCATATACGCAGCAAGTTTCTCTGACCATCGTTTCCTGAGCTCTTGCATGTTGGCCCGTGCACGTTGTGCAGCATCGAAGAGATTGATGTGGGCGGAAGGAGCGAGGACGGGTCGCCGAGGACGCAGGCGTGTCCGCGAGTGACTTGTAGGACGAGGCGAGGAGAGGAAGGAAGCGGTGGCTTCAATGGAGATGGAAGTTATCAGTTGGAGCTGGGACTGGGTTGCGGAGAACTCTCGATTGGTTGGCGTGTTGGAATTTTTGTCGGATGAAATGTGGATACGTATGATCCTAAGGTCTAGATACGGTCAGACACACCCTTCCGATTGCATGTTGCTCGTTGGGGAAGAAAGGACAAAGTGGAGGGAGAACGTACATAGAACATGCATGCTTGACCCCACGGTGCTGATGAAAGCTCGAGCTCGGCACATGAATCACCAGTATCTCGAATACCTGGCAGCGTTCGTCCATCGCCGGGGTCCGGTCGACGGCCTGTTTACCGTCCATGGTGATAGTACACCAGCCTTCTTTTTATTCCAGGACGGTTTCCTCTCCTATGTAGACCAATAAGCGTAAGTTAGTGATGAGCAAGTCGGAAAAAGGAATAACGTAGAAGAACAGCAGCCCGAAATATCCGCCTTCACACTCGCAGCCTTCAACAGCTGGGCAATAACAGCTGGTAGGTAAGGCTCGTAATCTAGCGCCATAACTTTGCCAGGTCGGGATGGTGTAGTGCGGCAGCGTGGCCTCGCCGAATTCGACTTGTCTATCTTTGAGGACCGAGGTAAACCGATGACATCGTTGAGAACGAGGGTGGAAAATGAAGACGCACGTTGTAATCGGATTAACCGCTCCAGGAAGCCTTGGATATCCTGCCTGAACACTCATCGTTCCACGGCAATCGCTACGAGCAAGATGGAGGAATAAGTCATTCGATCCTCAGACGAATTAAGTGACGCGCAGGCAGATGTAGCGACCACGTACCAGTCAACCCCGCACATCCCATCGCCTGCAACCTCAGCTTCCTATACTCTGATACACTCACGTTCTAGTGGACATTCAAGAACAAGGTAATAATTCTCGAGTAATGCTCAAATTTGTGATGCGCGGTTGTCGTTCTACCACACAAGCACAAGACGAATCATTAGGGAACCCAGAAGAGAAATAAACATAGAACGAACCTTCGAGAATCCTCACTCACGTCCGCAAAATTGTCACCAGCATCATAAGCACCTACCTATGTGTACCTCCACACGCCCGTTCCGCATCCAATTCTATTCCCATTACCGCCAGAAGAGGCGCCAGAGGGAGAGGGAGAAGTCTCGAAAGACGTTCACGATAGATGTAGGGAGTGAGCGGGCCCGGCTCGTCACCTACGACGAAGTTGATCAGGGTGGGTTCGACGGTGTCGGCGAGTACTATGTATCGGAGATGAAAGGGAGGAGCGGCCCTGTGACGGTTAGTGTTGGAGGCCCATACGACGGAATGAGTATACCTACCTCGATCCCGAAGCTTCGAAGGTGAGCACGAGCACCGACAACAACTATTGAGGATACTGAATGATCTGCATGTTCATATGCACAAAACGCTGGGGGAGACGGTCAGACGTAATACCTCAATACACAGATAGTCACTAGCGCGTTGCCAACTCATCAGTTCGAAGACGAAACAAAGAGGAAGGAAGGGACGTACGCTGCTTGAAAAGTTAAGTATCTCATCTTCAACTACGCGCCGTTGCATAGCGGGAGTATGGAGCTTTCGAAGAAAAAAGAAGTAGCAGGACGTGGTCAACATTCTTCGACATTTCGTTTGCACTTCGTCCACATCGCGATGCCACGCCACCACCGCCACCAAGAACGTTAGATAATCGCGAGTGAGATAAGATAAGATCCCCATGCAGCTTTCGACCAAGCCCTCGCTCTCGACTTTGTCGTCGTCGACGGCCATGAGCTAGTTATGGTGTTTCTTCGGTCGAATATATCACATACCTCTCCGCCCGGATACGTAGTCATGGCCGAGACTCATGTCACTCCCAATGATATGACCAAAATCTCGCAATCAAGACCCACCCTTCGACTGTCTCATCCGTCTCCTCTTTGCTGGCAGCCTACCTCTTGTTCTCGAAGAGTACATCATACGACGAAATTGCGTAAACTCCACTAAAGATCTCCCCCTAAGCCGACTCCCTTGGATTATTCAACCATTGCATTCCATCCACTCGTCCCAACCGTCTTTCGATGATCCGTGCAATCAGATGCTCTCGAGGATACTCGGAGTTGGCGAGTGGAAGCGATGACGAGTGAGTTGTACCAGAGCGAACGGGGAGTCGTAAGAAGGGAGCATCCGACAGATTAGATGGGAACGGCTGGAACGGAGTACGAGCTGAGGGTACCGAGAGGCGTGGCGTTGTTGAAGCATCTTAAGTTTTGGATTGAATGGTGGGTCGGACAGCATAGACATCACCCAGTACGTCTTATATGTCGATCTTTGTCGTTTTTCCATCCTTTTCTTCCATGTCTTCCATTGGCGCAACTCGCACTCGATGCCCACATCGCAAAGACTGATCAGTTTGCAACCTCCGACAGCAACTTGAACACGCCTTGCCCTAGCCGGAACTTCACAAATGTGTTCCCATTAGGGCTTATATGTTAATGAAAACTTGGAACTTTTTGCGAAAGCTCATTGGCGGATCGGACAGATCTTCCGCCAGCGAGTTCCAAGTAAACTTGAAACATATAAGGTCTATTCGCATTGCGCCACGCACCATCTCTGACGCACCCCTATTCCACCTTCTTTCCGTTTTTCTACCATATTCCTCGATCCCCCCGGATACTCGCTCCTCGGCTCTTATACTTCTGCCCTACCGCTCACAAAATCTATCCCGATCTCCGTCCTGACCGATCGAGAGCTGACGGCGTATGTTGCAGGGGTTCCTTCTGAAGGGAGCTCAGAGAAGGAGACAGGTATGGCTGGTTATTCGAATGTTTGTTCGGTGAAAGACTCAGTATTGAATTCATCTAACCACAACTCTTTTAGGCCGCTCGACCTCGAACTCGATTTCAACCTCAATCTCTTTGGAATCAAAGACCAGGGTCTTCATCTCAACACCGCTCCGATACTTGCTCCATGTTACTCTGGATCTTCTGCCACTGCCACAATATCCGCGTCCCAACCGCGATCCGGAGGCCCAAGACCTCCTCACCGCTCCACCGTTTCGCTCTCCCACACCTTCGGTAAATCCCCAGTATACCCCTTCAAACCGTGTCGGCTGTCTCAGTAATTCAAAGTTGTTGTAGCGTTCACGCAACGACTATCCGTACTCGGTCCCGAATATCGTTAAGTCTGCAGTTTGCCTTGAGATGACGGGAGCTTACGGTGAGTTTCTTCTGTTGTCTATCGGTCTGAATTTGGCTAGATATTCCGCATGTTTCTCTCGACGGCGGGGACACCGTATGTCGAGCTGCTCTCGCATGCTGTTCTTAGCAGAAATGGGGCTATTTCAGACGTTTCCGAGTTATTCTGGCGATGTTGGCAGCGGACATATACTTCCAGAAGGCGAGTTACAGCGCGCATCCGTCGAGCCTCACATACCTCACCCTACGATGTCGAGCGGACGTCTCTGAAACGCGTTGCTGATTCTCAGTGTCTCACCACGTATTATTCTTCATCTGCGGGAGCCCTGCTTGTTTCTGCGCTGAATGTCACTGACACTTGCTTGTAATCTGCATCAGATTGTGCTTGGATTATGCCACAGTGTTTGACGAGACGTCTTACGACACCCAAAGAGGTTCAACATTCTGTGCTGTACACATTTCCTTCGTGGGGAAAGAGTTTGTAAGGGTGACGGACAACGTATCTTTGTCCTCGATACTGTGGCACTGCAAAGTACGCCCTCCATCGTCTACACGCGTTTTCAGCAGAGGGTCAACAGGTTTGCTCGATTACATATATCTACCGTGAGTTCGGTATGCATTCGAGGTCTTCTCTACTCATGACACAGGGATTGGATATGACAAAAATTCTTGACCTGTATATCGGTAGAGGGGATATCTACGCGTTGTTTGGCAATTTCGTCTGGTGATATGCAATTGACGTTGTGGCCACTGCGCACATCGAGTCTGCCATCTTCCCTCCTGTTTATATTCGCTTTACTGAAATCCTCTCCCTCTGGCTTCTCGAAGTGCTCATTGAAGCATGAACGCTCTGCCTCATTCTCTCTCTCTACTACCCGGAGGGAGTGCAATGGTCAGTTAGAGTTCATCTTCGTCTTTCGTGCCACATCAGGTAAGCGTGGTGTAAAGTTCGGACAGCAGAACCGTCTCTAGTCATGAGGTAGGTCGGACCGTAATGGTGTACGCAATTGGAGCCATCAGCCGAACCCGTTACTTACAAACAGCCTACGCTCCTTTTTCTTCCATATGTTCACTAGACTGCACTGCGATGACCATCAGGATCACCCACTTTGAAACGCACGGTAAGCATTGACACTCGATGACTTTCGATTACATGGTGATCATATTGAATTACTCGAATATAGACGTCCGTTTCCCCAGGTCATTGTCGGGAGACGGTACAGATGCGATGTAAGTGCAAGTCATCGTATGAGTGACCGACCGTGCGTGGTGATCTGAATTGTATATACGACTGCAGGAACACAGACTGTGACTGCTTCGCCGCATACGTGACCCTCTACACCTCCTCATCGGCACTCATCGGGCACGACATAACATTCACCATCGGTTGTGGCACCGATATTGTAAGCTCCTCGAAACCATTCACATACACGCTTCTACTGAGGCCTTACTGTATGGACAGGTGTGTTCAGCCATCAAAGAAGTCGCAGGCCGTTTGGTTAATAAGGATATCGCGCACTTGTTCGCTAACATGGGACAAGCTTGGAAACATTTAACCGCGACTCTCAACTGCGATGGTCAGCTATGCTTTTTGTGGAGCGCTGTACCTTGTGAGATCTCTGTGCTCACGCAAAGAAGAGACCGCTATGGAGGCTTGTCGTGGACATCGCCCCGGTACGTTTCGTTGTGAGTTTGCACCTCTACCTTTGCCTACGGTTTCGCGATCCCTAGGAGGAGCTGGTGGCCGCTACTACGTTCTAGTAAATCACGGATACTCTTACGAAGGATGAGGCTTTGGAAATGTTGAAGGTGAAGGAGGCGACGAAAAAAGAACGTGAGAAGAAGGCACGCGAAGTTGGGTCGGTTGTTCTCTCGTCTAGTCATTGATTTCTCTATTTATTGTTTTTTTTTTGTCGTTGCACGTCGACTCGGTTGAGCAGGTAGCATTCTCATACCAGCTGGTACGAGAATACACTTCCTAATAGACTCTAACCTACATAGTAACATATCCTCTGGCGGGCCATCCTCACTGTACACTTCCGCTCTTACTCTCCCAAACCCCATCCCTACGGACACCGTCAATAAAACTTTTCTAGTATCTTGCTTGTGGTATACATGCACATCACTTCTGATCCTTGACCGCAGCTAAACCCAGGCGACCTCCCTCGCAACTGATCACAAATCCATCAAGCTCTTCATGGCTAAAATGTCCGTGCGTATCAAACAACTCTCGTAACGGCCTACGTGCATGATACCTTTTCAAAAGGTTAACTACCTCCTCGTCCTGTGGGCCGACAATGTTGCTGATATCGTCTGGCAGTAATATCGGCCCGTCTTTGGCAAGAAGCTGCGGGTCGATGCGCTCGCGGACTATTTTGAACTGATCAGGGTCGACGGGAGCATATATGTTCGTGCAGAAGTCCATGGCCTTTTGAACCTCGTCCTCCGTAAGCTCTTTCCCGACATCGCTGGCTCCCTGAATAACTGCACAGAACAATGTGTGGTGTGATCTTAGAGAAAGTGTCCATTCAAACGTTCCTACTTACTAGGACGGATAAAACTGAAGGCACGGTCGAAATTCGCTTCGTCAACATCATGGAGTACTGGTTCATTCTGAGATTGTATTTGCTTGTAGATGCCGAGAATGAGGACCAAGAATCTAGATGGCGAACATATTATGAATTAGCTGACTTCGAAAAGACATTGGACGATGGCCTACCGAGTGTAAGCGGTCCCGATCTTGAGGTCGTGGACCTTACGAGCTTGTTGCTCGGAACAGGTCTGGTCTCTTGATGCCGCGATGGTGCAAGCTGCCGCTAGGCCACCAGTGAATGCAAGATGGACTCCAGACGAAAAGAACGGGTCGATAAACGCTGTATTTATCGGGATCGATATGTCAGCAGCTAAGTTTATGGAAGTGACTTGCGTAGATTGATACGTACCGGGCGCATCGCCCACCAGTCGAAAATGATCCCCAGAGTACGCTTGGGCCGAGTAGCTATAATCGCTCGCCGAACGAATGTTACTTTTGAGCGTAGCGTTATTTAAGAACTCTCCAACTTGCGGTACAAATTGGATCTGGTCTAGATAGAACTCAGTCAAAGACGATGTGGGAGCACTCGAAATATTGTTTCGACTCTCATTGAACGCCCTCCTTTTGGCAGAACTAGCCCGTTCCGACATGACGATACCAACAGAGGTGGTGCCATCATGCAGAGGGATATACCATGCCCATCCTGACTCATCTGCACGGAGCCCGAGGATTATGAAACTAAAATAGACTCAAATAAAATATGAACGAACGTGCCTGTCAAAGCTTCGAACCAAGGAGCATTATGCCTCTTCGTTCCGGGCAAATAGACACCCCCGCCCGCCCAATATCCCCAACAAGCGATGTTTCTGAGGGAATCATTGAAGTGCCTGTTGCGCAGATACTGGGTAGACACAATTCCACTGCGGCCAGAAGCGTCGACAAGCCACTCGAAGCGAATGGTACCCTTCTCTCCAGCAGAATGGCGTTCCCAGTCGGCTGAAGTAGGACGCTCCGTGTCGAAATGAAGTTTGGTGACCCTCACGCCTTCGAGGACGATCACTCCGGAGGCAGCGGAATGTTTGAGTAGGATGTCATCAAATTCCGAGCGAATCTCAAGAAAAGTTGGATGTGAGTGACTCCAAGTTGAGACCTGATAGCAGAGCGCGTACCACATTCCAGGCTCCGTTCTCGGGGTCTTCGGCAATAAAATCTGTGTCTGGATGAAATCCATGAAAATGAGAATATAAGTGCTGTGAGATAAGACGCGACTGACAAGACTCCCTAGACCCCGGTGTATGAACAAGTTTGACGGCAGAGCCGGGCTGCAGTAGCATGTCAGTCATAGAAGTCTGTGTCGGGTGACCACAGAACATGCCTTAGGTATGAACCCGTGTGAACTGATGATCTGGTCGGCTTCCACAATAGACAGAAACTGGCGAACAGACGGCACAAGACTTTCTCCAACGTGGTATCTGAATGTAATTTGAGCTTCAATCAATGTCGCGGTCTGTGCAGTCGACACACCTCGGGAATACATCACGCTCCATTAAAGTAACGGAGAATCCATCTGCAGTCAGTGTCAGATGTCGGTCGGTAAAGATGGCCGAACATAACTTACTTCGAGCAAGAAGAGTAGCGGCGTACGAGCCGGCAGGACCACCTCCGATGACAAGCACTTCAGTCTTGAGAGCAGAGCAATTAAAATGGGTTAGATTCAAGCACAGTAAAGATGTCAGAATGGAGTACCACTGGTTCAATTTTGCATGCCATATTTGCATAAGCGAGCGTTTACTATGCGGGAGGTGGAGACACACGTACACATCTGCAGAGCCCTTTATCTCTAGATTGATTCAAGCAAGTCAAATGAGAATTACATAAGCTGGATCAGCCCTAGGTTCCATTAGATGAACCTTACCATAACGTCTTTTCGGGTGTCAAGGACGACTAACCAGGTGTAAGCACCTTCACGCAATTCCACAGCATAATTCTGAAAACCTCCCAAAGTAGAAGTAAGAGATGGTAGTGCATCCCCTTCAAACAGATGTGGCGATACAAGGTGAGGGCATCCATCGGGAGCCTTCCCTGACCAATGATCCGCGGTTGAAGCTCATCTGACTCCGGCGGCCATTGCGGCTTCAGACAGATGAGAATTGAACTATCAGAAGCAAGACAGCAGATTCTGATTCGGTCCTTGCGTCGTGCCATACGAAGGGAGTTTATCATGATGATAGTAAATATACAGGCGTATGGAGAGCCTGCAGGAGACCACGATGGACGATTCAGATTTCCAACAATAAAGCGATTCGGAGGTTCTGGTGCATTTATAGCTATAGCGCGCAATCACTGTGCCGGTTTAGGACATCCTCGGATGCTCTTTTAGTACTCGAGGCGTTAAGATATAGTGATAGTGAATCGTCTTGCGCTCTGCTCGAAAGGATCAGGCGAATGGCCGCGTAGGCCGGAGTTTGTTTGGTTCTCTGCACAAATACCGATCGACGTCATCGTACGATCTTAATTAGCGACTTCAAGCGTTGGAAGGCTCTTTCATAACCATTCCCCTCTCATCGTCCGAGAATCCGCCTGTCAGCATCATGCCCTCGACAACGCTCTCACAGCTCGCAAAGCTCATAAGCGACTCCGTCGCAGTTATAGAGTCCTCCTGCGCCAAGAGGGGCGTTGAGGTTCCGAGCCTCGAGTCTCCTTTCGATCCAGCTTCTGAAGCCTTTCGTGCTGACCCTGCCACGGCCAAGGCCATCAACATCGCGTCCGTCGCTGCACTCCAGCTTAACGCGATAATTCAGCCACCTCATGTCTCGGTCTTCCAAAAATGCACTGGCGTATGTTCTGATGTACCTTTTCGTCTCTACGTCGTTGCTCACCTGTTGTGCAGCATTTTGAGGCCGCTGCTATTCACGTCTTAGCTGAGACCAACACAGTTGAGATCCTGAGAGAAGCCGGTCCAAAGGTACGTTTTGATTCCTCATTCTGCCCAAAGGTTCGGTTCTCACCTACTTCTTTTCTGTCTAGGGTCTGCACGTTAACGATATCTCCAAGAAAAATCAACTGGATCCTCGAAAATCAGGCGAGTATTTGCAGCAGCCTGTCTTGAGCCACTATTGAAGTCAGTAGTGAATATCCACCAGCCCGACTACTTCGATACCTTGCTACAAGCTTTATGTTCACCGAGATCGAGCCAGATGTATTCGCCAACAATCGGCTTTCTTCTATGCTTGACACTGGGAAAGCACCGGAGGAGCTGGCAGCGAAGTAAGAGATGTTCCTCTTAATTGGCCTTAGCTCCAGCCTATTGACCTCCGTATAGTCCTCTCGAAAGACACACAGGATTCGCCGCTCTTATGGCCCACGAGTAAGCACACAGCCCAATTATCAAAAAGTATCAAATTCAGATCGTGATCTCAGATACCAGGAGGGTGCGGTGGCCATCACTTCTTTGTTGAAGACGTTGAAAGATCCCAAGACTGCCTTCTCGGACGAACCTACTGAATCACCATGGAACGTCGCTACGGGGGCCACACTTCCGTACTGGTCGCACATTGAGACTCCGGGAGAAGAAGATCGCTTGCATCGGTTCTCTGCAGTCATGCAGGGAATAGCTGCGATGCTACCCCCTGGCGAGATTTTGAAAGGTGACACATTTTACTTTCCTTTCGTCAATGTATGATCGATTATTAATTATTCTCTCTGGCAGGATTCGACTGGAAGAAGTTGACTTCAGAAGACGTTATTGTAGATGTTGGGTCGGGTGTTGGCGCCATCTCGCTTGTGTTGGCAAAGGAGGTTCCTGATGCTCGAATAATCCTTCAAGACACGTCACCAGTGCTTGAGCACGCACAGAAGGTATGGTCTCGGCTCTCCCTACCTGCGTCGCGTACCATAAATGACACCGTCGTTTGCTAGGTGTGGAGTAAGGAATTTCCTGCCGTCGTGGAATCGGGCCGCGTGGTCCTCCAAGGTTGATTTTTCTGCTTTCTCTATGTTCAATTCGCTAATTGTCTACTTTGTGTTTGATTTATTATAGCACATGATTTCTTCACTCCCCAACCCGCCCACAATGCAACCGTATTCCTCTTAAAACAAATTCTGCACGACTGGTCTGACCCTTACGCATCGAAGATTTTGAGCATGTTACGCTCGGCCGCGACCCCGAAAACTAAACTCATAATTGCGGAGTGTCTTGTGTCTTACCCATGCCGCTACGGAGAGGGTAACAACGACACTATTTCTGTGACCGCCAAGGATGATGCCCCGGCTCCCTTGCTTGCAAACTACGGTCCAATCAACAGCACTGAATATATACTCGACATGACGGTACTCTTGCGTTCTCTCGCTCCAGCTGCAGCAAAAAGCTGATGATTCTTATACACCATTCAGATGCTTCTTTTGCATGGCGCTCAAGAGCGTACGATTCTCCAGTTCGACAGACTTCTCAAGAAAAGCGGGTGGAAGGCGGTCAGAGTTTATCGATCTAATTCGTCGTTCTTGCATCAGATTGAGGCTGTTCCAGACCTTTGACGGTTTTGTGAAATCTTCTCCTTGCTGTGTATGATTGAGTATCGGAAAATTTGAATTCATCCATGTATGAAGTTAGCCACATGCTGCGAATATGGATTGTAGGAGATCTTGATGGTTCGAGTCTAATGGTCTAATATACAATTTATGCATTCTGGAGTGATACACAAGAATTTAGTGGCAGCACACAGCCTTCAGGCCAATAAGAGGAATGGCTGAATTACGTCAGTGAGGCTGGCCAGCAGTCGTTGAAGGTTCATGATGTCTGCGTAAATCGAACCCAGTTAAGGGGCTCAGCCTCGCGGTATGTGAATCCCGTGGACTGCAGCCTCAGGTTCGGTAGGTTCTCAGTCCAGCCCCCAGACAGGAAGGAAAAAGTGGAACCACTCCAGCAGGGATATAAATGGCCATAGGCGACAGTGTGTGCTGATTCATACTCGCTCTCGTAGCGAGCAGGGACTTGAGGGGACTTGTAGCACCGCAGTGAAGGGCTCAGAGGGCCACAGAGTACCTGTTCCTGCAGACTCCCGCCAAAGGTCAGACTCCGCCGACGTGCGCATCTCCTGGCCTCATGAACGACTTGCATGATTGTACATGTCACTTGCTGTCATGCTACCATGCCAGAACCACTGTGATCTCGAAAGCACTGCCTCACTAATTTTATCCTCCCTTGTCTCGAACGGGAGAGTACTACTATTCAATTAGCTGAAGATTATGCATATCCGAGTCCATCAGTCAACCATGGTCACTTGAAGTTGCATCACTGCTCAGCTTAGACATGTATAATATCTGCTGCTAGTGAAGTGTCAAGAACTACACCGCAATGGAGCTGCCGGTGGTGCAACGCTTTGGTGCGTAAAAAAAAAATTACTCTCTCTTTTTTTATCCATCCTTATCATGGCCACCGTACTTGGGTGTCCCTCGCTGTGCCATTCGACTTTCTCAGCACCTTCGAGCGCTCAATGCTAATGTAAGTGTATCCTCTTTTGATTTTGGCTGCATCCGCATCCCGAGACTGCCCACTCCCACTTCCAGTAGTATTGCGGTTTATGGCATTCCGCCATCCCAACATTGATCATGTTTCTAAAATGATCAATTCCTGACATATTTCTGATGGTAATAACTTCTCAATTCAGGTCTTGCGCTCCGAGTCCCTTGTCTGATAATGGCTTCTTCGTTTCAGAATACCGATGTTATTATCGTTGGCGGAGATCCAGGCGGTCTCTTTTCCGCCCAAGCTACTGAATGCCTTGATATCGCAATTCGAGTTATCGACCGGAGGTTTGTATGGCTCAGTGGGATACTCGGGGAACACTCTGATGGTGTGCTTGAGGTCTCGGATCTGATGTCAGACTTTGATTCGAGGGTACAGCTGCGGTCATCTCCTCAAGTATGCTCGGCCTCGACGGAGAATCACTGGGGAACAATGCAACCACTGGCACCTCCAAGTTTAGCTATGATGGGATGGCTTGGCTTGTGCTATTATGAATATCTGATAACCGAACTTGTCTGACGTCCCTCGAAGCTAAGCTGACCTGCTACTTCATGGGGTCTGGAAAGGTCTGGAGAACTCGCCCAAACACGCAGTTATTAGTACAAGTGTGCGTGCTCACCGCACTCCCCGCCACTCAATTCCAAATAAGGAGGCATATATCTCTGTTTGGACACATCTCAGCCAAATGCATCTGTGATGTTCTGTCATCATTCTCCTCGCAAGATTATCAATTCCATAAGTTATGGAGCAAATTAGCAGCAAATTAGCAACTTCTGAGACAAAGACTGATGTATGATTCGCCACATCGGAGTTCGATAGCCAAATATAAATGATTGCGATGCACAGGCGTGATATCCATTAACTCAGAGATGGTATCATTCTTGGTATCGTCATAGCGCCGATGGAACACGATTAAATCCCTACCCCAGAATTCACAGCAGCCATGATGAACCGAATCTGCACCGGTTCGTGTTCCGGTCTGTGAGTGGAAGCATGCAGGCGTTGGCGTTTCATTAGTAATGCCGAATGGAGTAGCTCTTTCATGCGCTTCTAGAATGGGGTCACATAAAGGTACTGAGGAGAATTACGGCCGATGGACGTTTAGACCAGATTCCCTCGACTCCAAACCCATTAACGCGGCATATCGTAGTGTGGTGCAGGAACCATGTCAAATTTTTCTTCGACCCTTCCTCCCATTCCCTCTGATATTGCGAACATGTAAGTGCCAAACCAGACTTTTGAACGTCTCAAAAAAAAACACTCACCAATGTTACAGCTCAGCCCCAGTGAGAACACCCTCGGAGCCCAGCGGAGCGCAAGGGAGAGACGTGTGGATTCGACGGAGGTCTGCGGATGTGGGCGGATATGTTTGGCGCGTCTCTTTCGAGTGGCACAACAGGGCTCCGCTTTCCGCTACCATCCTTTCTGTACATCTAGATGTATCCAATAGCTTGAAAAACGAGATCTTGAGAGCTTTTGGCCGCGTGATTTGTCAGAAACTTTATCTGCCGCCTTGAGTCGTTTTCGAACCTAAGTCCGTCGTTTCTGCTGCTTGCTTGCTTGGCCAATATTCTTTCTTGCCTGCCGTGAACTCAAGATACCTCACTCTGTGAAACACACATATCTAGTTCTAATATTGGTGTGTATGCAATGAAATACTGAGTTCCTTCTGGGATGTCCCTAACTACACTCGAAGTCTTGTGTCTTACTAGTTTGCTCGGACTATTGGGCCACAGCAAGCGATGCCTCCAGCAGATCCTGTATCTGAGCTCTTCTATTGTGGTTGCTTGAAATGCCGATCTGAAAACAATCTCTGGCGCCGTCGTTCACTGTGGTACAAGCATAAGAAACAACGGGAGATACAGCAGCGTAGTGGGGTTATACCGCTACCCAACCCGAGGCACGCTAAACCCACCATATCACTGACGAAGATTCACGACAGACGCAATATCATAAGAGCTCCAACACAAGGTATGTTGACTTGATTGTGATTCAGGGCCATTGGAACATTAATTGTGACATGCAAAATTTCTATTAGCATCATCAAGCGGAGTGGAGGTAGAAGACGGCTCAGACCACAATGAGGATATAAACGCAAACGAAACCGAGGTTAGTGAGAGTAAGCAGCCCCTCTGCACAGTTTGGAACACTCAACATCGTATTGATTGTCGTACAGGATGGTCCCAGGAGCGATGCGGAAGGCGAGGAGCCAGGCGCAATGGAAGTCGAACCAGCACAGGGTGGAGGGGTATGTCTGACTTTCTTGAGTGCCCAGCATCTCGATTATCACTGTACGCCTTCTGACTGCACAATATGTCTTCACCAACAGGTAAACCTGGATGATATGGACGAGGCGGAGATGGAGGAGGATCACCCGCATCCGAGGAATGTAATTGAGGTTTGTCTTGCTGCCATTTAAATTCAAACCTCCGCCGCTGCGATTATAACTGAACATTTGTGCAGGATGAAGAACTCGATCTATCCGGCGACGAAATCAATCATGTTGAGGGCGACCCCAATCTGGTTTGTGTTTCATCTGCTCCATGTAACCGTTCCGAGTCACTCACACCGTACAAATACTAGCGCGACCCAGATCCCGAAGATGATGATATCACCTTCCTAGATTATTTCATGAATGGTGCTGAATACGAACCTGGGAATGCCGAAGACGACGTCGAAGAACCTCCAGCTCCCGAAGGCGACGACCCTGCCAATGCAGATGACCTCCCAGTGTATTCTAGAATACGCTCCGTTCACCGTGCCCTTCAGTATATCCATGCCCTAAGGAACTCCAGCCTGGACGATTCTGCGATGGCCGAGGACGATATTGAGCGACTCAGAAATCCCCTCGAGGAAGAAGTTACGCTTAACGACCCCGATGAACGTTACGCTGTCGATCTCTACATTTCACTCACCGATGGCGATACCTCTGATGAATCGTATACAAAAGCTCGGGACGCCTATCACCGCCATCCGAACCACTCCGAAATTCTCTCTCTCCACTCCGTCAAGCGAAAAATCTCGGACATTACAGGGATTACTTCCATCATACACGACATGTGCCCCAACATCTGTCATGCATACACGGGGCCGCTCGCCGACCTCGATAACTGCCAAATCTGCGGTGAGCCACGGCGAGACGATTCTGGCCGCCCTCGACTTCAATTCCATACCTACCCATTTGGGCCACAGGTGCAGGCACGCTATCGCTCGCCCAAGGCAGCGGAGGAGATGCACTACCTCGGAAGGGAGATGGAGTTCGTCGCGGAAAGGATTCGCGCATCGGGAAGGCTCAGCCAGTTCGATGATATCTGCTACGGTGCCGATGTCTGGGAGGAATACGAGCGTGGCGCGATTGGGCCAAACGACACGCTTGCCATTCTTTCAATGGACGGAGCGCAGTTGTACAAGAACAAGGAGTCAAATTGCTGGATCTATATCTGGATTCTCGTGAACGTGTCGCCTCTGAAACGGTACAAGAAGGCGTACATCATACCTGGAGCTATTATTCCTGGACCTGGAAAGCCAAAATTAGCGGACTCGTATATATTTCCTGGCCTTCAACATTTTATCGCGCTTCAGAGGGAGGGTCTTACGATCTGGGATGCATCGACGAGCGCCACATTCATCTCTCGACCATACCTCCTTCTTGCCACTGCTGATGCTGTCGGTGCTCCGGCTTTTCATGGAGGTGTTGGTCACCACGGAAGGCGGGGCTGTAGGGAAGGGTGCATCAGGATTGGACGCCGGAAACCGGATGGGTCGCATTACTACGCTGCATGTCTCAAACCACATGGATATGCCGTCGAAGGCTGCACTCATGAAGACGTCGACCCAGCAAATATCAACTATTCCACAGAGGAGCAACTCTTGGAGAGTATGAAATATCTTGTGGCCTCCACGAATGCCACCGAATACCAGCGCCGCCGTCTAGAGACTGGGTATACCCGCCCAAGTATTTTCTGGGGCATGACTCGCCGATCATCCCTACTTCGTCTCTTTCCCGGGGACATCATGCACCTCCTTGGCCTCAATATTCCCGATCTCTTCATTCATCTTTGGCGGGGACTCTTTTACTGCGACACCGACCTAGGTGATAACAAAAACACGTGGGAATGGGTGGTCTTAGTAGGAGATGTGTGGAAGCTGCTTGGGAAAGAGATTGGCGAGGCGCGCCGATTTTTTCCTGGATCCTTCGACCGTCCTCCTCGTAACCCAGCCGAAAAAATCAATAGCGGTTACAAGTGTTGGGAGTTCATCCACCTCTTTTACGGTATCCTCCCGGGATTTCTCCACGGTATTCTTCCCGACTTATACTGGCGGCACTTCTGTAAACTTGTGACCGCTGCACGCATCATCTTTCAGCCCAAGGTCCACCGTACGCAACTGGAATTCGCCTGTCATCTTCTTCGTCAGTTTAGTTACGAGTACGAGATCATCTATGTCCGCCGAAAGATCTCTCGACTTCACTTCGTCCCACAATGCATGCACGGGCTGGGCCACCTCTCTCCTTCCACCATTCGTATTGGACCCCTTCCCCTTTCTTGTCAATTCCCAATTGAGCGCACCATAGGAGATTTGGGTGCAGAGCTACGTCAGCCGTCCAATCCTTTTGCGAACCTTGCAAAACGGGCTCTACGCCGTGCACAGGTCAACGGTCTCAAGGCCATGGTCCCTGATCTGGCTCCCGACAAATCAATCGTCTCCGCCATAATGCCCTCACAAGACCTCGGTGACGGCTACTATCTCTTGCATCCACGAGACACTCGAGTCCATCTGGCAACCCCAGCGGAGACCGATGCAATTATGGCCTTCTTTACTCATATCGAAAACCATGGAGTGGATTCAACCAATATTACTCGGTGGGCCCGTCTTCGTCTTCCGAATGGGCATGTTGCTCGAACGGCTTGGAAGGAGAAAGCCAATGCAACGACCCGTGAGGCGCGAAATGTAAAGGTGAGCAATCATTTCAGAATATTGTCTATTCACCTGGATCTTATGCATTGATTGCAGTTCATTCATGCTGGACGCATACGCTATGGTGAAGTACAGTTCTACTTTCACTGCGAGGGCCATGGTCTGGCCATGGTGTCCTTGTATGGGCAGGAGAATGATTTCCTCCGGGAAAATTCATCTCAAGCAGTGTGGGCATGTGGAGCACTTACGGGTACGTTGGTTGTGATTGAGGCCAAGAAGGTCCTCTGCGGGGTTGCCATGATACCCCATACTTTCGGCGGTCTTGAGGGAGTTCGGCTTTACCTTGCATACGATAAGATGGGCTCGGACATGGCAGGCCTACAGGATATGGGTGATGATGAGATAGAGTAGTTAATGGATTAATGGAACTAGTCATTTGTGAAATCCTATTATGGGTGTTATAGCAGGCGGTGAATGAAGCGATAGTTACGTGGTAAAATACTGGCAGTGACAAGGGTGAAGCCTCTCAAACAACGGTAACGGCCGGGCGGAGTTTGAATTGGATACACCGTTTTATTTTCTTTGCATTCCGGGTCTCTCTCGAGCTTGCAATGGCCACTCTGTCAGAAGCCCAACGTCTGGCACTCCGAACCTTCATTCAACAAATAGTTGGACCCACTCCCAACCTCGAGCTTGACGGCCGTTTTATTCCCCATATTATCGACTACAACTGGGAGCCACAATATGTCTGGTTTTCTCCTTGTGGTGGGGCCATTGTCACAATCATGCTTCTATTTGAGGCAGGAAACATGCATGATGGTCGCTATGCAGCTCTGGTTTGTCCCCGTCATCTTCCAATTAATCACTGTCATATATTCAGACATCTCATTCATTTTTTTCAGTGTAACTGTTACGCGAGTACACATTGCTACTTCCTTACACCAATACTTCCGCCTCAAACCCGTGCAAGCATCATTTCATACCGTGCATTGTTGGAGAGGAGACAAGTTACCCTGCTGAGACAATCAGAGAGGGTTAGAGAGCGGGTCCTATATGCAAACCTTGCATCTTCATCGGAATGGGGAAGGTTGCCACCGTCGGAGGAGCAGGATGAAAGTGTTGTGCATTACGAGTCAGAAACAGAGCGGACTGACCCCGAACCTAGCAGTGATGAATCGGAGAGCTCATGGGAATATTAGCAGGCTCCGTAAAGTATGTAAACAAATATTGTGTTCAATGTAATCTACATTGGCCACTTCGACAAACAGGCAAAGTCCTAATTATAGTATGCTAGCCTAAGTAGATCAAGATCAAGACAAAAAGCATGAATCAAAGCAGTAAGATAACTGGAAAAACAGAACAGAGGGCACTTAGAAAGCAAACTTATCACAGAGATTGGGCAAATGTAGCACGGTCACTCTCCAACTCGGAAACCTTCGAAAACAAACCCCACGCCTGTTGAATCCGACCCTCCGAAGTACCATCTAGCTCAGCCCTCTCCTCATCGGGCACATCTTTTGAGAGCCGAAACTTGTGCCGTACCCAGCGAAACAAACCACCAGGGATATACTGTGTTATGCTATAACGGCGCTCACCCTTCTGAATGCATGTGTTGCCATGCTGAAGAGTGGCAGACGGTACATGCACGGTCCACCCAGATGGAAACTCCACAATCAGTTTGAGATCGTATAGTACAAAGTGACCACCCTTCTTGTGATCATAAGGTCCCAAGGACGTCACACCGCACATCACCAGCGGTGAATTAAGGTTGTCGACGTGATTTTTTGAGGTCGAACTTGGGCCCATGTTGATAGTAGATGTTGTATATATCGAATTGCCGTACGGTCGGTCCAGATGTGGTTCGTGAGCTCGGAGTTCATTAACATTGGTCCTACAATAGTCGTAAAGTTTGGGAGAGTAGAAGTTGAAGAGAGCTATGACAATATATTAGTATCGAGACGCATGGACCTAGAAAGGCGAAGACTACCATACCATCTTGATGTCCTGCGATACGCTTGACCGCTTCATGGTTTCGAAGGATATCAGCCGCAACGGGATGCCGAACCTTCAAATTTCCTGCCCTCTACACATACCTACATCAGTCGAGAGATATTGAAGGTTACCAGCAAGACAATGTACCAGGCGTCCATTACCAAGAGTGCCACCAATCGAAACAAAGGGGTACTTCCCACGTCGATGATCTCGCTCGCCTGCCAGCCAACTTACACTCTCATTGTCTCTCACATCATCTATTACATCCGCGAGTTCAGACATCGACTCATCCCAAGCGCGTCGGTCGGGGCTGCTGCTGTCAGGGCCTGGAGCAAATGTCGACAAGATGATGTCGTTTTTGTCGGTAATTATGAGAGGTTGTCTGTGACAAGTCTGATCAGGTTGTACACCAAGGGCGAGACAAGTCAGGGTGTACTTACAAGTCTGGGTTTCGGATGACAGAGAAGTCGGGGTGGGCCATCTGGAGCTCAGCCAAAGACGGCACCGAGCGGCCTGTAGGTCGATTCACCCCGACATTAGCGTATCGCGCGATGGTTAAAGCGGTCAGGACAAAGGAGGCCTTGATGATTTTGGGCCGTGCGTATTTGTTGGAGACGGAAGAGCGAGTTTTGCGGCGCTCCTGTAGCGGGTCGAAGGTATGTTCCTTGGTAGCTCCCTTGGCCCGGTCCTTGGCCCTCTTCTTCACATTCCTCTTTGCGTTCCGAGAGAGCTCCGAGGCGGGCATCATAAAAGAAAGACCCTGGAGCCGGTTCGAGACCTCTTGGAGGGTCCGCAGAGTGGGATCGTAGATATCGGGGCGGGTGCTCGAGGGTGGCGGTGGCGTGGGAGGGGGAGTCGATCGCCGAGATGATGCGGGTGTGAACTCCGGAGACGCCTCTTCGCTGTATGTACGGGTGATTTCGTTGTCGATGGCGCGCTGGAGCAGCGGACGTGCATCAACGTTGACCTGCACCACAGTGGCATCGCCCCATGCGGAATATCGACGACCACTGCGAGTCTAAGCAGGAATGAGCCATTGAAGAGGAAGCAGAGATGAGAAATAGGACATACCGTAAGGCCAGTCAAGCACATGACCGTACAATGTGCTCTTCTCCTTGTGCAGGGTTAAATAAAGATTAAACCTGTGAAAGAACCCCGTTCAATTGGTACATCTTGACTGCGTAAAATACGGTGAAACTCAGAAAATGCGTCGAGCACATGTGGACAAGTCACGATTTGTGCGTTGTGTGTAAAACAGCGTATTCGGCGGCCAGTCGACACGCAAAGCACACATACAAGGTCCCAGCGATTAAGAGATATATAGGGGATGGCTGCCAGATGCGCTACACGCGTGGACAATGTTCAAGCAGCTACCAGACGCGTAGAAATGCCAGAATACGCGTCGAGCGAGTGCGCTGTATTGTGAAGGAGCGCCATCGCTGGGCCACTCGACGCGCAAAACGCGCGTATAAAGTCCGCGCAGAAAAATATGGTCGGTAGACGCGTCAAACGCGTGCACAAAGCTCCCCCGGATACTAGACACGTAGAATGTAGCTCCGCGACGCGTTAAACACGCGTATCCAGTCCCGTACAGGACCTCAATGGACCAGAATCGTCCCGACAACACATATGCACAGGGTTATATGGACCAGAGATCAAATGCTTACCGGGATATACGATCCAGCGTACTGATGGGAGGTCAGCCTCGAGTGGGCCCTTTTGAGAGTCGTTCGTTTGTGTAGCTATACGCCCATCCTGTCATGATACATCAGCACGGTGCACTCGTGGTAAGGAACAAGAGACGCACCAACGTCGCCGGGTCAAACACGCAGACGTGTGGCATAGCAAAGTTGTATTCACCACGAAAGAATTGGGGACGGAGCGCGTGCGATGGCATGTGAGACGAAATGGGCGAAGAAAATTAAAGAAGTCAGTGACCAACACATCAAGGCGAAGACAAAAGAGAAAGAGGCAAGAATAATATATAACACCGAACACGTCGTTAACCGCCCAACATCGCAACGACTGCGTTGAGACACTTGCCAGTCGCGATGCCACGCAGTATGGTTCGTTCGGCAGGATACGCTCACTGGCGGGCTGCACAAGGGCATTAACGGTAAGGAGGGACTTACCCGGTGAGAATGTTTCTCCTCGAGTTTGCACAGACCACGGAGAGAACTGTTGAATGAAACGCGAAAGATAGTGGTGGGAGACAAGAGAGGGCAAAAGTGGGGCAAAGGGAGCGGAGGTGGGGACGGCGATGATCACGGGGTTGATGAAGTCTCCGGCTGTCGTGGGATGCAGCCAGACCCCGCTGACGATGGTCTTTGCCGCCATGGTGACAAGTGGCCAGAATCCCTGTGCATATACGCGAGACGCGACGCGGGGAGCTTTGCCTGACCGCATTAGGCAATTGGACACGCGGATCGCACAAAGATCATGATGCGTTCTCCGAGTTCACCACAATTCCGTTAGACACGTAGATGCTCTCTTCCCGCTGCTGACGCTCTCGCCACATCTATCATATCTAGCCTACTTCACCACAAGCAAAATTATGGTCTAGTCTACAAGCTCAGGGATCTTGAGTACTCAATGACCAGCCAACCGACTCGCGCAACGATCCGTGCACCTAGTCTTCACCTGGGTTTCCTCCTCCTCCCCCTCCTCCCACTCCTCTCACTCTCGATATGCGTCTCACCAGCACTAGGAGCGGTTCTTGCGATAGGCTCTGGTACGGATTATATGAAGGCTTCGTTGATGAAGCCGGGCATTCCGTTCGATGTGCTGTTGAATAAGGATTCGAAGCGGAACATACAGAGCTCGGCGGCTTGGAAGGGCGAGGGGCGGTTGTTTGGGAGCGACGCGTATAATTTGGTAAGTTGGGTTTTCTGTTCTGTTTTATTTGTTGTGCTGGTTTGTTGTTTGCGTGCTCGGGAGGGATGGGAACCGGCACGGGGACTTTGTTGGATTCGAATGTGTCACGGGCGTTGTTTTCCTTGATCGGCTGGCAGTGGTATGTTTGGACGTGGACGTGCATATGAAAGTCTCTGCGTATTGAGCGAGCTTCCGTCGTTGAAAACCTGCCACTCACGCGATGGCTTCAGTGTAGCCGTCAACGCAGTTCTCGAAACCTTTCACTCTGGTGGCGCGCCACATAACTCGCGACGCCTCTATCTCATCGTCCGCTTCTCATGATCCACACGACTAACATGTAAACTTCATGCTCCAAACCCACAGGCCACCCGCTTCCTCAAATACTCCTACAACTCCCTCAAATACCTCCTTGGCGTCCCTGCCAACGCCGAAATAGTCTCCTACTACAAAACCTTCTCCGAACCCCCCTCGTCGCCTCCTCCCGCTTCACCGTCGGCATCCCGAAGCCCGGCGGACGCACCTGGGACATCGAAGAGCTGATCGCCATGCAATTCGCCTACGTCAAGTCTCTCGCCGAAGACGCCGCAGGGGAACGCGTGAACGAGGTCGTCGTCACCGTCCCGCCGTATTACACCCAATTCGAACGGTACGCGGTGGCAGATGCGGTCGAGATCGCTGGGCTGAGGTTATTGACGCTGATCGATGGCGGGACAGCGGTGGCGGTCAATTATGCGATGACGAGGACGTTTGAGCGTCCGGAATGGCATGTCGTTTTTGATGTGGGCGCGTCGTCGACGAGGGTGACGGTCGTTACGTTTTCGACGGGGAAGGGGAAGGGGAAGGGGAAGAAGGTGGGTGGGACGAGCGTCGTGGATAATGGAGTGGGGTGGGATAGACCATAGGATCGTTGTAGGGACGGAGATCGATAGGCGGTTGAGGGACGTTTTGATTGTGGAGTTTGCGGAGAACACGGGGAAGGATGCGAGGAAGGATGCGAAGGCGATGGCGAGGCTTTGGAAGGAGGCGGGCAGGGTGAAGGCGACTTCGAGCGCGAATACCGAGGCAGTTGCCCATGTCAGTTTTAGTTTGCCTCTCTATCTTTATCTCCAGGATGAGACTGAGATTCGAACGTGCGATTTAGGTCGAGAGCTTGATGGACGATGTAGACTTCAAGACGAAAGTGTCGAGGGCGAGACTCGAGGCAATGTGTGCGGACATGATGCCCCGCTGGACACAACCCATCCTCGACGCGCTAGACATGGCGAACCTGACCATGGATGGTATCGAGTCCGTCATCATGACCGGTGGAGCCATGCGCACACCCACGGTCCAGGCAGCCATCAAAGCCACCATCGGCGAGTACGTCCTACCCTCTCTCCCTCCTCCACTTCGTTCCACTACGTGTCATGCTCATCTCATCACGCCCTCGCACCACAGCGACAAGATCGCGATGAACGTCAACGCGGACGAAACCGCCGGAGAGCAAGAGCACGCAGGCGGCGAAGGAGACGAGTACGAGTATTCCTTTGGCTGTGGATGTGAGGTTTACGTCTGTTGCGCCGATGGCTATGGAGACGAAGGAGGCTCGACAACGGTAATTGTTCTCTGCCCTTGCGCATGGCTGGGTGCTGAACCCCTCTTTCCTGTATAGGTTGATCGCAGCGGAGGCCACAGAGCTCGTCCTACCAGAAGGCGTACCCTCGATCGCGATCGCGATCCGCCTTCTGTATTGGCTCTGTGTCGAATCCCTGCAACTTCAGATTTGGCCCGCCAACCTCGTAGCGCAATTGTTGCCCCCGATGTTGGATCCGTGAGGCCATCATTAAGCTGCAACATATCCTCAAGGTGCGCCGATTCTGCGGTCGAAGTGGTCGTCAAGGAGCTCGTGAGGGTGGACAGGGAGCTGATGGTATTCGCAAATGGGATCAGGATCTTCCTTGCGCTGTCGATGAGTTCGCTGTCGATTTTTCATGGTGGTGAATAGAGATGTTGTGGACGATATTGCGGAGAAACAGTTGGAACAAGAAGAGAGTATCGGGGCAAGCTTGGTTTCAAGCTTGGTCTTCTCTCCTGCAAACGAATCTGCTCCCGATGTCGACTCCATGTATGTATTCTCTCGCCCATCTAGCAGTACATGTATATATTTAGCTTTTTGAATTGTCAAGACTGCTTGTGCATCAAAATTAATCAACCAATCTTCCATTTGGGCTTTTGAATGGATGTGGCCCGCGAGGGCCACACTTGCAGAGAACGAATTTTTTTGCGAAGGTCGAGCGGAGCCTGCTTTTGGCTCTCACTGTCGCTCCTTGGTCTCTACGTCTCGAAATCGACCTATGTCTCATAGTCAAGAACCACCGCCCCCGTACGCCGATACTTCAGAGCGTGTAGCGCCTGAGAAGCGTCCGTCTTCGCCACCCCAGGATGACCGCCCTGCTGCGAAGGTTAGGCGAGACTTGGACTCGTTCGGTGAGTAATTATCCAAAAAAAATAGCTTCATAGTTATTTTGACACCATTTCCGCTCGGTGGAAGACTCTTCCACAGCAGACTCACAGAGTCAGACCGCCAACGAGTCCCAGTGTAGCCAATCTGGCATGACCTACGATCAAACCGAAGTCAGTGTGCCTCACGTAGGGAGTGTTTTGCATGATCTTGTATCGAACAGGTAAGTTTTCCTCCTTCGAACTTTGTTTTTCACTTGATGTTCAAATACCATGCCCGCTGTTGTAGCAACGCCGCTCGTATAACCTTGTATGAAGAGCACAAGGCAGGTGTCAAAGCCCTGGAAGCGTACACAGTCGCCAACACGCACCTGGCTTACGTTCGCCGTGAAGAGGATTACATGGCAAAGGTACAGAATTATAGCGAGCATGTTCGCCAGGAGTGGTGGAGGTGTTACGACCGTAGCGTTCAGCTGGAGGTTGAACTGGCAAAACATGGGATACCGTTGCCCTCTCCCTACCTCGAGGAATACCACCGATTCGCACCTCCAGAAGACCTGCCAACTGCAGAGTTATGGACCACCAAATGGGAGAAGTTATATGACAACGAGCGGTATGTGAAGTGGAAGAATGCAGGGTTTCTTGACCCAGATGTTGTATTGTGGGTCGAAGGACAAACCAAAGGTGGGTTTTGGAAAGGATTGATATCGGCACATCTGACTCCTCTCATTCTCTGCAACACAGGGTCCACAGAGACTACCCCACCCCCATCTTTCACCACCAAATCCATTTCCGAACATCCTAGGGATATTCCTGATACTCCGGTCATTCGATTCTACCCGCAAAACCTCGCCAAAATCGCGGACATGCTCAAGCGCTGTGCTCTAGAGAAACACTCGGCATCGCAGACGTCGGAGACAGGCGGAATGCTGGAGAGTCAATGTAGTACATTTACTATCCCGGAGGAGCTTCTGAGTTGGTTCATGGAAGAGCTTGTGAAGATGAAGGGGGAGACGGAGGAGGAGAACGCAGTGGAGATCAGTGGTTCGCTCGCGCAGGCTATACAGGAGGTTCTTTCGGAAAGCCAAGAGAGTGATGGTTACACACAACTAAGCAAGGAGTAAATAATTCAGTAGTACACTGGCATGTAGAATGTCAACCTAACAGTTTCGGCTCGACACCTGGTGCCACATAGACGCCACAACGCCGGACTTCCCATTTTGGTATCCCCTCCTTCCAAATTTGGTGTGTGGAAAATCTTCAAAGACGCGACACTCTCTGACTCGGGCTGCGTCTTCGCCTCTACGCTCACGATACATGCCTGTAACTTATCTACTCTAAACCGCCTAATTGTGTTGACGGACATGGATTTCAACTTCCTAAGCGGCACACAGTCCCAGGATGTCGAGGGTCGAATGTACATGCAAACAGATATTTTAGGAAAGTACTCTCACTTTTCTCTCTCTCGGTAACTCTCGAAAATTGCTGGACTTACGGGGCTATATATCCTTCTCAGATATCAGCGGCTCTGGGCTAGGCCTCAACATGCCATTGAATATGTCCTTAGGAGTGGGTTTGAGCGGGCAGGTGCGTCCTTGTATCATGCAACTCGTGATTGGATGGGATCGTCACAATTTATACAGGCACAAAACACCCTGCCATCCGACTCTGCTCGCTACGATCCCATCATTGCTAACGCCACGCATGACGGCCTCGTTCGGGTCGGCAACCTAGCACATCAACAAGTCTGCTACCAACTTATGCAGGCTCAGGTTGAGATGGCGAAGCTAAAAAAAGAGGTGGATCGGCTGTCATGGAATAGGTGTGTAGATCAACAATTTTTGTTGGTTTCACTGGCACTCTCTTGATGATATCTCCAGGAACGCGTACGATTCCCTGATAGCCCAGCTTTTAGGGGGAGATCGTGGCGCTGCGACCATCGTTTCCCTGCCCACTGGCGGTGAAGACTCCAAGGATGTGTTTGTATCCTCTTCTGTTCCATCCTTATCGATCTCCCTTCAACAGTGCCCCGCCCATGTTGTCCTTGGCCTCGGAATGAAGGCGCTTACTCCGCCAACCCGTGCTGAATGTCCGGACACTCGATTCTGGGCCATCTCCGACTGGAATTCATTCACGAAGCCGGCCGCACAGACAAAAAAAGGAGGTAACCACTCCGTTTTATATACTGAGCTCTCTCACCAGCAAGCCGACGACATGCGAGTGTGTATCTACAGCCTGTTCCTGTCGCTTGCGTCGACTGGCCAGGCTCCGTCGCAATCAGGCTCCCTTGGGCATGAGGCTCTGGAATATATCCACGGCAACCTAGCCACGGCATTCCCGCCTCTTCTCCGCTGCGAAGGTGGTCACTGGAAGATTGACAAGCTAATTTCTCAGCTTTACTCGAACTGGTGGCGCGACCGTGGAAAGAAATACATTCCACCTGCCGGACACGACAACTTGCCTCTGCCCAAGCGCGAGGCTTCCGAGGCACCTATGCCAGAGACACCCGCTCCAAAGAGGCCACGGCCAGCGGCACCACCCGCAATGTCGACCATACCACGTCCGAAATCTCGTCCATCTGTTAATCCGCAAGAGTTTCGCAGGACCGACCAGCCAAAACCGACATCTATTCCATCTGTGTCGCTGAATGTATCACTTAGACCTGCTGAAGTAATTGGTGCGTCTTTTCCCTTTTCCATTACCTTCGAGTTCGCCCCTTTCAATATAAGACCGACATCCACGCTAGCACTGGCTCCCACAGATACACCTTCTGCGATACCTTCTGCGTGGTCCGATCCGAACATGCATATTCCATCAAGTTTGCCCCGCACGTCGCCGCCATCAACGCCTTCGACTTTAGCCATACCGTGCGAACAAGAGCTAAGGCCATTCCCGACGTCGGATCCACCTGCGACGGCGACATCGACGGTAGATCAAGTTCCAGTATTGTTGACGAAGACAGCGATGCCGTTGGCGGACATGGATGTTGATTCTCTGTCCGGTTCGTTGTCTCGGCATTCACCATCACCAGGAGCTCATTCAGCTCCGTTCTTCTTAGCAACGCCGTCACATCCAGCGCCCCGACCAATTCACGCTGAAGCAGACGAACACAAGGCTTCACAACCACCTATATCACCTCGTCTCAAGCCTGCTGTCGTCGCGAATGAAGGTACGGTTTAGCTTGTGACTGTACCACAACTTTCTACTGACGTCGTGTGTTTCTTTGAACTCGTGCCTTAGCAAACCCTGGCGCCATCCGCGAAGATGCAACTGTCCTGAACGAGGCGGATGCAGATGTTGTACTAAGTGCAGCACGGGATGAGGCTGACACTAACAAGGTCTGTCCTCCATTCAGTCGTTGTACCTTATCTGTTTTTGAGAATTGCGGAAATAGAGCTCGGTCACCCCGACTGGGGGGTCTACCATGTTGGATAACGACGCACTGTATGTTCCATTACCTTCTCACTCTGGACTATTTTCTAACACTTGCCAAGTACAACACCAGCGACACCCTTGCTCCCTATGGATATACCTCAAGATGTTGTGAAGACTGCGCTTTCCAAGGAGCCCAAGGCAGCGGGGGGATCGAAGAAGAAGGGCGGACGGGGTGGGCAAGGTAAGTTAGCGAAGGATTACTACGACAATAGCGACTACAAGGAAAAGTGAGTAGTATTTGTTGCGATATACACACTCTTGCTTATGTACCGTTGCTTTAGGAGCGTCAAACTCGGACTCTGGCTCACAGAGCACCCGGAAGGTCTTCAAGCTGTCTTCGAGAAGGAGTACTCGAAGTATCTCACCCTGCCTTTGGACAACATATCTGTAGGTTCTCTCCTCAGAGCATAGTGCCTCTTTTTACTGACTTGTGACCCGTTTATCGTATGGCAGAGAGTCGAGGTATGGAACGAGATGAAACAACGGGTACGTTTGTTTCTCTTTTCGGCACCCATAGCTTTCCGTTGCAAGCTACAATACTAACTGTGTCTCAATATTTCAGGCTGATACAGCTGGTGTGAAACCCCGCAAGCAGACCCAATCAAAGGCTAGCGCAAGCGGCTAGCTGTGTGAGCACCGTGCATGGGTATAGGTGTGGGCCAATTGGTCGGGGCAATTGTATGGGGACGGGATCCGCTGTACGCCGCTGGGATCCTTTCAAGGCCGATACAAATACAATTTATTCCGTGTACCGTCATCCGTCCACATCCTATGTACTCCGAAATACAAAGAATTCCGAAGTAACGTAAATGGAATGGACTGTTGAAAGGGCGTGCAGTGTGATTGCAGGCACCGCTCTGCTCCGCGACGATCCGAATATGGCAGATGTGCCGTGGTAAGAATCGGATGTCAACCTGTCCTAGAGGAGCGCGGCGGATTTCCGATTAGATCCTCCTGCATCCGCCCACATCCGAGGGTGTTCTCACTGGGGCTCAGCTCCCCTCGTATGCACCTATCTCTCTCATATCACACACTTTTTTTACTGATGCTTCGCTCGCATGCACGGCTACAGCTATTCAGCGGGCTCCTTAACTTGTTTCTCTTTGGTATTCTGACTGTTCAAGTCTGTACGTACACACCTAATACCACTCCACATATGCTGTCTGATCATACGCTTTCAGACATTTATGTCTCGTCATTCCCAAATGATCGCAAAATTCTGAAAGCCCTAGGTCAGACTATCTCTCTTTTACCGTTTATCCCAGCCAGCTGGTTCTGTACTTACTGGCGGACGCTTCACTAGTCCACGGAATATACCTATTGGAAACTACACAATCCTGTCTCGTTATGGCTGATATGTATTACTGGTTTGGTTCTGGATTCGGCAACATGTTACACCTTTCCAACCCCTATTTCTCTCCCTTTGACACACCGCTGTGCGGATCTCTTGCGTCTCTTGTGGCACAACTGTTCTTCTGTTATCGCATCTGGACTCTTCAGAGATCTCTCTGGCCCCTCTGCATTCTGATTGCCGCTGTGGGTATCTTGCTTCGTGACAAACCGCACAAGTGTGCATTGTTTTCTCACATGTCATCTTCCAATATCTAGGTGTCTGTAGTGCAAACTGGCGGTGGCATAGCAATCACAGTATTGGTCAGTCCGACGTGGTCTAAAAACGGCCCAGATTGTTTACCAATACACCGTTGCACACAGGGCCACCTTTCTAGAAACTTTGCAGTAATCCCAACATACCATGCGCCTCTCTATGTATGGCTCAGTACTAGTCACTAATGCCTCTGCTCAACGATGACTTATTGGAACCCCGTCTTAGACCTGGCTCATTGGAGCAGCTCTAGCCGACGTTCTCATTGCAGTGACGATGACATACCTAGTGAGTGTTCAATCCGAATGATTCCTTGTGCCGTATGACCAATTTACTCTAAAGTTCTTTAGGTCTCAAAAACGAATTCAATCTGGCACCCGCAGTGTTATGTGGCAAATTGTTCGCTTGACCGTAGAAACTAACACTATCACCGGTATGACCGACATTTTGCCTCAATCTTTTAGCCTTTCTCCATCTCAATTTTGCCACAGCTAGTGTGGCAATCATTGACTTGCTCTTGTTTTCAACCGACTCGGTCAGTTTTCCATCACTTCTCAGGCTTTGGTGGTCACTCAGATCACGCGTCAGTAGACCACCAACTACTTTGTTGTCCCGTGAGTATCATTGTCCAACCGTATCTCGTCGGATGTGCCATTTGATCTTATCCACTCCTGCGGTCAAGATCGGTTGCTATAGGGAAACTGTCAGTCTTTCTTCATGTGTATTGACTATCATGTATTATACTAACTTGCGGATATTAGGTATTCAAACACACTCCTCGTCACATTCAATAACCGCCTTGCTCTTCGCAAAGTACTGCAGAACAAATCATATGTTGACGTGGACCTTTTCAGCAGAGACCACACTGCTGGAAGCTCTTCCAACACGGACACACACCCTGCAGCCCCTCAACCTCCCCAAAATCGACCGTTTAGGGAGACCATCAATTTGTCAATACTCAATGACCCGGTAGATAGACCTGACGACGACATAGGAGATGTGAGTCACTCGCCTCGATTTTAAATAATTAAATGCTCATGAAAGGGATTGGGATCATTGTGCAGAGGGCTCCTGTAAAGTTCAGCCTGGATTGATCCACAGCTCCGCAATGTGCAACATTTGTTTCAGACTTAGTCATCGTTGGGGTCCACCGAGGACATCTCTGGCAGCGTGGCCGTCTTTTGTTGATTTATCGTTTTCTGGTTGTATCCTGTATGCCCATTTCTTCCGACTACGGCCCTTTAGTTGTGACCATGACCGGTTATTTCCCTCGGTTTAATCTGCCTACCCCGCCTTTCATCAGCACGCTCGGAGCTGCGCTCCTCGCGCCTCGCTCACTGGCCTGTTTTTTGCCCCAATTCTATCATGATTGCTTTGAATCTTTTGGATGCACGTTGCAGTAATTCTTATTTGTCACAACTATGAACATCTGAAGTCTCTTGTATTTAAATAAAAATTGTGCTCCGAGTGAGAGCGGCTCGCCATAGGCGGCACACATGGCATAGCCTCACCTCTGCTTGGAGATGGACGAAGTTACAGTAGCTTCATATATATCGTAGTCGAAAGGACAGGTGTTCAATGGCCCTCCCGTACCGTTGAATGCGACATTCATAGTCAGGTTTAAATCAAAAGTGTGATTTCCGTCCGCCAGTGATGTCTAATCGAAGACTTGGTAGTGCTTTGCGTCCTCGGACAATGCCTTGACGAAATTCGAGCCTGCGTCTATTTCATCGATGCCGAAGTGGAGAGACGAATCCTGGGCGAGTCCGCGTGTACAGAAGACCGAGATGTATGTGTCTAATTGAAAGAAAGTGAGTAAAGAACATGGGAGGCGTAGCGAGGACCGTCTCTTGATGCACCTGAAAGGTCAAAACTGAACGTGGAGCTCGGGAAGTATATACCCGTCTCCGTTCCGGGAAACTCCCAGTAGGCCCCTATAAATTTTAATGGTGTCTTTAGCTAACTGACTGTGCATCTATAAATGTGTAACTTACCAGCAATACCACCCCATCCTCCTGGTTGAATATTATGAGCGTATTTCAGATCAGGAGAGCATCGTTTCCATTCCTCCACTCTGGATCTATTCCTTCCAAGTTTCATTCCTCGACCAGTGAAACATGGTCCAGATACGAAATCCAATCATTTGACCAGTAGTTCCTAAATAATGTTTACTGTATGAATGACTTACCGTGGTAGAAGAGGTGATCTAACCCCTGTTTGGAGCAGGTGGAGTTGAAGTAATCGAAAAGAAAAAGAAAAAACGGGACCACTTGTACCATTGAAAGCGACATCTAGATCGAATATACCGAGCTCGAGTGTGTGAATTCATCTTCGAGCGTTGTCGAATCGAAGGCGGTGTATGCGTAAGGTCCGTAGACACATTATTGATGCGGACACAGCCAGCATCCGTGCCGTCCTAGTGGTATGCCTTGCCAAGCAGCGTTTACATTCGAGAGGACAGAAATCGATTCCTGGAAGAGGTTCGAAACAGCCCTGAAAGTCTACACGATCGACACCCACCTTGAAAGTTGAAGAAAAATGTCGAGTAAAGGTAAAATGTGTCATGAAGTGTCCTTTGGAAGCGATAGCATGACGGTAAATGTGTCGGATTCAGCGCTACGATAAGTATGCTGGCCAACTAGTCGGGGGCATAGGTTTTACATGCCATCAATTACGCCCCATACCCGTACTATCACTCCAGCAGTGTTCGGTCGCAAAACACAGAAAGTCTCGTAGGGCTCTTCCTCCGCCCTCTTACCTCACGAGATTTTGTATACATGCTGGCAAACATGTATGCTTCAACCCTAGGTACTCACATTGACCAAAAGTCGTCTCTGCTCCTGTCCGGATCAATTCCGGTGGTCGCGGATGGGTGTTCGGTCAATTCTCCGCCACACCATTGCGCTTCGTTTTGTTGAGAACACCCAACCTGTACTCCCTCGGAGAATTATGCAGTACCATTAAATCCCATAGAGGTATTTAACAGCCAACGGTCAAGAAAAACGAGAAGGAGCTGCTGCTCAGAGAGGTGCAATATGGGCTAAACGGCCTAAAACGGCCTTTTTTATCCTTTAGTATATTCCCCACTCATAGACGAGACATTGGTTTGTGCCCAAAGCGTGTGTACGTCACTTTGATAACCCTGGCTATCATCTCAAGAAGGTTTGGAGAGAAACAATGGGGAATTGCGTGCGTTAGAGCGCAATACCGAACACCCATCTAATACCGAACACTGCTGGAATGATAGTACCGTAGAAATGTGAGCTCCGCATCGAGCAACATCGAAGCACTGACTTTAACAAGAGAAACGAGCCGCAGAGGGTAGGATGGACACTTGTTCCGTGCTCAATCCCCGACTATTATAATAGACGGTGGATGGGCCGTAAAAACCTTGGAGGGCAGGCCGTGCTATGTTTACTCATTTCAGATCAAGGACCTCGTTTAGCTTCATAGCGATAGTGTGATTGGCTGATCGAGCAGAAGACTATCTTCGTCGTTGTCGTGATAGAAAGACAAGGCACGATATGTACATATTTATCGTGCGAGCCGTAAGGCTGTGGCGAAAGGAGACGAGGACCGGGGTGTGTCCGAGAGTGACTCGTTGAGCGAGGCGTCGAGAGGTAGGAGGCGGCGTATTCGATGGGGATAGAGGCGATCGGTAGTATTTGGGATTGGGTGGAGGTGACCATTTGATTTGTCAGCGTGTTATAAGTTTGGCAGACTGAGATGGGTACAGGTACGATCCTAGGCTCTAGATATGGTCGAGAAAGGGATAAGAAAGTGGAGGAAGAACATACACAGAACATTCGTTACTCACCCACTCATGCAGATGAGACCTCGAGCTCGGCAGCACCAGCTGAACTGTATGACTCAAGTACTGACCAAGCTGTTTGTCGACCATCGTTCCAGACAGATACGTCATCGGGACTTTGGACGCTTTCGTCTATGGCCAAACGACCTGTTTTCCATTCATATTGATAGCGTCTTAGTGATTCTCTCGGGGACGCCTTCCTCTCTTATACACATCAAGATAACACAATGAGCAATCACCCATGCACGCGTAAGTGGTTAATGAGAAAATCGAAAAAAGCAATGTGGTAAACGAACTGTCAGCGAGATGATGGCATATGTATTAAGACATGAATGCTTACCTCGTCGCAAGGCCGATGCGACAGATCGAACCATCCGCCTTCGTATTCGCAACCTTTAAAATACGACGAATAACCGCGGGGAGAAAAAGCTTGGAATCCAGCCTTATAAATTGACAAAATTCCGCCCGGATCACGATGGCCTGGAGCGACAGTATGGTGTCATTGGGGCTGCCCGGGACGTCTTAGAGAGCGGAGGACCGAGGTACATCAACGACTTTGTTGAAAATAAATGTGGAAGAGAGAACGTACGCTGTATTCGATTTGATTTCTCCAGTTGCTTTGCATGTCCTCCATGGGCGCTCGTCGTTTCACTGGGATCGCTATAAGCAATAATGTAGAACGAGTGGTTCGATCTTCGGGCGCATTGAGGGACGCGCAGGCATGTGCAGTAACCACGCACCGGTCAACCCGTACATCCCATCACCTTCACTCTCGGCTCCCTATGCATAGGTTTATTCGCGCGAGTGACTATGAAGTACCCGGTGTTATGCGTACGGCGAGTCAGAAAAGAGCTCAGAAGAGGATAAACAGAAAAACACACCTTCGCGAACGTAGTAGCCTCATTCCAGTCCGCAACCAATCACCGAGATCTCAATCACCTGCTCATGCATAGTTACAGAATCCCGTCCCAGGATCAATCCCATCCCCATTACCACCAAAAGACAAGCCAGCAGTAGAAGCGCCGGAAGACGCTGGAGGATTCAGATGCGGTCGATGTAAAGCAGTTCCACGCCTTCGCAGAAGTTGATTCAAGCGGCAGCAACATGAGCATGCACTGTGTTTAGTAAATAGAAGAAAAGTAGTGTGACGGTTAGTGTTGAGGGGCCATAGGATGGAACTGGTACACTTACCTCGGTTCGGGAGCTTCGAGCATGGGCACGAAGGTCGAAAACAACTGCTACAGATATTCTGCCTCTAAGACTTCCTAACAATTCGCAGCAAATTCAACCAATAATCGGCACTCTTACACAAAGTGCTTGGGTAAATAGTCAAACGTACGTCGAGATGTATACATAGATGGCCACTGGTACTAGTGATACTGGGTACCAACCTGTGCCGACTCATCAGTTCGAAGACGATCAACGAGGAAAGGGTGACGTACATACATTGGTCGGTCCAATGGCTCATCCTCGGGTACGGACCATCGCACTGCGAGATACTGAATTTTTGGAATAAATACAAACGGGTAGGAAGACATTTGGAAGACATGGTCAGCATTGCGTTTGCATTTCGTCCAATTCCTTTGCGATGTCACCGCCACCGCCACCAAATTGCAACGCGTACGGTAACGCTGGAACCTCGCGAGTGCGATAAGATAAGATCGCCACGCGAGCGATGGCCGCTTCAAAGCCCTCTCTCTCGTCTTCAACTCTTCTTCGTCCAGCTTTGTCCGATCGACAACGAAGAGCTAGTCATGGTGGCTCTGAGAACAAGCATATCCCATGATTCTCCTGGTCAGATACATACACGTACCCGCCCATGTCACTCATGATGCAATCAAGACTTGATCAAGACCCTGTCGTCTCACTTCTCGACCCATCTCATATGTCCTGTCTTGGCAGCCTATATAGCTACTCTCGTTCTCGAGGAATACACCAGATTAATGCGATGAACTCTAGAAACTTCGCAGAAGGTCCTAAATTCAGCTTCTCAGATTATCCAACCATTCTATCCAACCGTGCCACCCATGCCACCCATCCTCGCTCTCGACGATGCTCGGAGTTAGTGAGTTGGAATGATGGATGAAAGAGTTGTACAAGAGTCGCCGGCTGCTACTTGTATGGGAACGGATGGAAGGCAGGATGAAATGAGGGAAGTGAGAGATGTAGCATTATTGGAAGGTCGTGGGCTTTGGATCGAATGGAGAAGGTGGGTCGGACGACATAGACACCACCCAGTACGTCTCACATCTTTATGTGTCGTATTTCGATCTTTTTCCTCCTTATTCTGGCTCAATTCACACTTAATCCATATCGCAAATACTGACACCTTTTCTGCCTACAACAGCACCTCCGATACGCTTTGTCTCGTCCGATACTGGTTATGAGTATGTTCACCTTCCTCGCCTTGCGTCACCCACTCCCTCTCACGCTCCCCTATCCCGCCCTCTTTTTGCTTCTCTTCCCTGTCCGTCTATCCCGCTAGATGTTCCTTCTTATACTTACGCCCTACCCTTCACGAAATCTATTTAGATCTCCATCCTGAAATATTGAGAGCTGACACCATACGTCGCTGGAGCGACCTCTGAGGGGTCTTCAAAGTAGGAGACAGGTAGAGTTAGTAGTTTGAGTTATTGTACAGCAGAAGACTCACTATCAAACTCACGTAACCATTTTTTTAGGCGACAAAACCTCGAACCCGATTTCAACCTCGTCAACATCAGGATCAAAGGGATCAAGCTCTCACCTCCACACCGCTGCTATATCCACACTACATCACTCTGGACCTTCTCCGATTGCCACCAGATATCTTACAAGCCACGACCGGAGGTCCACTACCTGCACGTCGCCTTTCCCTCGCTCTGCCGTACCGTCCGTACATCCTCCGAATTTCCGGGATACCCGTTCAAACCATGCCGTCTGGCTCAGCGATAAAACGCAGCTGTTTCATCCAAAGTCCCTATCCTATCCAAAATCTGGTCAGGTCAGCAGTTTTGCCTCGAGAGTACGGGAGCTTACGGTGAGTTCCTTCTTTTGAGCCTTCGCATGGTATTCTTGACGTCGGTGTAACCGCATGCTCGTCTGCTCTATTCTCAGACGCTATCCAAGACGTTGACTCGCAAATCGTTGGCGGTATATATGGGCTTTACGTTATTGTACTGTGTGTACCAACCCTTTCTTCCTCTTCCTCCAATGCAGCGTACACTGTAGATGGAATTATTTTACATTATTACACCCATACGTCTGAATTCTTCCGAGAATCTCGTCAAATTAAACAGAAGCGTCGAAGTGGCGTTCAGAGCGAGCGAGCTTACAGTGACCTATCCCGACTCATCCCAGCTGCTTTCGGATCCCATCTGCTTGAGCTACAGTACTCTAGGCTACTCTATGAGTTGGAATCTCCGTCTTTGCCGCCGTTGAATCTCAGGCAGTAGGGACATTGAAGGGCTCTGGCTCTCGTTATTAGGCGTTTCTGCTCTTCTCTCGCGTCGAAGTCGTTCGCGGCACACCAATGCTGTGGTTTTTGTACTCTTAGGCAAGAGGTCAAACTACAGCCCCATCTTTGGAGTCCTCTCATGCCAAGTCATCCTTCCTGAGCTCTCATCTTCGACTTGTTCATGTTGTTTCGTCCGGTCATCCACCATAACATCAATGCTAACAAATAATCGTTTTCTCGTTTGGTACCCATTATAGCTATTCCGGCCTCACGTATTTATGTGAAGATCTGAAAGCCTTCCTCCGTCACGGTCTATTGATCTTGAAGTGCCCATCTCTCCGTTTCGACTCCGGCATCATCGCTGTCTCTAACTCTAGCCACACCTCTCGCATTTTTGCCTCCTATTTTCCGACTTTGCTGCTTCCGGCTCTGTGGGCGGAGGTGGCGACTAAGTCCAAAAGCGAAAGCCCAGAATGCGTAGGAAGTCGAAAATGGGAGATTTTTGCGCATAAAAGGAGGATGCGGTAGTCGAAGCTTCTAAGATTTTCATCCCATCGAGCCTCGCGTATGCGGTCCACCTACTGAAATTATACACCTGCTGGATTGCTCGCCGGCGATCACTTTTTCAGTATTCGCTGCTCAGGTCAAATGTGTGTGTGAGTACACTTGAGGTCTACGGACTTGTTCAATTTGTAGAACGCTGTTCCTCTTGCAGTAATCCCGTTCCTTGTCCACTCTGTCCAGCAAAACCCGAGCTCGAATCACCTATGATTTAACGCCATTTCACTCATAACTTGTCGCCGTTTTTCGTGATGCTTCATTGAATTTACTCCATTGACGGAGCTATACTTGACATCCCGAAACGGTGTACAGACAAGGCGTAATCATGGTACTGAATGAAAAATTTAGAGGCTTCCTTGGCTAGCAAGGTCGTTCAGGTGCTCATACCCCGACAATACTCCCAATGAGATCCTTTGTTTCCTTCTATTCAAAGTTGGCCGAAACCCATGTCTCTGTGCTTCATCATCCTCTTATGATGTGTGAAACTCTGTAGCGAAAAATAAACCGTCTCTGCGATTAGGGCATATATGTAGCGGTTTACATCGCCAAACCACGATGTGAACTAAACTCATGTTGAGTTCAATATTTCGGAACTTTGTCCCGTTGGAGCATCAGAGTTCAATTCACATTCATCGTGGACTTTATACGGGGGTGGCCTCACCTCCACATCTGCCCGTCCGCCCTCGTCGTTCAAAATGGCACACACACATCGGTAGTAGGCCGATGTACTAGCATCAAGAAGAGAGACGACGTCGCAGGTCGTCGCTGGGGAGGAACAGCGATGCGAGTGGAAGGAGATCCTTCTCGAGAATGCAAACTCAGTGTGAACTGGATATCATATCTCGCACCACATCCACCATGTGAAGTTCACATTTTTCGCATTTGACATGACGAACGAAACTGATGTAAACCGCTACATATATGCCCTATTGGGTAAGTCATGCACATGTGTTGCCTTGGATATACAGTGATCTCGAAAGATTTTCCGATGAGCACTGTAGATAAGACCTTCATTATATCGTTCGCGTTCCAAATTCGGATCAGCTGATGAAATTTCTTTTAATGCATAGGCGGGTCATATGCGGCAACCCTGGTGTGGCGTAAACACTCGAATATCACGGACACATAAAATGAAAACAAGGTGGGCGGATTTGGACGCGAGGTGTGCAAGTTGCAACTGGATGAGCCATATTCAGTCCAAATTTATGTCCATCGTGAGTGTATGTGTTGTACCCACAAGAATAAACAGCCTCATCATGTATCTGGTTCTCTCGCATTCAAGGACTTTACCAGCTCCACTGCCTTCGCATCTCGCGGACGCACAGAGCACTCAAATGGCATCGGGTGGCTGACATTTTTACGGGAACTGTAATTTAGTTTGAAGCAAGACGAGCAAAACTATGAATATCTTACGTACCTAATACCGCTGTCTACCCATTCCGTTGTCACTTCAATTTCGTTTCCGGCCTCGTCCTTCGACTTCACGATATCAAATACGGATAGAATAGAGGCGACACCCAGCCATAGTGTCGTGTTTGCAAGGTATCTTCCCGGACAAATCCTAATGGCAAGTCAAATTGAAAAAATGACTTTATCGGAGGTTAGAAGACTTACCTTCTACCAAACCCGAAAGAGGCGAGTACCTCATCGTCGTTAAGTTCCCCTTCGGGTGTGATGAAGCGTTCCGGATTGAATCGCTCCGGTTCGGGGTAGAATTCTGAGTCATTAAGCATTGCCCTATGCAAATGAACCGGGAAGAATTTCATTGTCGTGTACCTATCCTATGGATCTGGTGGAGAGCAGTCGAGACCTACCATGCATTTCCGACGACCGTCGACCCTATTTCAGGCACGAAAATCCAAAATTTACCATGAAAATACGCAGAAACATGGACTGTGTAAATACCTTTCGGAATGAAATACCCATCGTATACATCATCCTGCGCAGCAGCATGATCGACTGCCAAGGGGGTGACAAGCCTCCAACGCATAACCTCTCTGCAGATCGCTGAGATATATGGTAGTTCGTCCTTGTCGGAGAAGTTAGGGAGCCTGTCTCTGCCAATGACAACATCAATTTCGGCTTGAGCACGACTTTGAACGTATGGATGGTTCACGAGAGCCATCATGGCGCCAGTGAGGGCTGCCATAGACTACTTGGTATCAATATTGCATGAACAATCTGATGAGACAACCATGCTCACAGTGTCCGCTGCCGCTATATAACACAGGAGACGTCAGTTCAACGAGTTCAACAAGGCAGAGCATAGAGCAAACACCTTACCGATGTGTATCATAGCAACACTCCTCTTGATCACGTATTCACCGAGCTCTCCCTTCTCGTTTTTTCTGAGTATCTTCGTAAGAAGCGAGGAAGGAGCAGCTCCAGAGGCCTGAATTGTGGAGTATGGATCAGTTCCGTCGTTGGTAAGAGTAGCAGGTCGCATACCATGGCTGCTTTAGTTTGTTCGAAGAGGTCATTCTTGATGGACTCGTTCAGGTCATTACAGTTCCTAGCATACGCCTTGAAACCGGAGACTCCAGGGAGCCATTCTGGCATACGGCGCACTAGAGGGTTTCCGAGACATGTGATGACGGATAGTCAGCGTCTGTTCATAGCACAAAGAAAGTCTCTGCCCAATGGCCAAAGGTAAATACTCACAGAACGGATAGGAGTTCACAAGGAATCGTCCGGGGATCATGATTTGAGCAAGTACAGCCATTGACTCCTCCACTTTCTGAATGAGAGGGTCTCCGCGCATGCCGACTTCGTAATCGTAAGCAAGCTTAAGCGGGAGAGAACCAGCGTGACTAGTTCATACAACTAAATTACAGTTTCAGAGGTCGTGACTGACATTACGCACTGCTTCAGAAGCTCGATCAAATTGTCCGGTTGCCCATGGAGATCGCGCAGTAGCGTTTTATTTCTGGAGATTAAAAGAGGATAGTAGTCTCCGACTGCGTCGGGTCGGAAGTGCTGATGGATGATACGACGGTGGGCACGCCACGCGTCTGAGTAAGGCATAAAAGCAATGTTATAGTCCCAGCCAGCGCTGAAGAGAAATACAAATATCTGTTTAGTTGCATCGTTTGTGACAGAACGGGGCAAATACCAACACTCACATATTCACCATCTCGTTATGTGGCTTATCAGAGTAGATAGACGACCTTTGGTCAAACAACACCTTCGCAGCCTTGGCTGAGTTTATGATGATAGTATGCGAGCCTGGGACATGGTATGATACTATATCGCCTAGAAGAATGAAACTATATCATCAAAATTCCTACGCATAGGAAGAAAAGAGGAAGAATGGCGTACTGTTATACAATCTCGACCATTCTGCAAATGCCAAATGCGGACGATCCTTGGGCACATCCAATAAATTTCCAATAAGGAAACGAGGTGGAGGGCCTGGTGGATACGGAATACCAGAACAGTTGCGTCGACGGTAAAGGAGCCCACGTAGGCAAATATACGCAGAAAGAATAAATACGAGGAGTAACAGATGGTATTTGAGGTCTGTTATCGCCATGAGTGTACGCCTCTCGTTGGCGGGTCAAGTGGTGGAACGGCCACTATCACAAGAGGGCGTTATATATCTAATGTACCGCCTATATGTCGAAGGAGCCCCGAACGCCGCTAGCGGGAGTTCGAAGATACTGTTGTGCCATATATTCATGCAGGCGTGATGCAGTGTTAGATACACAAGCTCTGGGAGGCACTGGTTCGGATGACGACGTGACGCCACAAAGATACCGGCAAGGTTTTTGAGTTCTCAAAGACCCATGAACCTATACTGCCATGCTCTACTATGACACCAAGATGTCGATATGGTCACTGGAGGGTGTGGTGTTGATGAGTCGAAGCTGTTCTGTGAGAGTCCCGAAGCTGCGTGAAATTAAGATTCCGCTAAAATAGACGGTGCTCCCATGGAGTAGCAACAGGAATAGAGAATTCATTGCCGTCTATAATCGTTGGTAGTCGGCAAAAAAGGGCGAAGTGTGTCCATGGTCCACCGACAGATGAGTCGCAATAGAGACGATAATTCAGTTCAGGAGTAGGGAACAGTAGTGCGTCCGGTGAGAGAACTAACAGCTGTAGTATGCACAGGCTCTAATTCCAACGATCAGCGGCGAAGTGTTACAGTAATTAAGAAACAGGTGGAGTCAGCGGAAGCTTTCACGAAAGAGAAAAGGCGCGAGAAGGTCTGTAAGCAGATAAGAAATGTTTCCGGACGAAGAACGAGAGCCAGCTAACATATCCCGCAGCAGCGGTCTCACAGTGACGGCATCAGGTTGTCACTGTTAGCTCTTCGTACAAGATACGGGCAAGTTCAATCACTTTATCATTATGGTATACCGCCTTATGAATCTCTTGGCTGTCCAGTGAAGCTTGCTTGGAGAGAAGAATCAGTGTGTGTTGATGAGAGAGAGGCACGAACTATAATGCTGGCTGAATGTTAGCCAGCTCATTAAAAGTTGAAGAAATTATCTCGTCCGAGGTCAGTTTGGGAGTGGCTTAGATGTTTCTGAAGTTAGATATATGAGACCGTCAGGCGTCGTTGACCTACGTTCAAAGAGGCCAACAAAGATCAATATCAATATGTCTTTACGAATACTTACCCTCACGCACCGATAGAAGGGAGACGGCATTGAAGAAGCAAAACTCGGTGAGAGAGTTAGGTATCGCGAAGTAATAAGTCCACTCGATTAGGGATAATTCGACGAACTCAAAGCTAAACTTAGAGGATGTTCACTTCGCAGTCCGAAGTCGTCGGAGGACCAAACAGAAAAAGTCGATGGATAGACCCCAATGGCTTAGTATTAGATGCCACATACGTGGACTGTGGAATCATGTGCCACGGCACCTGAAGAACACGCTAAAGAGATACCGCAAAAGAAGACACACTAGCATAGGGCCGGCTAGGAGCATTGAGCAGCAGCGACATCGCAGGTAAGAGCTATAATTCCGGAGCGTAATAGTCATGCCCGCTGTACAAATAATTTCCGGCGCGGCGGCCTCTTCTGGGTCGTATCGGAAAGAGAAAACAAATAGAGGCCAAAATCAGTCTGGATGGAGAACAAGCGGACGTGCTTCGGGAAGAAAGTCAAGAGCTCATACCAGTCCAACCCTCAGCAGGAGCCTGCGGATTGGATGATCGAACACAGATACAGAGAACCTTGTACGAAAGAGTTTATGTCGTGTCAGCGAAGAGAGTATAAGCCAAAGATAGCTGTATTCACTGGCTGCTTCGGAAGCAATCGCACTTGACGTTGACGTTGGCAGGAGATCGAAGGCTCTCTGGACGCCTACATGGAAGTAGCGGTGGGGAGATTCGGGGAGTAGGGACCAGAGGGTGTGATCGAGGGGGAAGCAACGGAGCTTACTTCTAAAGTGAATGTGGCGAAATGACTATTTGAAAGATTTTTGTGTAAATGGGTGGGGACAGCAAAGACGTGTGGAGTGAGGGTATTTGTCAGCTTATTTTGCTATCACTCGAGGGAGCAGATGGATTAGAGTGATAACGGAAGAAAAATAGAAAGAAAAAATAGTACAAAACAAGCAACGATTGAGGGTGTTCGTCTCAACCTGACTCCATACAACAGCGCTCATGCAAATAAACAAATCAAGAGCTCACCATGACCTCCTAGCATCTCAGGCCAACATCTGGCCTGGCGAGGTTACCTACCGACTAGCTGGTGTAACACACATTTTCCTGTGAGGGAGCTGCCAGAATAGAGTATAAATTTCGCAGCCTTTAGTTGAGACTTATCTTATCTTATCTCCAGTCGGAGCCTGTCGGAGTCCTAATTTGCATGTATTTACTCGCTTCGCTGGCTTCGGCTAATGATCATCTTCGAATATCAACAACTGTTTCTCTTTTCTTTCTCATCTTCTCTCCTCGCTCGCGCCCCTCCTCGTAATCGAGTAGTGGCGCTCAAGGATAGTGTTTGAACTTTTCTATCTCAGCTTCAACTCTCGCGCGTCTCACGTGCTCGACTCGCTCGCCCATCCACACATTCAACATATTCTCGTGCCCCTCAAACTACACCATCGGAACGCGTGCACGCCGAACACTCGCCCAATCCGCGTTCCTCTTTCGTATGCTCCCTTTCTTCTCTCTGTGAACCACGTTCATCAGGTTCCACCGGACCTTTGAAATGATCCCCCGAAAGGGTGTTTCAGCTGGACTGTTTCTGGGACGTCGGCGCTGTCTAGGGGCGCATAGCCCGATTGTAGATTTGGGAAGGGTGTAGTTTGCGTTCGGGACTCAGAGTACGGGTTAGATGGAGAGGAAATGGTAATGAATGCGATTAACACGGTTATGCGTATGGCGTGGATATCGTGTGTCCATGGAGAAGTCGGTCGCTCAGATGCAGAGCATGTCGGAATGGATGTATAAGTAATCAGCTGTTAACGCAGATGAACTACGCCATGATTGCCCAGCTGATGACTCCTCCCGCCTCCAATGGTGGCCTACAAGGGTAATGATCTGCACTATGTTCTATTACAGCTGCGATATAGACTCCTCTGCTCGGAAGAAAACACGGAGAGGCTTACAGTAATAACTAATATACCACAAGGATTTCAAAACAAAGCGACCAAAGAGGTCAGGAGAGAATCTCTGCGCTCAGTTTCCATTAGTGAAATCCCAGCTGCCATAGATAACTCCAGCTGATTCATCTGCGAAGAAGTCGAAAAGACCTCGCGAAAGGTCCAGCCCAGCGTATGGACAGCCAGGGCACTATTTTGATAATAAAGTGAAGAAAGTTGGGTGAGGATCAGAGGGAGCATGCTACAGTAATCTAAGCGGATCGAAACGCACCTCATCCTCAATGACAGCAGTGGTGGTCTTACCGTTGGCGGTGATTGTGATGGTCTCGCCACAGTGTGGACCAGGATAACCATCCCCATATTGCTAGTATACATGCCCATGCTCGATATAAGAGGTTGGAATATGAGAGTGAAACACAACACCTACGTCGGAGTTCAGAGCAACGACCTACATCCATCCGTTAGACCACAATGCCCATACGACAAACTGTTGATGCACAATACTCACGAAATCAGATGCAACATTGGTAGTCCCACATGCGCCCCTGAAAAACCGCACGACAAAAGTAAGAAACTGCTCACGGAGAAATAAAAGACTACTTACTTGCTAACATCGTAGAATGTAAAACGGGCGTTATCGAACCTCTTTTGCAAAGCATCAGAGCTCATTTCACTGGACGAAAGCCGAGCCATGCCACGGTGACGACGAGAGTATCCAGTATATTTATTGGCATCTGCCATACAATAGACAGAAAAGCAGAGAACTGTAAAGACAGTGAGCAGTTTAGCGTGCATTGGATTAGAGCTTGTGGAGTTTGGTACAGGGAATTTGAAGAAGGGCAGGCGGTAAATCACTGGCTACCTTGCACGCTTTTAACCAACTTCCCACCATCGGTGACGGCCTGTATTGGCCTATAGCTTAGCGGAACTGTCGCACTACGGGTATATTTTGCCCGTATCAGGTCCGATTTCGCCCCTATGTGTCCCTATGCTGAGAGCACTCCCCACCCGAGAACCTTTCTGCACATGTACATCCGGCGCTTCAAATATATACGCGAATAACCCCATAAACTGTCAAGTTTGGGAAATAGAGCGGACAAAGGACGACTTTACCATCGGAATAAATGCAATGCATAGTCTGATAGGCGAACATGCTTTTACTAGCGGAAGGTCATATGCCGTCCGTCTGAGATCATCAAAAGCCAGCTCTGCTTTGTATACACTTCGTGGAAGAGATGCCCATAGGCTCTGGGGAGGGAAGATCAGGATCGGACATGCGAAGACAACGTGCTAATCGGGAAACCTAGACCATCGTACCTGGCATGCACGATGCATAACGGCAATCATAACGTTCAGGAGGTATGGAAAGTGCTTGAGGGAAGATGAGATGGACGAAATTCTCCTATCCACAACAGACTCCAAAGAGCCGTGATGGATTTCGGAGAATTGTGGGTAGGAGCGTATAACATCTCGGAGATATGATCCCTCCGAGTGTAGCGCTTTGCATTTGGTCGAGGTGAACCATTTCTGGGTAAATATTGGCTCGGAAGCGATCTTCCACCACGACGGCTAGCGACAGCCGTAAATTACCTGCCCTGTTAGCTGGCATGTATTTGTATCGGAAAAAGGGAAGCGCATCTCGTCTCACGCGACTCCTCTGAACAACATGCCCGTTCCCTTCCCTAGAACTAAGGCTCGCGGTGCTCGGAGGCGACGAATCGTCATGCTCTGACGCTCGCCACAGTAGCGAACGATGCAGTAGCTCTGTTTAATAGGCGGTCGAGATCTATGTAATACCGTCGAAGGCTCGCGATAGTCATAGACGACGGAAGGTCGTGCTCTGATGCTCGCCATAGTCGCAAACTTCACTGACAGACGATCGAGTGCTAGTCTCTCAGGAAGGTCAGGAGCGGAAATCATTGCAGATTACTGACATGCCTATCACACCCCCAGCCAAGAGAGAATACGAGGGTGCTGCTGGATATCCTAGTATGGGAATTCCCAGATGCTGATCGTGCCGTCGTCTACGCTCGAAGCGACGCGAGTACAGGTGAGCAAGAAAGCGACTGATTTAACGTATTCGGTGTGTCCCTGCAATGACCATGCTACCATATACTCGTCTGAACGTCCCAGAGACAAACGGTTTCGGGGCCGTTCGAAGGGCAGGCCGACACATCACCTCTGTTGCCTTCTCGCCGAACATGTCGGGCTCACAGGACGACCACACATAACCTGTCTCTGTATCACAGATACGGACTGTGATGATTGCAAGTGCCGGATACGAAGTGAATGCGGGATGCGCGGGTCTTCTGCCCACACCCTGCATAGGCTAGAACTGTCAATGATGAGAACAGCGTGCAAAAAGGACCAAAATCCCCGGGGTTGTGTAATTATCAAAGTGAAACAGAGAGTTTATACGCGCCCGAGGGTCATTTTCGGCGACCGACAAAGAGTTTGAGGACTGGACCCTGATGTTAGCGATAGAATTACGAGCGGAGGTCTTGGACCTCTTCCTCTTATCCACGTCGGGCACTGGCAGGGAGCTATAAGGCATGTCAGTTCGACGGTTACGATACTCGGAAGAATTCAAAAGTCAGGCATACGTGTCGTTCGAGTGTGCTGTTCATCGTATCCAGTTCACGCCCTGTGGATGCTCGCTCTCGTCGGTGCTGCAAGTGGTGGACTGCACGGAGATCTCACCCGACAATTTCGAGGCCTGCTTGAGTATACCGACCAATATATCCTGCAATCTCTCCGCCAGCGATTCCAAAAACTGTAGGGGAACTCCGACAGGAGGCGGATACCATGGATGGATTGTCGAGTGACTTTCGGATAAGATGATGTTCGGAGGACCTTTGACCGGCGGGTGAGGGCTCTGTGGCGGGTCCGACTCATGCTGGTCGTCAGAAAGTAAGTAGCGGTACAGCTGCCAACAGCACCAACAACACTTCTTGCTGACGGCGATCGGAGTCTTATCTGTCTAACAGACGAGCAACCCAAGGAGCATTAGGAACGAACCACGTTCCGACGAGACGACGACGAACTTGAAATACTCTGACAAGCGCAGGTCGAGTCTCCGCGCTGACATCCAATGAAGAGCTCTCCGCTGCGGATGGCGAACAGAAAGTACGTGCGAGGCCCATCATGAGTGCTTCTGCGTGCACCGAAGCGTCAGTCACAGACCATGATCCCAACTTGAAGTCAGTCTCAAGGAACGCTGCGGCCTCAGCCTTCGTCCCGTACATCAAGGTGGTCAAGGAACGTACTTTTAAAGTTGGCAAGTGCGTTATCGAGGGGCGGGAATGAAGGACGAGGGGTGGTGATAAGATATGCATGGACAGGGAGCGGGAGAGGATGGGCGGAGAGATAATCTACAGCCGTGGTCCAGGCGACGATAGTCTTCAGATAACAAATGATGATGTCGGCAGGAGAGTTGAGTATGAGGTCTTCGATGAAAACTGTGAGAACACAATAAATACCATCAGAATACGCGCTTGACAGGTTGCAGTGCCTCGAGCGCCGACATAACCATCGTTTTGCTCGTCGTTATCCCGCGCATCCTCCAGCGTCTCTTCTTCATTCTCCGGCGCCTCCTCCGCTACCCTGTCGCCGCCAGGACCCACGTTCCCTGCATCTGTACCGCCTATTACACGTTCACCATTCGCACAATCAACAGGGCGGATCATGCTGCAAACTGAGAAAGAGAGAGACGTACGTTCGGTAGAGCTAAGTCCAAGATCGCCCGGCCTGGCCGCGGTCATCTCCCACAATCCATCCGACAGTAGAAAATCGACGCTTTCACATTTTAACAAGACACGAAACAACATCAAGTAGTGCACAACTTTCACCACATCCTGCAAGGTAAGCGAGTTTCTAAACCTACCCTTCGTGGTCAAGGCCTCCCTCAGGCCCGAGAATGTATCCGTGAGGGCTGCGATCCATCTTCCAACGTTGTCGCGGGTAACCTGGTAAGAGACGTATGAGCCTGAGGCGGTGCTATTCGCAGATACCGTCTGGGGATGGATGTCATATTTGTTGCGAAGCCAAGTCACCCCGGTTTTGTCGACCTTGAGCTTCCTCGGAAAAGAAAGTCCTTTGCGGAAGCTGTCGAGAGGGTAGGCAGCGAGGACGTCCATGGGGTGCCTTTTCCAGGTTCTGTTACTCATGAGAATGCGGACGGCGATCTTGGGATAAGCGTGGTTCACGATGTACAGGTGAAAACGTTCACAGCGATCCAGGAAGACGCGACTACAGTCGGGAATTTGCAACCTGGGTTTGTCTACGCGAAATAGCTCAAGAATGGCGAAAATGCGCTTGAAGTGATCATCGGGACTGAAGATGATTAAAACAAGAAATAGTGAGCAGTTGGTCGGAAGTAAACTCTGAAGGAGTTAGAGGGTCCAGCGAAATGCACTCTTTTTTGGCCCAATCGTTCAGAACCTCCTCACCACTCACAGCTGTTTGCAGAGACTTGATCTCGGTCGCCTCTGGAGAGAGTGCAGATGTCGTATTCTGACTCACAAGAACGAGTGACTCGATTACTTCAGAGTTGATGTTTGCCGTGAGAGCGATGCCGCGAGCAGCGAAGGTATCTTTGAAAGAGCCGCTTACTTTCGGAGTCCCGATGGTAAGAAGGGTGGTAATATGCTGTAGAGTTCGGAGCAGTTTGTCTTTCGGAAGATTTGGCTTTTCCGGCGCGATTGGACGGTGAAAGCGTAAGGCGACAGTCGCGAGGGCTATGAAGATCGGCAGCTCGTTGCGCAGTTCCACAGGGGTTCCGACATCTTTCAAAGGCTGCATGTCAAGCATCTGCGTTATGTTAGGGTAGAAGAAGTAGGAAGTCCATGAAGATAAACGACTGACAACGACGATGACGACTCGGCGACTGCAATGGTGGGACGGAAACCTGAGAAACGGAAAAAAGACGCTCTGGTAACAGTGTGACGTGACGTGACGATCTGTGACGACGCGCGGAGAGTGCCAGTTTGGCCATCGGAGTGTGGCGCCGCTGCACGGAGGGGTCGATTGGCCTATGCTCAAGCACACAGGTGTCGGGAGGGGCTCAATTTTGCAGGGGGATCAATGCTCGATAGTATACAGGTATTGAACGTGCCAAATATAATTTATGGCGGGTGGGCCTACAAGTAATCATGTGCATGTGCTACTTGTATGCTGGTACAGGAGATCAAAATAATACATATAAAGAGGCCGCGAAGCGGCCCAGAAAAAAAAACATGAGCCAAGGAAGCATACAAACTGTACGGAAAAGTGAAGGCCGCGAAGCGGCCGCCCAGCAGAGCTACAAGGAGGTGGCGGCGTCTGAGTGCAGGCGGGTGGCGGGAGGTGGCAAGGCGTGACGCAGGCGGACGGGATCGTCTTTTTTTCTTATCGTATCGTCTTTTTTCCCGTACGAAGGTGGCTTCGCAGGGTGGCTATTCTGGTTAACGCCCCAGCCAAAATGCCCACGAAGCGAGCGCGAGGGGAAAAAAAGACGATCCCAACGATCAGAAAGACGATACGACCGCGAGCGCTTGAGCAGTAGATCAGGCGCCGTCGCGTAGATTATCGCTATCCGGGCGCATTTCGGTACCCGAGCGTTACCTCATATCCATCAGACGCGTCACACCGGAGCATTTTGAAGCAATTCCGGGCGCTCTTCGTTGCAGGAGGTCGTCTCCTCCAGAGCAAGCATACGAACGAACTAACTTGCGCCACACAAAGACGATTCGTCACAAAAAAGACGTTCTCGGGGCTTGCCGCGTGACAAAATCGTATTTATTCCGAGAGAAGGGGGCGAGGCGCCACGCTCGAATTGAAACTCCGCTTTCGATGGGCGCATCCAGCGATCCCTGGGCGATTCAACACTCCAGGCGACCAAATACCGTCTATCTCACAAAGATTGAGCGAACGAGCTGGAGGCTCCATCACACGCTCAATATCTCTCAAGACTAAATTACGATCAGGTAGCGTGACAGTGGCACGTCGCCCAGACGAGAACAACCTCATCCGAGCTCGAGTTAAATTTCCTTCTCTGCTTGCCTCTTAGCGGAATATCATATCACAACAGTTCAGGCTCTGAAAGGCCGTGCAGAGAACAGGACTACGCTCTACTAGTTTAATAACGGAGATAGAGATTGGGTAGGATCCACTGCATTCTTGCCCGATGGTGAATACAGTGGCACCTCTCGGTGGAGAATATGTACCCTTGAGATGTACAAAATGGGGGAAGCGGTACTCAGGCCTTCCTCGGTCATTGTGGCCTCGTTCTCTCCGTACGACTTTTACCACTGGGCGGCCACATCATATCAGGGCTCCTACTCGCAAAGGAAGGTGCTATTATAGACGACGAACGAGAGTAAAGACAGGCCATTAGACATTGAAATTCAGAATGTGGACAGGTCACAGGTGGTACAGAAACGCCGTATCCATAAGTAAGAGTAAGTGTGGCAGACGATGTAAACGGAGGCAGCAGAGGCAGTACGACAGAAAGAAACAAGGTGAGAATGTCCGGGCGCAATGACAGTATGATAATGAAAGTAGAGTCCGAGTCCGAGTCCATAGGATATATCAACAACAGTAGTGGCGGCATAAGGAGCGTGATGATCTGCAGTTAACAGATGCGGAGCAAACGAGCAAGGGGAGCGAGGCGGACTTCAAATGAGTGGTGCTGATAGCTGCAACGGGGGTTCAGAGACGAGGAGCAGGACCGAGGCAGGTGGAAGATCCATAGGAACGCGAGAGGTAGACGGTGCGGTACAGGGACTAGAACTAGTAGTGTTTAGGGTAAGAACGGCAAACCGGGGATACTAGAGGACTGAAGCAGGGAGAATTAGTACGAGAGGATATGTAACGTAAACATGCACCTATACAGCGGATATAGAATCAAGGTAATATAATATGGGAATAGGATAGTGTAACACATAGTAGAGGCGATGGTCGAGTGAGAGTCGAAAGCAGAGACAGGTTCAGTCCGAGTGTTCGAAGACGAGTCCGAGTCTGAGTCCGAAGATGAAGTTTTGAGTCCGGGGCTGAAGGTAAATAGACGAGAGTCAAAACTATGCGATAATAAACGAACAACATGTTGAATGTAAAATAAGTATGTAGTGCAACGGAAGGAAGCGAGGACCGGTGTGTATTGGTATATGTCCGTCCAAGAAAACAGTCCATTGGCGTACTTACAATGCTGGTAATATAACAACGGTCGGGGGATGGCGGAGTCACGAGTTAAATGGGGCGATGAGATGGAGACGAGGATAATGGTAAACGAAGAGAGCAGAGAGTTGGTTGAGTATATGGGGGTCGTGGCGATATTCAGAACAAAGCTTCGGAATTGTCTTACCACCAGTGGACTTCGCAGGGAAGCGAATGAGGGGCGAGCGAGGATGAATGTACGAAGGTGAAGTGAAGTGGAGCGGACAAAGGCGGACTTTGGCAAGTCAGTACCTCTGCGAACGAGCAGCTCCACGAGGTTGTGATATCACATTGCCTTCGAAGCGAACCCTTCCAGCATGGCGTAAAGAACCCACGGCCCGTGTAACTTCCACGATGTCGAAGTCCTCGTGCTTATCCGGTGGCATGGCTAGAAGAAAGAAAGAAAGAAAGAACAGCGTTAACGTTCATCTTTATGTACTTACTACGAAGCGCCGAACGTCGGATGGATGGATCAAAGCAGACAAGGAACGTACCAGCGTTGAGGTACCCAAGCAAGGTCTCGACTGTCATCTCGTCCGAGCTCTCGTATGTCGTGCGCCAGAGGTGTTCGATCGAGAACCTAACGAAGCGAACCCTTCCATCCTCCACGTCCAACTCCGCTGCACCACTGAACTCGGGCTCGTCTTCTTGATAGTCCACCTGCATCCCTTCATCCGGCTCCCCCTCAGCGTCCACGTCCATGTCCTCGTCAGGCTCCCCCTCTGCATCTTCTTCGCCTTCCGCATCCTGGTCCTGTCCATGGGCAGAAGGACTGGTGCTGGCGAAATCCGCCTCAGGGTCGGAAACTGGACGGATAGGAAGACCGAAGTACTCGAGGGCCTTGACAGCGTCACCCGAAAATCCCTTATCGAGCTCTTTCGCCGCACGTTTTTGGCTACGAACAAGAAACAAGGGCGTATTGACGTCAGTCGCCGCTCAAGACCGAGAGAGAAAAACACTCACAATCTGGCCAAACACCCCCCCTTATGCACTCCCCACGGATGCCAACACCACCTCGTATCCTTCCTCAACGCCACCCACTTCGAACAAAGCCCACAAAGCACCCTATGCGGTTCCACAGTCCCCCTCGGCTCCCTCAACAACACGTCCGCCCTCAGCAACGCTACCCTCTCCGGTGCTGGCATCCTCTTCGACGTCGTTCCAGTGCCGGTGCCGGTAGAAGAGCCGTTGCCTGCGCTTCCGTTAGACGCATGGGATGGAGTCCGAGCGGAGGGCCTGGAGTGCAAGTACTGCGACGTGGATGTGTACGGCGTGGCGGTAAGAGAGTTATAGTCCCCTTTGCGAATGACGACATTCTTAACACCAACTCTTCCTTCCTTCTCCCTCTCCCTCTCCATTTCCTTCAATGTTTTCCCGACCGGCACACCAACCCCCGCTCGCATGCTATCAACGGCCGAAGGCGAGCCCGTCGATCCGCCAGCCTGAGATCCACGCCCACTAGGCTCATAAACAAACTGCGCCGGGACCTCCCTCGCCCTAGCTTCCTTCGCCTCCTTATTCGCCTGTCTCGCCGAAGCTGTCCCTTTGACGAAAGTGTACGTCGTCGTAGGCGGAGACTGACCATCCATGCCGGTGGGCGGGGACGTGCGAGAATGGGCAAGGGGAGGCGAGGCGTGAGAGGAGCCGGAGATGGACGCGGGTCCGGGTGGGTAGGCGGAGCTGGGAGGATAGGAAGTCGAAGGCGGGAAATCTTGAGCCTGGTGTGATGGGTGCGGTCGTGGCGGTGGCGGCGGTGGAGGTGGAAGTGTGGACATAGTCGACCCTTGCTGAGTCCGCATGAACGGCTGCGCCCTAAGACAGTGTAGAAAACAAGTCAGTCCGTCGAACACAATACACATAACACAGAGTAGAAAGCTGGAGGGACTGACCTCGCCTTCTTTTTCAGACAGCTCCTCCGATGCGCATCCCATGGAATACTACAATACGTCGAGTTTGGCCTAAGCCGGATCCATTTATCGCACGCAGCGCATAACACCCTATACGCCTCGAACCTCGCCACTTGGGGGTCATTGGCAAGGTAGTCGATACGTTCTTGTTCGGTGCGTTTGGCGCGGCGGATGGGTTTTTGGGACTGGGATTGGGACTGCTGATGAGGGGCGGGGTACGGGTCGGTGGAGGCCGGGTGGGCGTGAGCGTGCGAGGTGGAGGTGGTGGGGGAGGTTGTAGGGGATTGAGCATGGGAGTGGGTGAGAGCATGGGCGTGAGCATGGGCGTGGTGGTGTGGGCGTGGGTAGCCGGAAGTGACGGAAGAGTCGACAGCCGATGAAGGAAGGTTCGAATGACGTGGATTATGGACGGTCGAAGCAACAGACGCAGAAGTCGAATTGGAGGCCGGGTTAGGAGAAAAGTCGGGGCGGAGGTTATGTGGAGAAAGAGGGTGAGGGAGCGATGAGGCGGGTCGAGGACCCAGGGGGTGAGGGTTGTTGGCGAGAGTGTTGGCAGCAGACAGGGGCGGGCTTCCGGCTGCAGACGTGTCAGCACGAACGGCGGCTTTAGCACTGGATTTTGTGGAAGAAGAGTCAGCGGGTTTATCCATGTCGGGCGGGGGTATATGAAAAAAAAAACGGTGAAAAATAGTAGCGGTGGTGGAAGGAAGAAAACAAAAGGTCGGAGGAGATAAAGCGCTCTTGTTCCTCGGAATCCCAATATTAAGAACTAAGAACTGCTCCGCCAAACAAGCTCGACGCCAGCAGGTTGATTGCAGCGCTACGAAGCAGAAAAAAGTCTCGTGAGCATCACCACGATCACGTCCAGCACAGCACTGAACTCCAAGCCAGGCAACAGAAAACCTCGCTAAGCACGGCAACAGCGACTCTCACGAAGCAGGGAAACCCGCACAGGAGGCTCCCCAGGGCGGGTAGGTAAGACGACGACCATATGCGGGTCTCTCGCACCTCACTAGTCGTCCCACATCCACCTGTTCCCTCCCCGGCAACACCGGGCGCGCAGCGTCTTCCAGCCCCGCCCGGGATTCCGAAAGTAGAGAAGGCTCCAAATGGAGCAGGAACTGGGACAGGAAATGATAGAATGTCAAGTGTCAAAAGAGAAAACAGAAGAAAAGAACGAGTCCTGAAACAGTATGATGAGAAGAATGGGCCTGAAACGACGTCATGGAAAGGAAGAACAAGGCTAAGTCTTGAAACGAACGCCGCGGGACACATGAACGCATGAGACGCGTTTCGTGCGACACGGAGCAGAATGGAGAGAGGACGACTAATTGTCACAGCAAAGCCTGGGAGGCGATGCGTAGTGATCGACATAGAACAGAACACATCAGATGGAGAAAAACATTCTTCACCGAAAACAGATCGCATAGCAATACTTTGTTTCCCCTGTCAGGTCCCACGCTGGCCACCATCAAACGCATGCATCGACCTCCGATGCGAAAGAGGTGGATGTATGCGCCAGTGCTGAGCTTGTCAGTGCGATATGGATCACCTCGAACGTCTCCTACATGTCGCGCGCGCAACGGTCACAGCATCAATCCTAAATGAAAAAAGGCTAAGCAGGCTCAAAACCAGACTACCAGCCGAGCGCCACCAGGACCCGCAGCAACAAATGCAGATCCGGGCAGTGTTCGACAACAAACATCAAAATCCCAAATGCACAACAGATTCAAAGCGCCAGACACCAGATTGGATAGGCGCCGAACAACAGACATCAGCAACAGGGAACCAGAAGAGAGGCGAGAACGGGAACGGACACAGTGACACAGCAGGCGCATCACCACCGACAACGCATCACATCCACCAAGCACGGAATCACCGTTCGGGAACTCTCGCAAGGCAATGGAGAGGTGTGATTCGCATCGCTCACTCCCTCAGCCATTCGATCATCATCGACCTTCGACCGTTGTTGAAAGACAAACAGAAATCCAGGCTCGTTCGAGCCGGCTCTTCAAAACTCCTACTCTCCCCGCATCAAACCCCGGCAAACACATCAAAATCCCGACTCAAAAGCATCAAAATACCACCGCACAGCCAAAGCCGACGCCACCATCTAAAGCGTGTCGTCTATTCCAGAGAAAACAAACCCTATCCCAGAACTCCAATGATAGATAGCCGGATCAGCCTCTGCAGCTAACGCGTTATGTTTGATACGCGAGCAGGCACGAACATAACAGTGTTATGTGGCTAGTTACGAACGCAAAAACACAATAGATGAGGGAGCTCGGTGAGAATCGTGCGAAGGCATAAGCAGGAACTTGCGTTCGCACATGAGTCCAGCCGAAAGAAGCTGATGCGTATGAGCATGTCCTAGCGCGCCGCCACCGGAAAGAAACACCGCAAGCGGAAAGTCTCTTCCCGAAATAGGAGAAAGCGGGTTGCACTTCACTCCCAAACTAGGAGTCTTCATCCCAAAATAATTGGCTCAGGAGGCTCGTTCGCGAATGCATAAGTCGCGTCCGTGCGTCAGTCCATCCGAAGGACAAAAGCGAGACATGACCTGGGTACGAAGGTCGTCCTCCCCAGGGGAAAGAACCACCGCAAGCGGGCAGTCCATTCCCAAAACAAGACGTCTCTATCCCAAAACAAGACGACTCTTCCCCAAAACAGGACAAATCCCCACATCCTCCTCTCCCAAAGGAAACCTCCCCTGCCCAAAATAGCGGGTACTGCCTCCCGAAATAGCGGGAGAGAAGGTAGGGGTAGGGTCACGTTTTCCTTCCCGGGGCGGGAAGAAACGCGAAACCGAAGTAGGGTTGCTGCCCGCAATGGCAACGTCAACGACTCTGGCAGGAAGGTGGAGCAAAGCGCCACGAATAGCACGGTTCGGCTGGGCAGAGGGCGTGCGGTGGGAAGATGTTACTCCAGAGCAGATAAATGAGGCTGCTCGACGATGTTCTCTGAGATGGCAAGGCAAAACGCGGAGTAGTGACGAGCGGAAGCGAAGAGACGAAAGAAGACAGGGTCGAAGAAGAGAACGGAACCGAGATAAAACAAAACAAAACAAGGAAATCAAAAAGCTCAAAAAACGAAAGCAGAAAAAAGAAACGCACCAAACCCCTTGATGAGTCTCCCAATATTTCATCGTGAACGCCCCCGCCTTATCCTCGTCCCTAACCGAAATGAGCTCGCCACAGGTCTCACACGCGATTATACCCTTCTCCACGTCCTCCGCGTCTCCGTCTCCCTCCCCCTGCGCGTCTTCGTCGACATCCCCCACCGTCTGTCGAGCCTTCATGTCCCGCGATTCAGAGTCATCCTTTGCACCAGGTGCGACGAGCTTGACCTCTTCGACCACGGGAGGGTCGAAAGCTTTCAGCGACGGAGAATGCATGGCTACCGGCGAGTCGATCTTCGTCGCAGCGGTGGTAACGGTCGTAGGCGAGGACGGAACATCGACCATCTCATGATCCCCATCCACATCTACATCCTTCCCATCTCCCTCAGCCTGCTCCTCCTTCACATCCACTCCGCTCTCGTCCGCGGGCATCACCACCATCTTCGTCTTTTCCTCAACAGCACCGTCCCCATCGTAATCCTCGTCCAACTGAAGCTGCCGTCTCGGCTGGTGCGCTTTCTCGACGGCGACGGAGTTGGTGCTGTTGATGTTGGCGGCGGTGGTGTTGGTGTTGGGCGACTCGTTCTCCGAGCCCGAGCCAGGCGCTTTGCGTTTGTGGGGTATGCTGTAAGCGGAAAAGCGTCCGAAGAGCGGGGTGGGGTGATAACGCGGCGTCAGCATCTGTCCATCGGGATGGACATTACAAAAAGCGACGCAGTGGTGGACTATGGGAGTCGATTCGAGATCGGAAGGAATGTGGAACGTGGAAGGGAGGAAAGCGACAATCGGAGAAGGATGAACGACGTACGAAGAAGCGGGGCGAGACGGGGTGTTCGAAGCGGGTGAAGGTGAAGGCCTGTGTGTCGATCGATATCGTGTCACGACGAAGACACGGAGCACGCGTCAGTTCGGTGGTAGTTTCGCTTTGAAAAGCCAAGCGATGCTGCGGAATAAGACACACCCCATGTTCGTCATTCTGTTTTTCCTTTCCGTTTGATCTTCAACTACGACAACAGGGAGCGGAGATCTGGGAAGATAATGCTTGGCCGGGGAGGCGATCCGGTTCGGTTCGGTCGAGGTCGAGGTCGTGTGGTGAGGGGAGGGTCGTCCGTGTGGTCTGAAGTGCGAGAGGTCGGATGGACGAATTGATCGAGTAGTTGAGTGGTTCGAGACTTAAAGGGAGTATAGACTATAGGTTATGAGCAACGATGCAGAACGACGCGACGTGAGAGTCAAAAAGGAGGGTGAAGACGACAACAGTCCGAAAAGAAAGAAGGTTTGTTATAATAAAACGCGATCGGTGCGCTGGCACAGGCCCTGGCGCGTAGTCAGACACGGAAAAGACAGAGGGATGAAGCGGGGTAAATAATTGAACGCGGGGCAGGGAGCGACAACGGGACGTGAGACGGGAAAACAAAGAAGAGGGGGGCAGGAGAAACGAAACGGAGAGAAAAGAAAGCGGACGGGAACGAAGACAAAAAAGGGAGGGCGAACGGCAGGACGAAGGATATGGGTGAGAAAGTGATGGCGGCGAGGGGCGTTTTGACGGCTTGATCATGGCCAGAATTCTTTCTAATCTTGTTGTTTTCGGTGTGAGAAAGTGCTGGAAGGGGGAATGTTCGCCATTCATTCAAGCATCAGGAAACAAATCGCAGCTGGCCATCATCCTTGATACGCCTTGTCCGAGGCTGTGTCCTCCCCATCGCGCTCTATTCCCGACCTGCCCGTACTGCACCTTGCAACGAAGACATACCCAGTACGCGTAACGATACCCGTCGCTCGGTCCATATCGCGATCCAAGACATAAAACATAAGACAAAAGCAAACCCGGTCAGTTTCGGACAGGAGAACGCGATTGGACCAGCCAGGATGAATTCAATGAATCACCGTGATTCTGTTCGACATTTCTCCGTGCATCCATTGGCTTCCCTTCCGTCGTAACCTCTATTCCCCATTCGCGTCCATTCGAGCGCCACGCCCACGCCACTCACTCAAACATGAGACAACCTAAAATCAGCCAAATCCTCGTCGTCATAGACACCGCCACGAAAACATACAGACCGCTCTCCTCGTCTTTCCATGTGTTTCCATCCACGAATGGACGAAGATAACAGAGACAGAAAACACGAGTTGGACGAGAAGATTAGAGAAGCAGATAATTGCCTGGGAAGCCTTCCGAACCTTCTTCCTCTTCCGTCTCCCAACAGTCGCTTCGATACCCCGCACTGCCCGCGCTCCTTCTCTTCTCCCTCCCACCTTCCAAACTTGAAATCCCCACAATTATGAATGTTCCTCATCTGGTTGTTTGCATCTCGTTTCGGTTTTTTTGTTTCCTTCCGCGCAGGAAAGACAGCAAGTTGACACGTGTTTGAGCTGGCGTTGGGGTTGTCTCCAGGTTGTTTTTTATTGTCTTCCATTGTCGGAATAAGCATGTCTCTTCTCTTGCCTTGTGTCTCGTTTTCGCTTGCATTGTGTTCGGTTTGTCCTTGTTCGTCTTGTCGTGTGCCACTCCCTGGTTTTGTTTCGTTGTTGTTTCCTCGGAGGAAAGTGCCAAAAATACATCCAACCGTCGTGCCACGTGAGCATCCCGGCCGTTTCCGGCCACATAAATTCCGATTTGTTGCTCGGCTCCTTTCTATTCGCTCTGACGATGACCTCTTCTTCTCTCACCCGAGCTCACCATCCTCTCGACGTTAAGTATGTTGCAACCGTATATTTTTCGTCATTACGCGCCCTGTGCCTCTATCTTATCTCTATCTTGTCTATTAGCCGAACCTATCGACGTCTTTGGCTCGCACTGGATATTGATAGACAACCTGTTGCTATCCGTCTGTTGCTGTTGCGACCTGGCGACCGTACTAGCCAGCACCGGTACCGTACTCTGTTGTTACTCTGTAGCTTCTTGACTCTTGACATCTCCGCTGCGATATCATAAACATAATCGTATGTTCTTGGACCCCTCTGTATCCGGTCTGTTTGGTACGCCGCATCCGTCTGCTGAACATATGTCGTGACACTCGTGCTCCGAGATGTCCGTGTACTGACGGAATGCACCCTAGAGGGCAGTAACTCAGGGAAAAGGATCAGATTGACGAACAGATGGATTCATGTGTCTGTCGAAATGTCGATGGTGTTTGCTGGTCGAACATCTCACCGCCTGTGGCCTACGCTTTGATGCACTCCTCTCTTTTATATATCACTAAGTATAATCTGAGCGTTTCCCAGCAGAGCCCGTTTCAAAAACAGCAGTCCATTCAAGAAATCATGTCTGCCTGAAGACAAAACGAATATCAGGTCCCACCGACACACCGCATCTACTCCCCTTCGTATGCGGGTGGCGGCATAGCGTCCTCTTCGCGCATCATTCCTTGTTGCACTTGCATCAACCGCAGCTCCTCCACTTGAGCTCTAATGGCGGCGAATTGATGGCGAATATCATCGACGCTATTCCTCCCAGCCCTTCGTCTATCCCCAGGATCAGCGGTTCGCCGACTAACGCCTCCACCTTGATGACTCTCAGCTTCATCCCCAGCAGTCGTCGAGACTTCATTCGTTGTTTCGCCTGCTAAGAAAAGGAATCATTCTCTTGAAGCGGCCGCGATGGTCTCTGTGACGTACCGGAGAAAGAGTGATCATTGAGGTTCTCCGATATTCCTTGTCGTCCATTTGCGGGCCATTTATTCGCGGAAGATATGGTACGGTTGATATCTGCCTCGGATATCGCCTGTGTACGCTGAGTCCAGGTTATGAATGGATCAACAATTGATGGCTGAATCTGTAAGTCCAGAGTAGACCGCCTTCGTTGTGACATTCTGCGCCGATAAAGGAGTATTGCGACCAGCGCCATGATGACGAGCACGCCACTGATTCCGCCCACAACGTCTCCTATCAGATGTGTTCGTGATCGTTGGGGTGAGGGTGTGGCAGATGTTGTGAAAGGACTTTGGGATGAGGTTGCGGACGAGGGTGCTGTGGTAGGACCTTCGGATGAGGTCTTAGACTCTGGTGAAAGAGATGAGGAACTGTTCTGCGAGTCGTTTGAGTCGGTGCTATATTGGGGGACACAAATGAGCTCTGTATCGACAGTACCGAGGACAACAAATAATAACGCACGTATAGAGTACATAGTCAAACAATAACAGGGAGGAAATCGAGTCTGACGTGATGGAGAGCGTGTGCTCGCCGTTCGGAATTGTACCATTGGTATATACCGGAACGTTATACTCGTAGTCTGCGGAGGATGGGTCTGGGAGGTGGGTAAACTGTACCGGCGCCTGGTCGTCGAGAGTGATGTTCAAGGATGTGTTCGTTGTGACTCCTTGGACGGAATTGGCCAGTATGAAGTAGGCATATACGGCGGTCCCTTAGTACAAGTAACTTATATGAGTCGCGCAGTCAACATGGTAAGAGACTAGTCACTAATAATACGCACCGTTGAACACGATGTTTACTACTGGGCCCGGATCGACTCCTTCAGTATGAGTAGCATCATGCCACGTTCCTTCGTGTGCTTGCGAGGCGTCTGGTTGTGCGGCACCGTGACAACCTTGGCAGCCAGATCCTGCAATCCATGTATTGCCCACCTGGTCTATATACGTGGGGACTAGGCCCGTGACTTCATCGCCGTGTGTGTCGTCAATGGTAATGTTAGTAGGGATTGCATGGGTGAAAGGCGCGGCTTTAAGCCAGAAGTACCACATAAGAAAAGATAGACGACACCCCATGCTGGCAATCGGTGTCTTGGATGTGGGGGATAAGCATTCACGTTCATGAAGCTATACGCTTACTGGACTTAGTGCTCCGGATCTTGTTGAACAGTCTCTTCCTGATGTGATGTGATGTTGCTATGTCGGAATTGCGGTACAGCCTGAGAATTGTATAAAGATATCTAAATTGAGAGAATATAATGATGTCCATCATCATAAAGCGGTTCATGAGCGAGGGTTTTAGTTATCAATATGCTGGTGCGAAGGACTCAATGTATCGATAGACCTGTCACAGGGAGTGTGTAGTAATCACAGTGCACCTGAGGCAGGCTATTTACGGTTACATAGGGTTATCAGGTCCTCACCAGGCGGATTGATCAAGTGTCGATGACTTGATCGTACTTGAAACGTCTCTCGCATACTGCCAGTTCTGGCGGATTCGTTATCCTTCGTGTACGGTACAAGATCAAAACTCACTTGGTTCACTCAATCTGGCTACAGCACCTGGGGTCCGTGGGAAGTGCATTGATAGGTTCGTATAATTACAAGAAGGTGATTGAATCGAATACATCGCTTTCCATTGTTTGCAGTACTCATCGTACATGGTGATCTGCATTCCTCCTATATCAGATTCAACTCGATTGACATCGGGTAATAAACGTAATAATATCACCTTTCGAAAATAAGGACTGTCACTTTTCCAGCTCGTACGCAGGTAGAACACTCTGGTACCCTTCATGGAGGGTCAAGAACCGACATATAGATTGTTCTGAAAGTATACATTTATGGTGAAGGGCATCGTGTCTGACTCGTTAGTGAGACGAGCGAAACTGGTACAAATCGATGTGTAGTCCTAATCGTGAGCAATAGAATCGCTGGCGAGTACAGCAGCCCTCTCAGACCGAGGCTTAAAACAACACTTGAATGGCCTTGGATGGCTGAAAAAACGTCGAAGGCGTAAAATCTGTGAGACTACACCTGACCATACAACTAAGTAACTAGAAAACTTGAACCGGGACATACCTGACTGTTCCGTCCTCATGATCTACGGCTGGTTCTATAGGATTGCCATTCGCATCCAGAGGTTTGGCGGTGTTGAAAACGGAAAGAACTTTGGCGATGCAAATGAACGCAATTGCATCAGCGAACCTTCGACCTGTTAGATGATACAAACAGTCAATGGAAGTACTGTTAACTAAGGCGCCGATATTGAATCTTTACCTGGACATATTCTACGATTCGGATAGATCAGGGCCTGTTCGTCACGAGAAGTTGAGTTATTAATCGCATACCTTCTACCAAACCCGAAGACGAACTTCGCAGGATCCTGCTCAGCCTCACGATCCGATGTGGCAATGAACCTCTCTGGATTGAACGTGAAGGGGTCCGAGTAGTACTGTGAATTGCGCATGATGTCCCTGTACAATGTTTGTTAGCATAACGCGACATACGAGTTTGCTCGAGGTAAACACCGCTTACCACACGTTCACGATAACCATAGTCGATTTTGGAATTAGGTATCCGTCATAGATATCATCTTGGCGACTGATATGCGGAAATGCTGGGGACGACGCGTTATACTTAACAAAAATACCGGGAGAGACGAAAACAGGAGGAATAGCCCACCGAGAGGAACAGGCGGGTAGAACCTGAGTAGCTCCTTAATCAGTGCCTCGACATAGGGTAAGTTCGGACGATCTTCCATCATAGGCAATCTTTCGTGTCCAACCACACGGTCAATCTCCGCTTGAGCCTTGGCCTGAGCCTCAGGATATAGCATCATGACGAGGAAGAAATTGCTCATGACAGCCGGAGTCTGATATGCCGCGGACATGAGCTTATCAGTCCTTTTGATTCAACTGTGAAATAAACGTACGGTATCAGATGATCCTAGAAGATCGTAGATCATAGGCTTGTTACACTTTCACATTTGAGAGAAGATGGCGACTTACCAGCCCAGACGCCCGCCGCTGTCCATTTGAGGTGATGTTCTTGCTCAAAAGTAGGTCGTGGACCGAAACATTCAAGGTTCCTTGAGACAAAGGAGGGCTCTGCTTTTCCTTCCAACTAATGATAAAATGATTGTTAATAATATCTCGTTCATAGACCACAAGGACCGTCGGACCCACCACCTGTTCTTTGACGAATCCAAACGGCACCGCTCCCATTTCGTCGAGGGCCGTTTTGTACGGGCGAATCAGATGCTTCCACCTTCCGCCTGGAAGCCAATGCGGTATGTATCTCACTAAGATATACTATCAATCTAAGTATCAAATCTAGGTTCTTCAGCGAATGCGGCTCACATAGGGGGACAACGTCCACGGGAAATAACCCGAAATCGGTGACATGGTCGAACGCCTCCATACCCCGCTTCGCACATCGAATCACTGGGTCCTCGCCTTCCATTTTCGGGTGATAGCCGTAGAGAAAGGGCAGAATTGTACGACCTAGGAGCCTATACGAACGATGCTTAACTCTTTTACAAAGATAGAGCTTGCGGCACTTGAACCTTACGTTCGAACATGATCTGCAAAATCGTCAGGGGACTCCAGGAGCATTACCAAAAACCTACTGCTCTCTGACTCGAACGCACTGTGTAGAGGCTTCAGTGCAGCTGTACTACCGATAAATTGGGCTACCATTTGACGAGAAGTGCGAAGGCCGTGATCATAATCATTCAGGCCGATCATGTTGTGCAGTTCTACAAGACGCACGACATAAAGTGATGGTCTGCAAAATATATTTGTTACCAGGCTATGGCGCAAGAAGAAGAAATCATACCTGTCACAGTAAATTGCACCTCTTCGCTCCAGCAGTTCGATAGCAGTTTCTTTCGAGTTGACGATGAGAATACGCCAACCGAGGGAAGTCAGATATGTCAGACGACCTGCCTTCCAGTCGGATGAGAGTTACGAAACCCACTCAAGAAGATGTTACTTACCCCATCGTTTGCTCCATTGAGCATAAACTTCCCATTTCCTTTGCTGTGCCTGATGCAGCATCCGCAGATTTCCAACCCAAGGCAAGCCTTTTGGACCAGGTGGAAGGATGAGTGACCGTGAAGCCAAATATTTAGGGCCAAGACGCAGAAGCAGGGCGACTGCAAGAAACACAAGAGCCACATCCAGTATTATCGGCCAAGTATCGAAAAGAGGCATGCTGTAGTAAATAATTGAGGGTGTCGACCTTGAAATCGGATGAATGGGCTCGTATATATACCAGAGAAGAAAGAGTTGGAGCAAAGACGCGCATATCCCATGTCAGTGGGATAGCAGAGGGTTTCAGCTAAGAGATACGGTCCATTCTATTCGTAACGCCAGATACAGTGTCAGCGGGAGTCTGGAGCTTCGCTGCGATTATACATTAGCCACAGGGTGGGTCACGAAGGAGGAGCAAAAAACCTATGGCGAATGAAGGACTAACGATTTCGAGCTACATGTCCATACGGTAAATCCTTTCCCAGATGGAAGCAAGGTTAGACTTGTGTTTTCTGTCCAACGTGACGGCGTCTGTGAAAAGAACGCGATTCGATGCGTTATGAGGTGCCAACAGTCGAGAACTCAATAGTTCCGACGATAGGAGCGAGCTTGGACATAAACTTAGACTGTTTCACGCGAGGTAGCAAGCAGTATTATCACTTGATCCTCACCATGAGCAGAGCAGACCAAAGAGAGAGAAAAGACGCGCCGGTAAGCGCTTTCATTCCGAGAACGCTGTAGTCATGTATAACGCGTACTGTGAGAAGCAGTCATGCGTCGTAGCTTCCTGCCCTATTCATGGCACAGCGCACACACCAGTAGTAGAAGTCAGTCACAGTATCAGCGTTCCTCCGAGACGACCGCCTGTAATCGATGTACGGGTCACTGAGTGAGTGGAACATTCATGAGAATGTGCGCTGTCGTGAGCCCACTTGATACTTTACTGCCAGGTATGATGTAGAAAGAAACAGGACCAGTGTTCATATCGTCGAAGCAAATTCAGAAGGAAAGGTCGAGCGATTTGGATGGGAGGGAATGGGTCCCGAAAGAGCGTCGTTTCAATTGAATCGGAGTTCATCAGGGCCCGGGACACTCCGATGGGGGTTGCCCGAAGGGCGACCTCGAAAACAGGTAAAAATATGCAATTTCAGCCTGGCGAGGGCTTAAAATATGCAAATTCCGGGAAGGGTAGGGCGCCTATTGGCGGGTTTTGTGTGGCGAGACAGGCTCGATTTTACCCTCATAACCCCACATAACCTCAACTTATCCTAACCTAGCCTAATCAGAACCAACTTCTGTCACATCTGTTGGATAGGTTAGGGGAAGTTGAGGTTAGGTTAGGTAAAAGTTGAGGTTATGTGGGGGTCTACACCAATAATTTGCCAATAATACGCAAATTTTCGGGAGACCTCGGTGCTCCTAGGCTTAAAATATGCAATTTTTCGGGAGGGCTTCGCCCTCAGATCGCGTAAAAATATGCAACTCAAACCGGGCAACCCTCATAGGAGTGTCCCGGGCCCTAGTTCATCCCATTGACGATTGCACGCCACTTCGGGCATTTTTTACCCGAGACCCGTCCGTGCCATGCGATAACCATGCGACAGGAAGGAATGAGGTTCGACGCCAGACGCCGGTTGCCGTCTACCTTGTTTCCTGTCTTCGTCGCTGTTCGGCCCTGCCTTTCCTCCTTTGAAAGGCGCAATAGCTTTTTAGATATGCACCTGGATAGCTTTATGGACATTGTTGTGTCACAGGCAAGTTGGAGGGTGCGAGCTGACAGAAATGAACAGCTTAGTACCCGGAATATCGACGCCGCATAGTGAGCTGCGCAATCCCAAGTATCCTCGGTTTGTGGTCAGCCGATTGAACCCTATTGAACCTCATGCATGAGGGTCTCCTGTGAACCGTGTGTCCGTTGCTGAGCATTTCGAACACAGGCGATTTACACTGGATGATGATATTTTATCCTCGCATTTTCAACGTCCCAGGTCCCGGACACACATCTCGACTACCCCTCACCCTCAGTTGCAACTTCTTCTTGATATTTCTCGGAGGTGTATATATCAGATCGTACAACGTCTCACACCAAACCCTCGAAACGGCATCACTACCACTGCGATCAGCTGCGTCTCGACCTCGAAGGGCTCTCGGCCGCTGAGGCCCCGGTACCTATGCGACGACGACGACAGATATATAAGAAACCGTTTATGTTCTCGCAGAGATTTCTTCTCTCTAATAACATTTGCTCTCCCCTCTCTGTTTGTTCGCGGATTTGGTCACTCACTCGGTCGTTGGTACTGTGATTTTGTGGTTGCTCAAGGCCAACCCATTCGTCATTCTTTCAAACATCAACTGTTTTACTGTCTTTTCAACTTCTCTGCAAACTTCCCAGTGCTTCTCGCCTGATATTTCACAGATCATCTACCTGAGATAGACATAATGCTCTCTAAGGCGTTCGCGATCACATCCATTCTGCTCTCCCTCCGCTCATCTCTTGTCCAAGTCAACGCTCAACTCACCGGAACTGTCGGTCCTACGAACGTGCTGTCGACCAAGACCGTTACTTGTAGTGTGTTGGACTATGGAGGGGAGGTCGGGAGCAGCGACATTGGGCCGGCGATTCTGGATGCATTCAATGTGGGTCTCTTTTCGCTTTGCCTAGTCCAGAAGCATTAGTGGCGGTGGCTGAATTGCAGTCTTTGCTCGTAGGAATGTGTCCTGAAGAATGATGGCGCCGTGCTTTACCTCCCTGAGGGAGACTACGATATGCAAACTTGGGTAACACTCAATAAAGGATCTAACTGGGCCTTCCGCATGGACGGATTCATTACTCGTACCGGTCTGTCCCTATCATTCTCTCGCTTTTGCCATAGTTAGTTGATCGCTGTGGTGTTTGGCCTGGACTGTAGCGACAACCGGTGGACATATGATCATTATCGAGAACGCGGATGATTTCGAGATGTATAGTTCAACGTCTGCCGGTGGCTTCCAAGGCAATGGCTACGAATGCCGCAACGCTGGGTCTGTCATCTTTTCTCCTCACTTTCTCTTCTTCACACAAATTCCTCGACTGACTTGCAATAAATGGCGTCTGCCGTAGACCTCGATTCCTTCGCATCGTCACCTCGACAAACTGGTCCCTTCACGACCTCATCTTCGTCGACTCACCCGAGTTCCACGTCATCATCCAAGAAGGCTCAAATGGCGAGATCTACAACTTGGCCATTCGCGGAGCCGATATTGGTGGGAGCGACGGCATTGACATCAGCGGTGATAACCATTGTGCGTCCACACACTCGTTCCAATGGAGTCGATTTCTTTTACTGATGTGGCGCACGGCATGATGCGTTATTGAGTAGGGGTTCACGACGTCGAAGTGACCAACAGAGACGAATGTGTCACGATTAAGTCTCCCGCAAGCAACATGCTCATCGAGCAGGTCTGGTGTAACCAGTCTGGTGGATGCGCGTTCGGTAGCCTGGGCGCTGATACAGCCATTTCGAACATCTATTACAAGTAAGTGTAGCCGTCCATCATTTTCTTTCGTTTGAGTTTGAGATTTAGAGACACGCATGCTGACGAGTCGACAATCAAAAACAGGAACATCTATACGAATGGTGGAAATCAAGCCATGATGTTCAAATCGAACGGAGGAAACGGAACAGTAGATAACGTGCTCTTGGAGAACTTCAGTGTGTCCCTTCCTTCTATCTTGTCGTTTTTCTATTGGGCTCCTCACAAGCTTGCCGAATTCCTGCACAGGTTCTACCGGAACTGCCTACGGCCTCGACGTCAACCAGTACTGGTCCAGTATGACCGCTGTCGACGGCGATGGTGTCAAGCTCACGAACATCGAGTTCAAGAACTGGAACGGAGATGTCGTCAACGGAGTCAACAGGCCCCCAGTGCAATTTATCTGTGCCGATGGGGCTCCATGCGTTAACAGTACGTCTACAGTCCCGCTGCCCCTCGCGCCACTCCTTCCCATGCATATGTATTTTTCAATAGTGACCCTCACCGACGTCAACATGTGGTCTGAAACCGACAAGGCCATCTATAAGTGCGAATCGGCGTATGGAACCGGCGCCTGTCTCCAAGAAGTCGACTCTTCAATAACCTCATATGCAGCTAGTACGTCTTCGTACTCGCAGCCTACAGGATATACGAGCGTCGTGACTATGGATGGTGACTTGACCGCTGGGTTCACTTCTACGGCTTCGATCCCTGTTCCGTCAGTAACATATCCACTCAGTGGTTCTCGGCGAGAAACACGTTACTGACAAAGTGTGCTGTAGGACGATTCCATCTACCTTCTACCCTGGCCTTGCCCAGATCACCCCTCTCGCCAAGAACCTCGCCTCTGCTTCCGCTGCCGTGTCCGTTTCCGGATCAGCAAACTCTGTCGCGAACCTTGCCATCTCCTCTTCTGCTGCTGTCTCGTCCTCAGCCGTTATGAGTGCGTCCGCGTCAACGATCACATCGGCCGTAGCTTCATCGTCGAAGACCTCTTCTGTGGTAGCAGCCAGCTCCACGTCCAAGGCAGTTTCTGTGGTTGTTAGCTCGACCTCGACCTCGACCTCGTCCGCTGTTGTTTCCTCCTCGTGGGCCTCCCTCTTCTACTCTGCGTAGTATCATTACTGACACGTTGATATAATAGGTCTGTAACTGCTTCTGGTCAAGTCGTTAATGCTGGCTGTGCGCAACCCGAGAGCACTCCTTTCGCCAAGAGTCAGGAGTGGCGCGGGCATTTCAGGCGTGGGTTTGAGTCCAGGGCGTTATAGGTGTCTCGCTCGTATTACTACTGTGTCATTACGATCATGTATCCCAGTAGTTCCTCGGGATCTCTTTTCGTTCTTGCCTTTGGGCTATTATTGCATTTGCTGTGCATGTTATTTAATGGATTTGAGGACCAACTTTGCCCCATATAACGCGACCCGTGCTACTGATTATGTTCCTGGTCGAGTGCCAAACACAACATAACGCTTGAGACAGCGCCGAGCCGCCGCCACAGGGGCATAGATGTGGCGAAGGCGTGGGTACAGAGCGTTCATCCGGAGCGTCAGCGACGCTGACGTCGAGGCCGTAACCTCCCTTTCAACGTTATCGACACGTCGACGTCGTTCGACCCCCTTTCTCAACGACTAAAACGATGAGCTCGAAGGGCGCGACGACGACAGCGCGCTGGGGTCCTTTCAAGTCCTTGCTCGTTCTCGCTCCTCTGCTCATCGGCGCCCCCACATTTACGGTATATCAACATTATGGCGCGTATCTACCTGTCTTTCTTCAAGAATACGTGTCCTTACATTTAGTATATGCTCAGCTCTTCCGAATCCTATCACAGAACTGTATGCCCAACTTATCCCATTGCATATTTAAACCAATACTGACGCGTCGCGTCATGTTGGTTCGCGTAGTATCAATCCACAAACCAACCTCCCTCAACTCTCTGAAGCTCAAATCCTTTCTTATTCAAAACTGCTCTCCGAAGATATCGGTTATCGAACTGTGGGGACGATAGAGCATGCTCTGGCAGACGAATGGCTGACGAAGAAGGCGCATGAGATCAAAAACGAGTGTGAGGAGATCGTGAATCGGAGTAAAGAGAACGGGAAGGAAAGAAAGTTGGAGTGCGAGGTATGGAGGCAGCAAGGTAGCGGAAGTCATCGGTGCGTTATTTCCCTCGGTACTTGGAGAAGGATGATAGAGCGTGATTGTTTTGATGGCCGTAGGTTCGACATGATGGGTAAACGACTATACAAAACCTACGTAGACCTCACGAACATAATCATCCGCGTCTCGAACGGTACTCCCGAAGGCAAAGAACATGCGGTTCTTGTCAATGCACATCTTGACAGTACGCTCCCGAGCCCTGGTGCTGCAGACGATGCGTTGTCTGTTGCGGTTATGCTGGAGTGTATACGGGTGTTGACAAACACACCGACTTGGGAGCCAGTTCACTCAATCATATTCTGTGAGTGCTTCTGTCGAGTCCTTGGTCACAAACGGTGCCACCTGCAGTACGTGCCTGTCGATGTCATGGCCTCGGTTACACCTCGCCGGAAGAGGGTGCCTGTATCGCATATGAGCGTTGTGGCGTACTCTCCAAGCCGCCACATAGTCTTCACGATTTGAAGCACGTCTTATACCTACTGACTTTTGTGAATGGACAACAGTGTTCAATCATGCTGAAGAATCGCTCCAGGATGCTTCTCAGCTCTTCTCTACTCAACACCCGATTCGTGACAGGTACGTCACTTTGACCGTCCTTGTGGCCCAATTTGACTCATAAGGAAACTTTCAGCGTTCGGGCTTTTATCAATCTCGAAGGTTTGTTTTACATGTATGACATTTCTTCGCCATCTGATGCATGCTTTTTGTTTCTGTTAGCGGCTGGCACTGTCGGTCCTGAACTTCTGTTCCAGGCTACTTCAGAGCAGATGATCGAGGCTTACTCGAGGGTTCCTAGGTTCGACTTTCAATCTTGTGAGATACGCTTTAGGACTGACCTTGTCTTTGTAGACCATTCGGTACTGTTGTTGCCAACGAGGTCTTCAGCTCCGGTGTCTTACTATCCGAGTGCGTCGCTATCATCTCCTGCAAGACGTAGCGCATCTAGCACTAATACCGCGTAGTACTGACTTTCGACAGTTCGAGCTGTACCTGAACGTTACTGGTCTTGACGTGAGTATCACACCGGACATTTATAAACAATCTTCGTGACTTACTTCCCAATTAGATGGCCGTTGTCGGCAACAGCTACATGTATCACACACGCAAGGACCTGGTAGAGAACATCCAACCGGGTGTGGCTCAGGTATGTCTCTGTGACACAGCGTTTCTCGAAAACCCGTATTCACCCATGTTGAAAATAGCACATGGCCGATAACGTACATGCCCTCCTTCTCTATCTCTCTTCATCAGAGTCTCCCCTGCCGGCCCTCGACTTCGGCTACACCCGCCCCTCCACAGTATTTTTCTCCCACCTCGGCTACTTCTTCAAATACTCTTATTCCACCGCTCGAATCCTGTACTCCATCTTCTTAGTCGCATCCCTCGTTCTCGTTGCATTCACATGGCAAAACCCAGCTCCAGCGCTGAAGAGTAGTGGAAGAAGGGGCGGTTGGATCAAGGAGAATCTGAAGGCTACCGGTGCAGCTGGGGTCACGTTTATTGGGGCTTTGATTGGTGTGAATTTGGTGGCGGCGGTGATGCAGTACGCGCTTGGCAGGAATATGAGTTGGTACGCGGTTGAGTTGTCAGCGCTGGCTTTGTATGGACCTGCTGCTCTTGCTGGTACGTCTTCCGCCGTCTGCATTTTTCTAACCCCTCGCTGGTCTCCGTACTCACTATAAGTTTGGTACCTGTCTGTCCAGGTGCTTTCTCCACCCAGCTTCTTGTCGCCCGTCTGCCCGAACGTACGATGTTCAGCGGCTTGTTACTCTCTCTGGCCTTTTCGACGGTCTTCCTCCAGTTTATCGGCATCGGATCCGCAGCGATATTCTTCCTCTCTGCAGCTCCTATCTTCGTCTCTATCCTCCTTGATAGTTTGTCCACCGGCGGCAAGGGTCCCATGTCACTCTGGGCTTATGCATTGGGACAAATCTCGCCCTTATTGACCGGAACTCAAGTTATCTGCACTGTTTTCGACGTTTTCGTCCCTCTCGTAAGTACTACTTCTAAACCCTTCCCACTTTCTTCTCGTCTTCTACACCCTACATATTAAATTTCCTTTGTGATGTAACCAGACAGGTCGCACAGGTCGGGAGGCCCCCGCCGAACACATCATCGCCTCCCTTGTGAGCATCACTGGCTCCTACACCCTTCCGCTCGTCCTTCCGTTCTCGCATCGCTATGGGCCCAGCGTCCTGAAGAGATTCGTGGTGATTCTGAGTGCGATCACGCTGGTCATGGTGGCGGTCTTTGCGGCTAGGGAGCCATTCGATGAATTGCATCAGAAGAGGCTGTTCGTGCTTAGTTCTGAGAATGTAAGGCTCTACCTACCATATCTGCATATCTGTTGTTCCCACTGTGTACTGACGAGAGTGCAATCTGCATAGGTCACAACTGGCGAACGACACCTGCATATCGGAGCGGCGGATGGTGCTCCTGGCCTTGAAGCTCTGGTCGAAGGTATCACAGCCGAATTTGGAGCTGTAGGTTCGAGTGCAGTGCAGGAGAAAATGGACGACTGGAATGGTGATTGGGATATTCTGTATCCTTTCTCTGCTGTAAGCCTTTCCTCTCGCTCCGAAAGTTTTAGTTGGGCTCAATAATGACCCGTTCAACCACAGTTCATGTCTCCTTACAAGGTCGAATTACCACCCGTTAAGGACTATGCTTCGCCATATGTGGTCGGAGGGAGCATGCCCTTTGTGATCGAGGCGATCAACGACGTTATAGATGAAGGGAAGCAGACGAGGAGCTTGACGCTGAGGGTCAGACACCCGGGCGTTATCTGGACCGGTACGCTTGCTTGCTGGCCTTAGTTGCCTTGCTGACTCGTCCTTTCGTCAGTTATTGCGTTCGACGCCCACGTCCTCTGGTGGACACTCGACGACTCTCCGCCGGATGAGTACGCCCGCCACCATATCAAGGAAGGATCGTTCTACGGCGTCGATACCTGGACCATTGACCTTGTCATTCGCATTCCCTCACCTGGCATTGTTGCATCCACCCTCGACTCGGACAAGGTCCCATCTACGAAGGAACGCGCGCAGCTAAAGGTGAACTTTATGGGCGTACAAGAGACAGCCATGTGGCCCGGCAAGAGTCATCGAACCCCTGATACATCCAGCAGCGGGGGCCATAGTCAGACGAGCAGTGACCTGTACGTAGCTGAGCTGCAAAAGAAGCGGGAAGATGCGGCGTTGCCGTATGGACCTGCGATGCAGCTCTTCGAGAAGTTGGATGGGTGGTTGGAGGAGAGGACGGGCGGAAAGGTGGATGGGATGTTGGTGGGAAGTGTTGGAGGCATTGTCGTTATCTAAACTCACGAGAATATGAATGTTTTTGTTGAAGGGGGATGTTTGTGGACCCAATAATGTCTGGAGATGGGGGCTCTGTATCCAATCCACAATCTACCAGTACAGGCCGACTAGCTCAGCTGGTTAGAGCGTCGTGCTAATAACGCGAAGGTCTTGGGTTCGATCCCCACGTTGGCCATTAACTGTGACTGTCTTTTTCAAGTCCCGCGAGACACCTCTAGCAATTTTGGTCTAAGTAGCAGATTGAGAACTGCCTTCGTGGACGATTTTTATTCATTGTGAAACATATCCAAATACTGTGTTCATCCGCACTTTCATTTCATTGCACAGTGGCTACAACACGGAGGTACACATATGTAATCTCTAGTCCAATACGAGAAGGCTTGGTCTGATCAGGCTCTTATACACCCGTCCAGTCCCCCAAAGCAGCACTGGCCAGAGAAACGATTAACAATCATTCCAGCGCAACTGAAAAATCGAAGACTCACAGTCCAACAGTCATCCCCTCGAAGGTAGCCCTATACATTCCAATCTTTACGCTGGAAGTCAATGCATCAGCAGCCATCGCCATCATCGACCGATGAAACCACAGCGTAAAGGAACTCACTACGTCCCATCCTTCCCCATATCACCGCTCGCAGAAAAGGCTATCATCGTGCTCCCAGTAGTCTGATCCTTCACCGTGTAGCTCATCTTCCCGTTCGGTCCATACGTTATCGACATCGAATGAAGTGTGACGCGATCCACGAAATCTTCGAGGGCGATGCCGGGGCACCCTGCGGAAGGACAGCCGTGGCTTCCCGTGATGTCTACGATTTGGACTTTGTCTTTTATCGCGTCGAGGGTTATGACGGGGCCGCTGTCTCCGATAGAGAATATTTGCATAGTGTGGAAGAAATGAGAGGAAGTGCCTGTACAGAATGGTCGACATAGTTATGCAATGGGAGAGGGTGAGTTCGCCCGAATAAACACACCTGTCTGGGAAGACAAGTAGTACTTCCAGGTGAAGGAGTGCGAAGTTCCGTCTAAGAGGAGTAAGTCCAGATAGGTCAGTCTTCATTCCAATGTTGAATCACACTTAGGGATAGCGGAAGTTAGTCATTCGCACCAGCAGCATGAGCGGTCAAGAATTCTATCCTTTGCCGGGGAGTGGATGGATTAGGATCCAGTTCAGAGTTAGGATCGTCTGTGAGGAGTAGGCTGTAACAATCGTTGATTGCAATGTTGTTACATCCTTGAATAAGAATGCCTATAGAGAGAATGCGATGGGCGAGATAGTCAATGATTCTCCGCAACAGAGACGAAGATTAGAAGGACGGAACGTACCCGTAGATTGCCAGCTCAACCCGATCTCTGTTGTGGTCTGGTTGTACTCCAACGTCTTCCCGTCCGCCAATGTTACCTGCGCTCTCTTCGCTGACTCCGTACGAGACTCAATGACAGCGGGCCCCACAGCAAGTGCAAGGGGAAGAAAGACGAGTATGTCAACCCAGGGAGAGGATGAGAGTCTCATGCTTCACTGCACGTAGGTGTTTGATTTGGAGATGCGGTCAAGCTGTACTGCATATCAGAACCTTCTGAGACTTATATATGGAGAGACACGTATATGACTACAAGGGGAATGGTCCTCGTATCAGAAAAAGCATGATTTTCACTACGGCAGCACTGCATACAGGTACTCGAATCGAAACAATGGAAGAGACGCCGTGCGCTACTACCGGATGGTCTCAGCACGTTCGTTGACCTATTGAGTATAGCTTCCAGCTACATCTAACTAGAAGTTCATATGGTAAGTTTGGACGACAAAGAATTCAGTTGATGGATGGTCAACTGATGGTTAGAGCCGGACACGCGGTTCTTCATCCTGAGGCGTTTGTTTGCTCGTGTTATATTTGGAAGGTCCCGGCACTGCCAGCAGCGTTAAATCCCACCAAGGGTTGAACACTCTTCCTAGAACCACGACTCTTCTTGAGCTTGCTGCCAATCACCGTGCCGAAACCCTTTGCCATACATGAATGCCCCAAACCTGACGGGCACATGAATATTGGCCGTGATTCCGAGCTCTCCTAATTATTCCAAACGTCTACGATCCCACATCATAAATCGTAACATCTATCCCAGTCTCTACACCGGCTTCACGACGGCGAGCGTCCCAACTACATTCATCTTCGCTGACCTCTCTGGGCCCTTCAATATCAACATCGTCTAAATAAGGTGTCGGGACGTCTAAGCCCCCATAGCCCCACTGATCATGCGCTGTGTTCCATCGTCTGGTCCGCGTATTACTTCCGTCGCCGTCTCGGGTTCTGTCTGGAGTACGGTAGAGGCTTTCTAGGATGAGGTATAGACAGGTCGCAGCGTGGAGGATGAGAGCGAAAACCAGGAGGATGACGAGTATGATATATCCTAGGTGGCTGGGTTAGCTGGAGTACTCGGTCGGTCCAAGGATGAGTGATAGTATTATATTTACCTGGATCACTGCTGAACATTGAGTATGTTATAGTGAAGTATTATGACCTTTCCGTTTGCGATGCTGGTAGTAAACAGTGTGGTGCTCTTAGTGTGCGAGTGATGTACGAGTGTGATACATGGTGGGTTTGTGGTGGGTGGCGGCATGCATTCCGCACGTCTACGGTGCATTGAAGGCGCGCAATCATGGCTATTTTTGTTTGAATAGATATTAATTGACCACGCTAATATGTCTGTTCCCTGTGAACTCGGCCTGAAGCTATCTGTAGATTGTCAGTTTCGAGCACTATCAAGAAGCGTAGAAAGGGTATTGTTCATAGAGACGCGCACGGTGCTCATCCTCACAGGGCGTGGTGGCATGTATTGTGAGGATAGATCCGACACAGTATTCTCCGTACGTTGAAGCGATGAGACGTCATGTATCATTGGATTTCGTCAAGTAAGTAAAGCGCACGATGTGGCCCATCTGAGGGAAAGTGGCGGAAGACATGGCAACTGATAAGATAAGATCCAGACTCCTCGATCAGGCAGCCGTCGCACTCCTTCAACGCTGCAGCCATGCTTCAACATCACCTCCTCCAGGCATTTCCCATGTACTTCCATAACATCCAACGGTTGTTAGTGTAGGGCCTCATATACTCTCTTCTTACCTACTTCCGCAACCCCCAAATGGCTCCGTACTTCGAAACAGTGAAGGTGAGCCGCATCTTGAGCTTTCAACCGCAAGCGGGGGATGGTGGTTCACCGTCCTGCACCATACTGGTGTGCCCATCTCTTCGCCTTGTATTTGAATAATACTACCCGGTTCGATCCTATATCAACTTTTAGAGGAGAAAATTTGACGCAAAACATTTACCGCCCTAGTCATTCGCAGACGTACAGATAGTTGCAGATGGCGTTGACTCTGCATCATTCCTAGAAGCCTCGGATGGTCTTGTAAACATGTTTGGTACGTCTTTGACAATGCTCAAATATCTGTGGTGTTAGCTGACCCCGCACCTTTCATAGACTTGCTGGGAAGTGGGGTCTTTTCCTTCGTTCAGACAGATTTAAGGAATAATATCGCGGTCAGTCTAACTATCTCAGAACCATCCTCTACCGCAAGTGGCTCATACGGGTCATCTGAATTTGGTTCTAATAGGGCGTTCGTATGCGATACGACTCACATCAGCACTTGTCGCCAACACTGGAGAAGTTGGTAGAAGTTGAAGTCCAAGACGGACATAGGAACAGTACAGGATGTTTGGTTCGACTGGTTCGGTGCGTGTCGCTCTTCCATACTTTCTAAGAAAGTCTCCTGTCACATCCTCCCTCCCTTTTGATCATATATATATATTCCGTAACATGTATCACCTTTGTGTCGCACCTACTAGCTCAGCTTGACTAGACACCTTCATTTCACCCCCTGCGATGCTTCTACGTTCCATCTCGGCTGGATGCTAACAACAGTCTTTATTCTATACCTCTGAGCAGAGGACTTGCATTCACCTGCCAAGCCCTTCAGAATGTGCAGTCCGACCGATCCGCAGAACTTCACGTCTGCTTCAAGCGTGCGTACGATACTGTACTCAGGCACCACCACACCTTCGTCATCCGTTCCGTGGTTTCCGTGCGTCTCTCTCTCTCATCTTCCCTTGATCATTCCTTCTTTCCTTACTCTTCTATCTTCGTACTTCGTCTCTTCCTTCCGTCTCTACACTTATCTCACGTGTCCTCATACCGCTTATTTTGCGTTTCTTCTGGTCCTGTACAGGTCGCAATCCGCGCCGTCCCCCGCCGTAACGACTTCTACAGTCGCATCGCCCAAGGCGGCTCAGTCGATAAGCTCGACGAAGAGATGGCGAAATGGTTGACTGCGCTGGAGGCCATTGTCATTCGCATGTCGTCGTTTCTGAAAGGTGGAGGGTATGGGAACGTCTAGGCGTTTTGTGGTGAAGAGATGGAGTGGTACAGTGTAGAAGGTGTGTGGTACGCGGCGGTGCGAGATCGTGTTGACAGGCTTGTTGTTATCTGCGTTTCGGAAGGTGCGTGCCGCAGTTTGTGGTTGAGTGAGTATGAAGAGACGTCAGCTGATCGAATCGTGTTGACCTCAGACTATAATATTTTGCATGGCCGTCTTTGTGTATTCTTCGTTTCGACTCTGATTAATTTGCAAACCGACAATATATCCATGAGAGATATGGTGAGATCGTCTTCGAAACTTGAACAATCTGGGTTGGTGGGGGTTGCGACATGTTATGATGTTGCGGGCAAGTGGCGCGCCACACGAGCCGCCAGTTTTGCGACGTTACCACCCGGACATGGCCCCGCGCTGCAGTTGCAGCCTCCGCCACAGCAGCAGCAGCCGCATCAGTACGCGTATGTGCCGCCTGAGTTCATGGAACTGGGATTGACGGGCGGAAGTGCGAATGATGGGTCGAGGACGGGCAATGGCTGGGCGAGTTTCGTGCATGGGACTGGGCTTTTGGATGGGGGTGGGATTTAGAGCATGGCTGATGCGCTGAATTCTATTGTATGAGGGGGGGGTTGAAGAGTTGTTGGGTATCCACGCATCTTGATCTGCATGGGTTGTGGTTTTTCTTGTCAAGTCGTCCGTAATCATCTGACTTTGTATGTCTCAATAGTGTGCCATAGCGTCCTCTTTTCCTTTCTCTTTCTTGTCTCTTGATCTGCTCTCGCGTCGTCGTCGTCGTCGTCCAGCCTCGTCCGATTTTCGTTCCCTCCCACCCCGCTATTTGTATCTTCGCTTCCTCAATGCTTTGCATCTTCACTTACACTCGCGTTTCAGTAACTCAAATGGTGTATTTAACCCTAGGATACTCAGTGTTCTTGCTCGTAATACTCGTCTCGACGGCCCATCGCCGCTTCTTGAACTAGACTGAGTCCTTTCCTCGTCCGATCACGGACTGTGGACCCTCATTATGTAAATCCCTTCGTTCTGCGTTCTCCTCCCGCCAGGGTATTGCACTCATAATTTTGTGTTTCTTTTCCTTTGGCGATCTCATAGCCTGTCAGTGAGGTTACGTATAGCTCAGCTACCTTCTGAATATACTGCTGCGTGTAATCAGGTGGATGGCATCTTTCGTGATGATAACAAACAGTGGCCGTGAAGAACAAGAACCAAGCCCCAGGCTCTACAATCGGAGGAGGAGTTCCCCGTCTTCCGTCCTGACCAGGCTCTGGCACTTTCGTTTCTCCACTCAAATTCTGGCACAAGCAATGAGCACTCGTAAATCCAAAACCGGTGATTGATGGCACTCACCTCGAACCCATTCTCAAAACCTAAGCGCTGAAACAGGAACATCAGCCTCTAGTGCTCGGAGTCCCCCGGCTAGACTTGTGACTTTGGGAGGTCCAAGTGGCGCAGATCATCGTCGTTGAGGTGAATAATAAGTGTCAGCAGGCATGCGGGCGGAGCGTGGTCATGGCTAATATGGTGCGTAGAATGCGGATTGTGGCCGTTGCTCTGTTGAGTATGAGGCATGGGATAGGAGTAAGACGAGGGTGGCGCTTGCGGCGGCGTATGTTGGTGATGGGGGTGACCATAACTGGGGCCTGGAGCTTGCGGAATGTAAGATTGGTGGGCGTGCGGATGTGACCCTAGCAACGCGGGATAGCTCTCCCTGCGCTGAGGGTCGTATGATACGTGCCCGGACCGCGAAGACGGTGAGGGATCGAGTGGTCCAGGACCTCCGTGGGAAGTTGAAGCATATACCGAAGGACCTGACGGTGGATAGGGACGTCGGTCATCGGGAGTGTAAGGAGGCATCTGTTGCGCCTCTGAGCTCGCCAGCACCCATTCGCGCATTGGTTCCTGGGGATCGTGGCCATGACCGTTAAAAGATGGAGCGGGCCGTCCACCATACAAAACGAACGGGTCGGTCTGCGGAGGGGTGCGGGACGGAGCGTGGCCATGGTTATTGTGAGCGAACCCGAGCGAAGTCCTCTGCATCCCGCCGGCATCGACTGGCGGCATCACGCGATCGTCTTCCTGTATACCGACCATGGCGTGAGGATGATTTGAGCCTGGCGATGCCCCGTTTGCGGATCCCGAGCTCCCAGATCCGCCTCCAGAGGGCCGCAGGATCTTCTGCCGCCCAGCGAAGATCGAGAGCTCGTCCTCGATCTCTTCCTGCTTGATATCCCAGCCTGAGCCGTTGTCCGCTAACGAGGTCGGAGGCTCCGTCTGGGCTTGTATGAGCGCTCTATGTGCTTTCTCCCGCAGGCGAGAGAGGATGACCTTGAAGAACGAAGGGGGAGGATGGCAAGGCGAGCGATAGTAAGTACCGATACACTACTTGTAGAAAAATGAAGTGGGCGTACATGAGCTTTGGCAGCGCGCCGATTCAGTTGAGCGGCTTTAGAGAACAGGGTGACGGCCTCTTCCAGCTCGTTCATCGCGGAGGTAGCAAGATGCGACCTAGGCCCCCTCGTCACGATCACGCCGAATACGACCTACGCACCTCAGTCAGCTTCCACACGAAATCACCTCAGGGCGTAAAGAAAAAAAGGGGCATACCGCAGCGGAGAAAGCGTACGTCCACGTACTCCAAAACCTAGAGCACATAGCCGGATGGATCTCGAACTGCTCCTTCACGGACCGAAGAATAGACGATGCCGCACGGACGGTGGCGAGGAACGAAGGCGCATAGGGGCTCCGGATGGGATTGACCGGGTCCTCAATGAGTGCCTGTGCGAAGTACGTCCGATGGATGAACAGGAGAACTACCGGTCAAAAGGATCCCAAACCTCTTATTTCAGTATACTTTCACAACGAAGAAGAAACGAGAGGACGCGGGAACGATCTGGGCTGGGTTGAGTGGCGTGAAGTAGGCAACGAATGGACATACTCGTCTCCCTTGTATGGTTTAACACGAAATGCGTCATCGACGCACTCAGCGGTATACTCTTCGGATCCGCACCCGGTGGACCCTTGAGCATGGCCATCGCCTTTCCGGGAATCGCGAATTCACGAATCTTCCGATCGAGTTCGAGGATTTCGGAGTATTTTGGGCCTTGGGCGTTGAGTGTCCGTGTCGCGACCTCGGCGACACATTCGAGGGCGAAGCGGAAGCCCCAGGAGCCGACTGTATAATGGGTGGTGACGGATTGAGACCGGTCAGTAAATAGTGATAAGGCGACATGGACGAAGTAGAGGGGTGGTGCGTACAGCCGGGTTCGATGTCCCCATTGGGGTCCATTGTCATCTCTTCGTCCTGGGGGAACTGACAGTCGATGAAAGTACGAGAGAACGAAGGTGGTCGTCCAGTTGACAGACTCTATAACACAAAACGGACTAGTCAGCTACTCCGCGATAAAAAGAGGTAATAGCTGGCTATAACGTACATGCCAAGCGTCAGCAACGAACAGATCCCAGAAGAGCGTCCGGCGTAGCTGTACGACCTTCGGCGATGGTTCCCATCGTGCGCTATCTCGATCTATGAGGCGCACCGTCAGTCAAACCCATCTCGTGAGAATAAAGGCAAGCCAAAAACTCACGAAGGCCGATCTACAAAATAACTCGCATGAGAACGACTGGCAAGAAAGAAAGAAGAGACGAAAAAAAAATCCTCACCGTCTGCGACAAATGCGCCGCCAGGCCAATCAACGACCACGTCGTCTCCATACTCGACTCCCCCCCACTCGTCTCGCTCCCACTCATCGCATTATAAATACTCAACATATGCAACGCCTGAATCGTCACCAGTCCCGGCTTCTCCATCACCGGCTGCAAACACAGCGCGGCCTTCGCGAGCTGATTATAATGCGCGCCCTCCGCCTCACTGTTCGCCATCGTCAAATGTATATCCACGATCCTTCCAACCGCAAAGATGGACATCATCAGCGCGAGGTGGTGCGGCCCGTTGTAGTCGTCCTCGTCTGGATTGATGAGCCTGCGTTTGTAGATCGCGGGCAGCATTTCGTCCATCAGTTGACGCCGGGAGACGCCCCGGAAGAGCCAGGCGGCGTTTTCGAGGTAGACTTCGCAGATGGAGAGCGCGTGCTCCCAGGAGGGCAGGTGTCCGTAGATCATCGCGTAGACTTCGTGTGCGGGGCCCATGGGCGTGAAGGGGAAGGAGATCGAGAAGCGGGTGACTTCGGAGTGGAGGGGTGGGGATTTGGAGCCGCGGCTTGAATCTGTATTTGGAGAATCGAGGTGGTCCTCACTGTCGACCTGGTAGGGGTGGGGACAGGGTCAGAGTCAGCGAGGATGACGAGGAATGGGAGGCCTGCACTGACGAGTAGTAAACCTTCAGGGCCACCTGTCGGCCCAAAGAATCGTGAGACGCCGTGGTCCATGATCGACATGGTACCGAAAGCGTTCACGACGGCTTCTGTGGGCTCTTCTGCTTCCTCATCTTCTGCGGCTGGTGGTGGTTCGAGCTTCTCGTCTATGGAGAGGAGACCGTCACGGAGGAGTGGATGCTGTTCGCGCGAGTTACTGGCTTGGAGGACGGCAAGGGCATCCTCTAACTGTCGTATGCGATCGCCCATACGGGTGATACGTTTGTGGAGGTGTTCGGTGGCGGCGATGACGAATCTGGAGAGGTGTGTCAGTAAGGTGATACGTATAGTACCAACGGCTGAAAGATAACTAAAGAAGTTAGGGCCAGAGCTGAGGGCAGATTAACAGGGTCGTGGCAACACCCAATCTGAAAGTCGCGCTGAATATCAGACTGGGCTCTACGAGGCCGGAAACTGGAGCTCATGGCTGCTCATGGCTCTTTTACGTAGTCCAGCAAAGTGGATACCCAAATACTCAGCGTGAAGTTCTGGAGACGAGCTCAACAGCAAAATCATCCATCCGACAATGACCTTTATCGAGAACACCGTGTAAGGATGATGTTTCTCTTCCAACACCACTACCCGTCCAAGCGTCGGCAGCACGATCGTAGAAAGGAACAATTATCCGAAGAAAGAGCGGCATTGTGACTTGAACAGCCAGCCACTCCGCCACGCGCGCAGTTGGCCCACAATGACCGCGCTCAAAGATGTCGACATTGCGGCCAACGTCGAACGCAACCGCCATATAGAAGTCGCGACCCAGAATTGTTTGCCTGACCGTAATGAGTGACGGAGTAAAGACGTACCGAGTCCCTTGACCAGTGGCAAGGCTCCCTTTCCGACAGTCAGGACGAGCGGTAGGCACCAAAGTCGAACAAGTGCTCACCATTCGGACAAAGCGCAGAACATCCCCTCCTCTAATATTCCCAGTCGGCATCACCGTGATGAAGAAAATGATATAAGGACGGACCTGACAGGACTGACAAGGAATCTGCTTGTCGCATTTTATCTTGAGTCTGGTGGATGGGAGTTAGGAAGAACAACATGGACCGATGATCGCACACACGCACCTCCGACACTCGGCACAAGAAATCTCGCCTCTGTTTCTTTTCATCTCTATCTCGCGTGCGTAACTGCCGTCCGCCCGAATGCCATCACCGTCCCGCCGCTGGACTCTCCGTTTGTCCGGCTTCGAGGAGGACGATGAGGAGGAGGGGTCAGGAGGCATCGTTTGCTGCTGTCGTCGATGGTGGTTTGGATGGACAGAAGGATGGGCGTCAATGTCTGGCTGAAGGAACATGGGGTAGGTTACATCGTTCGAGCAAGCCCTCCGTTGTTATAATCCCGCTTTGAGCAACGCCATGGGAATCTCTGGCGGCACCCAATCCAAACATGGCCGCTTCGCCACCACCGGCTATTTCGCCCCTTATTCCGGCCCCTTCCCCCCGCCCCCGCTATTGTCCTCCCCATTCACTCCCTCTTTTTTCTCTGCATTTCCCACCAAAAATACTGCATGCTCGCCGACCGCCATGTCTCCTCTATACCCCAAATCCCTATTTTTCTGAGACATTCTGCGTCGCATCCGGCCGGTTCATCAGTTGACGAGCGTCGTCAGGCTCTCACACAAGGTTCTATCATAGGACTGCGCCTACCGTCTCCCATCTCTCTTATGTACACCCAGCTGACGACTCCTCAGGCTGATGCGGATGGCCAAAAAGCCTCGCACATGCTCGGGATCGTCCTACCGCACTCTCCTGAACGTCACCACCGACGTCGCCGCCAACGACAGCAGCCGTCGTGTATTCTGCAACAACGCATAAATAGGAAGGGAATGGTACATACCCGCCACTCGCCGTTCTCACAGCACCAACACGCTCTCGACACTATCGCCCGTGCCTCGTTCTACTCTTGGCCCATTCAATCTCTCTTTTTGCTTAACTCGACCTGTTGTTCACACCGCCCGTGCGAACGTGCAGCGCCGCCTATCGGGACCGAAGCCCTAGCTCCATCCGCGCTAATCTCCTTAGCTCATCCTCTCATGCGAAGCCCACCAACAGGAGACCGCCACCAGCGCCGTCATTCGCCCCTGCTAGCTTATTCCGGCCGTCTTTTTGTCTTGGAAGCTCGCTCGCCTATCTCCATCGTTTCATGCTCCTTTATTTTCTGATCCATCCTGTCAGACTTGGATGGACTCGAACGCATAGCTCGCGTACCTTCCCTCCACGCCGACTGCGCCTCCTGCTGTTTGTTTCTATGCACTCTTGTCGTCGGCGTCTTGCTCTCCGTGCTTGGTCGGCGTCACGTTGCCGTCGTTTCTGAGGCGTCGACGTTCTTCCCTGTCAGCGACAGCGGGCTCCGTTGCCAGCGCTCCGCGCCTTGCAATGACGGGCGACGCGACCTCATCACTCAGAGCTGCTGCTTTTTTTCATACTCAGCTACATGCTCACGCTGCCGTTTCTCGAGCTCCATATGTACGGGCGTCAGCCTGTGCAGGATCCCGCTGGAAACCGTAGCGCCTTCGTGGGTCATTGTGCTTGACCGGATGTGGATATGGATGATCGTCAAGCTGTGCGTTTGGGTTTCGCGCATCATATTAATATGGAGCTGCGACTCTCTGCGGTTTGCGAACTGCGATCTTGCTGCGATAATTCTCGTTCATAACGACACCGCTTCAGTCTTTGTTCCAACCACCGTCCCGTTCACCCGCCGTACTACATACTTCCCCGCTCGTTGAACACCCACCGAATCCGGCTCCCGCCCTCTACATACACGTTCTCACCCACACGCACGCATCACCATCACACCTTATAAATTTACTGGGATACCGTAAAAATCACCGAATCCAAATGACAAACCCCGCCCCGCGACAACGCCGCTGAGTCACCGGCTCCCACGTTGACAGTGCGACACTGGAACCTGGTAGCATCCATTCCTCCCGTCGCGCGTCAACCGGTCACTTTTCCATCTGAGGTCCATCAACTTTTCTTCTGGTCGTCCCGGTTTTCATTTCTCTAGGCTATATCTGGTTCTGGTCTGTTCCCGCACAGGTCAGCGCTCAGTGGGTTGTCGCTCTGATACTCGAGAGTCGAGGGGTAATCGGTGTCGTTAGAGCTTGCGCATCGAGGTCGTACTCCCCGGTCGTCCTCGTCGTTTTAATCTCAATATATACCGTATCATAACAGACAAATAAACTGGGAGACACGCGTTGTGTGTCACGGTCCTGCTGTTACAAGTCCATGTTTGCTTCACTCCTTACTCGTGTGCATATCTTGGCCACCGGGAAGCCCTCACGTCGTTTGTCTCATGTTGATTATAGTTCCGGACGGATTCTGTTGCACTTCAAGCTGGAAGGAATTGGGTCGTATACGTACGTTTCCTTTGTGATACGACCCTCTGTACCATCTGGAACGGGCCCAGAGATGACCCGCCCCCATGTATGCTCCGACCTCGACGCCCCACCTGTTATGTGCTCGTGCTTCTGTGCACTGTCTCCCATGTTGCACCACTCTCGGCTCCTCTCAATGGTTCTGTCGAGTCCTTGACGATTGGGAGATGTATGTAGGTCTGCACGCTTGTGCTTACTGCGATCGGGCCACAGTGAGTCTGTGTGGAGCGGCGTCTCGACTCAGACTCTTTGACTCCGGAACGAATCCGTTCGCGTCGATGCAAACATCGCGGAATGGGAGGAATATCAAGCAGGACCATGGACGATCAATATCAATAGAGACATCCCGCCGTCTTCGATGTTCAACACACGCTGTCCGAGTACATCAGGTCTTACAGTCTGGTGGTACTCAGTGACGATCACGAGGATAGCCAAGATTTGCAGCCTAGAACGAGAAAGCGGTGACGGTAGGCCCTCCGACAGAACATGAATCGTATGCTTCAGGCCTCAAGATCTACACTCCGGCACTGGCCTGCTTCTCTAGCCTAACAGCCTTCTTCGCATCTTGCACTGTGTGATTGTTGTCGTCTGCACCGACACTCTCGTCCCTACACATACATAGTTCATGGAACGCGACCAGTATCTCTGCGGCGTTACCGCAACACCGGAAGCGGTGGACCTAATCCCTATGGTAAGTATACGGCCTTTACTCTATACCGTTTTGCTGCAAATGAAGTCGCTTATATTGTACATCACCCACCTTTAGATTGTTCTGCCTAGCGGCGTAAGAGAGTCCTTGTATGTTCTATGTTTTGGGCGCTGACGCTGACTCCTGCCAATGACAACCGTGTGTGATTCTAGTTCGAGTGGCTTGCTCTGTGCAAGGTGCTGAACGAATCAACAGTGGCTGGCGGTATTCAATACCTCGTAATCAACTATCACAGTACTGCAGGCGACAACGGCGGGAGCCGTCACTCTGAACACAACCATAACGTCGGTATGTACCGTATTGAAGGTGTTTCATGCTTTATGTCGTATCCGTTCTCATTTGTTTCTTTTTCTGTTGGATGAATCAGGTTACGTTTAACTTGGCGGCACTGGAGACGCCTGTGCTTTTGGAACGGAATACTTCAGATCTCTAGTTGAATGTCTGGTGAGAAACCTCTGGATGTTTTTGCTTGCTGATAAATACGACAGAACCCATGCTGCTTGCATCCGGCGGTACTTGCACAAGGGTTGCCGGTCTACTACTCGACTGGCTTCCTCTTCTCACGGGCGATTGCCGTCGCATCTTCTGAATCTAATGAAATAACCGAATAGCTGCCCTCTGCGACACATTACGAACCGCATCGCCTCCCACGTCTCACGTCCAATGTTCATCTTCTTGTCCTCGATCCTTTTATCTTTTCCATTTCGGTCCTCTGGCCTAAGTTAGCCTGAGTCCTCTTCCCGCTCACCTCTGGTTCGTTCCCGCCAACCTTCGCATCTGATACAAACTCATCTTGTACTTACGCCCAAGTGCCTCTCGGTAGTTCCCACGTATCAACATCACCCACCAGCCGGATGCTCCTAAGTCAAGAGGACAGTGCTCAATAAGCCGACAGCCGCGCGTCTTGCTTTCTTAGCACGGCAAGGCTCCTTCACACTCCGTGTTCACTGCCCGTATATGCTGGGAACATCCCTTGGTCTGTTGATCGTTCATTTTCCCACAGAACGGACTCTATCCCGCATACCTGATCCATGACCACATCGAACTACGCAGTAAAGTACGTGACTCATCAGTGGAAGAGTGGGTCAGAGTGGGCCGGGCGGTCTTCGTTCTTCCTTTCTTCCACGGTCTCTGTGCACGGAGGTACTCTGTGTACAATTGTATTGAGTCTGACTACGATGACTCTGCCTCTCTGTCTTCGGGGCCTTCGGCTCCGGTGGTCGAGGACGAGGTACGCAGTAACACACTGTTCAGTGAACCGGGCTTCGTCGTATCGTTCCTGACCGCCGGTTGTTTAACGTTTAACTCCAGAACTTCCTTGAGTTTTAAGCCTGGGAGTCTCCAGAGATCTAGCTACGGTTATACCGGCGGCGTTGAAAAGCCCTGTCTCAATACTGTATTTCAGGACGAAAAACTTGATCTTCCACCTATCCGGGCACTTGTCGATGAACACGGGGAAGTACGTCTTTTTGTTAACATCTGGACCATTGAAACACCCAAGTTATCATATCAGTCTTCTCTTTCTTGCACTCGCCCAACTCTGGGTTTCAAGATGATACTTATCCGAGGAAAATTCGGTTCATAATGCCATGTATTCCTCGAGCCCTGGGAGCATCTTGTCGTACGATACAGTCCTTAACTGTTCAGATTGAACGAGCCACGACGGTGGATACAGGTCCTGCCAGTGCCTTTCAGTCGGAGTTTCAAAACTTGAAGTTCAACTTGTTCCGACGGCCTGCTCTTTCCACGCTCTCCTCTCGATCTCTTCCTTGTGGGATTCGGTCAAGGTAATGCGGTCTTCATCGCGATGCTAAGAGCAATGGATGGTACCCCGCATAGTGGTTCTGTGTCGCCGTACTTACAGCCTCCCAAGACTACTGGTAACGACGATTACCGGTCACCTCCGAACTGGTGGTCTCGAATATCGAATGTCGAAATGGACACCTTCCATCGTTAGTGTCTCCGTCGCCATCGATATCACAGTAGTTTCCATCCTTCCTTCCTACCGTTGACAGGCCACGCTGTCAAGCGCCTCCAGCACACCGTTTTTGTCACTGTGAACTTGCCTGGACCACAGACGTTGACTTGAAACATCATCCGGCGTACATCAGCCTTGCGGCCTCTCGTTACGGCCACTTACAGTTCTGTTTCTCGAACTACTCTGTGTATGTATACAAACATGCGTAGTGGCGACCTGCCTATGATCACCTGGAATGGGCTTGCTTTATCTAGAATGGGTATTGCGTGTGAACTTTACACATCTGTTCAAGACGCGGTGAGCACTGGCTTTTCCCGCACCAGGACACCGCCGTGTAATCTACTTTCATACCTAACCACTTTCGGTCAATCATCCTACAGTTTCCTATCTGGTGCGACCACCCAAAATCCGCATCTGCCCATCGTAGCCTCGACACCTCTCACATATCGGCTCCCGATCCCGCTCCCATCACACCTTGTTCAAAAAGTGAAGTCTTTATCCCTCTACGCGTCAAGTCACCGGCCTCCATGCCGATGTCCATTATTCCCGTCACCTGTCGTTTTTCCATCTTGTTCATCTTTACCTCGCTTGGAGAATCCCATTTATTTTTGGTTGATTCCTGTTTCGGTAGTGGTGGCTCGCCAGTTCCAACGACCATCTCAAATAAGTGATTATCAGATATTGCGACGACAACAAGGCGGAGTCGTATAATTGTGGGAAATAGTTACAGTTACGGTTGAAATCTGAAGGAAACATCCATGAATACCAATAATAAATTATGCCTACACCTGGTGGTGGGATTGTAAGACAGCCTCTATATGACCTGGAGACCGTGACGAGGACGATCACAGTCTAGAAGGAGGGCCGATTGTTTTCGTCGGTCTACGAATCCGACTAAAATCATCCTGTGAGCATGTTGAAACCAGATTCATCGGGCAAGAGAACTCACCTGGAAACCATACTCAAACCCAAGGTGCCAGAACACGGACTTCAGAGCATCTAAATCACCCAACGCAGCGTAGTCTTGTTCCTATTCTTCATTCGTTATCCCTTTCCGTATAATCGCGCTGCCGAAATCGAGAATGACAGGCCTGTATGCGTTATAGCCCACCTGAGCTAAAGGTATGTTCTGGTCGTGAAGATCGGTATGGGCGACCCCTTTGTGCTTGAATGCGAGAAGAATGTCACGAAGCGAAGAGTAGACATCGCGTGTTATATGACTGACATCGTGATGGAAGGACGCCAATGGTTTTCCAGGAAGATATTCGAGTAGTAGAATAGGGAGTTGGACAGCGCGTTCGCCAGGAGGCTTGCATAGCGTCCCGGAGGCGTAACATCGAGGGATGAGGCTGCCTTGAAAGGAGCTGAGGATAGAGTAGACGCATTTTTCGGTGTTGAACGCATCGAGCATGACATTCTGATAGAATAGCTCCCATTCGAGCGGGTCTCCCGTGAAGACATGATGCGGGTGTATCAGTTCTCCATCTGGGTGTCGCTTAGCGGGCATTTGGCTAGCGTTCGCCTCAAGCTCTAAGCTCCACGGGTGATCGTCTTCGACGCGATGCTTCAAAAAGCGTGAGTCGAAAATCTTCATGATGCAGATGGGAGAAGGTGGTAAGCCAAGTCGTCGTGAATCCTCGGCGGAAGCCTTGACGGTGAAGACCTGGCTCGTGGTCGAAGATAAGTGTTGGATGACAGGGACGGTGATAGGTCCTACGTCGTCGATGTCCAGTGTGAGGGATTTTGAAGCGCTGTAGTATTCGACGTCGTGAAGAGTCTGCAAGATAGGGGACGTCGTATCGGTAATATGTACATGCGTCTAACATGACGGGCTCGGAGTTCTTGTGAAGGCGTTGGAATGTTGACCGTAATCGACAAATATAAACGCAAAAAGGAAAACCTGGTCACCACCAAGATAATTCGTCAGAGTTATATTGTCCAGGTAGGAGAGGGGAAGAGAATAACCAAAGAATAAGTGCACCGCAGCGCACAGAGTAATTCACTGCCAGCTTCGAAGTTCGAACGAGAGAAATTGTCTGCCAGTGGTCTCTCAAGCTCAGCAGATGACAAAGCGGCCAAGAGACTATTATGGTCGCGAAAATGACACGACTGGTAGATGCTAGAATAAAAACGACAACAGAAGAGCGACGAAGTCCCAGACGACTGACTCGGATGCGGACGTCACAAATTTGGCGCGGACGGCTTTATTGCGGAGAAACCCGGAACCAGTGCCACTGTGGCACCCCGCTGTCTCGGGCACGGCTGTTTACCCTTGGTTTATCCCGCGATTATTCTTGCTACTTCGTCACCCCAGTTCTCGAGAATAGTACTGACTTGTTGCAGGGCAGATGGGTATATGGATTGAAACACACCGCTACATCACATGGCAGGACTCAAAGGCACAAAAAACGAACTCAAAACATCACACACAGCATTCCTTCAATGTGCAACCACCCGTATCGCGTTCACTGCGGGCAGAGCACATAGAACTCAAGACATCAGCCGCACGTCTATAGTCACTTGCACACGCCCTCACGTCCATACAGGATCATATCATCTTCGACCGCCGACCTCCCTCTCTAACATCTCCGTCGCCTGCCTCAACTCAACCCCCGCATCCGAAGCCCAAGCCCACTCAAAATTTTTGCGTATCCTCTCCCCCAACTCCGTCAAACCCGCTCCATCCCCCGTATCATGATACCCATTCAACGCGAAATCCAAGCCGTTCCTCCGTGACCGTTCGGCGATCTTGTTCGCGAATGGGACGCGGACGCGGGAGTAGATTGAGAGCACTTGGGGGAGGGTGCGGAGCGTCGTTAGGGGGTGGGAGAGAAGGGAGGAGAGAATGAAAGCGTCCTATTGTTGTTTCGTGAGCAGGGGATGGACCGAGATGATATGACGTACAGCGGAGATGAGATGTGTCGGGACAGCAAATGAAGGGGGTGAGTAGCATGATTCGAACATGTGTACATACCTCTATGGCCTGACCCGCTCCTGCGCCCTGAAAGGGTGTCATTGCGTGCGCCTGAAGAGTAAGTGGTATCAGTGGGAATGTTCCATCGCGGAGGCTGTAGTGCATGAGGTGGCGCTTTGACGAAATGATGACCTACCGCATCCCCAAGCAGGACGACTCTGCCGTGTGAAAAGGTGTTGAGAGGCTTCATGACATTTACAGCCCATCGATTTACTGTCAGACCGTCTAAGCACTAAGATAATTCAGTCAATCGATTATCACGAGGACACAGAGGCTACGGAGATGATTGGACGAAAAGGGATGAAGACGTACGCTGGCGATTTGCTGGACGTCAAGCTCCCAATTGCTGAACGATCTGGACAACGCACGCGAGTCTACTGTCGAGATCCATGGGTCTGTGTATAGCGAGCCTTCTCTTGAGTAATCCGCTTCGAATGCGACGAAGTTGATGTAGCGTCCATGAGATATTGGATAGGCCATGATGTGCTGTAAATTCAAGGCGCCACCATTAGATAACATGGCCATCAAATGAGCCGGTCCGATATATGAAAGGAAACTCACTCTATTTCTTCCTAGAAACTACGCAAAGACAAAGAGGTCAGCGAAGGTTTACACATACCAAGACGGAAAGCCGATGACCGACCTGTGTAGGAACGGAAAGTGCTCGATTCTGGGGCGCTATTTGTCGGAGTTTATCTGCTGGGATAAGCGTGCGATGAACTAACACCCCACTGAACCTCGGTTCGACTCGATCCCGAAGGTCAGCGGCTTCGTTGAGCTGGCCTCTTTGTTCTAATTGCTGAGCCTGTTCGTTGAGCATTGTTCGACGGACGACGGACTTGATCCCGTCGGCGCCGATGACGAGGTCGCATGTGGCGGTTGAACCGTCCTGGAAGACGAGCTGTATTGGGGCACTTGCATGAGGGGGTTGGACGTAGTGGTGAAGACGCTTGGAGTTGAAGGTTTTGCAGCGAGAGGAGAGTCGTTGGAGAAGAACGCTGTGGAACTCGGCTCGATGAAATGTCAGAAGCCCGCCTGGAACACGAAGATGTAGACGGTCAGCGTCGCTCGATGGTTGAGAGAATCGTCAGAGAACACACCTCGAGAGTGAAGGTTGCTGAAGCTTTGGCCTTCCGGTTGGTCGGCCTTACGGTACTGTAGCGTCGGGACTGTAAGGTTTCGCCGATGTCAAGAGGGCTCTATAATTGTGAGGAATAATCGTACCAACGTCGTCGCTAGGACGACGATCAAGGAGCTGTAAGAGATCGTGCTCCAAGCCTATGGTTTTTAAGATCTGCCATGTTCGTCGCCAAACGCCAATGCCGGCGCCAACTTCGCTGAACTTGGTGGCAGCCTCGTACACGTCGACCTGAATGTCGGGAGAACGGGAGAGGGCGTATGCCAGAGTCAACCCGCCTACACCTCCACCGCTAAAGTCCGTTCAACCAACGACTATGTTAGCCGCCGAAATGATCACAACGATCGTGTAGAGTCACTTACCATATCGCGACACGGAATTTACTTGTTCTCGAACTAGTGGCCATGTTCCTCTGTTTGTTGCTGCAATGGCCGGGGTGGGTTGATGCTCGATGGTAACGTCAGTGGGTAGAAGAGGGCCCGAGTGCGTTTGTCGTCTCATGCTCGTCACATCTGTCGAGCTACATATATACGATTGACGTCCCACCAACAACAAGGGTCGATGTGAAGAACTGCCGCGACCATATGCAGAGCCCAACCGACGGCACGAGAATCCGTTTAGGACCGGACGGTCGAAAAGGATAGCACGATGAAATCGGACACCGAACGTTTGCCAATCATCTGGAAAACGTTAATTTTGCAGAAAATTGATGGGTGCGTGTCGACGCATGTATATAATTCGACAGAGGAGGAAATGCCGCTACAAATAGAGGGACCACAAGGGCAAAGTGAGATAAGATAGGTCAGGAAGGACCCGACTACGATCGCCCGAGGAGCGAAGGAAGCGGACAATGTTCGATGCTGCTCGTCCGAGAACGGAAGAAACACGTGCCGGAAAATGCCAACGCCTCCAAGACGATATACATGAACGTGGCGAACTCCCTCGAGGCAGATCGGAATAGGCACTCACGTATGCATTTTTATGCAAAGTCCGATCGATGCGAACTTTCGTCATTTTCGTTTTGCGCAAGAAGGGGCAAGACAATTGATTCTGAAGGCTTTCGACGGGTTTCCCGCACGCAGCCGTCGCGCGCCGCGTGGAGATTAGCAGGGGCAAGAGATTCTCACGGCGTTTTGTTGGAGGAGGGAAGCCGTATCAAATACTAGTTGACGTAGATGTAGGTTACGACGACAGCGAACCCGACAAGCTTTAGCGCTGGCGACGAGATCAGGGTAGAAGTCCGTCGTTGACTCGCCTCAATGATAAAAACGCCGAAAACCTTCTCCGGCCTTCAGTCGTGCAAATCACTGTCGTATTCTGCACGGAAGCAGCGGCGTGGACTCCGAAATAAACAAAAAATAACAGACAGTGTTGCCTGCCTCTCTCGATGTGCAGAGTGGACACGGCAGTCCCGCGATGACCATGTCACAGTTACTAGCAAGGTTGATCATCACCAATTTCGAGCGGGATTGGGGATGTGGCCAAGCATAATATCTATCAGCGTCATTTCTCCTTACCGCATCAGGGCAACAGTCATTCATGCGATGCGGAGCTGAGCATAAAACTCCGTCGTTCAAATTCTTGTCTTCCGAGCGATACAACAATTCGTGATCGCCGATTCAATTCAATAGGCACGATGTCTGGATGACGTCGGCATTCAATATTCAATCCGCGAGCGAGTTATGGGTGCCTCTGGCACTTACCTGGTGCAGATGCATGCAATGCACTGGACAGTCATGAGCCATTCGAAGCATACCTATCAAAATGCCCATCGGTAGTTTGCATGACAGCATTGACAAGATTTGACGGACTCACCGTGATATAACGAAGACGTAGGTAGTTCCCCATCCATCGAGTCAATGTACCTGGAGTCACGCTTGTCCCCGCCACAATTACTGACAGTAGTTCGGAGTTACAGGATGCCGGGTCCGTTGACCTCAAACATCAAGAATGCGAACTCCGATGCCTGGTTCAGTAGTCGTCCTCTTTTTTGTTCAGTGTGAACAAAGATGGCCGACCGAACAAAGGACACTAGATGGGTCATCTTCAGACGTATCCGTTCTTTTCGTGGAATCCGTCAATATATGTGGGATCCACCAGGAAGATTCTTTCGATAGCTGGGAGAAGAGCTGAGATCGGCGTCAAGATAGACGAGTACGGCAGCAGACTCACGAGAATAATAATCCCTAAGATAGTGTATTAGAGAGACAATCAGTATTCTCCTTCCGTAAACTGACTATAAAAATGGACAAGTCTTTCTGTCTTGCTGACCGGGCGTGTATGTCCAGAACCTCTACCCGCACTGTGTCTTGAGCCCTTGAATAAGTCGGCGAACTAGTGTTCCTACAAGCAAAGTGCCTTCGTACGTTTGTTGATCTACCATATCAAGATCTTGTGAGAACGCTGAACGTGAGAATGAGAAGCCCATATGTAACGTACCATACAGGCCCCGGGCATAGGTTGAGGTTGACCCTGGTGGTGCTTTGAAGAATTCCGATGCTGCCATATGCTATCAGAAGCGAAATTGAGGAGACATGATATGTCTACACAAGGTAGAAGCAAAGTGGGAGTCGCACCTGGACACAAGTACGAGAACAGACAGGCTCAAACTTCGCCAGGCTTTCGCTGTCAAAAGGTAGTGGTTCGAGAACGCCGCAACGATGTAAGTGCCGTAAAGACGAACAGGGCTCACTCAAAGAACGTCTGTAGCTCACCTGATCAGTATAAATTACCACGATGGGTATTTGCTGCCCTTTCCTATCAAACACCTCAGGGCATAAAACAGGACGTCCGTTTCTTTCGTACGAACAAGAAGCCAAATCTAATGAAGTCTTCTTTCCGAGGATAACATTAAAACTGCGGACACCGGTGACCACGAGGACGCGCGCGAGGGCAACAACAGCTATATGTGAAGGGCGCATGACAAAGTCTTACTGCATCTGCCGTCAGTCAGTCTATTCAAGTTATGCTCAAGTTAATATTGTCGTCCATCTCGAAAGATGAGTGGTACTTGCGAGTGTTTACGCCGTCCAAGTTCCGTTTTGCGAGAGCTTCAACAAGCTCAAAGGTGTGCGTTTGTTTCGCAGAGTGGCGTGTGGAGATTCGGTGTTTTTGGGACCAAGAGTAGGACTGATGCGCTCAGTATAGCCCATGCAGATATGTGCATACCTGTGAACGAAATAATGCCGCTCAAGTGCCTTGTCTTCGGGTAGAGACTAAAGAGCTCGTCATACGAAGCATACGAAGCAACACGCAGCATACGGGTTGACCCACTCCATTCGAACGACCATATGCATGTTCCGACGGCCGTCGTAAGAGAATTTCCATCTAGATAAACTTCAGGCCCTTTGCACCCCGCCCAAGGTCCAAGTCCGTTGCGCTCGTGGGATGTCGAAGGCCGCCCAAGTCGTCATCGCCATTCATTCCTATGTACATATGAAAGAAGAGAGAAGAGGTCAGTCAAGCGACATCAGCATTATGAATACGGAGCTCAGCACTCTTTCAGAACTCACTCGTGCCCTCGTAAAATTAGTTCTTTACTCCGCTCAAACCACCCCGGTCGTAAAACCCGTCTGCAATCGGACTCAAGGCCCTCAACATGCATCAATTTCGTTGAAGTACCGGCTTGTGGACAAAGGCGCATAGCTTCCAACTCCACCGTATAACAAGATGATGGAGTGAGAAGAATTATACTGGGACTTGATGAATAGATTCGATATGAACGCCACGGTGCCACACACTATATCGTGAGGGATTATGGGACATCGACCCATCGCAAACGCAGCTAGAGAGCGGATACGAGAGCACACCGATTATGAACTTGTCGTATTCTTGGGCATGAAGGACCTTGACGGCCCATACTACTACGCTGTATTGGCCCCAAGATATAGAAAGTCCAACACTGTGACGACTCACCTCATGCTCTACGTCCACTAGTAAGTACGGGCGTTTTTATCTTGTCAGCAAAGTCGGACGTTCGGATTTTCTACAACGACAAGCATATCCCGTTCGTCTAGGGCGAGTTGCAGTGTTCAAACAAGGATGTGTCTCGACGAATCACGATCATTGTGGTTGAATTTGGTGGAGTCCTTTTTCAATCCCCGCCCGGCGACGGTTCGCATTTTGCCTCATCGGACTTTCAACTGTGGAAACGTGTCCGAGTCAGTGATGTGTGGCGAGCTTGGCTGCATCCACCCGCGAGCTTGCTCAGAATCCTCGACGTTGATACGATTTGTTCCGCATCGATTATGCCCACCATATATCCTTTCACTTTTACTGCTAGAAATTTCTCAACCAGCGAACAGACGGCAGGACTTCTTCGTCCAGAACTCGAGAAGGGCACCATCACACCTCACGATTTCCAAGCTGCCGTCGACTTCTATCCTGGAGGGCACCGAACATACTTCGTTTGTGCCTAACGCTTATTCTCAATGGGATAAAGGTGTAGCTGATTTGAACGGCCACTAGTTCAAAGGACTAGCCGCAGGCGGGGCAGGCTTTGTGGCGTATGACGTGCTCAGACCAGTTCGAGCGAAACCACGCAACATTCTCGCGTCCATCGCTACACTTGCCGGGGGAGGTCTTCTCGGCCTATACTTCTCCTTCCGCGCGCATCTCCAGTTCGTCAACTCTCTGCACGATCGAGCTGGGTTCTGGCGTGCACTCGAGAACGTGAATACTCTCGTCGGTGGGCCGCACATCAGACCGCTTGGTCTTCCCACCGGTGCTGAACGAGAGAGCACTCAGGAAGTGGGTAAGGAGGACATACGGTGGCTTGATTTCTTTCGTATCTCGAACGATCCTATGAGAAGTGGGAAGATCTTTGCCGCGCGAGGCGATCACAATACAGGTGAGAGTCACGAATCTTCTACATCATTTTTCAACTTCAATTACCTGACATTTGCTCTAGTACCGGCGCCGGATCCATCTAGCACTGAAACGTAAGGTACTTCTGTACGCTCACGCTCTTACGAATGACCAATTGGTGCGTGCGCAAACGCATTGAGCCGATATCTCCGCGGGTCCAAAGCTGTGGTCTTGAGTGTGAGTCAGAGACGTGAGAGATCCCTAGAAGCTCTAAGGTACTTGGACGAGAGCCGGGACCTTGCGACCCATTTCTTCCTGTGGTAGAACGATGCGTAAGCTCATTACTATTGGACCCTTTTGAAAGTGGTACCACGTCCTCGATGTCCTTGAGAACGATATGCTTTGAAGTATTCGCTTTTCCTCCCTCGACCGCGAGGGGAAGTCAAGGACAACTGAATACGACACTGTAATAACATCCTTTCTCTGCGTATTAAATGACTTGGCCAGTGTGGATGAATAGAAAGCAGATAGGTAAGTTCTCAAATATTCCATCGCGCGGAGATATAGAAAATTTGACCATCTCAGTGTTTTCACAAAGGAAACCACTCGGATACGATTATCGTGTAACACGAGCATTGCAACGGACTTCACAAGCTCTTCCGATTATAGAAAACTACTTCAGTACTCGGCTCATCAGTTACGACCATGGTGTGCGTTTGTCTACCTGTTCATTCCTCGTTCGCACCTGACTCATCTCGCTCGAATTCCCCCAGGTTTACGAGCAGCGCGTTCTTCCTAAGTTCCACGAAAACCCAACCGTCGGCCGTGATATCTTCTCGGAGGATGGTAAGACCCAGTGCTACCTACGTATGCTTCACTCATTCCCGCATAACCAGGTACAACTCTCGGCCAAAGAAAGTGCCTAGATCGTGGCCTTCATCATCGTATAATTCGGAACTCAGCCGGAGGTAAGAGATTTTTCGCTGCACATCTAGCTCATGAATGTGGTCATCCCTGGCAGTAAGTGCCTGAGGTAAGAAAAAACTATTAACAGAGGTAACGGAAATACATTCCCGACGTTACAGGATCCAAGAGAAGTACGGCTTCCATTATGCTACGTACTCTTTTCTTGTATGCGATGACTTTTCTCATCCGCATGTTCAATTAGACACGAGTCACTGTCGAGCTCAATCAGATTCATAGCCTCGCGATGCTGCTAGGTGAACGCCTTGGGCGGCGCTGACTGGATCCTTCTCTGGTCCCTGAACTTGATATCCTTCGACGCCCTCGGAACTCGGAACTCTCCTGGATGGAAACCTATGGAGAATTTTACCACCATTCGTACCGTCAATCCGTATAACTGACCAGGAAGAGTGGCGGTGGTATATTCCCAGTTGAGCCTCTCCTGTGATCACGACTGATGATCTCCATTCTGCCCATAGAAAACATATCGTGTACGTCGAATATAGTGGTCCCACAACAGGGAATACTGCATTTGTACGCCACATTTCATCCCTTTCCTAAACCAGACAGAGAATGCGCCGTCCGGTTACGACTTCATCAAACGGATGTCGGTAGATCATGTTCATCTTCGCGGTAACGCTGGGCACAATGACGAGTATGGAGATTTAGAGGACCTCGAAGAAGAAAAGCCCATTCATCGTCGTTCACAGAGCTTCATGTGCTCCGAACTGATCGGGGTGAAAAGGACGGCACTCTTTGACAGGTACCCCTTCTTGTCTCGAGATATCAGATTCGTTTCGCTCAAAATCAGCTCTCAAGTGAGACGGTTACCGGAAGACGAGGTGGATCCCTTTTATCTGCTCACGTCTCCCCCAATATACCAGCAATGAAGCACGGTCTACCTACTAGCATTTTTCTCCTCGTTTTTTCCTATCTACCATTCGTTCGGGGGGACCTTACCAATGTCACGATTGATGACACTTACGGTGACATTATAACTCACGAAAAGGCCGCATACACTCCTTCCGATGGCTGGGCACAAGGACCATGCGATGGTTGTCACGCTCAACCAAACCCTAATCTGACGTTCGGTGGGACATGGCATGATGCTACGCACAATCCAGAAGACTTGGATTCGAAAGCAATAAACCTGACCTTCAAAGGTCTGCCCATCATTTTTTTGAACATAACTTATTAGAACTCACGACTTACTAGGGACTGCCGTCTGGGTCTATTTTATCCTTGGGAATAACATCAATGCCGAGACCGCTTCGGACACTTACTTGTCGTTCTACCTCGACGATGAATATGTCGGCCAGTTCAGCCACAATAAAACATCAAGCCCGGACTACGATTACAACGTTACCGTGTACTCTAATACGAGTATTCCGGGTGCCCAGCATACACTCTCAATGGAGTCGGCGGGGAACACACCTGCATCTCTGATGTTATTTGACTGGGCAATGTACACGTGCGTCTTCATAAATATGTGTCACAAACTTCTAATATTCACTATGAATTCTGATCGAGCAATCATCCACAGCTTTGACCCAGCGATAAATGATCAGCCTCCACCGCCCAGCTCCCAACCCTCCGGTGGTGTCAGTACTGCTGGTACCTCGACGACCTCGAATACAGCCGTCTCATCCTCCTCTTCCACCCCGTCCTCCCCTGCAACCAGTCCCGACAGCAATCCACAACCGCATTCGAGAGGGACCCTGATAGGTGCGATCTGCGGCGGAATAGGCGGTGCCCTCGTATTCATCGCTCTGCTCGCGATCTGTATTCGGCGAACACGCACACTACGCTGCATGGCTACTGCTGAAGGCGTAGCACTCGAAGACGAACCTGGTTTCGTAGAGCCCTTCTTAACTTGGGAGCCGTAGGGATTTTCTATCTAAGTTATTCGCGACTATTTAGTCGGTATTTTTCTTAGATCCACCTGACTAATTGCTCTCCCAGATACTCAAGTCTTCTCGTTTGACTGGTACAGAATGTCTTGCCGTAGGGAAAATGTATGCTTGTTCTGCATTGATTCAACGCGATTGACGCTAGGCAACACTTGGAGATGGATGTGCCAGCCAACCATTGAGCTATGACCTTCATTCCTGAGCCTTGCCAAGCAGTGATCGTGTCGAATAAACATATTACTTATGTTGTCTACGGGAAGTCATCCGATATTGTAGAGCCTCATAATCGTGAATTTAGTCGTCGCAGTAGCTGTGCCACTATGTTCGATAAAGTGTCTAAAATGTATATTTATCGCGTTGAAGGTACCGGAAAGTACATAGCATATGAGTTAGATGTATGAGGTTTATGGGGTTTCGGGAAGGAAAAGAGGTATCAAACGAGCAGAACTGAGTGGCATAGTGAAGTACGTAGGACAGTTGCAACGCGACAAGTCAAGACAAACAGCCATCATCAACATATCACTGAATTACTGTAAGAGTTGATTGCCAGACAAGAGTGGCGTAGTCAAGCGCAAAAGTCAATCAGAAGAGTCAATACGAGTAGTCAGAGGGGAAGTCATTTTGTTAGTTGAACTGAATAGCCGCAGTTCATAGTCAGGTCGTTAGTGCTCTAGTCGATCCATAGTCAGCCAATAGTCGGTTCGTAGTCGACGAACAGTCGAGGGGGATCTAAGATTTGGGCCGACTAAATAGTCACAATTGGGTTAGATAGAGAGTCTCACAACCAGAACTTGGCCGTCACGAATGCGTCAACGCGATGCCAAGCCAGAAGACGACGGAACCACAACTTCCAGCGTCATCCAACCTGATAGTCGACGACGTCGCAGGGGCCATACAGTCAATGAAATGTCCGACGAGCGGCTTGTGGGGAGAGCTCCAGGGAGCCATACTGGCACTGCGGAGGAAATACGCCGTCAAATCACTGATATAAGGGTTGAGATGGATGCGTTGAGGGCGAGACAGCTGATGGCAGAGTTGGCAATGGGGAGGAGAGACGAGACGGGTGCCGATGATAACGATGATGAACCGCCGCCGGAGTACTATGAGGAGGAGGAGTAGTAGTGGCTCAGGGCTTTGTTCCGTCTGAATCCGTCTAATTTTTGGGTTATGACTTCCTATTATGTGCCGTTTCGTCTGATGCTCATCATATGTCGCGCTCACGTCTCTGGATGCATAATTTTGGTAGTAGGAAAAATGTATTTGATAAGAATCAAGATTGAGTACGTAGGTTGAAGTTATGGAGCAGATTGCTTGTTCCAAGCCCGAGATTCCCACCGTATCTAGTAGTGACCACACCCCAGTCTTCTGCTCTGAAGCAGAATGAGTCGACGGAGTCGAAGTAAGCAGACGGTCCTTCGACGGTCCTTTGAATTTGGTAAGTACAATTGCAGTGCCACTCGGCGAACGCCGCAGTGGTGAATGGCACTGCTTACCGTCTTCCGATTCAGAACTCTCACTGGGGGAGCGCAGACTTCGTCTGCAGCAACCTCGCTTGGAGGGGAGGATGGCACGATTTCTATTTTTTTACGAGGCAGTTCACAATACAAGTTTCGTTTGAGCGGTGCTCGGCCTTCTTGGTGCATGTGTGGCAACGCGCTATCTCGTCTCATTGAAGAGGCCCAAGTAAGCGAATGTGTTCCATCTCGCATCGGCCAAATTGCAAGGCTCGCACGGGCGCACGCGAGAGGCCGGAAGGACTAGTAAGAGCCAAAATAGGCCCTTGAATACGATATTTCTGCGATACCCTCATATCGCTGTTGACGGTTGTTCAAAATCGCGAGAGTAGCTTGAAACGCGAGAATGGGGTTATTGTGCGAGAGGTTCTGTACCAGGGGATTCGGGCCTACTTATTCGGGCTTGTATTTTGAAAGATGCGCGCTCGTTTGAGAAAAATGAATATAACATTTGACAAAGGCCCCGGTAGATACATGGGTGCCATGTACATGCAGCCGCTACGATAAATCTCCAGACTGTGCCATAGAAAACCCTTGCGCACCGACAACCCAACGACATACTCTCTGGGAGTCCGTAGAAGTATCCCCCTCGAAATGGCGATATATGCTATGAAATTTGAACAATAAGTATCCCGAAGGTGACCATATTAGCAATGTGCAGACGTACCTTTCGCACCGACCTATTTCAAGAACACTATAGACATAAAGTGATCTGCGAGAAACTAAGTGAGCATGTGAGTATATGCGCTATAGAACATGGGACGCACCTCGTGTTCCCTCGCAAACCCTCAACGGACGACACAAGACCGATAGAAAATGAAGACGGCGTACCGACAGTGATTTCTGCAATCGAAGGCGAGACGACTGCGGATCCTCCTCGATAAGCAGCAACTAGAGTGAGGAGCAACTGGCAGAATTTCAAGTATGGGGGAGTTAAATATCGGTAGGAGTAACTGGTAGGGATGAAGGAAGAAAAACAGGTGGGGGGAGCAAGAGGGCGGGAATGGGTCGGGTGTGGTGACTCCTGTTATTACCAGTAAATATAGAACACGTACGGTACGAGCCTCCCATTCGATAACTCTATTCAACGATCGAGTGACGGAAGCCGTTGTTGCTCCCACTGTATAGGCGACCGGCGAACAGAAAGAAAGACGGCATGAGAGCGAAGGTGGAGGCTGAAGAAATTAGGGCGTAAACGGTGGAGCAAGAGGGAACAAGGGAAGGAGGAGGGCGAAGGAGAGGAGGGCGAGAGAGGGAAGAATGGGGGGAGAGTGGGGAACGTGGGAGAGGGAAGGGGGAATGGGGGGAGGGGATGAGGGGAGGGAGGAACGGGGGATGAGGGGAGGGAACAAGGAGGAGGGGAGGGAGGAGACGAGAGGATAGAAGGCCGGCGACTTTATGTACGTCGCTCGAGCACACCGGCGCACGGACCATGTTGTTGTCATTCTCTGACGTCATCGCGTTGAGCTCGAGGGAGGGAGTACTCGTGAATGTGGGAGGTGAAGAGGAGAAGAGAGGGAGAGGGCAAAGGGAGGCTCGAGGACAGGGGCAAACGTCGGAGGACGAACACTTTATTTTTAGCAGGCGCCTCCTCGGAAGTGCGGACTTTGACACTGACAGAACATTTCCTTACCTGCGCTTTGCCTCCGAAGCTGCGAGAGCTTCTGCTGGCCGGAAGAGGCTGCTATGATGCCCATAGCGTCGTCAGTGGTTGCAGGAGGTAGTACGAGCGTGGGGTGATCGACAGGACCGGTGAGTCGGAAGCAATCCGGAAGAGTCCGCTAGAGTTGTGCGATTTTGCCGATGTCCTCAAATGCCAGAAACACACCAGGAAAAGAACATGCAGACTGTCATAATACAACAAATATATACAGCATTAATAGAAGGATCCACGAGGACTCTCCGCGGCTGCACAACTTGAAATTCCTAATAAAGGACAACCGGTCTGATTGACATCGAACGGAGGCAAACCATATCCTGAGCAACAACCAAAAACAACTCATGGACACACATCCCAAACCGACCTAAGCTACGTGTGTGGCCTTGAGAGGAGGGAATGGATCGTCGTCCTTCCTCAGGAGCCTCTTCCTTGGCGACTCCTCGAGGAGCGGGAGGGACGAGAACACCCATCATCCCTACATTCCCGTACAAACAGACTCCCTTTATATGTCCAGTATCAATGTCATGGCGGTATGAAGAAGACCACGAGCGGTACATACCAAGAACGGCACATGCTGCCGATCGAGCCTCTGTCACGAACATTCGAGATACTTACACGGGTCAATCGTAAGATGCAGACGAGGAGGGTGGCGCACGAGGAGGGTGGTGCGGCGACAGTTTCCGAATCCCGATGACCGCTGCGTACGCTTTCACAGACTACTGAGCACAGAGGCAAACCATTCTCTATGTCACAGTGGACATCCGAACTCCTCTGACTCGGAGATGCAGGCTATCGTTGTTCAATCTCTATGTCGCACTATCGAGGAGCACAGGAAGGGTCACAGTTCGTTTTCTGAGAGACTTCGACGACAACCTATTTCTGCAAGCACACGTAACACCAGTTCTAGACGAAGATGATCGATTGGAGGAATTGAACAGAAACAGAAAGCAGTGGTGGGCAATGTGATGACCAGTGTTGTAGCAGCGACGGCGCGAGGCAAGGGAGTGCGAGCGATGATGTTGTACGAGTGAAGTATTCGGTGCCCTGCGAAACGCAAAGTGAACATAGCGACGTGAAGAGCGGCACGAGGTAGATTAACCAGCAACAGTGTCGCATACTGACAATCAGGAGAGGTCTTTGAAGAGAGTCGGACAGAAGAAGAATTGAACACGCGTTCGATGGTTAGTTTCTGAGCAGGAGAGGCCAAACGGACAGGGCACGAGACAAAAAGTGTACGTAAGCTGTTTGTACTTGTTGAAACGGGAGCCCGACGTCATAATTACGGCGGTGCGAAGGACCTTGTAAGCAAGGTAAACTGTGACCCATCATGTGAAGTCTCTCGGGCTCTGCTATACATTTCATGGTTTGAACATCGCGACAACGGGTGATCCTACGAGTGTCTCTATCTGGTGTTCCTGCTTCCTCTCTTTCTAGGCATCATACTGTGCAAAGATTCCCTAGACGTTGGGCCGTTACCAAGCCGTTACCCTCACTGCCTAGACGCTAAACTTTTATCTTGCCCATCGTGTCTGTAGTAAACTAAACACTCTACCAGCTTTTCATAACGACCGCGGCGCCTGAACATTAAATGGTACGTTTTGCGCCACCTTTTAAGTATCTAGTCATCAGGCCTCTGCGTTGGCTGCGTAGCTCGTGCATGTCTCTTCATCAAATCAGCATCGCTCAATCATGATCACTGTCCTTCAGTAATCATGACCAAAGTGTCATGTATGGGACGATCTTGAGATCATGAGAACTTTAAGCGCGGAATCCAGAGAGCGTATACTATCTTCTCCAAGCATTCGGGGGCGAAATGATACCATCTCTTTGCTGCACAACCACATCTGTGTGCGGAAAGAGGCACCGAGTACCTCCGTACCCACCTCGAGAATATCTTCATCTCTATTGTATATAATATTTGGCTTGGTACTCGACTTGTTACTTTGCTCAACAGTTCTGCGCCAGCCAGTGATATCTAAACTCACTGGTCTTGCTATCATCGCTTCCTGGGTCTCTTCCTTTCCAGGCTAATCAGGGCGCCAAGGACAGCAATCGCTCTCATAGGCATCTCGTCTGGTTTCTAAGCATCAGATCACTTCTCTTCGAATGGAGCTTCGTCGAAGATGACGGTAACAGGAAGGCCAGGTAGCCTCTCACCATCTCCCTCCACCAGTTGACCTGGCCGCGCAATGCTTTGTCTGAGTTCTTTCTCACTTCTCGCCTGGTGTTATCTATGCTTTATAACATCTTTCGCTCGGGCCGACCAGACTAATGTCACAATTGACGACACATACGGCGATATCGAGACACGCGCATTGCCCGTTTATAGTAGCAATGGGTGGTCAGTGGGACAGAACTGTCCTGGATGTTCAGCTCAGCCGAATGCGTCTCAAGCATTCAAAGGATCATGGCACGATGCGACACATCATCCAGAAGACCCGGATCCTGAGAGGACAGTGAACCTTACATTCAAAGGTGCGCACAGCAGTACTTCTCGTTCGACTGTACCAAACTGACAAAGCGTGTATTGCGATGTCGCAGGAGTCGCGGTGTATGTTTACTTCATACTCGCCAATAGTATCGGGTCCGAAGTCACTTCGAATACCTCCCTCTCCTTCATACTTGACGGCGAGCCTGTCGGGCAGTTCAATCACACTGCGACCTCCAGTCCGGACTATCAATATAATGTCACCGTCTACTCTAATTCATCCATCCCAGTCCTCCCGGAGTCACCGAACGGCCAGCATACGCTCTCTATCACGTCGGCTGGGAATACGCCTGATTCACTATTATTGTTTGATTATGCGATCTACACGTACGCTTTTTAAGGCCTTGTACTGCACTCGAGGTTCTTTACCACCAGTGTTGACATTGTCGTTGCCCCCAGTTTTGACACCGCTCTGAACGATCAGCCATCTTCGGCCCCACAATCTTCAAGCGCTTCTACCACAGGAAGCTCAACCCTCTCTAACTCAGCCTCCTCATCTCCCACATCTCTACTCGATCCGACCAGTAGCTCGAAGCCCCATTCGAATGGTGCTACCATAGGCGCTATCATCGGTGGCGTCGGCGGTGCAATAGTCTCCATCGCTCTCCTTGTGTTCTATCTTCGGCGAAGAAGACTCACTGCGCAGCGCCTTACCGCCACTCCCCATCCTTCAACAGTTGAGAAAGGACCCGCATTCATCGAGCCGTTCATCACCTGGAATCCACGAGCGCGTCACCGTGCTTCTGTGCCTGACTCGACCACCACCTCGTCCGCCACCCCAGTCGAAGAACGCCGACAAGGGAGAACTCGAGGTCCCAGTCATCGAACCGGGCGTATTAACCCCGTTCGTGCTATGTCTGACAGAATTCCGGGGCGCGCGGGCGGGACGTCCTCGGGCTCTTCCAGGCGGACGACGACCACAAGCGGTCAGAGTGGTGTTGAAGATGTGAGGCGGCAGATGGCTGATATGAGGGTTGAGATGCATGCGTTGAGGATGCTGCACTTGGCGAGGAGGGAGGAGGCTGGTGGTGATGGTGGTGACGATGAGCCACCGCCGGAGTACGAGGAAGAGGCGTAGGTGACATGGGCATGGATGTGTGTATTTGTATAGATCGGGGCACTCTGGGATACTTACTCCAGTTGTGGTTTATGACGTCTTTCGGGTGTTTGGAGGTGATTTGGATGTATTTGTAGCGACCTGTGAACCGACGAGATCGTCTATTCGCAGATGTTAGAGCTTCACGGAACGTATGACGGTCGACAAAACCTGACTGCTCAAAATACTACACCTTTCCAGGATAGATATATTGACCCTCGAAAAAGCAAGAAATTAAACGCATGTATCATCCTTGACAAAAAAAATCATAGCTGGTGGTCGTGTCGTTGGTCATCCGTCTCTCATCACCGAATGTACAAAGGTACGCGCCACCGCCACCCGAATCCGCCTTCATCCCCATCGCCCACTGCCTCTCGATCGAGCGCCATATACTCAGTATTTGGCGAGCATCCAGACATTGTGTCAAGAAATCACTTGTGACTTCGAGTAAGGAGGGAAGCTGGCCCATCTTCGTCTTCCGAATCCGTATCTTCCGACGCCTTCGTGAGCCTCGCAAGTAACGACCCATCCAACGGTCCTATGGGCACCCCAATTCAAACATGCATCAGCACCAACATCCGACACTTCCTCACCACCAGCTTCTACACACAGAGAAAAAAATTCCAAAACAAAACAAGACTCACGTGCTACACCCACACCTCTCCTTCCTTTATACGCCGCCAACGGACTCGGAGTCGGACTTGGTGTCGAAGTCGCGAAGGAAAGATTTGGATCCGAGAATCCTAGCGAGTATGATTTTGCGAGATTATATGGGTCGGAGGCCGCAATGCTTGATGATATGGAGGATGAGAAGGGAAGCTGGCGTTGGGGAGTTGTCTGTCCGTAGCCATCAGTCCTCTGAAATGCACGTACTACACTAACATTAGAAATCACTTACGTTTGGCGAGAGCCCAAGTTTAGATCCAGAGCGTGGTGCTGTTCCCGTACTCGATCGTAGGATTGAGGCGGCGGGAGAACCGGGCGCAGGGGCTGGAGGTGGAGGGATGGGGGATGGTGCAGGCGCGGGTCGTGGAGGGGATTTACGAGGGAAACGGATAAAGTAGGTGGCGTAACCGATGTTTAACAAGAAGACTGTAAGAAACCCAGCATCTATACAAGTACACATTAGCATTGGTATCAATGACATAAGCAATAAAAGATAGAGGGCGCACTGATGAGAGCAAGCAATAGGTCCCACCACGAATTATCTCTTGGATGGAGGAGTATCCACAAAGTTCTCGGTATCGAGGGTACCGGAAGTAAAAATGTGAATGTTACAAGGGCGAATGTAGCGACCATGTTGTCTCGCAGTCGGATGGCTGCATCTCCAGGATAGAAAGGCGTGGCCTCAGACATGAAGATGGTTAAGTTCGAACGCGTCTCTAGAGAAGTAGAGGCGATATTTTTGTGAAACAAAGTATTCGTATCAAACGTATGTCTGAAGGCCTGTTGCTAGAGGTGCTGGTAGACTGGAGGGCTGGGGCTAGAGAGTGACGGTACGTTTGCAAAGAAAGATTCGTCCGACTGAAGCGCGACGCGTTCAAGGTCACGTGCGCATTTTGTTGTTCTTGTGTGGCGTTGTCCTCCGTGGCACCCAGCAATATTGATCCGTGAAGCAGAAACCAGGTCGCAACGTGCAGAAGTATATGTATTAGGCGGTGCAGATCGTAAGACAGGTAAGCATTAAGAAGACATCATGTACAAGCAGTAAGACAAGAAGCGCAAGACGCGGGCAGGTACAAGTTATGTGGGATACAGTAAAACAAATCAGAGCAAGAAGACGAAAACGGACAGTGAGTGGGCTGGGCGCTGAACAACTACGCTGGAGAGTATTCAGCGACGATAACTATGTGAGTAGCACGGAGTTTCATCAGTAAGTTGAATGCCCTCGAAACCATAGAGGTGAACTAACCTATACACATCCCAGATCTGTTCAGAGAATACTGTACGGCCATCAGTCAGCATCAGACCCTACCGGCTCGCAAAATAGAGAGAACTCACCTCATATTCGCTCCTTCCGCTCAAAAGCATCACATCTCCATGTAGCAAACTCAGCCTGACCAGCTCATGTGCCATCGACTGCCCAGGTTGCCTCTTCGTGTATGCCTTCTGAACTGCTGAGCCCGACTCTTCTACATTCGGAGGTGGCATCGTTCCAGCGCGATTAGGACTCGGGCGAGAATGCTTGGGCAGAAAAAACGAGAAGGCCGTGTCTGATCCAAGGTTGAGGACTGCGATATGGGAAGCAGGGTCGGATGTGCGAAAGACATTTTTCGCCTGCTCGAATTGCATCAGCGAGGCAGGAAAACGATAGTATACGGCGGTACGAAAGAGGCAGAACGTACCTTGCCTTCGCCATGCCAGGCCTGGACCACCATATTCTTCAACCCCGCCTTACAGTTCTCCTCCCCATTCGAAAAGATCCTCCACTCCATCAACTCCTTCACGGCTTCGATCACGTCCGGCCAGGCTTGCTTTCCCTTCCCGGTGAGTTCAGTCTCCTCTTCGCCAGCAGCCTCCTGTAAATCGAACGAAGCGCTGAAGACGTTTCCACCCGGCTTCCTCTCCAATAAAATCTTCTTCTGAATATCGACGAATAGACTTGACGGCTCCTCTTGATCGGATGGTTTGTTGGTGACGAATATATGGCGTAGCAACGCCTGCTGTAGCCCATGTTCCATTACCACTGCCGACGAAGACGCAACGGGGACTGAAGAAACCGGATGAGGCGCAGATGGGGTCGAGCTACCTGAGTTCGCCGTGGAGCCGGTGGAATGCGTAGAAAGGCTTGGAAGATCGTACGAGAACATTTTGACACCGTCTTTCCATTCCTCCACCTTAGGTGGCCGTATCGTCTCCTTGTCGTACCAATCCATCAATCGACAGTCCCGCGCGGAGGACGCATTCCACAACCATCCCTCTCCCTCTTGCGTTTCGGCGTTGCCCTTCTCGTTCTTGGATGCCTGTTGCGTATCCGCCTCCGCCTCCGCCACAGCGTGATTTCGCAGGTGGCGCCGTCGTTGACAGTGTAAACTCTCGCAAACTCGATGGCGAAGAAACCGCTGCGCATTGACACGCCCGCATTCGAAGCAGAAGTAACCGGCAGGGAAATGATTGTCTGGGAAAAATTCGCGAGAAAAGGGAAGGAAGAGGGTGAGAGGAAGGAGATTGGATGCGTCCATTTGCTCCTCCGTGAGGTACGACATGAAGGTCCGAGGACCGCCCATGAAAGACGCATATGCTGGAGGCGCGATGGGTGGGTATGGTACGGGTGGATACGTGTCTGCCATGGCCGCGTTGAAGCCGTGCTGTGCGTCGGAATTGAGGCGAGGCGCGATGGGTGGGTATGGTACCGGTGGATACGTATTTGCCATGGTCGCATCCAAGCCGTGTGCTGGGTCGGTATTGGAGGGGCTTAGAGGAGAGGACTCCCACCACGGTCGTTCACAGGTAGCAAGCCGTTCTTCATAGTCCGGAGAGCACCTGTCGAAAAGGCGGCCCTCGCCACCTGGACACCATTCGAGAGTGATTCGCCATGTTTTGGTGATGGTACGACCTGAAGAACTGACTAGGATCGTCCCGTTCGGTTTTGTGGTAGGAACGTTTGCTGGGAGGACGTCGATGCTTTCCTGATGGTCGATTAGGAGATGATTGACAGTACAACGGGGGATATTAAAAGCGCACCTTAATCGTACGGACATTGAAGAGTCCTGCCCAGGCATGTGCCACTTCATCGGGAAGCAGCCAAGGAATGATAGGAGAAGATCTCGAGACGATAACGGACAGGGGAGTTCTCAGTCGATTGGCTTCTGTGAAAGGTTCGATGACTTTAGGATCTGGAGGAACGACGGAGTCTATGTTATCGCCCTTCGTGGACAGCGTGGAGGGTCCGGGGTTGAGAGTAAGATGTCTGATGGTTGAAGGCGAGGCGGTAGACTCTGGTGGGGTAGGTAACCACAGATGATTGATCGGTTCGAGGCCTTGGAGAACGTAGGGAGGATAGGACGGTGGACGAAGAAATGCGAAATCTGGGGCAGTAGATGGATCTATGTTCGAAGGGCCCTGAGAATGAGCATCCGCCGCGGATTCGCTCATGGTATCGCACGGAGGAAGACGAAGATCTCGGTCCAGTATGTCTTCCGAAACCGCATCGTCCTCGGGATACTGAAGAAACCCTTCGATGACATCGTCCGCTGGTGGACTCGGTGGACCATCCACCGTGCTCACTTCAGGGACCTCAGACATTCCAGAAGGTTTTGAGACACAGGTGGCGCCACTCGGAATGGAGCAGTACGGCAAATGCGAGCTGGATGGCGTCGTGTCGCATTCCACGTCGAAATCCATCAACGATAATGTTGCTATAAGATCGTCTACAGCCTTAGGGTTTCCGTCGAACTGAGCCTCGACTTGAGACAGAGGCATATCGAGGAAGCATGGATGTTCAATGAGAGAGGCTTCGGGAGGCTCTGCGGGAGGGTTGATATGGTCGATGGGACGAGAGACGTGAGGAGGGTTTTCAAGATCGTTGAGGGGAGAGGCTGGTGGCGACAGCATTTCCATACCATTGTCGACATTCGAAGGGTGGGCTGGGACGTGCGAGGGTTGAGCATCGATATGGGGGAAGGGACAATCAGGTGCTTCCGTACGTGCGATAGGTGAGGCTGACGGCGCTGGTGAACCCATAGTACCATGTTCGCTACTTGAAGAGAAAGCCGGACTATGTTGACGGTGTTCATATGAGGAGGGAGGAGGAGGTTTGTACGAGGGAATATAGGTGGATGACGTCGGGATCTCTCCGTCTACTACAGTTTGCCGAACACTGCAGAAGATCGTCAGCCCGTTTTTGAGAGACGGTGATAGTCCGTGGATAGTGAATGAAAGCAGAACTAACATCGATAACTTGATTGTACGGCCATCCCACCTATCCTCGCTGTGGCTCCCAAATTCACCAGTATTCCCGAGCATCACAACAGGCGTCCCATGGCTGTCCACCACCGAGTTTCCGTCTGCTTTAGCCAGAGAAGTTATCGCGTTGTCGAACTCCTCACGAGACTAGAAGGGAAGACCAGAGCGGGCTCAGAAACGAGGTGGACGCGCACGACAACAGCGACGACTTACTGAGGCCCATACCCGTGGATAAGTACTCAGGATACAGCGCGGGGGTCCTCGTAAGTCTCCCATGTTTGGAAACTGCTTTGTAGTACGCCATGGGCCAACGCTGCGCGGTTCTGCGTTAAATGTCATGTATGAGCTCCTGGACGAAAATAAGATGTCGGACGTGTACTCACTCTTGGGAGCCTTCACTTTGACACTGACAATCACATCCTGACCTCTCGTATCCGCTGTCATTTCTGTCCTCTCCTTCAAGCCTTCTACCGGACGCTCGGCTACGATGGCGACCTCACTGCCAAGGCACGGCGGAGCAAGACGAATTGCAGACTTCACACCTTCCTTCTGTTTCCCCTTGCCCTTCCCTCCTACCCTCGACTTCTTCTGCTCACTCACATCCACTCCGTCCAGTTGAACCGCCTTACGCTTCCCCTTGCCCTTTTCAGCCGCGATAGCCCCCTTCTGCTTCTCCTTGCCGACCTCAGACCGTACAACCGTCTTCCCTTTCCCCTTCCCAGCCAACACTACCCCCGCCCTCTTCCCCTGCCCTTTAATATCCGATTGCTCCTTCGTCTGCAACTCCAAAGTCTTCTGGATACGCGTCGAGGCTCGCGTTTGACGCGTCCCAGCTAACCCTCTCATCACCACTGCCTCTGCTGCCTCTTTCCTCGCCTTCTTCCTCGGTTCATCCTCCTCACTTACACCGCCGGTACCTTCAACCAACCACTTCCTCTTACACCGCGTCCTCTGAGAACCCTCCGAACCAGGAAGAATGTCCCAACCCTCTCCGAGCCTACGACATTCGACGCCGCGTTTCTCGCACCTCTTGCATTTCGGGTGTCCACGAGAACACACTTGTCCGATTTTGGGACTCGCGCATAGAGCACAGCGTTTTGCGACGACTAAACGAGGCCCATTGGGTAGTTGGGAAGCGTCAGATGGGGAAGGGTCAGAGTCGGTAGGAAGGACGAAGATGGCATTGAGCTCTATGCGACGGTCGTATTTGTCGGGAAGGTCGGCTTCAGTAGCGCGGCGAATGTCAGGATGCCAAAGACGAACGAAGGGCGGTATATCCGGTGGAGAAAGACGCGTATCGGAGACTTTAGAGCGTTCGACTGCTGGTTTCATGGTCACGGAGAAGAGTCACGGCGACGGAGAGTCTTCAAGCTATGTCGACGAGGTTGGCGGTCAAGTGTCGGTCGGTGAATCCTTCTAAAATCAGAAAAGATGAGAACACGCACCACATGAATCTTTCTCCGCGTGAAGTGAGAGCGGGAAGAGGTTGATTCAGAGAGCGAGTGCGGGAATCCAGTACAAGCCACATATTCGGTCGAAGTCATGAACAACGTCAACGAAAATCCCACAGCAGAAATATTATCCACATTATAAGTATGTGAAATGGTGGAATCTAAAAACCTTCATAGGCAGAGTGAAGGTTGATGCAAACCAAAAATTCAGGGTGACCAAGAGGTGTTGGTCTGTAAGAAGAATGAGTATTTCAAAATATGCCTCATTTTCAGACATTTTCGGGTCCTTCCATGCCATTATGGTGGGCGCTGTCACATTTGATCACCAGAAATTGGAACGATACAGAGAAGATAGAGAACATAATCATCATTGTGGTATGGTATATAAAGTCAAATATTATTACAGCTATTCGGGGGGACATGGCTCCAGCTCATCCACTAGGACAATGAGGTCAATTCTGAGAAGCGCAGGTAAACAGCAGGAGGATACATGAGACGGACATCATGTTAAATAACGTAGATAGTTGCACAACAATCTGTCTCGCAGTGAAGAACAAGTGAAGAGAGTTGGAAGAGAGCACAAAGCGGTTGTACGGGGAGCCTAGCCTGAGCGGCGATTCCCGAAAACTGTACTAGGCGAGCTAAGAAATCGGAAATGGTACGACCTTGATTGATTTGTACAACTGGGAAAGAAAATATTAACGGCAACCATGAAACAAACATCGATTTTTGTTAACATACACATTCAATCTATGAGAGGGATTAATGACGATGATACGTACCAAGAAAAGGTGGCGTAAGTAACACAAAGGTGGCGGGCGCAACCCTCCTCCGAATCATGGGCTAAAACTCTATCGGCTGTCCAGTGTGGGCATCCCAGAGCCGAATGACACCAATCTCCGAGGCCGACGCGATACGCTGACCGTCTGGAGAAAAGGCCACCGAGTCCACATCATTTTTGTGGCCTCGGAAAGGCTCAAAAACCTCCTTCCTCGTCTTCACATCCCAAACACGAACGGTGTGGTCCAGCGCACCAGACACAATATACCTTCCATCCGGAGAGTAAGCAACAGAACATAATTCGTTGGTGTGACCTCGCAGGGGTTCCGTCACTTTTTTGCCGGTCTTCAGATCCCATATGTGGATATTGTAATCGGCACAGCCAGAGGCAATGCAAGTTGAATCAGGCGAGAAAGCAACAGAGTAAACAGGCTTCGGGTGGCGAAACGGTTTTCTCGCCATCTTACCCGTCTTTGCATCCCAGAGCTTCATCGTGCCATCGAATGAACCAGATGCGATGTGTTTTCCGTCTGGGGAAAATCGGACAAAGTAGACCTCCGCTGAATGTCCTTTGAGTGGCCCGTAAGCTTCTGCCATAGCATGGACGCTCCAGACACGAACAGTGCAATCTCTGGAACCCGATACGATATATTGTCCATCCGGCGAGAATCCGACAGATAGAACAGCATCGGTGTGCCCTCGCAACGGTTGGTCCTTCTGTATACGGGTCACGATATCCCAGACTCGAACAGTCTGGTCGCTAGAGCCGGAGACGACGAAGAATCCGTCTGGGGAGAACTGAACAGATTGGACGGCGCCTGTGTGGCCCTCAAGCGGGCATACAGCTTCTGCTCTGGTCTGAGCATCCCATATACGTATCGTGCAATCTCTACTTGCAGTGACTAGATGTTGGCTGTTTGGCGAGAATGAAACTGAAGTGACCCAAGACGTGTGCCCGTAGAGAGGCTGACGGCCAGTTACCGGAATCGTCTTATTGACGATGTGGCCTACAATTGAACCGGCCACATCGCTTTTGCCGTCAGGAGAGAAGCAGACAGAGCATACCCACTCCGCAAAGGGGCGAATGGGAGCAGTGGTTAGCCGGCCAGTTTTTGTGTTCCATACGCGATATGACGAATCAGTGGACCCAGAAACCAAATGTGTGTTGTCGGGCGAAAAAACGAGCGACGTGATCCAGCCCGTATGGCCGCATAAAATGGGGGGGGAGTGCACTGCCAGCACGAACGTCCGATATACGGATGGTGCCGTCGTAAGATCCAGAGGCGACAAGATGACTGTCTGGGGAAATGGTAAGGGCAGTGATGGCGTGGTCGTGTCGGGAAAGGATAGATGGCGTCGGGGAGACGTCGGCTGGGGACAGGAAGTCCCAGACTTGGATAGTCCCATCGTATGACCCAGCCGCGAGAAGTGTATCATCCGTGGAAAATGCGAGAGACATAATGGGACCAACATTGGGATCCATCAATAGAGTACCAATCATTTCGCCCGTGAGACTATCCCACATTATTATCGTGCCGTCGTGAGAGCCGGAAGCGATGCGGGCTCCGTTGGAAGAGTATGCCAATGCACCAACATCGTCGACATGACCTTTGAGCACATCGCTTGTGCCTGTCCCAATGGCCCAGATGCGGACTGTGTGATCGCAGGAGCCAGATGCAAAACGATCGTCGTGGGGTGCTGCAGCAAGACACAGAACAGCACTCGTATGACCCTTGAATTCCTTTAGCACAGTTAGCGGGGATCTATCGAAGGTGTCCGTTCGCATCCTGTGCAAATAGATCGCATCGTTGCGCGCTTTTACCGCGATAAAGTGTCTTTCATCCGGAGAGAACGCTGTCGCAGAGAAGAGATTGGCTGAATCTATAAAATAAATTCATGAGCGGAAGAAACGGTTGCGTAGTATCGAAGAACGGTTTACCGAGGTCGAAATCCTGGTGCGTTCGCCTTGCAGTAGCTTGGAAAGCATAAGGAAGAGGTCCGCCGATCATGCCCTCGACTACTGGCTGTGGTAATTCCCGGAAGGCACGCAGGCCGTCAGCTGAAAGAATGTTTGTTATCAGAATACCGCCATATGCACACGACGAAATCATCGCAACAAACAGCTCCCATGTCTCCCATATCGAGCTCGGGTTCTTACACGACCCAATATTCCCTACAAGCTCGTCGGCACGGTCGTAGAGGTCTTTTTCGATGATATCGGGAAGAGTAAAAAGGTTCTTCCAATTCTTCGTGTCGGGACCGATACACTCTAAGGAGGCTTTGGGATGATAAGGGTCAAATTTCAATGCGTCATGGTGAAGGACAGAGCTATGAATCTTTTGGCCCAGACGAATATGACGACCTGCTCCGAGATGAGGTCTATGGCCAAGTCACTGGTTAATATCAGACGAAATAGGAGCACAGTGGCATTGCGCGCATACCTATTAGTCTGACCGTGTTCATTGCGATACGTCAGTCGTTTCCAAGGAAGCGCTTCAAACAGCCACCAGACTGTCGTGAGTGACTCATGAACTGCCAAGTTCGCTTTGATTTCCCAAGCCGTGCTGACCGGGAGCAGGCGTAAGCCAGCAGCACTAGCTTCATATGACATCCATCTCAAAGGAGGCTGACTACGATCCATCTCTGGGTTGGGAACATTTCCTCCGCCACTACAATGGAATGTCAGCGTGTGATATTCTAGTTGGAATGGAGTCGAGATGAGGGCTTACATGTCAGAGTGAGTGCCCGCGAACCAGACCTCTTTCGTTTGCGGTACCAAGTCGTGGTGCATGTTGCCATCCACTGAGGACTCGGCATCGGTCTGTCTGTGCTGGTCAGGAGCAGCGCTTCCCTCGTATGCGTACTCTGGAAGGAACTTGACTCGTCGCTCGTCTAGGGCGAGGGCGTGACGGAAGAAGCAAACATGCTTCATACCCGAAGTCGTTCCCGGCAGAGTTTTGTCCCGGAAGATACCAATAGACGATACGGTATCCCTAAGATTGAAGACCCCTCAATATCGTAGAAAGAGTAACATGCACTCGCAGAGCGCACCATGCCCCTACGAAGTGGACGCTTATCGCTCTCCCGAACGTGTCCTTGAACCGCTTGGCCATTTCTCTTGCGTTATCGGACTAGATGACCGATCAGCAAAATCGGAGGGGACATTTCAGAAAAGGCCAAACGAACCTTTCCTGTATCGGCGTAGAGCTCGAAGGCGCTTGTGAAAGGGGGTGCGTGAGATAACTTGCGGAGCATGATGGACTACTGTACATACAATGGGATTTGCGCGGCATTACCTTCGTGAATGAGTCCGACCTGTAGCGGCGCATATCAGGCTCAGATTGTCAGTGGCCAAGTAACTCATTGCTAAACGCACCGTCTCGATCATCGCTGAAAGGCAGCGAACTTGGTACGCTCCACGAGAATCCTAGAGTCGGGGAGGTACTATGCGAGCTTAACGTTGTATTTTACGAAAGGCTGCTCAAGTTCCTTACCGAAGAGAAAAATCCTGTCGCCTGTATGATACCTCTCGGAGAGCCACTGGTATGCGCTCAGCACAGTCTTCTCGAAGTTCCTAAAATACCGCCTCAGACTGAGCGGTAAGCCGGATACAGAGGATGAATGCTTACCACGCGATCGCGAGGTCGACCTTGTGTCCGAGGACCTGCTTGTAAAAGGTCCACGACCTGAACGACGGCCTTGCGTACGTGCCGATCCCACTGTTGTAGAACGTGACTTGGGTGTTGTCTTTCTCGAGGAGATGGTATAGCTCGATAACGTTCGTGTTCTAAGGTTGAAAAGAGAAGGATAAACGAGCACCACAAATATCCAGACTAGATCCCCATGGTCTCCTGCCCGATGCCTACATTAGTGCGCTTCTGTAGCGAGGCTACGAAGCTGGCATACCTTTTCGCCGAACTGGTTCGATGTCCCATCGATGCAGACCACCAGATTCCTCCCTAGCGTTTCGAGACACTTGCAACCATCGCTCCTCTGAATCGTGCTCGGCGTATCATTCGCAGCCTTTCCAGTAGGGCTGGCTTTTGGCTGATTCATTATGAAGTATGAGCTAGCAGTAGAAGAAAGTGGTGAACTGTGCAATGAGTCGTGGTCTCTGGCTGATTCCTGAGCGTCGCTTATATGTCCACCGGCAAGAGACCTGCAAGCACTATGAATATTCCCATGCGGAGGTAGCACCACTGCCACAAGGCTGCCCCTACCCACAACCACTGGTTTCCCAGACTCATCAACTCGTGGGAGCAGTAGAAAGGAATGGAAGTTGCATTGTATTCTCATTCGACACCAGAAGATCTGGTCTTATGAATATGTTCAAGCGTGTCTCGGGGTAACAAGCAGCGAACGACGAAATTAGGGTTCACTGACATTCAATTGCAGCACCATAGGGCCGTCGCATCGGGAAAACTCCTGCGTTTAGACCCCAGTATCGGAAAGGCGAAGTGCCTACACAGTTTGTAGCACCTCCTCTCACAAGCCCTCGTATGGCTACTGTACGCCATCGAGAACGCAACGAGAACGAATAGAACCGTCGATTCACCGTGATTGTTTGTTGGCGAAGGTTGCCACCTGGGACTTTTTCACAACAGTTTGAAGCAGTAGGTCGAAAACCAGAAGTATATAGCGGGAAATCAAGGCCTTGTCGACTCGACCACGACAGCGCATATGTTGAAGAAAGAAGAGAAACATTCAATTTTGATTGACTGCGAGCGGCAAACACCGAATCTCCGCTCAAATCAACAGTTAGAACCAAGCCCAAAATGGAAAGGGCGACCGCCACTCCTCTCTTTTTATCATCCTCGCCCTTGCCACTTATCTTAGCCATAACAGGGTCTGTTTTAATCTGCAACGTGTACGTTAATAATTCCGCCATCTTCAATGAGTATTAGCACTCACGTGATGTACAAGAAATTCACGCTAGTCAAGGTGTGTTTGTCGAAAACGAATGACAACATACCTGAACTTTGAGGCAAACGAATAGCTAACATATCAATTTCAGTCTCATCATTGAGATGTCTATCATTGGTGGGCCATCTATTCCTACCGCCAAGGATGTCCTGCGGTCGTACCTCAGGCATGGGCCACCTTCGGACGAGGAAATATTGAAGCTGGATGGATTCATTGATGTCGTTCGAGATTCCGCCGACAAAGTATGTCCTGAGCCCTACCGAATACTACTCATGATCTTAGTCATTCTTATCAGCTGATGGAATCATGTACAAAACCCGACACGACTTCAGCCAGTCTCTTCGTCATGGCGCGCGCGTACAGCGACTCCCGTGAAGACATCATCCCTCCCGACGCCCTTGTCAAGATCTTTCTCTGGCATCTCTCTTCCGACAAGGTCCCCTCTAAATTGACACCACCAGTCGAAAATGACGCGTCAGAACACGCTTGGGCTTGTCTGCTGGGTCTGGGACACCCGAAATTCACCGTCGCATTGGGCGATAATGCTGACTGGCAGCGTCGGATTCTCAAAAGTTGGCCTGGGATCTTCAAGTGGGCCAAATTTATCTTCAACCAGCGTGTCACTCCAGAATCCGACTCACAAGACGCGAAAGAGGTCCTGAGCGTCCTTGCGTACTTGATTTGCTGTTTCTCCACCATACCTAAACTCGCCGTCGAACTTCGAAAGACTGGTGGTCTGATCGACCTGCTAACGCGCCTCTGGGTACACAAACACGCAGAGACCTACCATGCATCCTCGGCACTATATCTCACGCTGAACGGCTGCATGGCCAAGGAGCTCGACGTCGTTTGTAACGCTGGCGGAGGTCCGCAGGAGGTGGCCAAACTCGCTCTCAGCCGGCTCAAGAAGGCAATGAACACGCCATCGCCGTCTGCTATACACATCTCCACACATACCTATGTTCTGAACAATCTCGGACGACTTCCTCGCCATCCACTCACAGCTTGCGTCCTCTCCGAACACGCCGCTTGGAATGTCACTCGCATGCTCGTCATCATCTCGAAACTCATCGGGTCCAGTTTGAAGCCCGAGCGATACCTGCAGGAATGCGTCTACGCAGGGTTCGCCTTCCTCCGATACGGCTTCATTCGCGATGACAGTTACAAGTGGGTTTGTCAGTCGCTCGACGCCGGTCTTCTCCCGGTGATCATTGAGTTGAGTCTTGTGGTCGAGAATATCGACCACCACCATCCAAAGGAGTGTTTACGCCACATCTTGCGGGAAACACTTCCAAAGCATATGATCTACAAGTCAGTGATCAAGGTCATGAAGCGGGAGATGGAAGATGTGGATGCCGAGATGGTAGATCGGAGGGTTCGAAAGAGTTATTTGAAGGAGGATTGGATGTCATTGTTGCTGTTGACGGAATTGAGGAGCAATGTGGCGCAGCTGCCGAAGAGTCTGAGGCCTGGAGGTGTCGCTTGCGATAATATTCGAGTGGGTACTTCTGATATTTCACGACCGAGTGACTGCTGATATATTTCCCAGTGCAATCGGTCGGGGAAAAAGAACGAATTGCGGCGCTGCACGGGCTGTCACTACGTTTACTTCTGCTCTAAAGAGGTTCATTTACCCCGATTTTATCTTCCTGTCCCACGCTAACATGTCTTGTTGGTAGTGCCAAGTTGAAGGCTGGCCAGAACACAGGCCAATGTGCAGACTCAAGAATAAGCAAAACATCTATCGCGGTCCGTTCACCCTCTTACCCACATCTGCTTATCCATCACTCACAACCACGTAGCCGGCTCGCAGCTCATGTTCTACGAGAGCGACGCCAAATTCTTTCGCGAGCTCTTCGCCTCAGACGCCAGCGTCCATCTTCCGCACCTCCGCAAACTTGCAGCGCGTAAATTCCCGAAAGAACCCGGCGAGAACTTTGTCATCTGTATCGACTATACGAACCCCGAGTATCCCGCTGGGACGTGTTCGCTGAAGAATATCAACACGTACAAGTTCCAAGACCTGGGTGGAGACGACGCTGAGATAGAGAATATGAAAAGGCAGGACGCTGAAAAGCTGAAACAGTATGTCCGCTCTCCGTAATCCATGTCTGAATCGAGTCCGTCGCCCTGACATGTCTTTATTGCGTTATGTCAGGGTCCGCCAGTATCCAAAAGAGTTCACGCTCATCGAGGGAACCTTCGTATACGGCGAACAAATCTTCAGTCGCAACCTCATCACGCGTCCAAACATCTGGGTCAATCGCGTATCTTTTGACAACGACGACGACAGCAAGTGGGCATGGTCGAGATGCGAGAATGGGCCGTCGGGGCCTGATCTCTTGGCGATGCTGGCGTCGGCGGACAGCCCGTACGATGAACTACAGAACAACTTCAGTGGTATGAATATGGAGGATATAGATTGAAGTTTGAGGCGCGTTATCATGTTCTTGGCCAAGCGGACACCGTGCTCGGGTCGACGGGCTATTATTTGTGCTCACATTGTATTGTGCTTCTTGTTGTACTGCGAGATGTTGTACCCCTAATATTTACCGTTATGGGTCCACTGTGCTGCGTCGAGTCCAACCTCTTTCCTGCCATATATTCCCCTCTAACTGGCTCACTGGATGTTCCACTGCACGAGTAGCAGTTACGTTTTCTTTGGCGCTCGTTCTCTTTCATTGCCAGAATCTAATGAGCGGGAAAGCCACGTTATGTATGTTCGGGCGTCCAAGCCCACGTTGGCGCTTGTGCTATGCTGGGACGCTCCCTAGGTTCGTGCGCCCATGTCCACCTACGCAGGCTCGTCCTCGGCACACGCTCGAGGTGATATTGTCTCGCAAAATGACCAGCTCTCCCCGCATGGGTCAATCTCTCTAAAAAGTCCACCACGTTCTCTTGTCGAGTCACTGTCTAGTGCGGACCGTGACAAGCCCAATACCCATGGTGCATCATCGCAGATCGAGACATATTCTCAAGAGCAAGCTTCCAGTCGAGGTATCCTTTCTCCTTTTCCCCCTTGGTTATCATAGAACGTTGCGGTGATCTGCAACTACCATCTAGCGACTAATGCCTCCGGGTCGGCGAGCCCCGGGATCGGTTCTCTCTCGCAAGATCAGCAGCAGGATCAAAATCCGAGTCGTAGCACACCTCCCACGAGAACGTCTTTCGATGAGATGTATCTGCAGACACATCGGCTGTCGGTAACAGGTGGAGATCTGAATGTAGATCGTGCAGATGAAGATGGGAATGGCACGACGTGTACGAATGACGGTGCGGATGCGTATTTTCGTATGGCTTCCTATCCTACTCGATATCTTCTTCGTAGTAGTAGATCCTTCTGTGCTTACATGATCGTCATCATGAACTAAGAGCAGGAAAATGGCCCTTTGTCTTCTGTCAAGAGTTTTGATACTGGAAGAGTGCGTATATAATGAAAGTCCATTTTACAGTAGCGCACCGGCATTCATCATCACCCCTAGAACAATCAGATAAACGATGACCATCAAAACGGTACAATACGTTCCGCACCATCCTCAACACCAATAACACCACTCCAAAGTCGACTATCCATCCCAGTAAGTCTAGCCTCAACATCCCTATCATTTCCACTTTTTTTGTGCACGCCGAGCGCTGACCCTACGTATCCAATTCTCCAGTCATCTGTAGGCCGTCACGGTGTGGGCAGCAGACAGTCAACGCCGCCCCCCACTACGAATCACATCCTTCATCCGTTCGACCGTACGCGGGGTCGACATGAAACGTCAAACACTCGAGCAGCAGGCTCGACACCCATGACTTCTACAAAATACGCCGCAGGGAACAGTGGCCGGGAGAGACACCGTGACGACGATGCGACTCGGGCGATGAGCTCCGTTGAGTCGTATAACCGAATATTCGAAAGACTAGGGACGGTCGCGTTCTTCGGTGACTCGCCTTTCCTCTCTCCATCTATGTAAGCCAATGAATGCTCACTGACACTATGAATTACCTGTCTCTGCCTGCCTGTTGTTCGAAACGAATCCAAAGGCGCAAGCATCGCATGGGCCTCCGTCTTCGGTGCCCAACGCGGCAACGTCCTCTCCCTCGCCTGGTCCGCCTCCCTCTTCATGAGCGCCTCCGTCATCGCCGGCTCCGCCTCCCTAATCACCTATTCCGACTAAATCAACATAGACCGGGACATGTTCGCTCGTCGCGTTCTTCGCGCACTCGCAATTCTAACCGCGGTGCTGGCGTTGGCTGGGATATGTATGCTGTGTGTCGCGTCGTTTGATTTGGATAAGATACCGGATGAGTTGGATGGGAGGGTGAGAGGGAGGACGAGGGCGCCAGGGGTTTTTACGTTGGGGGTTTCGGGGGTTGCGGTGGGGTGTGCTGTGGCGTTGAGGGTGGCGTATTCGAATAATTTGTATAGGTATCGTTTGTAGCGTGCGTGAAACTCAAGTACTTACTTAGTGTCACAGTCGGGGACTGCCAGATCGACTTCGTTTGGGGTCGGGGATCTCGTCTTTCCAGCGTTCGATTCGTGAGAGGTCCTCTCTGGGAAGAACTGACTGTGATAGTATGATAGGTAGCTGTTCTGCTAACAGTCGTGATTGTTGATTAGTAGATGTACCGAAAGCAGGATAGAAAGACGCATACTGATCATCTTTGGAGCTCGTTCGAGTTCAAAAGGAACGCCATCTTCGAGGGCGTTGAGGACTTCTTCTACCCAATAACCGGTATCTCTGAGGAAGATAAACTGCGAAGACGTAAGGTCGTCAATAATGATGCGCAGTAAGAGACGAGGATGAATAGAGGATCAACCTTTGCTCTCATGTCGGGGGTGCTCTGCACAGTCAGAGGTCAGTAGGTCGACAGTCAATGCGTTAGGTGTTAGTAAGAAGTGGCTGCCGCACCTCTGCTGACCATCCGGAAGCAACGAGTTGGCTCAGCTCTTTGTTCTTGCTCTAGCAGGGTAAAGAACAGAGCCAACTTCAAATTTGTGAAAACTACTGTAAAAGAAGAAAAAAGATGATCTTGCCAGTTCGCCTCGTGTGGACTCGAGTTCCTCATACCGTGCCATCAAGATGTCGAGCCCGACCTGATCGCGGTAATTCAGAGACTCTCTTCAATGGTCAAGGATATCTGTCATGAGACAGCCAGGAGTGCTCAAGATGTTGTGATCTGTTCGCACCTCCGCTTGCTCATACTATCGAGCCGGCCGTGGATCTTTTTATGTCGTTTTTTCTGTACGTACGTCGTGCAAGTGATCAGCGTGCAGTAGTAGCACATCTGTATACGATAGTAGCTCACGGCCATCTCAACAAACGAAAGGACTTGAAAGGCTGGTATAGGTCCTCTGTTACTCCCCTCGAATTCTGAGGATCGCTTCAGAATCACTCCAACTCCTAGAGCACATGTGTAGTAAGGAACGTTGAAGGAACGACACCTTTATGATTATCTTCCTCGGATTTCGTCCAGAACAGATGAGTTTCCAGAGCTGCTTGGGTATCAGACTGTGGCATATCTTTCCGTATCGGATGATCAGGCGGTCGTCATGAAAATTGGGGCTTATAAGTATTATGCCAGCGAAACGGGCGGAGTCTTATCAACGCACCTGTACACTGACAACGCGCGTAGAATCCACAGACGTACGACGGTGAATCCAAAGTGAATCAGCCGAAGCAAAGGCAGTTCAATCCTGTTCAACGCCACACAGCGCATCTACTCAATTCAGCGCTGTCGTCATTGTCATTACGTCAACCATAACCGCGCCGCGGGCCACAAGAGCCCTCCGCTAATCACTGCGCCTCGTCTTCATCCTTTTCCTCCAACCCACCTTCTCCTCAATTTCTTGGTCTCTCACTTGAACCCGTGTCTCATTGTCCGACTCGATATGGCGAAACCTATGTCTGCGCACAATCCATTTCGGACACCGAACCTCACTCCGATGCCCACAGGTGCCTCCACCGCCTCCAGCTCCGCCAACCCATTCAACAGTCCCCCGCACTCCCCACCATCGAAAAACACACCTCTAGCCCAACCACCACCTCCTCATACATCCTTCGCACCCGAATTCGAACCCATCGTCGAACGCGAAACCGACTCCCCATCGCCTCCTGCATCACCGGCCCCTCCGCCGCCGCCACAATCCCCTAGCCCACCTCCTCCCGAGCCCGTCCCTCCAGAAATAACAATAAACAACACCGGGAGCACAACGCTATACGCACCTCCACCTGGATCACCTCCACGGACCCATTCCCCTTCTCCCTATCTCTCCCAACTCGACCCGCCACCTCCGTCCGGGTCTCGAGGACCCTCATCATCTCCATCGCACTTCGCACCCCCGTCGGGCCCACCCCCATCAGACACCCACTCCAATTTGCCCCCGAATCTGGATGAGGGTGGGAGTGGTGGGCTGGACGAAGAGCTGCCGCCTGCGTATAGCGCCGCTCCGGATCCGAGTATCGGCGAGACGACGGTGGAGTTGGGTCCGCGGAGGCCGTTTCAGAGGGCTCCGGAGTTGCCTGGACAGGGTGTTGGTACGTTCGTTTTCCTGTTCAGTTTTTATCGTCTCTCTTTTGTGTGTGGACTTTTGGTGCGCCGATGAGCCCGCTGGCAGACAGGGGTATAAGCGCGTTGTTTCGTGGGCCACATCACGTGATTGAGTCGCCACCTGTCTTGCCGCAATGTTGAGATCTTCACAGTTCGAAAGACATCGAACGGTGTTCATGACTCGATGATCTAATTCGTCCTCTGCCCCTGTTTCTTTATCGCATCGCGTAACGGAACCCGCCACCACCTTGCTTTGTGCTCTCCGTTTCGTGTTTTATGCTTTATCCTCTCACCTCGTATCTCAAGCACGACTCGGTGGCGAAACGGCATCGTATCTGCACAATATGTGGTATAGTGTTGATACACGATGCGTCTTAGCAGAAGGATCCCAGTTCGAATCTGGGCCGAGTCGTTTTGTACCGATACCCTGTATTTTTTTCTGTGCTCCTTGTGAGCGGTATCCTGCGACATTTCCTTGCTTTGTGCTTTGTTTCTTCGACTCGTACTCCATCCACGACTCGGTGGCGAAACGGTATCGCATCTGCCCAATATCGTCATAAGGACGCACAATGCGTGTTGGCAGGAGGATCCCAGTTCGAATCTGGGCCGAGTCGGGTTTGTTCCGCAGTTTCTTTTGTTGGCTGTATACGTGCGACATCTCCGTGCTTTGTTCTTTCAACTCGTACTCCAACCACGACTCGGTGGTGAAACGGTTATCGCATCTGCCCAATATCGTCATAAGGACGCACAATGCGTGTTGGCAGGAGGATCCCAGTTCGAATCTGGGCCGAGTCGGGTTTGTTCCGCAGTTTCTTTTGTTGGCTGTATACGTGCGACATCTCCGTGCTTTGTTCTTTCAACTCGTATTCCAAGCACGACTCGGTGGCGAAACGGCATCGCACCTGCGTAATATGTTACTATATCTGCAATGACACGTTCTCGCAGGAGGGTTCCCAGTTCGAGTCTGGGCCGGGTCATCTCTGTTGAACATGGCTACGTTTTCTGGGGCTCCTCGTGGGCTGTATACGTGCAGTATTTGGGCTCTCCACTGGACAAGCACGACTCGGTGGCGAAACGGCTATCGCATCTGTGCAATATGTTCGCGACATTGGACACGATACGTGTTGGCAGGAGGTTCCCAGTTCGAATCTGGGCCGGGTAATGGTGGAATGTGTTGTTTTGACTGCCTGAGAAACTGACTCCTTCCTCTTTCTCTTTGAAACCTCGAAAGTTCCGAACTGTCGCTAACAACTTTTCTTTCTTTCGTCTCCAGGCTGGCAACCCCAAATCCAACCCCGACGCACTCCCCAACCCCAATCCCATTCCCAACGACTCGCCCACCAACCCACAGGCTCCCTCTCCTCCTCCGGACGCATCGCACCGCCCTCGCACCCCCTCCGTTCCGACTCGAACATCCCGCTCGCGCTCTTGAACTCCTCTTCCTCCTCCTCCGCAGCGGGCGGTGGCAGGAGCAACAACAATAGCCTCGCACCACCGACCCTCCCCGCCCGTCAACGCTCCCACTCCGCCGGCGCCGGTTCGCGACCGACGAGACCGCCAATCTCACCCCCAGAGGGCGAGTTGTCGGAGTTCGCGAGGGAGTTTTATGCGGCGGGGGGACGCATCCCTGGATCTGAGCCTGAGGTTGAGGGTGAGGGTGGAGCTGGGGACGAGAATGCTGAGCGACGCGGTAGGACTGGAGCAGGAACAGGAGGAGGAGGAGGAGAAGGGGCTGATATTGGTCGGTCAAGGACGCAGTATTTACCCCCGCCGGGCGAACCGCCTCTTCCGAGGAGACCGACATCGGCGGGTGGAGGGCGTTCTGGTTCTGGTTCTGGAAGTACTCGAGGAGGAGCAGGAGGGAGTGGAGGTGTTGCGGACGATGGGAAGCCGACGAGGCAGCCTGTGCCGGGGCATCCGTTGTTGAATGCAGGGAATATATTGGTTTATCCGGCGGGGTATGAGTGTCGGAAATGTGCGCTTTCTTTTCACTTTCCCTGTCTCTTTCTTTCCCTTGTCAATCAATGGATTCTTGTGCTGACTTCGTTGCGTGTGATGTGACACGAACGTAGGTCATAACATAGGATATAAAGCCGCCGATCCAAATAATCCGTGCAGGAAATGCTGGGATAAGTTCGGGAAGCCGTTCACGAACGCGATGAATTATATACCTTGGTACGTTCCCCTTCCTCTCTTCTTTCCTCCCCTCCCTTCCTCTCTCATCTTTCTAACAACCCACTCCTCCAGGTCCCCCGCCCGCGACGCCCAAGCCTGGTCCACCAACTCCAGCTCCGGCAAATCCTTCCAACGCCCCCTCCCCTCCTCACGTGCTCCCCACCTCAGCGTCAGCACCTCCAACCTCTCCTCCGGCGGCTCTTCCTCCCCGCGACCCTCCGCATCCACGTCCAGCACCTATCTCGGCTCTTCCACAGTCAGCTCGATCCCAGTGAATGAAAACGCCCACCGCCGCGCTATCTCCAACCCTGTCTCCCAACACGGATCTTATAATAGTCGCACACGCCCTGCACAACCCCTCGTCCAGCTCCCCTCCTCGCTCTCCCCTCCCCCGCTCAACCGCGCCACCTCCGGAGCCCTCCGACCCCGTCTCGTCGCAGCGGGCGCGAGGCCCCCGCCGGGTGCGGTGGTGTACCAGCCTGGGGATCCGAGGTTGGGGGGCAGTTTGTGTTGGAGGTGTGATGGGAGGGGGGTCACTACGTTTTTCATTTTTGATGAGGGACGGTGTGAGGCTTGTAATGGGCTTGGGAGGATTTTCTGAGGAGAGTGGGACGAAGGAGGGTGCATAAGTTATGAGGGAGAGGGGAGATTTTTAGGAGGAGGTTGGGATTCCGTTTTTGCTTATGTTTCTTCCTAGACGGGATACTTTCGTTACGCTGTAGTCTGTAGATGTTCAACTTTGACGGATCACGTTATGTTCAACGTTCTGCTTTCGATTTGTTTACGAGCTCATGGACGTTCGATCGCCATGCTGTTTTTATGGAGCGATAGCGCTTTGTTCCCATTGTTTGCATATCATTCTTCCGTACGCAATCGCACAGGAAGACTCGTCGTAGCAGTATCTATTCACAGTATCGTATGAGCGAGAGTGCTTCAGAGCGACAACGTCGACTGCAGGCAAAAAAGAAACGGTAGCACGGCGCTATCGTATAGCGGTTTAGTACACAGGATTTTGACGCGTCTCGAATATTCCTGTAACCCAGGTTCGAACCCTGGTAGTGCCTTGGTGAAAGTACGAGTGTAGATTTTTGTGCACGTTCCGTAGGGGCGGGTAATTACACATTATGTGCATGAGAGTTGGGGGGATCGGTTGAGGCTGCATTTGGTGAGAAAAAAAATTGATCGATGGTCACTTGTTTTTTGATGCGCAAGATCGGACGCGTGTTTTGTTCAGACTCAAATGTGGCGCGTGCCACACACGACTTTATGTTGGACAATGAGTTTTGAAATACAAAGACGCACAATAATAGCTACATAATGACCCTCGAGACATTCCCGGCCCGTACGCAATGATAAAGGATGCAATGAATACAGCAGTGACCCAAAAACAAAATCTCGAAGTCTCTTAGCTATCCAAATCACCTTGAAACAACCCTAACATCATTGACAACCCTTCCCCTCGCCCGACGTCCCATCCCCGCCCAACACCGTCGCCCGCGCCCCGTCCCGAATGAGCTTATCAATAGCTCTCGTGGCACCGGAGAGATGGACGATGCGGGCGCAGGAGGCGTGCAGTTTTAGGTAGCGGGGATCGGGGAGGTGATCAGAGGAGGAGTGGGAAGAGGGGGAGGAGGAGAAAGAGTGGGTTGTGAAGCGGATGTGGGGGTTAGCGACAGAGCAGATGTGGTAGCGATAGTTAGTGGGAGCTTAGATGATGTAGCTATTCTCTGGACCCTATAATGATCATGTCACCGATAGCGCATAAAGGGGAGTCAGCAAGCATTGCCTATCAACAAGTGGAGAACTAGTAGAGAGCGTAGAAAACCCAGGAAAAATATCTTCCTCAAGCCACACTTTCTGCCTATCGAAAGACATGGCTAGATCTGAGTTCACATAGAACGTGTTCTGCAGCCTGTAGACGTTCGTGCCGCCCATTTCTGAATTGGAGTCGATGCCGCCGTAGCAGTTTAGGAGCACGTGGGCGCACTCACAATGAGCAACAACAACATCACTATGACCCTTCCCCTTCACCACCGATAACCCCAGGCTCAGCTGATAATTCCGTAGTAGATAGTATGGGAAGAGGGCGATAGGCTGGCGGAGAATCATAGTGAGATTCCCAATCTTCAGCCACGACTGCCGTGACAGATCAAAGGCAGGAGGGACTCACATCTTCCGCCGCTAAGCAACAGCAACCCCAACTCCTTTCTCTCATCGAGCGTCGTACGGGGGTCTTCAATTTTCGTCACAATACCATACACCTCATCCGTACTAAGCTCCTCGCTATCACTCTCAGAATCACTATCATTTCTCTCTTCCTCATCCTCCTCCATTCGATCAATCCCAGTTCGATCAATCCCAGCGCCACCGCTATCATTCGCGTCTCGTGAAGTGCTGCACGGCTGCTGAGAGGTTCCCGCCAGAGCGAGCAGAGGAGACACAGAAGGATCAACCGTCGTGTACATTCCTTCTGCAAGTTTAACTGCAAAGAGTGGAGGGCGGTAATATATGAGGGTATAGGCCTCCAAGGTGAGACCAGCGAGTCTGCGCTGGCGCTCCGTCAGATTCTCAAAACTGTAGTGCCTCCGATGATGTTCAAGTTTCGATGCGGCATTGAGGATGAGCAGGAAGGGATTCACGGTTTTGTCCGGATGATTGCGAGAGGAGTAGCAAAAGGGAGGGTAAGGGTCGGAGTCCGAGTCGGGCGCTTGCCAGTGACGGAGTTCTCCACCGGTGACCTGCCAGAGGCGGTACGTTAGAGGGCTGTGTTGTTCGAGGGCGATTAGTGGCTGATCGGGGAGAAGAAAGAACGAGGGATGGAGGATGATAATGTCGTAGTTTAATCGAGACAGCACTGGGTCCAACCACTGCAGAAAAGATAAGAGGTGAGCTTTCAACTTTGTCCCTGCAGAATAGACAATGCAGGCACGCACGTCGATAGTTCGTGGAGGCGGGTATTCGGTAAATATCTTTGTGGAAGCCTCCCACTTCTGATTAGTGGCATTCAATATCTGAATTACGGCTTGCAGCGAGTGCTCGCTTAGCGTGAGGGCGTAGGTGGCGTAGACGTCGAGGTGTCGGTGGTACGGTGGATACACTACGTTGATCAGATACGCAGTGACCAAAGCGAGCACAAGCAGGAAGGACTTACAAAGAGCAAGATTCTCCATGGAGTCAAGGCTAAAGTTTCCTTGCTGGCGAGTAATGCCCAACACAGTGGTTAGATGCTTGGTCTGGAGGGTAGACCATGATTAGTGTTTGGCGGCGGTAAAACAGTACAGACTTACCACTTCGGCTTCTTCACCTTTCTTGCGGACAGGGTTCACAAGATGCGCAACCTCAAGCGAAATGCAGGGGTAGCCGGTCAGGAAGCAGCCGACGTCTCCAACGAACTCCTTCCTAAGCTTGTCGATGGCACTGATCGCGGCGTTACGAGACCTTTTGGTCGAGGTCGAGCCCTGGTCAGTCGGTGTCGGTGTCGGTGTCGTGAGGCGTAAAGGCTGAGGGGGAAAGCCGGGTGCAGAGGGCAAGCGAGAGGCTGGGCTTGGGAGAGAGAGCTTGCCAATCCAGCCGCCAATGATAGCCGACATGTCGCCCGCTACATACGCAAGCTGGAAGACGATGGAAGTCGCTAGGAGATGATGAAAGGAAAGTGATTCTCAAGTTGTTCCCAAGCGACACCCAATTGTTCAATCATATTGTTTGCGTCTGTTTGGGCGCGCCACATCATATCGATGTCATTGTTCGCCTTTCGGAGACTGTCGATCCTTTGTTCTCCCTTCTGCGCTCTTCACTCATCTCTTCAGCAGTTCACTCAGGCAACGTACTTACCTCCCATCATGCCCACCTTATACGTTTCTCAAACAGATCCCATTACTGGACGTACGACCATCGAACTGATAGACTCTGAAGAACACAGTTTTCAGTCTGGACCTGAGCGTTCGCTCTCTGTCAAGCTTGACTCTATCATCACACGCGCTTCGAGATACTTAGACTCAGACGAAGCACCACCTCACTACCTGCTCGCTCAACTTCCGAACTCTCAGACCGCTTGTCCCCTATTCACTGTCATACCTTCAGAAATCCGACACTACATCTTCCACCTCGCCCTCCTCGAGCAAGATGACGTCTCCCATCCTATCCCGCTCCACTCCGACATCCACCGCCCCTCCATCCAATTTCCCAAGATATTCCCTGGAATGGGACTTCTCCGCACCTGCAAGCTCATCTACCTGTCCACCCACCTCCTCCCCATCCTCACCACCACGCACCGTGACTGGCAACAATTCCCAGGACCTCCGTACACTGTCAGCGTTCCAGCCGGCATCAGAGCGAAGAATACGCGAGAGAGATGGGCTCTGATGACGAAGGAGCAGAAAAGGGCGGTGGTCAGGATACATGTTTACGCCTCGCAGTATTGGCTGGAGAGGGAGTGTTATCCTTTTAATCCGGATTATCGGAAAATGAGGCTGGCAGGCTTGAAGCCGAGGAGTTTTGCTGTTACGGTTCGGTGGGATGACTGGTCGAAGCTAGGGAGGAGTGACGACGACAACAGCGGTGGGGGCGATGACGATGGGGGTATGAGAGCGCATGTTTCACACTATGAGGAGAAATGGAGAGCTTGGTTCAGCACTTTCGGTGAGAGCCTGGAGGAGATGGTCATGGAGCTCGAAACGACGGAGGAGAAGAAGGACGAGCTCGAGAGAGAAGTGGAACGTCTGAGAAAGTGGAGGCTAGGGCCATTGGGAGATGGAGGAAAGGTTTGGGGGACGGATGAAGTGGAGGTGAAGAGAGAGATCTGGAAAGGATTTATTTCCGGTGTGGAAGAAACTCCAGGCGACCGTACGATGATGCAGAATTACTATGCGGCGACGGTAACGTGGAAGCCTCTGAGTGAGGAGCCGAGCTTGTAGAAACGTTTTCTTCGCATATCTTTTCTTGCTCTCTTCATAATCTGCTGGGATCCGCCCTTCCTTGCTCCCTGTGCAGTTCACCTCCGGGCACCCGCCGTACTCATCCCGTCCACGGCCTGAACTCATTGAAATTGCGTTAGCCACCAGCAGACTACGCTCCCCGGCTTGATCTCTACTATAAGTGGCCCTATGTTCGGACAAAACCGATGTTCGGACAGTCCGAGAACTCGCCCAATACTGCACTGTTTCGCCCAGTTCAAAGGCCCATAAATCATGTTAAATGGTCTACAGACCATATCCGCAGTCGTTTGGATGCAGTTGTGGCAGCGGGATGTCGAACGGGGAGGGGTTCGGTTCGGACACTTTGGCGGGCGCGGCTGTCCGAACATCGATCCCGCCCGTCAAACAACTATTTTCCTCGCATTATTTCGCGTAGAAATTTGTACGGACATGTAGCTAATGTAGAGAGCATATGTTCTGCTGAGTTTCATCTCGAGAGGACTCGAAATGCGGGAGCTAGATTTTTTCATGTCGGAATTGTCCGAACATAGGGCCAGGGACAGTAAACTATTCCTTGACATGGTAGTGCGCTGGGCTAGGTTTATTCATGTCTCATAGACATGGCCTTCGAGGACTTTTGGCCGATAACTCATGTATTGCTGGCAAAGTATCTCAAAAATCGAATATATCTACTATACTACAGCGCGGACACAAGAGACAAAGACGCAATCCGATTGGCTAGGGCTCATCGGCCGGATCCGAACTTGCACTGCCACCTCCACGTGGACTTATTCCGTCGCTCTCGAAAGTTCGCGGACGGTCACTGGCATGTTCTCCTTACGCCCATCGCTCAGCTTCCAGACAAGTCTCACGGCGCGGGTATGAGGTTTATTCACCCCGCTCGGTTGAGGCTCATTTTATACTGTCAAATCCAGTACAACTTTTTCGGGACGGTCGATGGTCTCAGATGTAAGTATCTTCTGAGGCAGACGGTATTGAAAGACCCGCGGTAATGCACAGGCCGGCTCCTTTTATTGCAAGAGAGGGCATGCCGGTATGTCTGAGGCAAAACCATACTTGGCACAGTCAGGCCAGGCGGGTTTCAAGGCGGTCATGAAGCGAATGCCACCCCCACAGCGGCCTGTGGCTCAGCGCCACCAGGAGGACTCGCCACGCAAAGTTCTCGGAGATACTTATCAGATGGCGGCTCAAGCTCAAGCTTGTAACCTCGCTATGGTGGCCTGAACTGCATATGTATTAGTCCCGACCCACCTGCAGCACCGTAAGTATAGGATTTTTATGCTGTGGCGGGCCAGGGCGGGCCTGCACAAGGTCTGCAGCTTAGTATGCGGGAGCTGGATGAAAAAATCGGAGGCTCCACTTGATTGTACAGTGATTTGTACGCCATTGTGAGCGTGAATGCTTTCAAGCTTTCAAGCTGTGACAGGTCTTTGCTACACGGGATGTGCCGACTCAAAGTAGCCTTAATCCGACTTTTTCGATGATTGCAATGGAGATGTCGAGGGCGCTAGCGGCATCCAGTACATTCATCAAAAAGATGGATGATCTTCGGGTCGGAGTTGAGGAGGTTGGTGGGGATGCAATGTGCACACCCAGCGACTGATGTTCCTCATGTCTTCGTGAGCAAAACTGGAGGGTCTTTTGGAGAACGGAGGGGCGAGGCGCGATAGCGCCTCGACCCGGAGTTCGAGGAAGACCCTTCAGGTTTCTTTCTCGTCAAGCTTGAATTTCTACTCAAGCAGTTCCTCTGGTAGCCCCGTGCGTAGCACGGGCTTGCTGCTAGTTTGTTGAATACCTCCAACATATAGTTTCAAGGTCTGTCTGTGGGAGACTAGCAAACGCCGCTTCACACAAGCTGACTTTCCGCTTTTTAGTGGTATGAATCTTTAGTGGTACGAATATTAACCTGATAAGGGTACACACAACATCGTCATACATAACAGTCCATACCGATCGGACACGCACGTTCAGCCCACGAGTCACGACTAGCGACAGACAGTCCCATCCGTCCACCCCTCCCCAATCCTCGCACGTCGTTCACGTCCGGCTCAGAGTGAAATGAGAGATATCGATATAAACATCCTTCATTATATGTATCTCGCGTCGTCGTTCCATGGACAATGGACAGTATGTAGACTATTTTACTTTACTTTATCAGTATCGAGTATCGAGTATCGGGGGTGGTATCATTGTTGTTCAAGTTTGAGAGATGAGATTGAGATGATATGAAATGGAATGGTGAGAGATGAGGAGATTCAAATGAAACAGACAGAGATAGACGGATGGATGGAGGAAGAAAGAGGAACAGAGACAGAGACGGGACCAGAATAGAAGAGACGAAGAGGAGGAACGGGAACGGGAACGTAAAAAGGGTCCAGAAGTGCGTAGATGCGTGTTGTGTTGTGTTGTGGAAAGAAACGAAGCAAGAGAAATGAATAAACGATAATCGGCTACAAAAAATTCAGAATCAAAAAAAGAAAAATACGCGCACTCCTCCCTCCCCGCAAAGGTTCAACGTTCACCTCGCCCCAGTCAGGTACTCACTCACTCATCACGACGCAAAATAAAGCACCGTCCCCACCACCAACAAACACATCACCACGATCAACAACACCGCGCCCCCAAAGAACAACACCAGCTCCTTATCGACCCCCGCATTCGCATTCGCCCCCGCCCCACCTGCCTTCCCATTCGCCCCTACACCATTCCCATTCACGGAAGCACGCAGTTTAGCGAGCTGTAGATCCCGCTCCTGGGCCAGCTTCGCGATCCGTGTGCGCGCGTCGGAGGGATCGAGGGTTTGGGTGGCTGAGGAGGAGCCGGAGCCGGAGGGGTCGGAGGAGAGGTGGACGAAGGAGGGGAATTGGTGTTCGGCCCATTGTTCGATCTGGGGGTGGATAACGTGAGGTTAGTTGTGAGGTTAGTTTTGGGGGTTGGAAACGGGGAAATGGGATGGAGAGTTCGTGGTGGAAGAGGTTGTAAGGGAACAGGGAATAGGGAACAGGGAGGGTACGAAACGTTCGTGGTGGAAAGAAGTGGCAAAAAGTCAAGGCGGCTCAAAGAAATACAACGCGAAATAACAAGACGGACACGAGAGCCAACGAGGAGAACTCAGAAGGACACGAAAACGCACCTTCGCACAAGCGACCGATATCCTGATAAAGTTCGGATCGGCCGGATTCGACTTTTTATGTATCGCGCGCGCATAGTCGCGGAACATATACGCCACGTCGCGCGGGTTCGTCGAGTTCATGATCAACTATTGCCGCACACGCATCAGCATCCCGTCCCCATGAAACATCGTGAAAGTGAAAAGAAGACGACGAAACGCACCTTCGCAGCAACCGCCTTCCTAATCTTCACATGCCTCTCAAACACCTCCCCATTCGCAAAACACAACTCAAGCGTCGCCATCGCCATCACCGCCGGAATCGCACAAAAATTAAAAACCGTCTGATTCCTCAACAACCTCAAATAATCCAAACTATCCGTCGCATGTCTCAGTGCATCCAACACCATCCCACTCTGCACATACAGCGCCCTCCGTCTCCCCGCCTCTGTCCTATCCTGATACAAATCCTCCACGCGCCCGCCTTTTTCGAGTGAAGGGGTGAGTGGGACCCCGGAAGCGATGATGTATTCGGAACGGCCCCAGATCTCGCGAGGCCAGAAGAATCGGCCTTGGTCTGCGTCTTCTCGGAAATCACGGATGATGTTCGTTTTCTGCAACAGAAGTCCCATCGAATTGCTCAGTTCTTTCATTTCGCCGAGGTAGGGGGCTTCTTTGCCCGAGGCGGCCCAGATGCGGGAGAGGCCCTCGCCGACGAGGCCGGCGACGTAGTGGCAGTAGAGGTCGTATTCTGCGATGGTGGAGAGGTATATTGGGGAGGGGGTGGAGGAGGAGGAGGCAGAGGAGGAGGCGCGGTGGGCGTAGTCTGCCATTCCGATTTCCATTTTGTGACAGATGTCGACTATCACTTCCCGATATCTGAATTGTACGAGTGAGCATCTTCCTCAACCTTCTTTCGAGTAAACACAGAGACTCACCCAGGTTCGAGCCTCCCGACCTCCTCGACTACTTTATCGTACTCGACCAGAACGATCCGATCCTTCTCCTCGGGGCCGTTGCCATCGAAGGTCCAGCCGGGCGTGAGCGTCTTTTCGTGGAAGGAGCGGAGGAGGGGTTGTTTGATGGAGTCGGCGATGGTCATGTCGTCTTCGATGGTGTCGAGGCCGCGGAGGACGATGTAGAAGAGGCAGATCTGGGGGTGGGAGGTGGGAGGGGAGGAAGAGGGAGGTCAGTCAGTTGGTCGAAAGACGACGAGGGAGAGGGGTGTGGATGGACGAGGAATATAGCAAGACTTTGTCGCGAGAATATGACCATGCCCGACGAGTCGAAGGGAAGAGCGCGACTCTAAGAACGGGAGGACATGTCGACCTGCGCAGTTGCTCCGCTTCGTGCAGACATGTCCACAACGGCGCGATGTTCACGAACAGAGACTCCACATGTCGTATTCCACCCACACACCCAAAACACCAGAAAAAGGGACAGACAACACATACCGCCCTCGCAAGGTCCCCATCCAGCTCCTTAATCACCGCCGAAAAACTCCTACTCGTCTTATCCAACAACTCCCAGCACTTCTTCATGCTCTCCCTGTCCCAGCCGGACGTGGCGTACTCCTTCGGGTTGGAGATATCGCGCTTGGAGTCGTGGAACATCCAGAACTGGACGAGCGTGCGGAATTCGTTGGGGTGGGTGAGGAGGAGGGTGAGCATTGAAAGGACGCTCATTTTTGTTTTTCTTGTTTGTGTTCGTTGGTATGACGTGCAGTCGTTCGATGTGTGTAAGTTATGTGGCGTATGAGCGGTATTCGTTGCAATAAAGCGTGAAGACGCGGTTGAGACAGCGACGGGGCACGGACGTGGAGGGAAAGGGGATGTGGATGTGGATGGTAGGAGAAGGGAAGGGACGTTCGGGTGGAGGAACGTTCGATTTATTTTGAGCGAAAAGAGATATATTCGCTCGCGGAGGTCGTACCACTTCCGGCTATCCACTCACCGTGGGAACCCTAGCCAGCCTCTTACCTACATCCCCTCAGGCACCCACCCACTTTCAAATAAATTGCCTTTCTCTGCTCAGTGCTCTGCTCCGATGGATAGCTCGCCCCAGCCGCCAGTGCGCATCATCCCTACGTCCTCCACGAAGCTCTCGCCGACGCAGGCTTTGGACGCGTTAGACGAGTTCATGGCGGATTTTCAGGAGAGGAGTTCGCCGTTGAAGGGGGGCGATAATACCGTCACTGTCCAGCTCCAGAAATTGAGCGCGGCGCTACAGCAGGAGGAGGAGGCGAACCGTTCGTGAGTTATGTGAGTCGTTTTTTGGTGACCTTGAGCGAGCGCTCGGTGGGACGGAGACTGACATGCGTTTTGTGATGTGTTATAGGAGGATTCTTATTGGGCGGTGCTCGTCCGAGTCCTGGTTCCACACTTTCCTGTCCTCGTACTACTCGAATGCATCCATGTCCTTGTTCGCCCGATGACCGTCCCTCTTCTACTATGACGACTATCGACTTCTCTTTACTGCCTTCCCACTTACAGAACTCTCAAATAAAATCTTTACATACCGCCTAGTTTATCGTCTACTTATTGATTATCCTGCTCGGTCTTCACTCTCTCGTTCTCTGTGCTTGCAGCTTCGGCGGACTTACTTTCTCAATTTCGTTGCTTACCTCTTTCTTTGTTTTTGTTTAGTCATCATCTCGGCCCGGCGAGGTGCTTGTCACCTGAGCTATTTTGTACACCGCCGGAGGGCGGAAGCCTTGTAACAGGGTCGGCCGGGCGGCACGTTGTCACAGGCCAGACACGATACTGTTCCGGGGTTTTTCGGACGGACCCTGATCCGATGTTGCCGGCCAAGGTTGTACCAAGGTTGTCCATGGGGCACTGCGAGGGTTCCCGCCAAGCCGCCAAACACCCAAAATGCTGGTTGCCCGCGGCAAGAATTGAACGCGCGGCCTAAAACCACGGTCGGGCACAGAACAAACCTATAGCGAAACCACTAGACCATAGAGGCGTACACAACTGGCGAGACACCTTGAATAGGTTCATCCGCTGCTGTTTTTTCCAAGGGTATAGAAGACGGACTGGACGGACAGATGGTCGAAATAAATACATAGCAGGTATCTACTAAATGGATAGTACTTACATGAGTGATATATGACACTCAGTGAGGCGGGGAAGGATGAGCTACCCAAGGAGAACGCGACTTGGGCATATGCAGTCGTCAGAGCTTTCTGAAGGCGGTAGGGAGCGGCTGACTAAGCGGATACGTAGAGGGGAGGACGTAGCAACCTTGGGACAACCTTTTCGAAAAGCCCTGTTGCACGGGCCGCCGGACAAGCCTGGAACATCAATTTCGAAAATCCTCGTTATGGTATCGGTGCCGGGATCGCACATGGTCGCAGCGTCCCTATCCCGGGGTATTTCGGATGGGGGCCGTGCCGAGGATTAGCACGCCCGGCGGTGTAGCGTACACCCCAAACGCACTAAGTTATCATCGTTACCCTTTTGGGAGACATGGCTTCGAGGTCCGCTCGACGCGTCGAAGGCACATGGTGCCACATATGTTCTCGATATCCTACCTTCATGTAGCTCACCAATATCCCCAACACAACCTCTGCCATGTGTACCGTACAACATTCCACAATGTCTCTGTTTAATATCAATTCTTCCCATGACACTCCGACATCCTCGTCGATTTTCTCTCTCAAACGACCGCGACAGTTCTACAGCCTCATCACCGATGCCGCCATCCAAGCCGCTTCACAGCGAACGGTCTGGTAAGTTAGTTCTCAGGGTATACTAGTATCACATGAAACCCTACTGAAATGGTTCGAAGTTGAGGTTATCGAGGTCTCTTCCGACGAAGATGAGACCCGTGGACAGAGCAGACCACAGCCGCTACGCTCTGCAGCGCTGCGTGCAACGAGGAAAAGCACTCGGTATGTTCTCTCACACCTCTTCTCTACATACACCTACTGACTGTATCGGATGGTAATAGGCTTCGTGCTCAAGGGCATCTTCTCGATAGTCAGGACGCGGGATCCGGAGATAGGCATTTGACGCGTGAGGGCAATTCAAAGCAGGCCAGTACAGTTGCACAGGATACAAAAGGCGACCGGGGAACTCGTACAACTGATGAATCTATCACAAAGTATGTCTTGTTTTACTTGCATGGTCGGGCATTGACTGACTCTCTGCAGAGAACGATTCAGCTCGACGACATTGGTCCCCGCCCCCTTTCCTTATATCCCTCCCCTTTCGTGCACTCCGAGTCCTACACGCGTCACCCTGTCCTTGCCGGACACTCCGTCGTCTCCGCATCTTACCCCCACGCTGGTCAAAACTTCCACCTCACCTGCGACTGCTACTTCAAACATTCCACTTACACAGTCCACCGAGGGTTCGGACCTCCCAGCTCAAAACCTCGGTAAGCGTAAGCGTACATTCTCCGACGTAATGAGGGAACTTGGCAGGGTTGGAAGGCAGGCTCGAGAACTTGAGAACGAGATTTTGAAGCGCCTTGTGGAGGACTGAGCGTATGGATGGGAATTATCGAGGGGGAGTTTTGGAACCGGTTGAAGATATATGGCTATGAGTGTGTAGATGCAAACAGGCTAGTGAAGCTTTAATACATGTTCTATGTTTCTGAACCATACGTGTGCTTTCGAATGAGAACAGACTAAGAACAAAGGCCAGTACAGATGCAAAGTCTTCGTCATGCTCGTTGATTTACGCCACAGTCATCCTTACTGCATGCTGAGCACCCGAGCTAATTCAGAAAGTTCTATATTGTGAGTGAAGCATGGCTTATGTATATTCTCATATACTTACACTGCACATTCGCAGTATTTTCTCGTGCCATGCCGATCTATGAACACGACGTCCCCGGAACTGTGAGGACGGAGCCACATGGGCGCTGTTTGGGCGCTCATCATTGCTGTGGCGTTTCGACGCGCGTCGCGTTCGAGTTCACCTTGCCTTACGTGCATTTGTTTCTTGTCTCTTACCCAACTCTTACCTCCCGTTGTACATCTCTACGCAGATTCCCTGGACGTCCGATCAAATTACTCACCTATCCAACACAATCGAAAGCTGGCCGCTTAGCAGCATCTGCCAACCAACAAAGGAGAACATTTTCTGGAGCCATCAAGCAGACGGAGTGCAGGTCAAAGGAGTAACGGTATGCTCATTTTTCCAGTCTTGAAGCCTGTGTGCTCGATGTGCGTGTCTTGGCATGTGCGGTGTGCAACGGACTGCGGCCAGACTGTTGCTCCTCGTAACATGCAAAGCTCCTCACTCGGATGCACGGGCTCGGTCCTATCGAGAAGAGATACAACCAAAATCTTGACTAGTTGATCACACTATCAGGAAGACATTACATGATATAATCAATATACATAGTGGGTTTCATCATATCTTTCTTCGCTTCGCATCCCTCTCCTCAGTCAATTTCTCCGGGTCAGGCCTGTGTTCTATATCCCTTGGTTCCTGGTGTGCAGCTGAAGGGCCGGCCGTTCCGCTCAGATCTGGAGCATGAGACGAGTGAGGAGTCGGATTGGAGGGCGGCTGATGTGGTGGGGTGTAGTGGTATTGATAGCCGTGGAACGTAGCCGGATTTGAGTATGGTTGCCCATACGGTGTCCATGAGTACGCAGGCATGAAGGGCTGCGCTGTCGGGGTAGATGAGTGTGGCCACGCTGACATTGGGTAGTATGGCGAAGGAGTATTTTGTGAGAGCATGTACCCTGTACGCTGGGCATTCGTCGAAACCGATGGCTGGGGCGTTGTTCTGATCTGAGTGTCCATCGATGATGTCGGACCAGACCCGGTGGCGGCTGTTGTCGTAGCAGTAGATGTGGCGGCGTCCTTTGGTTGCTTGTCAGCCTCCTTCCCAGCCTGTTTCTTGCCGTTGCGCTTGGTCGTGAGTGCGCGCTTGCTACTCGCTACCTCGCGCTTATCCGCATTTATGAGTCTGAGCCTTGCGGCCAGTGTGCGATGGTGCTCGTCATGGTCTGGAATCAACGGTTCGGCGCTTTTCGACAGATTAACTGGGAAGAGCCGACGAAGGAGATGAGCGTTATGGAGGCCGTCAAAATTAACAACAAAATGATCATCGCTGGAATGCTTGACCATGGCTGTTGCCCGTTCGGTCTCTTCGCGTTCCTGCATCTCACGACCAGCGGTTGCGTCAACCATGCAGTTCTCCCGTCGACAGTCATGCTGGGTGTTAAAGGTAAACAATAAGTTCTGCATGCAAAGCAACATCAGTATTCGATCAGGATCACCAAGAGGAACAAGCATACCTCGGGTGCTGCCAGGATAGGTTGAGGTTCCACTGGTCGGTGCAAAGTGGGCATATCTAGCTCAGCATGCCTGCCACCAACCGTGAAACGCTCAAGAACGACCAGCAGCCCAGTCTCTCGAGGCGTAGCAGGTGTATTCGCTTGACGTCCAGATGATAGCGACGGATTATCAGGCTGTTCTGTTGTATGGTCTTGGTTTGCCACTGTGGCGTCTGTGAGCCGTGCCGTGGTCCCTGGAGGTAGTTGGACGATTGTACGTATACGGCCAATGACTGGTGTTCCCTGCGACATGAAACTCAGCTATGTTGCAGGAGAATCAAGCCAGGGAAAAGCTCTTACCGACTGAGATTGTAACGGTTCAGTAGATGTGGCGACCACCACAAAGTCTCCAGGTTTGGCAATGTCACGAGAGCGACATACGATGCTCGAGCCAATGTTCACGGAGCATGATGCGGGGATGTTTGGACACTCCGCGAACATAGGAATTGCCTCTCTGGCACCTGTGTCGACCCACGAAGTAGAGCGAGTCTTGAGAGGTGCAAGATGGATGGTCCCTGGCATGAGAAACATGATATGTGATCTAGGCATGGGAGCATAGTCGAGTCAGACTGAGACACACCTGGTATAATTCGGCCTAGATCCATCCATCCAAGCCATTCTTGGATAGCCTTGTTCTTTAGGAAGAGCTGGCGTACACCAGGTCCTGCTCGTGTCCAATGCCCATTCTCTGACTTCCACCAACCACCGCTGTGAATGTGTTTGACACGCCCAAGTCCGCTGAATGATACTGCAATGTCGCGGCTAGGTGCTCGATGATTGCTCATAATGGAGCAGTAGCGAAAGATTGCATTGTAGCACTCGAATATTTCCGTGGAGAAGAGAATGGCGGGACCAAATCGTCGAATATCGTCTACGATGTGAAGAAGAATATGACACTTCGATTTCACTATGATTTTTGCCGGATCTATAGCTGCCAGTATGTCTAGAAAATCGGCGATCTCGACTTCAAGGTTGTCCTATTTGTAGAGTCAGTCACTGCAATGTAAAATTTTGGTATCGCTTACGCAGTAACTATCAATATCATCGATCTCAGGAAACCAAAGGCTCGCTGTCATGCGCCCAGCAGCCTTCCACACTTTGAAGACTTGCTCATCGACCAGGTCTTGAACTACGAAAGCCATAATCTGAACTAGCTGCTTGAACTGGCGGCCAATAAGAGCGCCACGGTATTGCATGAGGTATGATGCTCGAATTGGAGGGATATTCAGACCTCGGATATTTGCAGATGCAAGTCGAGCTTGAAACTCTGTCAGCTTTCCTTTAGCAATAACCTGAGTGCAGGTAAGGGTCCAGATGTATTTGATTACTCCCAGTAGTACCGTGTGAAGCAGCTCCACTGGAGTGTCTCGGTGTACGTCCAGACCTGGTAAGATGTCAGCTCCCAAGAACTTGTGACAATGTATGCTATAACATCATCCGTACCTTCAATGTTGAAAAATGGATTGACCAGATCCTGTTGCATATCGAGCCATGAACGGACAGCCGCCCTCTTGGCCGCATCGTCCAATTCAGGGTTCGCTTGTAAAAGCTCGACGAGATACTGCCTCCCTTTTTTTATCCATTCAAGTGAGAGCGAGTCCTTGACTCCAGTCTCCCGATGCATGCCTTCAAGGTCAGCGCCCATGATACCCGAAAATAATTGCTTTTCAACCTCCTTCAATGTGATTTCAGGATTCCGCACTTCGCCGCTCTGGCGCAAAGGTTCGTCCCAGTTTGGTCCGGTCAACACAAAATGCTGAATGCACTCTATTCGCTCACCTTAAACAGTGCATCATACCCTGCATCAGTCTCCTTCTCCTTTCCGGTCCCTCCAACATCACAGCGACGGCAGAAATGATTTCCACGTAAACCCACATGCGAAGCAAGTTCCGCCTGCATGGGATTGTCTGCCGGAAGATTGAGGATACCGACTTCGAACATGCACTCAGTACCCAGCTCGCAGTCATACGCAATCCACCCCTCTTTAGATGCCCTTCAGAGAAGGTACAAAAGGTGTGAATGTAAGGGCCGGCAATGATACAAGATGGTAACACTTACCGAACTGCACGGCAGATCTCCGCTGCTTGCTCCATGATAGAAGCACTGGGCGAAGTTGAAACAAATCGCACAAAATATTCTTGCTGAAGAAGGCGGTTCGGAAGACCAGCATTTACTAGGTACCAGTTCCAGTGCTTATTCCATTGGCGTGTTCGATTCCCAGACACATCGTCTCCCCACAATCGGATCCAAATCTTGAAGTAAGGTAGCCCATTGGCCCGGACACGGATTGGATGAGGCATTCGCTGTTGAATTTCCTGCTGGGAATCTAGTAGGCAACTTTTCGTTACAAATGGAAACTAAGTGGCAGGAAAACATGTGTGCCCCTACCTACAAACTTCAATCTATCAGTGCCATACTTCTCAATCAATTGCGGGAAGCTTCGACGGAGATTTGATATCGGTTGGGTGAATGTAGTGTTAGCAGGATCTCTCTCGTACAGTCCGTCCTGCTCGATGGTAGTGAGAAATGATTTAATTATTGAGAGATGATTCACATTGCTTACAGGTCGACGATGAACTTTATGATAATCAGCATGCATAACTCCTTTTCGTACAATCCACCGATATGGAATTATGAAGCTTCCATCACGACATTTGGTGAGTTCGTTAACATAGAAATGCTGGTCCCGATGTATGACCATTGGAGTTAGCTGGTCGACGGATAAGCTCGACAGTAGTTTCGTCGCTTGCCACGATTCAGCAACCTGACCGTCTTTATCTTCAGGGTACCGGATTATGTGAGGACAAATGAGAGGATTCGAGAAATCCTGCACGGCCTTTGAGCAGCGATTCGACAAGATTATGAATGATTGGTGCGTACCTGTGCAAGCCCTGCAGCTAGATTATTCATATAGAAAACATTCCCCTGACCGGAGACATGTCTAGTTGTCGGGACACCGATTTCAGACATCTCCTTCTGGCGTCTACGCAATGTATCAAGCGAAGGGACTTCACGAGCACCAGTCTCCTTCATAACAAACAACACCGCTCTCATAAGCTCATCAGACAGCGGAAGGCGCGGCAGGTTATCAAGAAGGTCGACGAGTGCCATCTATATCGAAGTAAGTATACATTCGATCAGCATCTGTACAAGCCAAACAAACTAAGAGAGGATGAGCTCACGGTCTTGCTGTCGTAAGGGGCCCATGTTGCGTCTTTCACGGCTTTGTTGTTGTGCACTGGATCGAGCAAAGGATCGCTCTGGTCCATCGAAGCGGCGCCTTAGGGTGATTAGAGCATCAGTTTCTATCCATAAGATAATCAGAAAACATGTTAGTACCGATGTCACGGAGGTTTTGAGCAACATTGCTGAGAAGGTCTGAGTCACTGGCATTGCCATCTCTGTCCACTACGTCGGCATCTGAATCAGAGTCACTGTCCTCCAAGAAATCTTCTGGCTGAAGACGAAGTGCATGCAAATTCTCAGCCTCTAGCTCTGGTACATCAGCACCGGCTGAGAACATGTACTCATGCCCAAGAGCATCAGCGTACAAGTCCTCCCATTCGTACACCGGAGGCTTCGTCGAAGCTGGGGCTTCTGGTGGTAGGAGATTCACAGAGGGGACACTGTTCAGTGCAGAATAAGACCGAGCCTCTGATTGAGCCTCGGAGCGTCGCCTCTCAGTAGCCAAATCCCGCTCTTCGGCCAGCTTACTGGCAGCATTATGCTTCTCCGATCACAGGTGTTGGCTAGCACTTTTTCGCAGTATCCAGCTCGAAGCCGATTCTGGGTAGAACTGAGCACATGTGCTGCAACGTATACTGGTCGACAGTAACGGGTTGACTTCGAAGACTGATTTGAACATGTAAGGTTAGACAGTTATGCATCACAGGCAAAGCAACAAACCGGCATCCAGAGGCTGGGGTGCTGCAGGCATGCTAAAACCCAATGACTGAACGGTGAGTAATGCGCCATATGAAGGCACACATGATCGTGACTGACCTAGAATGATTTTGACTCTGTCAACACCAGAGCAGGATATTACATCAGCAAGGTAGCACGTCTCTGGACCAGACCGTGCAGACGGTCTCCAGAGTCTCCAGCCCTCCAGTAAGCCACCTGTCACCAGAACAGCGACGGGATTCCAGATGCCCGTCTGGCACCATGAAACCTGTCTGGAGTGTCTGGACGGGTGTTCCTCCAGTCGTTCCAGTCACAATAATAACCATTCAGAACTGTTCAATTTTACTCTATGTACATGCTACTGCCGTACACCAGTAAGCTACCTCGCGATCCCTCAATATGATACACCATCCAAGTCTGTAGCTAGTTGATATATGAAGTGTTTGCTGAATGCACTATTACACGCATTACGATCAGTGCCCTTGGACTGCTCGTCTGCAAAAGGGAGGTGATCAGGTGACTGCATACCCGAGAGAAAGCAAAAGTAAAGACGTACCAGGTCCGTAGGCTGGATGGCCATCGACCAATTGATTGATCACTCACCGACAGAAACTGGTAGAAAGAGGTAAAACAATCAGTAAGTGACTGATCACACAAAATTGCATGCTATCAAGCTATGGTGAGAGAACTAAGTACCACACACCTCACAAGGGTAGAATGTGCAGCCGCACGAGGCATTCCATCAACGTCAAAAGTGAATGCCGAAACACGAGTACAACTCACGTGCATCGCACGAGTGAACTCGACCCTGTTATGAGCAGAGCATGTGGATCATCGAGGACATACCCAACAATCAAACACTTGGAATGGAACATCAAAGATACCCTCGACAGCAGCGACGAAGTGACCGAGCCGCGATACGCACGGACTTGATATAGAGGACATTCGCACGATAACGAGCAGCCTGAAAAGTGTGCATCAGATATGCGTCGAAGGAGAGAATGATGAGAGTGATGGGAGCGTCGAGCACAACCCCTATGGTGCGACTTGGCAAATGAGGGACGGAGAGAAAGGGACACGTACATTCATGGAGTATACAGCATGATCAGCGAAAATGCAGAAACACGCGGTAATGCGAGCGTTAGCTGCAGATATGGAAGGAACGCCTTCAACGGAGATGCTGGCTTTCACGCATGGCACACAACAGACGCAGCCATGCATTAGCATAACAATGAAGAGCCTGTGGCACGTAACAAAAAAATTAGGCAAGGAGGAATAGTATGGGGGCTAATGGGGAGAGCTAAAAGGGTGTAGGGAGACACGACTCCGAAAGAAAAATATCCGTGGACGCATGTACGAAGGGGGTAGATGAATAATCAGCGAAGACATACCTTTCTGTTTCCCACTGGACGTCGCCACCACCTATAAACACCTATATAGGCCTCTGAGCCCCGAAGGTCTTCAGCAAGGAACTCAAACACGCCGAAGGAACGATTGGTTGTCGACATTGTATTTGATTGTAATCGTGCATGGGAGGGACTGAACTGTTCCTGTGCCGTCGTTATCACACGACAATCGTGAGGACAGAGAGATGAGGACGGTATCGTAGAAGGGCAAGCTAGGAGAGAGAGGAAGGTATAGAGGAGGACGACGAAGCGAGACGCGTCGCGCAATAAGTGCTTTAAACTCAGCTCGTTGATTTCCCACGGATGGTCACGAGCGACTCCTGGCAGCTCACGACCCCGCGCTCTTGCTCTTGCTCTCTCCCGTATTCTCGATTCCTGACACTGACCAGTCTAGCCTCCTTGTTATCAACACTCACGGTCTGCATCGCACTATGTCTTGTGAAATCTGGAACAGCTATTCCCGCCATCGAACTCAAAGAACATCGCGACGGTCTCGGATCGACAGCAGTGCGCGATCTAAACTTCGGGTGTTTGGGGCGGTTGTGAAGAAGCGGCATGCGAGGTGTACATGGCTCCGAAGCTTGTATGGGGGTGTTAGCTATCAAGGGCTATCGGGAGAACAGCCTTTCAATGCTTGTTCAGATACTTCATGAGGTAAGTTGCTCTCTTAGCTGTCCTGAACACCGCAATACTTTTCGTCTCGCGCAAGAATCGTGTGCAATCGGTATGGACGTCATGATGCACTCGTTATGTACACTATTTTTATATCTCTTATTTACTGTACTACACTGTATGCAGGATTCCACTATCTTGGTTTGTGTTTGAGTGTCCAGATGAAGATACAACGACAAGGTACAGGTTGCATCCACGAAACTAGCAGTAAGCGCCATTTGACCGATAGCAAAAAAACACACGAAATGACAAATGCGAGTCCTGCGAAATGTTTCGTATCTGCAGACACTGGGCAGAACACCCGATGCCTGGGCGAGCTGGCTCCAGCTCTCCAGAGAAGCCAGTCGCTCCAGGAGCATTCCAGACGCCACAGCGGCGTGCTGTCTTGCTGATGTACAGAATGCGAAATAAGGGAGACAGAGATGAAGGAACTTGGGGTGCCACTTCTCTCAACTCTCAACTCTCGCCACTTGTGCTTACAAATAATTCTCGACAGTACATCGACTCTGGCAAATTTTCAGCGGTACTCGTGCATATCGACATTCTCTTCATCTCTCCATCTCCTCATGCCCCGTGTGCTTGACATTCCCCTCCATGAGAGAGTGTCAAGCTCTCGAGAGTCTTCTCCTGATTATATACCCCCTGGACAGCATGAACGCCCGCAGGTTCCAGTGGCGCCAGTCTTTGCTCAACCCCAGCCCCACGTTCAAGGTCGTGTCGCATCTGGTAATAGTCCTCCACACCCTCTCCCTCCTCCAGTGTTAACTAACGTCAACAATGTAGCGGTTGTGGACCCTGCCCTGTTAGCGATATCTGCAGAGCAAAATCGGACCCAGCAGACCACAACACCAGGTGCTGAAAGCAATCCAGAAGAACGACAAAAGCGGCCACGAGACAACGATAAATCAAGCATGTCTTCCTCAGACTCGGACCCAGACTCGGAGGACGAAGACGACGAAGAGACAACAGAGCATCAAGACATTGCTCGTGTAGCCGCAAGCTTAGGTCTCAAACCAGAGTCTCAGCATGCCCTGAAGCTGTTCATCAAGGTCCGTTGTCTTACCTTCCGTGAGTAAAACTTACCAATATCCCATTCAGAAATCAGCAGCCATGAAGATGAACATCGTGTACGCTTGCATGCTGGCTTTGACGGAACGTGCTGACACGAAGGAAGAACGATGGGTCCCTTCCGGGGACCTCGCGGTAAGCTTGCGCTTCTTTCCGCCGACATGACGTCTCATTGACGAAAGACAATGACAAGCAGAAGGACATCCGTCGCTTCTGTCTGGCTGTGCTTCTTTCGTCAAAGTTGGCTGCGTATAGAACTGCAGCCGATCAGGCCGTCCTGGTGCGTGTTCTCCAGATTTTCCCCTATCTCAGTATCTCTCAACGCACTCCTCTCTCACAGAAAGTGCTCAGGCGGCACGGTACAAACCTTCCTGAAGACTGGGAGAGTAATCCTTCCCGCAAGGATGCAATCATGAAGGCGATTGGCAGTGGGCTGACTGATGAACGATCGCGTGTCAAGGCTGCTGTGCGTCCTTTCTCTTACCGCTTCCGAACCCGGACACTCACAACTTGTCCTATTATGGCTTTGATTTCACTTCGTAGATTCGTGACAGCCTGGATCCAAAGATGAATATTGCTGACCTTGCAGAGAAGGTCGTTGGGAATTCCGGGATTACACCAACGGTTGACCTATGGGCGCGTCTATCACTTCTGGTGTGTTCTTTCTCCCGCTCCACCCATCCTCATCCTGATGTGCATGTCTGTTGTTGACAGAGGCAAACTATAGTTCAGGAAGGTAGCCACGGGCGTTTGTATTGGCTTCACGTCGACGAGTGCTTGAAGCAGACTCGAGAGATGGCCTTCAAGGCCGCTGAACTTGCACAGGAGACCAGCAAATATCCCAAATATGTCTCAAAGTATGTCACCTTTTCTCGCCCTTTGTGAAGCATAACGCTGAACTGAGTGTGACACATCTACCCATAGGGAAGTTGCCAAAGCCCTCACTAAGGACTACGATACGTATGGTTATCCCACAGCGAAGGCCCCGAAACACATGACAAAAGAAAACTCGGAGCTCTGGCAGCTCACGGCGGAGGCGGAGTCGTCAGTGCTCGAGCCGGCACGGAAGTCTAAGAAGCGTCCGAAGAGGGTTTGAGGAGTGTCATGGGAGGTTGTCTGATGATTGTCAAACATACTTCATGAGAGCTATCTAGACTTTTGTATCAGTTTGCTTGTTCATATCAATGTATTGGTTTGATTCATCCATGGGGGTGGGGAAAAACGAGAAAAAACGAAGAATAATAATAATTGTTTCTGAATAAGTACAGGAAGCTGAGCTGGACGGCCTATATCTGCGAGAGATGGTGCAAAGATATCGAGCACATATCTGACATGGAAACGGTCCGTATTGATTGGCATATCCATATCGCGAGATATCCCGCCAGATGTAAGTGCGGCATCTTGCGCAGTCATACCACATGTCTCGCACGCCATGTCATTTCCATACTGACTTGCAGTCAAGGTGTAGTCGGCCTATAAAAATTGTTTCATTGTTTCACCATTTCCAGGGCCACCGCCACATAACGTAGCGTGACGTGACTTGTGACCGCAATGAATGACTCTTGTCAGGCGGGATGCATACTGGTTACGAGGTTCGATCCCAATGCGTACAAATGTTGTGCGAAAAAGCCTCCATGTCCGATCGCAAAAGTACAAAGACTGGGCCTTTTTTCAGCAGTGGTCCGATCCTAGATGCTGACACAAGCCAATCTTTGTATCGTAGGTTCGATCCACGTACGCACAAAAGCGAGTGAAAATTATCATTCCCCAACTTCACAGTAGGCAAATCTCGACATTTTTTGTCCGCGACACACATGTGCGCGAAGGCAATCTCGAGCGCGCTGTCCTCGTCACTGAAGTTGCACTGAAACAAAGTGTTTTTACTCGCTATCGGGTCCGAAGTACACGTTTACACCGCGAACAATAGCGATGCCTACATTTGCATGCAGGGTCTTCGCAAACGATGGTTCGATCCGTTGTGCGTACCAAAGTCTCTGAAAAGCAGGGTGACCCGATCCGAATGCGTACATATGTGGCGCCAAATTTTGTGACAAATTTCGCCCAAATATTAATGTTAGATTTAGGATCGAACCTCCGTACCAATATGCATCCCGCCTCTCTTGTCTTAAGACCTGTCCTAACGGAACAGGAATTCATACGACTAAAAAGCGGAAAGTCAGCTTGAAGCGGTGTTTGCCAAATCTGGGTGGCACCCAAACAGACGTAAAGAAAGTGATTGAGCAGTTGGGCGTCGCTTGGGAATTACTTTCCTTCTTTTTCCTTTCATCATCTCCTTGCGATTTCCATCGTCCTCCAGCTTGTGTAGCGGTCGACATGTCGGCTATCATTGGCGGCTGGATCGGCAAGCTCTTTCTCCCAAGCCCAGCCTCTCGCTTGCCCTCTGCACCTGGCTTTCCCCCTCAGCCTTTACGCCTCACGACACCGACAGCGACTGACCAGGGCTCGACCTCGACCAAAAGGTCTCGTAACGCCGCGATCAGTGCCCTCGACAAGCTTAGGAAGGAGTTCGTTGGAGACGTCGGCTGCTTCCTGACCGGCTACTCCTGCATTTCGCTTGAGGTTGCGCATCTTGTGAACCCTGTCCGCAAGAAAGGTGAAGAAGCCGAAGTGGTAAGTCCCTACTGTTTTACCGCCGCCAAACACTAATCATGGTCTACCCTCCAGACCAAGCATCTAACCACTGTGTTGGGCATTACTCGCCAGCAAGGAAACTTTAGCCTTGACTCCATCGAGAATCTTGTTCTTTGTAAGTCCTTCCTGCTTGTGCTCGCTGTGCTCACTGTGTATTTGATCAACATAGTGTATCCACCGTACCACCGACACCTCGACGTCTACGCCACCTACGCCCTCACGCTAAGCGAGCACTCGCTGCAAGCCGTAATCCAGATATTGAATGCCACTAATCAGAAGTGGGAGGATTTGACAGAGATATATACCGAAAACCCGCCTCCACGAACTATCGACGTGCGTGCCGCCTCCATCGTCTATTCTGCAGGGACAAAGCTCACGTCTTATCTTTTCTGCAGTGGTTGGACCCAGTGCTGTCTCGATTAAACTACGACATTATCATCCTACATCCCTCCTTCTTTCTTCTCCCCGATCAGCCTTTAATCGCCCTCGAACAACACAGCCCTCGAACGTACCGCCTCTGGCAGGTCACCGGTGGAGAACTCCGTCACTGGCAAGCGCCCGACTCCGACCCCTACCCTCCCTTTTGCTACACCTCTCGCAATCATCCGGACAAAACCGTGAATCCTTTCCTGCTCATCCTCAATGCCGCATCGAAACTTGAATATCATCGGAGGCACTACAGTTTTGATAATTTGACGGAGCGCCAGCGCAGACTCGCCGATCTCACCTTGGAGGCATATACCCTCATATACTACCGCCCTCCGCTCTTTGCAGTTAAACTTGCGGAAGGAATGTACACGACCGTTCCTCCTGCTGTGTCTCCTCTCCTCGCTCTGGCGAGCACTTCACGAGACGCGAATGATAGCGGTGGCACCCCCTTCGGCGGTGGCGCTGGGATTGATCGAATGGAGGAGGATGAGAACGAGGATGATGAGGAAGAGAGAAATGATAGTGATTCTGAGAGTGATAGCGAGGAGCTTAGTACGGATGAGGTGTACGGTATTGTGACGAAAATTGAAGACCCCCGTACTACGCTCGATGAGAGAAAGGAGCTGGGGTTGCTCTTGCTCAGCGGCGGAAGATGTGAGTCCCTCCTGCCTCTGATCTGTAGTCGTGGCTGAGGATTGGGAATTTCACTTTGATTCTCCGTCAGCCTATCGCCCTCTTCCCATACTATCTGGTATGGAATTATCTGCAGAGCCTGGTCTTATCGGTGGTGAAGGGGAAGGGTCATAGTGGTGTTGTTGCTCGTTCTATTTCTTGTACAGTGTCGGAAGCATGTGTGTTTCTCGAATGGACCTACTTCCCTCCTTTCTGTCCTCCTTTCATGAAATTTGTATTCCTTGTATTTTGTCGACTGAGAGAGCATGACAATTCGAGTCGAATCCTTACCGTACTCAGTATATGGTGCAAGTCAGGAATGAAGCTCGCCGGGCGTTTCCGCGCCGCCTTGTGAGGGCGATTGCCAGTGAGTCGAAGGTGAGAGCACTGTGAAGGTTTCCCTCTTCACGATCTATACCCATCGTCTACCATCTAGCAGTACTATCTCGTTACTCCAACGTCAGCGATGCTACACCATAACAATGATGCATCGCACTGCGGGCCGGACCTGGTCCCGTTGAGTGCTGTACTTGAAGCAAGAGCAGCTTGAACAGGTTTGAGAACCAGAGTCCATGTGCTTGAGAATCTTCGAACTTTCTCAAAACAAAACAGGTTTGCCTCACCGCAGCCTGAACCCATCCGTACCACCAATGACCGTCTACTACCTTCTACTTCAGGTCTTGTATACTGCCCACATGTTGTCTATCCATATTTGCTCGAGGACCGTAATACTGTCATTCGTATGTACATCGTACCAACGAGGCTGTGGACGATAAAGAACTTGAGGGTGTATGCATAATTGTAATTGGAAGATGAGTGGAGGTTACAGGGACGAAAGGTTGAACCAAAGGCATTGAGGCAAGCAAGGGAAGGGAAGGGAAGGGAAGGGAAGGGAAGGGAAGGGGAAACTTGCGAGGTCCTGCTCGATGCTGGGCATGTGTATGCGTGTGCAAAAGGACTCGGACGGGCCTTAGGGAAAAGAAAACAATAACGAATATATGCACATATATATCAGAACAAAGAACAAGAAGGCGGGAAGGAAGGACCTGGCTGGACGTCCGAGAACTTGAGAAGAACTTGAAGAAACCAAAATAGGTATGTATAAGGAAAACATAAGACCATCAGGCTTGGACACAAACACAAAAAGGGATCACATGTTCCCATCCCTTTCGAATCGCCCCAAGGCCAAGACGAGTTGGGCCCGCTTACTTCTTCCGTTTCGGCGCTATAACGATCTCAATCAATGTCTACTCCACACCTGAAACAAAAAAAAAAAGAGAAACTCACCACCACCCCTCCCCCTCCCCCTTCCTCTCTTCGTGTCCGCCCTCCCATTAACCCCCTCCTCTGTCCCCTCCTCCCCCCCTCCACCCCATTCTCACCCCCCTCCTCCTCCTCCTCCTCCTTCCCCCTCCTCCTCTTCGCCGTCCCCCCCGAACTCGTCCTCTGCATCGCGCCCGTCGCAGTCGCGTTAGAGGTAGTGGAGGTGGAGTAAGGCATAGCGGGCCGAGGTGGTGGGGGCGGGACTGCACCGCCGATGGGGCCGCCGGGCGTAGAGGCGCAGGAGGGACAGAACCATTCGCCTTCGGGGATGGAGGGGAGGGGTGGGGAGAGACAGCCGATGTGGTAGGGCGCGTCGCACTGCACCACGCACACGCAACATACACCGCACCACATCAAAGTAAGGAGTAGAGTCAGATCCACGAATGAGACGAGGAGACAGAGACGAGGAGGGACGAAAATGAGGGTAAACACACCTTATCGCAAGCCAACGGCGAATCCTCCTCCCCGTGGTCTTTCCAGCATCTCAGACACTCCTCCGCCGTGTCCAGATCGGCAGGGTGTCGTGGTAGCTCGGAGTATTTCTCGTTCGGGCGGGCGAGGAAGTAGGATGTGTTTTGGCCTCCGGCGACACTGCAGCGACGTTGTCAGATACGCACGAGGGGGAGTGGCACTAGAAATAGAAAGGGGAAAGAGGGAGGAGAAAGAGGACGCACGCAAAGACGTCGACGCCGCGTAGGGGCTCGTTCCTGCTAGGCTTCGTCGCGCTCTTCGGTTCGTTCGCGCCCATACCGAGCTCACCTGTGCCACAAAACGTCAGTACTCCATCGAGTTTGTACGACTACCCATAACGCAAACGCAGGAAGAAAGAAACGGAAACGCACCGTTCACGGCATTTTGCCCCCATGCGATCGTCATCACGCCAGGTTCATCCTGGTCGGGCGCAAGCGCGAAATGGGTGACGCCCCCGCAGGCGATATGATACGTTTTACAAGCCCTGTTGTTTTTCGTGTCGGTCCAATCCAAACGTCAGCCAAATGAAAATGAGATGGACGATGAGGAGGGGGAACGGTGGGGGAAATGGAGTGACATACATTATATCTTGCATGTATCGGAAAGAGGAATAAGGCTGGCCACCGGAGCCTGTCGCCATATTGAAAAGATCTTATCAGTACCGTTATATGGCAGCAAAGACGGGTACGTACCATCACCAGTAGTCTTCCACTGTTCACATCTACACGTCAGCAGATGGTCACGTCTGTGAAGAACGAGAGAGGGATGGAACGCACCTTTCCAGCCATCCAATACATCTGCTGTCTATCCACGACCACCGAGTTCGAAGGTCCAGCCGCGACCATCGCGCCCATCATCATTTCTCGTGGGCCAGCGAACTACATTCATCCACGCAGGGGTTAACACACTCGTCCTCTAAGTTAAGTTACCAAGTCAGGGAGGGGATGCTGACCTGGGGAACGACTTTCGGGATCAACACGTCTTTCTGGTCACCGAGTCCGAGGCGGCAGTAGCCATTGTAGCCCCATACGTAGACGACCCTGTGGTACAAGTATCATCAGTACCATGAGATGGTATTGATGAGCGAGAGGAGAAATGAGGGGCGGAGGAGAGAACGGTGCGTACCCTGTGTCATCGAGCGCAATACTATGCTGCTGCCCACACGCGATCTGTACGATTTTTTTGTCTGTGAGACCTTTCACTAGGACTATGCACCGTTCCAGGATGGTTCAATGTTAGCGAGTGGTAATCAAATTGTGGTGGGTATATGAAGATGGGATAGGACTTGTAATGACTTACTTGGCTCGCTCTCGACGTCGAACGCGGTTTTATTTCCCGTGGCGATATATTCGCCCGTCCGTCCGTTTCCGAGCTGGCCTTTCTCGCCGCTTCCCATAGCGTAAACTGAACGATAAAACATAAGACGTCAAATCAGATTTCCTTTCAAACTGCATCTTGTGGCGGGTGTGCCACAATCAACGAGCGAGCAAGATAGAAATGCAGCCGCACCTTGACCGTCTTTAGTAAGTAGTAGAGAGAATGTAATCCCGGCGGCGGCGCTGACTACTGGTTGGATGGCTCCAGAGGAGTTGTATGGGCCGTCGACGCGTCTGAATGAGGTTATTTCCGGGCAAGGATGGTGACCGCACTGCAAAGAGCAATTATTGGTCAGAAAATATCCCTGAATGACGAGGAAATAATAGCACATCTGCTGCGACTGTAACGGAGCTGGAAGGGCCATAACTGTGGCACTGTGAGTGTGAAACGGACGCTGGACGCAGTGGAAAGGAATTCTTCTCAGACGGTCACTACGCGCCTTCATGAAATTAGCCCGGTGATCATTCACCCTCTGCTAAAAACACAGTTTGAGATGAAGAGACGCAGCCGGCCATCACACCCAACAACGTTCTTTCTTCCCATATAGGAAGTCCGTCCGTCCGGACCACGAATACTCAGATACCCAAACTTTAACAACCTTGAACTCACCTGTCCGAGCAGATTTACTCCAGCAGTCCAGACCCTTCCATCGCTTCCCACAAGAATAGAATGTGCTCTCCCACAAGCGGCATGAACGAACTTCGTACCAGCCGCGGCACCCAAGTCCTGTGCCCTTAACTTCCAAGGAGCATTTTCGGAGATGACGTCGACACCGGAAACTCCAAGTGCGGAAGAGGTGTTGCGTCCGAATAACCATGCTTGGCCTTCGACGTCCAACGCAATAACGTGACAGCCGGCACAGCCGGCATGCACGGACACGATTTTGACATTTGAGAGCGACCGAAGGATATGTGGGTCGAGAAGGTCCGGGTGTCTACGGTGGCACAGTATTCGAGTTAGAGGTGCATGCAAGGAAACGAACGTGAAGGTAGAGGGAACGCACTCTGAGATTTCACCATTATTCGGGAGCCTCTTGCCGAGCTTAGGCCTACGCCACACGCAAATCAGTCTCCAAGATGAACCTTCTGAGCCACACCAAGCCAAAGCCCACGACGCGTCGCGCTCGACCGTGACCCCAACGGCCAACCGTTGGCAAGTTGGTTCAAACTCCTCTAGTCGTAGCGGGCGCGACCGGGCCTTCGGGACGCAAGTTTGAAACTCACCAGTCCGTTCCTCCGGCGATTAGGACTGATTATCGGTGCAAAATGTATATTAGCTGCGGTTTTAGAGTGCAGAGACAAGGAAATACTCGCGTCTTCCCCAGGTTTGTTCGTTCGAGGGCATGATCGAGGCCGACATGGTGGTCGTATGCGGGTGAGTGGCCGGCGTCTATTCGGGCTCGGGTCGAGCGGCACCCGCTCGGTTCACCTTCCGGATTCATCCTGTCTTCCCACCATACCCCTTCGTTCGAACCATCATCTCCTTGCAGCGAAGAGTATATCTTGAACGACAACGTACAAGCGTCAGAATGTTGACTTACAGCCTTCCTGGGTGCAGCTGAAGGAATGCTCCACTTGGCCTGGCGAGCTCTTTCCCGAAAAGATCCCGCGGCGAAATCTCTTGTCTTCTCGGCCATCGAAATCATATTTGCCTTTTTATCATGTCTGTGCCTCAGACTTGCCTCTGGCCTCCCACCAGGCTCAATATCTGCGTAGTTTTTTCAGGTATCATACCAATCTGATGGCGTATTTCTGGTGCTGATACGATTCAGATATGATCACTCTGGTTTCTCGGTATCTCCACATCTTCACAGCCGTCATTCTTCTGACGATCCTACGTCAACACACTCTAAAGGCTTCCACATAACCGGCGGACATAGACGCGGCCTTTGAACTTACCAACTCTATCTCGGTCATCAGGAACATCACCGTGGTGGAAAAGATCGGGGAACCCGATTTGCATGTGTCGCCAGTTCGGGAAGGTCTATCTTATTTTCCTTGCGGCATGATATTATCAGTTTGACTTGATCCTTCATGACCGAGAGAATGATCGTTCTTCCTCTTCTAGGTGGGGAAGATACGTTCCAACAGTTTCCTGCAGGGATCTTCTTACTACCACGGAATAGTCCTGCACGTTCTCCCATGCCCTCTGGTTTTCATGTCCCCTACTCGTGATTCGAGTGCACCGCAGTGAGCGACTGTTTACCTGATTCCTGTTTTTTGTATCTACGGGTACGGCGTTGACCTTTCATATGCGCCACTCATCTGGATTTGTGAGCTTACGCCGCATGCGTTGCGAACCTTACGCCCGTGTTCTTACCGGGTCCAGACATTCATACCCATGGGGTGTCGTTACTACCAGCCGATCGCAGTCATGCTTTAAACCGGCCTCACACACCATGGTCGCTGAGCCGCATCTGTTTTTACGGTTATCGTTCTTCCCAGTGGCGGGAAACGAGAAGCTTTGAGCGGCCGTTCATAGTTTTTTGGTTGGTTCGAGGTAACTTATAATTAAACTTCCGTTCCATGTTTGGCCCAGCGCGATTAATATTTATTCTTCGTTCTGCATTGCTTAGATGGCCGGGGAAGGAACCGATCTGTTACTAGATAAAGAGATGGTAGGTTGTTGATACTGCTACTAATAGAGCAAGTCACGAGTTTTCCTTCGCAGGTACAGGTGCTATCACAAAAGCGCGTTTCTTCGGAGGAGCGCTTGAGTTTTCTCGTTCATTATCATGCTCAGAGTCTGAGATGTTCTGAACGCGTAGCAAATCAGTGCATGTCCTGTCGTTCAAGAGGGGTATCGACGTACCGATTCTTGTTCAATCTCTTCGTCCTCTTCCCAGTCCGACTCATTATGCTCTTCACATCGACCCGACCCCCTCCTGTCCGATCCGCTGCGGTCTTCTTCGACAAACGCCCGATAACTAGTCGCAAACTCTGCACGGTCTGCCTCGGGTGGTGGCGTGACATCGGGTGGCGTGAGGTCGTAGTCCACAACTTGTAACTTAGAGGCTCAGAGGCGGACGATGAGGGGATGAACGACGTAGCACATTAGGTGCGTCTGCTTCGTCATCTGAATCATTCCCGCCAGTAGCTCCTGTGTGACGCCTCTCGTCTCCACCTTCCTCTGCGGCTTCTGACACTTCGGTAGATGGCGGGCGAACACAAGCCCAAACCGGAAACCCTTCAGGTACGTATAACTGTGTATAATAGACGACGGTGCGCTGGGAGGCGTAGTCAGCCTCGGTGAGAGTCAAAATGTCGGGTGTGGTACGCACAAACTAGCCGTCGACATTGAATATTGATGTCCGATTTGTTCCACGCGCTTCGGTGTGAACGCCCACTGCAGCCCCACGCCTTCATATGCATATAGATGTAGACGAAGTGCTTCAGGGGGACGCGCTCACCGGTGTGTTCCAGTCAAACAGGGTGGGGAAAAGCCCGCTGGGTTTGATGCATGAAATAATACTTACTTATGGTTTCTGAGACAGAGATGATTTCGGAAAGGATGAACAAAGGGTGTAAGTACTACTTGGTATTTCTAGGCAACAGTAAGTACGTCGCTCGGAAGTTGGGATTGTGGGTTTGGGTTTCATTGCATGTTCTTCCTTGTCCCCTCTGTCTGTCCTCATAAAATGATACATAATCATGTGCGTTGCGTATGTGTCGTGACTTCAACATATCATTAATGAGCTCGTCAGGCCTTGACTTACATATGTACCGTAAGCTCTTCGGATTGATGATAAGTATCTCCTAAACCCCAAAAGAAAACCCCATAAATTGTGGGTTATATATAACGCCGAGATGGGCCATAGAATGCGAGCCATAAGATAAAATAGTCATGAGCACCGTCAGTGTCAGTGTCATATGCATACCATTCATCCACAGTCCGAGTCCGTCGGCGACCATACACTGTACGTATACAGCACTTACACACTATATCTACATGCGTACACCGCTAGGGCCCAAAGGTTTAAACACCACCACTCCCTCCAAGTTTTAACCTGACATTCTCCCTCAGCCTCCTCACCTCCTCACCTCCTCACCCACCATCAAAATCAAACCCGATTCTCAGTCAAATAATGCGTCGGGAACCATTCTGGGAGGTCATACGTCGTGTTGCTCAGTTCGGCGAGGATGAGCCCTGCGGAGACTTCCGCGCTGTTTCCGTATTTTTCGGGATCGTGTTGTGTTGGGTTGGAGGAGGGAGGGTTGGTGTGGTTGTGTTAGTTCGTTATCGTGTCGTGTCGTGTCGTGTCGTACCGCACCACAAAAACCACAAGTCACAAACAAATCAAACAAAACAAAAAGAACCAAAAACCCGTCAATTCCGTCGCATGCACGCGTACATCCTAGCAGGAAAGACCAAGACGTACCACGAAAACCCCCTCGGCATCCCATGGCCCGAATATCCGGCGGATATGTATTGGCCGACTTGGGGAGTTATTTCGCCCGTGGTGGGGTTTGGGGTGAGGACGGGTCCGACCTGGATGGATGGATGGTTGGTTGGTTGGTCAAAAAGGACGGAGGGGAGAGGAGGAGGGAAAGAGGTGGGAAGAAGGGGAGAGGAGGAGGGAAGAGGTGGGAAGAAGGGGAGATGAGGAGGGAAGCGGTGTGAAGAAGGGAGAGAATGGGAGGGGAGGGAGGAGAAGAGGAAGGGAGGGTACAAAGGAAGGACGCAGGAGGGAGGAGAAGAAACGCACGAATGGATCTCCTATCTTGGTAAAACCCATAATACCAGTCTACACCCACACAAAGTATCAGTATCGCACGTATAACAACCCGTTCCACCTCCGTCACGACCACCACGCGCAAAACAACACAAAAGAAAACACCACAACCAGATCCAGAATGAATGACATACCCATTCCATCTCAACCTCCTCCCCCTTCTCTCCCTCACTCTCAACAAACTTCCCCGGAAACACCCGCGGCAAAAACTCCCTCAACGCCCGTCCAACCTTCGCATCTATCCCCGAATCGTCGGCCTGATAATACTCGAATCTACCGGTTTCGTGTTCACGGCCGCCGCCGAGGATGACGAGCGGGTTTGGGGAGTCGCCTTTAGATCCGAGAGGTAGATCGAGCGCGTCAGTATTCATGCGCCTTGTATCTTGTACATGGAAATGGGCGTAGGAAGGGGAATGGGAACGGGAATGAGAAGTAGTAAGACCGAGAAGAACGCACCCTCCCTAACAGGCCTCGGAAACCAATACTCAAACCCCCTATTCCCCACCCATCCACTCCTGCTCAACTCCTGCTCCGTCGCATTCGACCTCACGGCTATGACCTGACCACGCGTGGGTACGATACCCTCGGGACCGGCGAGGTGTGGGAGGAGGTGGGATGCGTAGGCGTTTGTTGCGTGGAGGACTGTGGTGCAGGAGATGGGGCCGCGGGGGGTTGAGAGGGACCAGCGGCGTGGGTTGCCTGAAGTGGATGAAGTGGACGAGGAAGAGGAAGAGGAAGAGAGTGGCGAGACGGCGGTGACGGGTGTGCGTGTGTGGAGGTGTAGAGAGGACGAGGAAGGAAGGGAGGAATTAGCGAGTTTATAGAGTTCCGTAACGAATTTAAGCGGCCACAGGTTTCGTCCAGGGATCTTAACGCCCTGCCCACGACTCGTCCCATATATCTCCCTCATCTCCCCCTCATCAAACCACTCCACACTCCCCACCTCAACCCCCAACCTCCTCGCCTCCTCCCAATCCCTCCTGCGTCCCTCCATCCACACCTCATCAAACTGCAGACTCACTCTCCCTTCCTCGACGAGATCGACTTTTTCGGTGAGGTTGTGGGAGTGGATGATGGAGGCGATGGCGTTGGTGGTGTAGGATTCGATTTGGATGGCGCGGATGGCGTTGGGGAGGCCGTGTGTTGCGATGCGGGAGCGGAAGGAGGAGAAAGTGTCTTCGGCGAGGTGGCCGCCGTTGCGGCCTTTCGTTTTCCGTGTGGTCATATAGTCAGTCAGTCGAGTAGGAATCTGCGATGGTAGAGCTGCGAACGTACCGGTAGCCCCAGAACAAAAATCCCTCGCCTCAAGCACCACGATATCCAGCCCTTCTCCCTCCCGCTTCTTCAACCCCTCAACCAAATGCCACGCCGCACTCACCCCCGTAATCCCACTCCCAATCACACACACGTCCGCCTCGCTCGTCAGTTCGCCTTTGCTGCCCTCACCTGCTAGGACGTTCGCGTCGGGGGCGGAATGCGTCCAGAAGCTGTGTGTGGGGTTCGGGACGGGGAGGGGGGCGGGTTCGTATCCGTTGCCGTTGTTGTTGGGGGAGGAGGGAAAGGAGGAGGGGGAGGAGAAGAAAGCTTGGTGGTGCGACGGAAGGTCGGAGTCTCGGATGCCGAGAGAGAGGGAGGGTTGGATGTGACTGAGGAGTGCGATGGAGAGGAGGGCGGAGAGGAGGGCGAGACGGGGGGTGAGGTGCATCATGGTCGTGGTCGTGGCTCGCTGAACGTTTCCTGTTACTGGTGTTGGTTATATACTTATATGAATTTGTGAATATACGAGAGAGTCGGAGAGCCGAGCGAAGGGATGACACTACACACGGAAGAGATGGCGATAAGTGTCGGAATTACTGTATCACTTGTCGAGGGGCGACCACTGCGATAGCCTCGTGTTCTCTGCGCGTCGGATCTGAGGTATGTACTTCGAGCACTTGCAGAGCGTGATATCGTTCAAGCGTACGGTCACTCTGCGAACCAGCAAACAATTCAAAGATGATCGTTTATGGAGGAAGAGGAGAGGAGGCCCGGGGAGGTGAATGGGCCACAACCTCCTGAGTGGGGGGTGGCGGAGCACGTTGCGGATCGGAGCAGAATTGGGCTCGGAACTATCCGCTCACTGCTGCCTCCTCAGCCTCCTGTTCCTGCTCCTCCTTCAAGTTCCTCGCCCAATCCTCCTCCTCCTCCTCCGGCGACAACGACGATGACGATGACTACGAACTCCCTCTTCGAATTCCACCAGCTGTCGACGCGTTATCCTGAGTCCTTTAAGTGTCGGACGCGTCCTACCGCCTCGAGTACTTACATAGTAATGGTTTGAACGGTGACACTACTGCTACTACAACCTGTCCCAGACGTTTGATACACCTCGTTACCCTCACAGGCGCCGAGATGCGCGTTGGCTCTTGCCTTGATTAAAAGTCTACTAGCATCTGTCCGACGACGAGGCTATGGCATCGAGTTCGTTACTTGGACTTGGTGCTCCATCTAACTCAGCCTCTAACTTCTGGCTTGAGAACGACGGTAGAAGGGGCTTTATTTTCGATTCTACGGGACTTCATGCACACGAGAGACAGACTGAGGTACTCCTACGTGGTACGTGTCAAACTGGTGCGTGATTTTCTTCAATCTACACTTCAGTGCTTTATTTTGATATGGACGGCGTCTTTCTCTCCCTCCAGCCTAAGACTTGCTCCCTCAACGGACTGACTCATATAGGACGGTACGGAGCATCCACAGATGTCTCTGAAAAGCTCTTATTGTCTCCCCTCTCGTCTTCCCGTCACTCGCGACTTTATAAATTGGAATGCGTGGAAGGCAGAGTTCTCTCTCCTTTCCTCAGTTGTCGGACGCATTGTTCTGTACCTACGTCCTCGACGAGCATACATGTATCAAACAACGATCTGAGCATCGTCCTTCAACGCATTTCCATGCATACATCCATCTTTCTGCGCGTTGTTTTTTTGTCTCGACTCTCGAGTAACAGTCGTCTCAATTCTCATTCGAGCGTCTCCCCTTGGACGATCTCCTTGATCTTCATGAGGTACCGAGTGTGTTGCTTCGTGTTCGACATACCTGGCTCTGGCTCGGGCTCGAGATCATCGCGGCTTATGCTGGTGTGTGCGGTGTGCGGTGCGTGGTGCGTAGTGAGTTCCTTCGTTGGCAGTTCACAGTGTCCTTCGTTTTGCGAATGATATTGACCATATCTCTCTCCAGACTTAGATCCTTACCTCTCTAAGGGACTGCTACGAGGAGCATCCATAGGGGTCTGTCAAAAGTTCATCGTCTCGTCTCATTGTCTCACCTCTCGTCAGGTCGTTTCCGTCGCTCACAGCCGCTATGTCTCGCGACTACTTATGAACTCAATTACATGGAAGCCTTTAGGCTCTCTACATACGAGTCTCGCTCACCAGGTATCTTAATCATCCTCATGCAGCCAGTCATTTCTTCGTGTGGATGTGGTATCGGAAACGCAGTTCAGTCATTCGTACGCCCGCTCATGGTTCATGGTTCATTGACAGTGATGATTCAGAGTATCGCGCTCGCCATACAGTACCTATACAAACTTCGGAGTCTTCGCTTCTCGTTCACGCACTGCACCCTCCTGCGCCACTGCCACTGTCTCCCCTTCCCTCTCAGAAATCTAAAATCTACTGGGTACTGAAGCAGAACATTACTTATAAGCCCCATACCTCAAGCACCCAAAAGCCGTACATACTCGTGCTTCCAGCGCTTAATTTAAAGTCGAGCGCCTCAAAGGACGTGTCGTGGTGGGAAGTCACACAAATATTAATACTCACGCTCTCCTTCCAAAGCCTTCCACAGTCTTCGCCGCCACCCACCCACACAACACATCCATACAACCCCACGTATACGTATACGCCTACGTGAGAATAAGGACTGTCTTGCCCGTCTTGGTCTTTATAAGACTGCAAGGAGAGGCATCTGTTCTCTTTCCTTTCTGACTCCCGACTACCGTTATCTGTGAAGTATATCTGAGACGGTGAGTGTTTGCGTTTGACACACGGGGCGTTTGTTTAGTTCGTGATTGAATTGAATTTGGCTTTCATAGTCTCTGGGATCTACTCATCATCGTCCCGGATAGATCTTCGAACGAGTCATTCATCACTCATCATGAACCCTTCGGACTCGGACCACGAACAGCAGGAGCAGCCTCGAGCTCCATCCATCGTCCTCGCCAATACTCCCATCACAGCGAACCATCCCGCAGCACCACGACGAGAGCCCGAGGTGCGTGTATGCCCCATTCCACTCCGCTGTGTTATGTTGCATTATATTGAATCATTCGACGTTGATACTCTGCGTATTACTCTCTACAAACAACAAATAAGGCAGTCGAACTGGGCCGGAAACGCAAGTTCGGAGAATATGACGACAGGGACGAGGGTGAGGGCGAGGACGATGATGGAGATGGAGATACGGAGACGATTAGTTCCGATGGCGAAGGCCCGACGTCCATCATCGCTCCCGGTGGTGTTAATTCGCGCGTACGTCTTCCGTTTCTTAGCCTCTAGTCTTTCTTCACTCCATGATACTGAAACTCCACCCTCCGTTTGCCGTAGTCCTCCCAATCGACGCCACCATCCAAACGTCACCACCCCGACTCCGATGGACATGATTCGTCTGAAGAATTTCCCTCGAGTCATGTACGTCGACACTGCTTCACCGTGAACGCGGTACAGAATGCTCATCATAACATAACAGATCACCCAGGCCTCCAACTCTGATGTCCGCGCCCTTCACGCTCAACATTCTTCTGGGACTTCATCCCCGTCCAATGTTTCTCTCCTCCTCTCTTCCTCTACTGGCAGTGGCAATGCGAATCCCATCGCAACTTCCGAGGCCCAAACCGTCCGTTCAACTACAACTATCACCTCGGAAGGACATCCTCCGTCTACGCTGCAGTATTATGGTGATATGTCGGCCATCAGTGCTATAGCTGTCGGTAATGACGGCCCATACTCTGACGCCGACAGGAGGGACAACACGAGTCCCAGTCCCATCGAGGAGATCACGACCGAAGGTGCGCGGGGCCTCAACCGTGACGATGCCAGTACTAGTACTAGTCTTCCACGTCCGAGTCCCGGTTTCACATCTACCTTCAATGGCCGCCCATGCCCATCCATCTTCAATGGCCGTCCATGCCCATCAACTTCCAACGCCCTGCCGCCGACGTCAAACGGAAACGGAAACGGAAACGGGGGAAACGATTTCTTCATGAATTTCGTCGCTAGCCAAATGCGCGCGAATCGTGCCGCGTCGGAGGCTGAGCATGCTTTCTTGAGCTCATTATTTAATCCGCACTCGCGTTCTGGTTCTGGTTCGAGCACGGGCACGGGCACGAACTTTTCTGCCGCATTTGGGCAGCACGGCGTCAACGTCCACTCATTCACCACTGCCAGTGTTCCGGTCGTCCCAGTCGTTTCTCGATCCGTTCCTGTGGTGCAGGCACAGCCTTTCCTTGCATTGACACCGCCCTCTCTTCCTCTTCCTCACACCTTCCCTCACACCTTCCCTCACACCCTCCCTCACACCCTCCCTCTCCAGACCCCACCTCAACCAGTCTACACTCTCGCGTACGGCCACGCCACACCGACACCGACACCCACCCTCCTTCCTACGACCACGAACATTAACAACACTTCCCTGCGCAGCGTCCCTCCCCTGGCATATACATTGCCGACGCGGGTCACCCGGACTCTAAATCAGACCCATCCAGGCGGCGCTCCAGGACTCCTAGGCTTTCACGCGCCGTCTTACGCCTAACTTGCGATGCTGATGTTCATACGGGGAGCACGACTGCGCTGTAGGGTGAGCCGAGGGGTGAGGTGGGTTCCTGGTGAGGGATATGGATGCGAATGAGGGTGTGGGCGACGGGTGATAAGGAGGGATTGCTGGAGGTTCTTTTGTGTAAGTTAGTGTAAGTGTATTTGGCGAGAGGGCGGGGGTCCCGAGTTCAAGGAGTCTCTGCTACGTCAGTTCTTTGGAGAGTGTGATAACTCTATGCGAGGCCTGGATGTGGGTACTCTGAACATTGACAAGGTTCATTTAATGGCTGTACATTGGGAAGTTATCGAGGAAAACATGTTGTCTCGTTATCTTGCGCGGTTGCAGGTTTTTGTGACTGACGAAATCGAATGTGACGCTCAGGTTGACAAGTAGCACTGCTCTAACGACGGTCGGTCACCGAACTCTCATGCGCTCTGCGATGACCGTTCTTCCACTCTGTTCCTCCATGAGGCTCTTCATGATAACCCCACACTCTTCATGGTATCTCCACACGGGACCCTCGTCTATCCCATAGGCTAGGAAGCTCGATAATTCGGACACATTTGGGCAGATTGTTGCTTATGGTAACCCCTACATGCAAACCTAGAGCTCGAGAGTGTCTCTCTTGTGGTATCGTTTGGGATGCTGTAGTGTTAGCACTATCTTTCTTGGTGGTATTCCGAGTCGTCTGCTCCTCGATGCTGCATCGATTAAAACATCGAGTCCCCACACTCAGACAGGCCACTCTAGGATATATGTATTATCCCGTTCCTCGCTTGACAATGTGTTCAACTGGCTACGGCGTTGTTCTTCTAGTGGCGTTGGTTGTATCGAGGACCCCACCACGGCAACTACGGACCCATACATTCCGAGTATTGTTCCCTTTGTTTCGTCGACAGATCCTGTATCTCAAGAGCATCCATGCCATCCTATCCTACTGCATCCCGTGCGCACGTCCCTTCCTTCCTTTTTGCTACGTATTTATATTTGAATTCCAGTAAGATAGCCTCCGCTCTCAGGGGTTTCTCGACTCCCCATAATTTCACAGATCATTTCCTCCCAGAATTGTGGGATTGGCTTGGCCTGGGTCCTCCGTTCCGTCCAAAAAAGCTTCCGGCTTCCTTCCCTCGTCTTCTCTTCCGTTCCTACGGCTGGATCTCCGATGCTCAGACTGCCGCTCCCGATCCTTTTCAAAAAAGAATAATAAACGATGGTTCGTCTTCTTTCTCGTTGTCTTCTGCCGTACAGTACGGTTCACCAGGATATCTGACAGGTATCTTTACCTCACAATTGCATACCGCAGGTTCTGGTTTCTTCGTTGGCCTCAACCGCCGCGGCGAAGTGGGTGCTTCAGGCTTCTGTTATCCCTCTCCGCGTCAGGTGAGGTTCCTGGAAGAAACTTGAAGGAAGCAAGGAAATATATTTCGACATCTTCAGGGTACAGTGGTACAGTGTGGGTCCACTACTTACGTCGTCCCTGCATTCCGATCTCATATGCATCACTTCAGTGGTGACAATGCTTTCTGAATTTCGGGCCTGCGTTTCTGACCTGAGCCTATGGTCTACTTAGTGCCAGCCACCAACCAAAGTTGACCCGGGTCGTCTCGTCTGGACTGACCTCGAGGGTTCTCTCTCCTGCGGCGCGCGACAACGAGCGACAGCATGCGCACTTCCTCAGGTCTTCTCAGGACCAAGTTACTACTTCCGGTGGTGTTTGTCGGTCTGCTCGTCGTCTGATGAACATTGAACCATTGCAAGTCTGCAACTCGCCCAGACGGCAACCTCCTGTTGCGAGCCTCGTGTTTCGCCCTGTTTCGTCTCTACGGAGCATAGATGTGCCACGAGACCGAGCTCATCCCAAGCCACGACGTCATGAGTCAATGAATTCATAGCGCAAGCAAACGGGCTGAGATCGAGAGAGCCGTCATCGCGACTCAGGAGGCGGCGACGATGCCCAGAGCGGCGGGGCAACATCCTGTCATCTGAACATTGTGTGCCCATGCGGGTCCGAAAGTACTCCGGCCTCCTGTGTATACAAACCTGATGGGGTGAACGGGGTAAATACCATTAAACGTCGTAAATGATGGGTATACACTATGCTACGACTGACTACTACTGCTAGCAGACAGGCGGAGGGGAGAAAGGACAGTCCACGACCGGCGGGCTGTAAGCAGAGCAAATAGCGGTCGTACCAGAGCAACAGCTTCTAGCGACGGGCTTTTTATCAGGTAGAGAGAGTGCGATACCGTGATGGGTGGGTGAGGAATGTGTGAGCAGTCTATATGCAGATTAATGGCGGCGCGACCTGTGATAATGAGCGGAGAAGTGGGAAGAGCGGGGAAAGTCCATCCGTTAGCGGTCATGCACATCTTCAAGGTCGTCGTCTAACAGAGTCGGGCTCCGGACCAAGCTCTGGGTCGTCACTCTTTCTATCCCATTTGTCTGCATAGTTGACTTCTTGCTCCCAACGGACGACGATACCTGTAAATTAGACGTGGAGATAGAATGAGGCAATGTATGATGAGGCGAGCGATAAGGGCGTCGCAGGATAATGCTTCGAAGAGATGAAAGGCGTGACGGACGCACCATTGGTGACGGTAGGCGGGTCGACGTCCTTCTTTGGTACACTCGCAGCCGATCTCTCATTTTGCCTCGACGAAAGAGCGATTGAGGGCTGTTCATCCGTGGTCTCCGGCTGGAAATCGGCGACCCAGCGACCAAGGGTGTTGCTGAACTTGTTAAGGCGCGGTGCACGGTCTCGTGCAGAACGAAGGTTGAGAATCCTACGGAGGGAAGCTTCGATAAGTGCCGGAGGAGGGTCGGGTTGAGAGCGAAAGGGTTTGGAGAAGGGCCAAGAAGAGAGGGGCGAGAGACTTACAAGCGACAGGAAAGGACCGTTGAAAGTTGAATACTCATCGGCGCATTGATGGATTGGATGAGCTCATTAGATTGTCTATGTGCGAAATGGGTCAACGACCAGGGAAGCTAGAGGCGATGATAGAATAGGACGTACACGAAGAAAATGACATTGATCAGGTTGAGTGACGAGATGGCGACGAAGTAGAAAACACCGTCTTTGATGAAGACGTCAATCAAGGTCGAAGACGAGCCCGCTGCCTTGTGTTTGAGACCTCGGTAGAGCGTCATCGTAGTCAGGACAAAGTCGACAGCCCTATGAAGTAAAACCATTTCCATTCCGGTCGTCAGAATACTCTATATCATCCGGGAGAACTCGGTTCAGGGCGACGTACATAGGGGATGCATAGAAGGCGATAATGAACTTTGGACCTGCGATAGACGCCTTTCCGGTGACTAAAGCAGATTGTTCAGCCGAGACTGTACGGGTAGCTTGAAGGCCGGAACGGCCAGTGGAGACTTACCGAGGCAAGGACCTGGCCAAGAGGGCAATTTTGTATCTGTATACGAGCATCACCTGTCAATCTCATCGGACGATCGGAGTGCGCAGAAAGACAAGACGGCTTACAATCGAATGCCAGGATAGGAACAGCAATCATTACGCCCGTAAAGCCAGCCATCATGAGTATGAGAAAGATCAGTACTTGTCTATTGCGGTTGTATAGTGCGTATACTCGTAGGGCCAGAACTGAGGATAATAATACGCGGAAAGTCAATGTGAATGATCAGCCTGATCTCCAATTCGACCGTAGCACAAGAAGGTAAAGTATTCACATACCTAGCTCCACACACACGTCAATAAGTACGGCTATTCCGGGTAGAATACGGAGATGTTTGGCGCACGACCTGAAGGGTCGTAAAATGACTAGTGTCAGAGGATGTGAGGTTTGAATACAAGGATGACTTACTCTTCTGACCAGTCGGCAAAGAACCCTATTCAATAGGGATGAATGGTATGGGTCAGCGAGAGAGATATTTCGAGCCATAAACGGATCATACATGGATCTGTCACTGTTGATAGTCCAATACTTCGTCAGGCCAATCGCTCTGGAGAGAGATAGCATAGCACGAACCTACGAGGACCACGAACGTATAGTACCGCACCATCAAGTATAAAACCTTGATGATTGACCATTCCGCCTTCCAGACGTACTTCCACTGACGAAGTGAAACGAAGTCAACATGGAACGTAGCGTCGCTCAATTTTTTGCTCACCTCTTTCGGTAGACATACAAGCCAGTCCCAGACCAGCACGGATGTTGTGGCTTAGATAATATAAACGAGCCTGTGAGCATCACACCAGCTCTACGCACCAAAAAGAAAAAGAAAAAGCCTTACAGGCAACGTAAATCTAAATCGATAATGTCAAAAGGGTTCATATTCGTAAGTGGGCGTCTTGGTCAATGGAACATCAGATCGGAATGACGTTCACCTGCGCAACCTTCACAATGTGCTCGAGCGCTGCGACCTCCGCGGCCGACATGGCTTGGCTGACTGGCGGTGGTAAAGGGAAATGAAAGATGGGGTATGCCTTTGCAAGGCTCGTCGTCCGGTTGTCCTATGAAGTGACTGGCGACCAAAGACAGAGTTCTGGGGACGTTCGAAGAAAGTACGGAAGTCTCAAGCGATCCATGACTGAGTTTTATGCAAGAGGCCGATCGGAATCTCGAAAGCCTGTGGCTGTTCCCAGTGGCATGCGCCTCAAATCATCGGGCCCTGTCGTTTTTGAAATAGCAGAAGAATTCTTTGACCCCCGCAGCTGGCCTGCCTGTTGGACCTTGTTTGTGCAGCATTTCGTGACGTTATACGCATCGCGGACCTTTGAGGTTTGTTTTCGACACCTTTTCCTGCCACTTTCCGGTTGAATCATTCCATAACCTGTTCCGTGATGTTGTTGTCGAAATAATAATAAAAGAATAGAGAGCTTTCAGGCTTACCCTAGGCTTACACTTCGCTTACACCCTCGAAAATATTCATTGCCGGATTGAGACTGCAAACTGAGTTTGAAATGCGGATGTATCCAGGGCGTCGAATCTCGATCGATGCTCCAAATCAGGAAAGCCGATCTTTTGCTTCTTTTGCTCGAGGTCTGTGACGAGGCTCCACCTCCGCCCTCTTCAGAAAGGTATCTCTTCAGAAATGCGAGTTGATTAGCATTAGGCGTACATGAAACTGACCGTCGACTGAAAATGATCCATGTGATCACCCAAGTAAACGCAGGTACGAATTGGTGCGAACACACCGTCAACATATCCCGTTCCAGACTAGTGTCCTGATGTATCGAAAACCCCTTCCTTACGACGCCATGCTGTTACTATGTATCCTGTTGCGTATATAGAGGATGCAAATCTTTCTTCAGCGACGATCCATACGATTCCCTCGCGGAGACATGCCAAGGTCCTGACATCTAATTCAGAGCCAATTGTACATGCGTGTCAGTAATCGTTTATCTTCAAAGTCGTACAGAGGACGTGTCGACCGCATATCCCAAGCCTGGCTCCTAAGAGAACGCGGCACTTCTCCTGACTTGGCCTATCTGTCGTCGGCATCTTTTCTATAACTCTAGCCCGCTTCAATAAAATGCAGTTTCCATGAGGCACCGTTACCTATATATCTTTCTAGCATCGATCCTTGTCGATCCTTGAACGGAGTATCGGGGCGGAAGGATGTTATTCCGCGGGCGAGTCTGCCTCCCTTTAAATGATGCGCATACTTCAACGTGGCCCCCACTGTCCCCTCTCGTTTGAAACCCACCCATCACCTCAAGTCCTCGCACGAAATTGTATCAACATAATGACCATCAAGAAGGGAGAGGTTTCATTCATCACAGGAGGGGCCTCTGGTGTGTGGCTTGTATGTTCTACTCGATCTGTGGGGTTCTAATCCACGTCTGCTGCCATTTAGGTATTGGCAAGGCTCTTTCTGAGAACCTTGTTTCCCAAGGGTAAGTGAGGGCTTTAGCGATTACACGTTTCGTTCGTTAATATACAGGACAGGGGCCGTGTAGTCATCGTTGACTTGAACCCCGAGACCAGCAAGGCGCTTGCTGATGAGCTGAACAAGAAGGCTGGCTCTACGTATGTGTTATCTCAGGTTCGGAGTTGATAACGTGCTCATGTCCTCGTATCAAAGTGTCGCTGTTTCTGCGAAGGCAGACACCACCGTCTGGGAAGAGCAAGTTGCTGCTTACGAAGTGGCGAAGAAAGCCTTCGGGCGCATTGACTATGGTACGTTCTCGTCTTCGCTCCTTGTCATCGTGGCCTTCAATCTAATTCCACTACAGTCTTCGCCAATGCTGGTATCGCAGAATATCCCTGGATCCCTGCATTCGACCCTTCCACCGCTGCGTCTCGCCCCTTTACGAAGCCCAACCTCCTCACCGTCAACATCGACCTTGTTGGTCAGCTTAACACTGCTGCCCTCGCATTCCAGATTTTTGAGCGTCAAGAGAAGAACGAGTTGGGGTTGAGGGGAAAGTTGATCATGACCGCAAGCGTGTTCGGTTATTATCCATGCCCGAGCATGCCAATGTATGCTGCTGCAAAAGCTGGGATTGTCAACTTCATGAGGAGTGCGGCCGAGTTTTACAAAGCGAAGGACATCACGGTCAATTTAGGTGCGTTTTGTCTCTTTGCCATTTCGTCGATGGACGAGGCCACCAGAGGAGAAGCTGACCACGGCACTTTGCATTACATCGTGTGGCGTCATCCTTGAAGTTGCACCAAATTTGATTGGTATGTTCCCGTTGTATCTGTCATTCTCTGTCCGTGTTTAACTCCTTATATGCTACGCTTGTCTGCATCTTTGGCGTTTTAGACACCAACATCGCGCCCGACTCGCTTTTCGTTCCTTTCCGCGAAAGGAATCTTCTTACTCCAGTATCTCTTGTTGTCGAGCAATTCAATGTGCGTATCAAAATACAACTCTCCGCCCCCCTCTGTTTCCCCTATTCGTTCGCATATTGAGTCCGTTCGGTACTCCGCGAACTCCGATCTCCTTTGGCTTTGAGATTACGATGCCCTGCATGAAATGCTGATGCTTCATCCGCGTACAGACCCTTCTCGGCTCCTCCACCGTGACCGGTCAGGCTCTGTCTATCAACGGCGAAGAAGTCTGGGTTCATCCTCCCGAATCCGTCAAGTTCAAAGAGAACGACCCCAGCTGTAAACTCATCGACGAAGAGATTTCCAAGCTCTTTGGCTATACGAAGATCTAAATTACTTGCCTCACGTCCATGGCAGCTACTTTCAAATGGGGGAGCTGTGAGAATGGAGAGGCATTGATGTGGCGAGGAGAAGTCTCGCTATAGTACGAAGTAAAGGTCATTCACGTTGTATTTGGAATTTCAATTGTAATATATACCCATCTTATCCCTATTGCATATGTCGACGCATCGTCCCAGAGCACGGGTCGTGTCTGTCTAGTTATCGGGCTGATGGTCATGGAATTTGTGACCGGGGTGCATGATTTTATAGATAGCAATGGAAGCGCTCATATAGGTAGTCTAAAATACGAGGCAAGACGTGTGGACCAACCGTTCATCACCGCTTCAGGGCTAGATCGATACGGACTTTTCTTCACTAGCCACTGCACCACTCTGTCTAGACCTAGTTTTTTACGTGAATAAATTGAAACCCAGGGAGCGTGCACCGAACAGAATCGCGACTTTAGTGTCCTAAATACACACGAACCAACATCAGACAGCTGCAACAACTCGGTGACGGAAGAAGGGAAGTGCTCACCTCTGTCTCACGTCTCACTGCCATATACACGCTGGTCTCCTTATAATTGCTCTTGATCCGTCGCGGCCCATCTTTTGTTTTCTCCATCAACTTTCTGGGCGCATTCACCAATCCCCGTGAGATAGGTTTCGGTCGCTCAAGATCCTCAGGAGGGATGACGAAGGAAGGATCAATGAAGTGGAGTTTACGAAGAGAAAGGGCGCCAAGGTCGGCGCAGGCATAATAAGACTTGCGAGAGTTTTGGATGGTCTCATGCGGGAGTGTAAGGATCTCTTGCTCGGTAAGGCCATAAGCGTGCTTGCCTTTGTTACAAGACACCATAATCAGCATATATACGGATAAATCGCGGGAAAAAGATGTGCGCACCATCGCTCTTGAACATACACTATGATTTGGGCATCAGTCAGCGACGCTGGTAAATGCAGCGCCTGACTCACCATTGTCCCCTTGACCTGTTGATACGGCCGTCCGCCATTGAACGGGTCCTTCCACTCGATCAAGCTCGCGATCCACACCTTCTTCTTCTCTGCCATAGCTTTTCTCTTTGCTATTTCCTCCGAAGTGGCTTTCTTCCTTGGAGCAGCTTTCGCCTTTGGCTGGAGCGTAGAACCATTGCCCGTAGTAGAGTACGGTGCACTGGAGGCGCGTGCGTATGCGCATTGAGGTCGGTGAGTAGAACCACGGGCCATGGCTGGATCTGTAGATTGAGAGAATTGACAAGTAGAGGAGGGACGCAGAGAATTACAGAGGCGGGGGAGAGGGAAAATCACTGAGCCTTTAGACTTCCTTCAGATGCCAAGACCCTGAGAAAGTACCATCGACAAAAGCGGGTAACAGACAGCTTTGTGCTCCTGCGGAACAGTATCAAGGCTAAGCAGCCGATGGCTCAAACAATGGATATGGTCAATTTGTGCGGCGCAGTCTTAAAAGCCGAAGTATTACCACAGACAAAGCGACCGGCAAGTGGTCAATCCTGGCCATACTTCCCACACAGTGGGTCGCAGGCCCAAGCGTTGGTTTCCTTGGACCACAGTACCTTTACTTAACGGCCTATGAAGCAGGATATCCGTCAAAACTCGAGACCAACATTTTGTGACTGCGTTGCACCCTAATGATCGGGCATAAAATCACGAACGAAGGCCCGTGAAGAGCACCGGTTTTGCAACGTGATCGCACTGGCATAAGATTCCATTCAGGTTTAGTTCAGCCTCGTCACCTCAAAAGCTAGGACACGAGCAGATAAAACCGGAGTGAGAACCATGCAGTTGAGATGCAGACTCTAAGATGGCAGTCGAAGAGGACGGTGGGCGACAATTGAGAGCGACGAGATCAGAGGGGAAAGCGTCCAAAAATGAATGACAAGGGCACCCGGACCGGCCCGAATCGCCACTTCAAACTGTGGCGCCGTGTGTGGCGACGAGATCGGCTTCATTACCTCCTAAATCAGTTCTCAGCTCGAAGGAAGAAGTGAGGTTACAACGCGACAGACGAAGAATAACGACATAGTTGAATTGAATGCAGAGTATGTTGCACACAAAGTAGATAAGTCAACGTACTGATATATTCGTTACATTGCATAGCATAAAAACAACAAGGCTCAGTCGACAACAACGATACCATCCAGAGCTGGTCGTGAACACTTCAAAGACAGTAATAGGGACGAGAATATGGTATATAAAGCGAAGAATTCCATGACGATGTTGCCAGCAGCAAGATGAAAAAACACGAAATGACAGAGCTATTCAAGGCCCCGATTCGGCATCAGGATCGCTGGTCTTCCTACCCCATTTGTCCGTATAATTCCTCGTCACCTCCTGTTCCCACCGCACTACAATACCTAATCACCATCCATATCCGTATTTTGTAGGATATGAATCGGTGTCCGCTAGAGTCGTCAGAATTCGCATGTGCACAACAGCAAAGAGGAATACTAGGGCATTCGGGAAGGAGTGTTCATAGGGACGTACCGTTGGTGGAGCTGATTGGATCATTACTCTTAGGAACAGATACTGTCGTCGCTCGTTCCGTATGGGCGGACCTCGAGCTGAGTGCTATAGAAGCATTGTGGTGATCTGTGGAGGGTTCAGGCTGGAAGTCTGCGACCCAGCGGCCGAGTGTGTTGCTGAACTTGTTGACTGTCGGTGCGCGATCACGTATGGCGCGAAGGTTCAAGATACTGGAAACGAGGGTAAGAACAGGACAATTGCTTTATCTGAAAACAATACGTACAGGCGACAGGATAGAACTGTGGAGAGTTGGATACTCATCGGGGCGTTGATCGATTCGATGAGCACGTTAGGTTGCCTATGTTGAATCAAGATCAATTCAATATCGTACATCCCTGTGAGACAAGACTCGCTGAACTTACACAAAGAATATCACATTGATCAAATTCAGCGAAGAGATAGCGACGAAGTAGAAAAGGCCATCCTTAATGAAAACATTCATCAACCCAGAGGCAGAACCGTGCCTCTTGACGCGCAGTCCTCGCCAGAGCGTTAGGGCGGTCAGGGTGAAGTCAACAGCCCTACAAACCAGATTCAGATATCATGGAGGACACGGATTCAATATCGCGGGAACGGGGACCCACATGGGAGAGGCGTAGAAGGCTATGATGAATTTGGGACCGGCGGCGGAAGGTTTTCCAGTGACTGGGGACGTTAAGAATCAGCATGGAAGCATCCTCTCATAAAGAAACCTCGTACACACCGAGACATGGACCTGGCCAAGATGGAAGCCTAGTGTCTGCAAAAAGCGAATAATACTAAAATTCAGTCTACTGCTGATATGCCATGATTACCGCACGCGGACGGGCGCCATGCTTACAGTCAAATGCCATGATGGGAACTGCGATCATGACGCCAGTGAACCCTGCCATCATCACCCCGAGGAACATCAAAATCCGAGTGCTACGGCCATACAACGCATAGACTCGAAGAGCCAAGACTGAGTGATGCGTAAGAAAAATTTCTCGTAGAATAAACAAGGGCCATCTTACCTAGTTCTACGCATACATCAATTACGACAGCTATACCAGGAAGGACACGAAGATTTTTGGCGCAGGATCTTCATACAAAGGTGGAATGAGAAAGGTAGGTGAGAAAAGAATCCTCGCTCTGTACTTGGGCATATCCGAGACTCACGCTTCTGACCAGTCAGCAAAGAACCCTAAATCGGCAGGTGAGATTACATTTTTGGCCATCATGATTCGCTCCAAAGTCACTCACAGACGTCGGTCACTACAGGAAGAGGTATATTAGGCGCGCGTCCAAACCCATGCATAAAAGATTCACTCACCGACCAGGACAACAAAGGTGTAGTATCGCACCATCAAATACAAAACCTTGATAGCCGTCCAGTCCGCCTTCCAAATGTACCTCCACTGATGCGGCGATCGTCGAGATGGTTCAGTAAAGTGATTAGAGAGTTGATGACCATCAATTCTCACCTCTTGAGGTAAACATACGAGCCAGTCCCATACCAGCACGGATGTCGTCGCTGTTAAAGATGAAAAAAAAGTTGCTTAGAGGATCGGTCACGGAAATCTAGAGTCGTTCAGGGTAGGCCTACACGCGACGTAGATCTAATCCGACGAATATTCATCCGATGAGTTAGCGCCATTGCTTTGAATGATAACTGGCGCAGGCGAGATGAAGGACTTACCTGTGCAACCTTGACAATGTGCTCGAGTGCGGCTGCTTCTGCTGCAGACATGGCTTGCTGTCCTTTGACCTCGACCGAACGCACTGGCGATGTGGTAGAGGGTAATAAGTACGGAGGGAGCGCTGCTCCTACTCAAAGGTGGGATTGGCGCTCCATTGCTAAGCGGAGTGGTATTATAGGAATACCATTTGGATGTCAAGATCTGGTCACCATCAGACGGTGGAGATAGGGCTGGGGGCTGTGGCTATACTGTCGCCGGCAAGCGTCTGACCTGTTTACTCTCTCCCAGGCGTGACTTCTTTGACTCCTTAAGTCCTAGGATTGCGCCTTGGATCATGATCTGATCGTAATACCCGTCGTGTTTACCAGAAATAGGTCCTGTATAACTCGGGTGAGACGGCGTTGGTCCATGAAGCAGTCCCTTGTGGACCATTGACGACGCTGTTGTGGCGTTTGGCGCAAGCTGAGAGGGGACGGAACGGCCAATGCCGAGCCTGTCTGCTACTTACTCCGCTCCCAACTTCCTCAGTGCCACAGTCGACTGGCCAAGGTGAGCGGGGACCTCTAACTCTTGGTGCACTACTTGGTTCGAGCCTGATTGTCTGATCCATGACGAAGCTGACGGAGCTGACATATGTACATGTCCAAGCAGACAGGCTACCAGGCGACCTTTCTGCTCATTTTCGCTGTCATTGCTAGCCACCTTCAGACTGAGGCGCAGATTTATCAAACCTGACGGCATCGGAGCGACAATTTCATTTACCTCGACTTCATTTTCCTCGGGATCGCTTCGCTTGCGACAGGTCCATTGTATAATTGAAATCTCCATGCGTGGAAGCAGCCACCATACGAGAAATGTGGACATGGCTAGTTAGTTTGCAGCTGCCCAGACTAGTGCTTTCGAACAAATGTTCTCATTCTGAAAAGTTTTCACGGCCATTGTGCGCTTTCTTAGTGCCTTCTGAGTCCGTGTACACCAGTTGTGTTACATGTCTGTCAAAACCTGGCACCCTGAATGTTACAGGGAGATGGAGGTGCGTATGGTTGGCGTGTTCTATATTATTTAGACATCGGTCAGTGATGAAAGGACCGAACAAAACATGGGTCGATAGCACAAAACTAATGTAGTACGGTGAGTATGGTCTTAAGATCTCCTAAACGAACATGTTCTCACCTGTCGCAAAACAGGGAACCGGAGTTACGCGTTATAGCGGGGCATTCGCCTCGGATGGACCGAGGGAGAAGATAACTGGTCTGAAAAACGTCCAAAACATTAAGTGGCATGTTCAAACGCCGTGATGACGTCTGGATAAAGGACGAAACAATAGATCAACCGAACTTGGAGGATCATAACGCCGTCATGACTGCATAAAAATGTGGTTGGCAGACTCGGAATCCCCGTTCCAGCGTTGATGTCGGTTCTGTGGCGCCCTCTACCAACACCCTCTGTCAGACGTATCACTGGAACCCGTAGCCCTCACAGCCTGTGTTGACTTCATTTTTGAAACAGTCCGTGGTTGCCAGACGTAGCTGATCCTCGGGAAGTCAGTGCAGGACAAGGCGCCCACCCACCTGGTAAGTCCTGAGAAAGTGACCGAAAATCTGGCAATACGCAAAGACCCCGGTCTGATCTAGTTGACAGCTTCTGTCGTTGCATCATGGAAGTTTTCTTGTCTCATCAAAAGATGAGGATTCACCTCTTTGCTGGAACAATATTCAGCGAAATACCTACGCGCGCCATATACCTCGTAAGGGTGCACTGGTGCGCACTAAATATAGACCTGTATAGACCTTTGAAACGGAGATTGGATATATACATCATAAATCGTCAAGCAAAATATCTGTCGCATCACTTTGCGACTGCACCTCTTCTTCGTACTCTTCACGATCTTGGAGCGGCATCAACTCAGTTCCTTCACAATCTCTCCTTATGGTCTCTCAAATAATCCTCGGCATCTGTAGTCTCAGGAACTGTTGCTGCATTCTCCCACCTGGGCCCGCATGCTACTCATCCGTTTGCGCTTTATCTGCTACTGTGACAACGTGCCTGTTCAGTGGCACCCGAACGCCCAGCAGCTCTGACAGTATATTATTCCTTTTGGCTGAGACTAGGTTTGCCTGCCATAGCAGCTACAACGAGCCCGTACTTATGCGGAGATCGTGCTCCACATTCCTGACTGCGTGGGTACATTTTTGATGCAGCCATAGATTCAGTAGTTCCAATTGGACGAGAACCAGGCGAAAATAGCACTCATACGGCACCGTTTCGATTCACTTTCGATACTGTAAACTCTCGATAACGCTCAGACTTTGTGCCAAGGCCGAGATGCCGAGATATGAAACACTCCTTATAGCACACACAATTATCGCCTACATAAATACCACAGGACAGGTGACAGCCGTGTGGACGAGTGCCGAGCTTCCACAGAATCCAGGATCAAAGTCGTCACGGGGGCCACCGCATTTATACCGCATCCTTCCATTCTCTACTCTGAACTCTAAATACATGTAAACTCCGAAAATAATGTATGTCATTAATATACTATACTTACTAGAGGCATTGCGGGATATCTACATGCAGGTAAACGGACGTTAACAAGCTCGGCAGCGCATAAATAAAACAGCAAGGAACAAGGAATTGAGGCTACATAGTGGGGAAAGACCCTACTAAACACAGTGGTCCGAAACGATATAATGAACCGTGATGGGAGAAAAATCGATAATCGTGACAAGAACATAGCTTCAAATGAGGAAATGCGAAAGTGACGCCGCCGTAAAGATGCAATGTGATGCGAGATGAACTGCTCCTCAGAAACCCCACTCGGTCTCAGCGAGATTGAATCCAACCTTGGCCTTGTTCGTCTTGTAGTCTGGATTCTCTGCCACGAACTTCCTCCAGTAATGAACGTCGCGCGCCTGGAGAGGTCAGGTCCAGTCAGTGACGTATACTATGTCGCGCAAGTGATGCATATAAGACGTACCCAAACCTCACACTTCTTGTAGCTACCGTAGTTGTAGTCCCACATACGGAAGAAAAGCCTAACGAAACACATAGATGAGCGCTAGCACAATACGACGAGCGAAGATGGTCTCAACACTCACCCAAAGTTGAAGCGGCGGTGACTATGATGAACTTGATGATCACCAGGGGTGAGCATGTATTTGGACATTCCGGGGACGAGGAAAGGGATGATCAATGGGTGGAACATGGCGAACGACACGTGGTATTTATAACCTGTAATACAGGATGAGCTACATCGTGGAGGAAGTAAGGGTTCGACTGCGAACTCACCACTGTGGCCAATGAGCGTAGTGAAGGCGGTGATTGATAGTGGCGGGGCAAGGATGGCCCTGGAGGGTAGATTTAAAGTGGGTTTATGTACAGCCGGAAAAAGCAACAGGGACGTACAAGTTCTGGTTACCGTAATGGTGGATAACTACTGTCCAGAATAGCCATGGCCAGCCCACCATGATGAAGTTCTCCATCATCTCTGTTTTGATAAACATAATTAAACAAGCGTGACGGAGAGTTAGCGAGGCATTAAGGCTGACCTGCATAGCCCACAACAAAGACGTTCATCGCGTGCGAGTATTCATGATGAGCTTCATGAAGCATCCTAAAGATGACAACGAAGGACATTGGTACACGAATGGAAATATGAAATGGTAGACTGACTTGTAGAACCATTTATTTGCGTGGAAGAATCGATGCCCTTGCTACAATGCACTGTCAGACGGTCTTGCCCACACACTATTGTCAGCCAGTGGCACTCACGTAGAAGAACCAGTCGTGCTGCATTGCATGCACAAGGGGTCAGTTCTATGTAACCACGGTAATGATGACCAACTGACCATGAGCATATATCCGATGGTAGAAAGGGTGATGCTGGTAAAGCTTGGAACCTCCCATATCCATGGCCCTTGAGTAACAACGTGTCCGTATACTGTGCATGGAACGACGAAGGATAGAACTGTCGCATATACGCTATAATTGTCATAAAGATCAACAGGAAGATTTTTAGAGTGAAAAAGATGCATCCAACCTTGAGTAGTTACGATCCTTGGGTAGAGGGTAATATCGCTTCAAGTGACCAGCCTGATACATCAGACGAGTGACTTGATAGATGGTCTCGGCATCTGTGATGAATCAAAGGTGTAAGAGATACAAACAGAGTAAGGTAAAGACATGAAACTAGCGCACAGAGCATTGGCGCGATCGACAGGAGGATTCCGAACTGTTTTCATCAGAACGACAACAAATGAGCATGCAGCCGCGCTAGCAAACAGCGACATACTCACCGCTATACCTCGCAACAATGGAGTGGGTAGTAGATTCGTGACATTAGAAATGAGTGGGAGCCCTGCCGGGATGGTCTTGACGGAAGCGAAGTCGGAGCTCGCGACAACGGATGAGTTGGCAAAGATGGAGGCCATTTTCTCTATGTCGCTTTAACGCGGGTGTGCGTGGGTTTATAAACCAAACGACGGAGCCTCTACCAGGAGGGTGATGTACAACAAAAGGGGAGGTCTAGAAAGTTGGGAGAACGGGGCTCGGTCGCGGCGTTGATAAAGTTTTCGGTCACAGGCTATACACGATGCCTCGAGCGGAATCACAGTTTCAAGTGTGAGCCCATCATCACAGCTGTACAAAACCTACTATTCGGACGAGTTACAGTCCACTCTCCGACAGAGTGAATTCGTATCGTGAGAAACGCCGGCGCACTGAATCGGTCCTTCCGCATCGCCCGAAGCTGGGGAATGGCTCCATGCCCATCATTGCCCAAGGTCGTTTCAGAGGGGAAAGCCGTCTTCGATAGAGCTGTCTTAGTTCGGCAACCTCTGAGACAGGCCCCGGAAGTAACAGATAGCACAGCCGCAATACGAAGTCGAAACGAGGCTCCCCGCTCAAAACGAGCGGGTACGACCGGAGAGCGTTGCGTTCACCACACGCAATTCATACTCACATATGAGGTGGTGCACAAAGAGCCTTGCTTCTTTCTCTTCCGCGAGGAGAATACGTGAGCTTCTAACCGAAATCTTTGAGCCCTGCGTGCATCGACCGAGGTAGTGATTACTCCGAATAGCAGGGCGCCGAGTGGTCTGACGTCTAATCGCCACCTGTGCGGAACTTTTCACGCCAGTCAGTCTGTGTCTGTGCAAGCGAGAGAAAAGATCAATACAGCATATAGGCACCTACACAGTCAGAGATTCGGAGCCACTCTTAGCCGCATGGTCAAGCTTGTAAGAGTCAGTATGTTACGGGTCCATCAACGCATGACGGGATACCTAAAAGCCAGATCTGCTCGTCATATTGGGCAAGAGATCAACGTATCTGATAAATTCTTTGGACAAGGCCCTTCCTGAACTTTCTGCTCAGTAATCAGGCGCTAATAGCAATCCGCAGAACACGGGCGTACTCCCTCATCATGAACACCAACCATACGCTTAATGCCAAATAGCCTGACAATTTATAACAGCTACTCAGCCCGGACGCAAAAGTCGCGGGTAAAGGTTAACCTATGTGAGACCATCGGCATTAGAAGGACGTGGAATACAGCGTTCTCATCGGACATCAGAGGTCTAATACCAGTCAAGACAAGTTATTCTCAGCAACCTGAAAGAGAAGCTTGGTGGCCTGATAAGGGCAAACATATGTAGTTCATGGAGAGATCCACGTGAACCCATCTACATCATGTTCTTGGTATGCTTTCTGATGGAGTTTTGCGCACCGCGCCGTGAACTCAGTCGAGAACATCCACCGAGGGCCTGCTGAGATTCCACTGTAAAGAGAATCGATGTCATCCGAGGCTGGAGGCGCTGCGGAATTAGGAGATAAATCGAGTAAGGTCGTGCAATATATCGCCTGACTGTGGCCGCGGGGCGACTTCGAGCGCAAAAGCCATTAGGACGGTGACGGAGTTCGGCCTGTCGTCCAGTAAGATGGAGCTGCCAGTGCGCGGCCCCCGTGTACTATAGCCCCATGCAGTCCGATATCACCGCTCGTTCGAGGTACTCGATGGCACATCGTTGCAGTGACAACGTTGGATATCTCAGGATAAAAATATGCATGATTCCTGCCTCAATTTGCGGCATGTAAACGGAAGACGGTATCAACATCCGACGAGGAGGTAAGGAGGTAAGAAAACACTCACGCCCTGAATGAATAGAGTTGTACAACATTGCAAGTAGCCGAACTGAGATGGACGGCAGGCTCCGATAGCACTAGGGCACAAGCAGCTTCAAGAGAACTAGATCTCTTGGGAGAAATGTATGTCTCCACAACCGATAGGGGCGTGCATAGAATACCATAGTCTAAGCGGTACCTTTGTGGCGCGATTTAATTTTCGTGAATGGACTAAGAAATGTAGATCAGCCACGAAGCGCACAATGTTGTGGCTCTCAATTCAGTCAATAGCGGCGACCCTGAGTACCACCAAGAACGCCACAAAAGGACTCCTCAGGTCAAATAATCTGCACCACCGATGACACCGCAAGGTTTCTCGAGGTTTCCTCGGAACAGATCTGCCAGTGCTGACTCGATGTGCTCGGCTGGAGATGACGTGAGAAGCGTATGAACACTGCTATTCATTTGTATCTTGGGATAACATGATCCTACCGTGCACTTCGACCGCGGCATGCCTACGTACCGACCCACAAAAAGATCCAGCCTCTCCATCAGCTCTTCGTTGCTTGACAAGCGTGCAAGGAGTGTTTGTTCGGAACGAAAGTAAGCCACGTCAAGCCCGGCGTTCAAGGTCGAAAAAAGAAAGGTAAATGTCTGCTTTGGGTCCATACAGCTACGGGTGATGGTGATGGTGATGCTCTAGCACACGTAAAACAAGTGCTGAACAGATTCGATCGCGGAGACAATGCCAATGGGCAACGAGGAAGGACGTCAACCTCACTCTCCACGCAGAGGTGGTCAGCTTCGATAAACAAGACAATGCCAAGGCGTTCACAGTGTCATTCTGTGAACGAGATATCAGCTCACAACGAGGTTGTGTGAAGTTGATGGATGTCATTGCAGCGGCCATCGCTCGAGTCAAGTCACAGCCCTTGAACAGCTTTTGGCAGTTGTCGCACCTGACACCGTGCTCGTTCCAGCGCGATTCTGGGCTCCGCGCCTCGAGAATGAACGAATAAGCATTGACATGGATGTTGTCAACCCCTGCCGGCACGAAACAACTTCTCCGATTCCAACGCCTCACGGAGACAAAACACAATACGCGTTTCGACTGCGTCCTCATGCAAACTAGGTCGCACGCACACCAAATCCGAGTCGTTCACAGATGGAGGTAAACAACTTAACTGGGACAGCTACCAAGGTCCGATCTCGCATCATAGCATCAAGAAGTTGCCGTTGTCTGCCGCCGGTTCCGACTCGTCTCGGCGCAAAATTTGCGGCAACACGACCAATGGTGAGTCGGCGAGTCGCAGAGGGGTGTTACGTTGAACTTGAACCTAGACTGCTAAATGCCGCAAAATTGACACGTGTCACTTCAAGTCAAGTTCAATATTTAGGGAAGGTATGTCAGTCGAAAAACAGCTGACACAAAAATGGAGTTTTCGCCTGGCTATATCGCTTCCGAATATTAAGCCGGCCGAATCCCGATATTTAAGACCCAATCCTGACCCCTGGGACACCAGTGACCTTATATGGGCATGAAGAATAAAGCTGCATGCGCACCTCGAAGAACACAACATTGCTTGAAGTTAAAACGCATTAGATGGCTTCCTATTGAGTCGCCTGATCTTCAAGTTAAGGCCATCAGGCAGTGTGCATCAGAGCTGGGCGTTGTTGATGGGCAAGACGGATCATGGGTATACTTAGCTTCACCACCGACTCGGAGAGCCACCATCAGAGTCGTCCAGACTTGTAAATTTTCAGCAATCAAAGGAAAGATAGATATTCGGGACCCTCCTTGGACGAATGGAAACTTCAGATGGACAGGCGGGAAGGCGGGTGAGCGGGATGGGAGGAAAGAAAACTAAACAAGGCCCGGAGAATAGCGGGCACAATCGGAGTTGTCGGACCCTAAATGATAACGTGGGCCCAAACGCGTGACACGTCTCCTCGCTTGCCTCTCAATTGTTTCTTTCTCTCGGCTCGCCCGCAATGAAACTGCAGCTGGTTGGCTCTCTGCTTCATGCTTCGTCTTCCTAGTTCTTGAGCCTTTTGATCGCATCTTTCTCGTCTCCAGGACCCTACAAAAATTTGAACAGACTTGTCTCGTGTTTTCCCCACTCATTTTGTCCCATCTCACCTTACCAGGGAAACGAAGCTCAAACGAGGCGCAAAGTGCATCAACGACTTCGCACAGAAGTATCATCATTTCTGGTTCGTAGTCCTCATTGTCACCCCCTACAACATCTTCAGGCTGCCTTTCATCAGTTGTTCATGACCAGCGTCACGCTGAAGTTTACCATGAAGTTGAAGTATGGCGCCAGCACAGGATGGTGGGGATGATGGGGAGCCCCCAAGACCTTTCCAGTACCCCTTTTCTTAATGCATTTGAGGCGTTATATGATTTGGCACGTCTTATGTTTCATGTCCACTCACACTAATGCCGCCCGTCGAGGACAGGTATGGTATAGACTTTCCTGTTTAGAGGGTGAAATCGACGACGAGCGCAACAAGCGTCGTTTTATTGAGCCGGCATACAATGGGCGTGGCGTGTCAATAGTTCTTATCCTTCGCATTCCATGCGCTCTCAAAATTGGCGCCTCTTTTTTAGAGCATTGCCCCCTCTTTTCACCATGAAACCTGACTTCTGCCAAGGTCCATGGGATTTCGAACCTCTCCGAGCCCCTTATGCATATCAAGAAGTCCATTATTTCAAGGCTTCCGTGTTCCGTGCAGTAAGGACGCCTTCCTTAGTAGCTGTTGAGATCATACCGTGCAAGTCGCGTACGACAATCCTGAACCCTATCATCTCCATCTTAGTAGTGTTTCTAATCCTAGCGCTCTTGGTCGCACAACAGTCAGGAACTCTAGCACCGGGTCTTGAGAGGGCTTCTGTGACATCCGGAAGAAACCCACCTAATATATGTTGCGATGCAGATACGCTGCTCGCGGAGCGCGCGCTCGTTGAGCGGGAAAAGAGACGCGGTCCACCTCAAATGGTCGGTACATCGGTCTCGCGGATGGGTCCATAGAGTCCTACGGTCACCGCGGGGGATATCCTTCTCAAAGACCGCGGTCCCTCGGCTCCAAGAGAATACACTAAAACACATGATACTCACGGTTTTCCGAACTATTGCCTATGCTTGTCTTCGTACTGGCTTTCCCAGCATCAAAACAACTTCCGCCCTATCATACCTGACACAAGTGGGATCACAAAGAGTTGCCTCGCGTTCTGATTGTATCCTTGCCAGAAACTGTATAACGGACTACAAGGTACTCCATCAGCATCGGTTCCGGGTAGGGCGTACTGAAGATCTCAGGTCTTTATCTAGGATGTCGTACTCACGGTGGACGCGGGCAGACGGAGGCAGACGGATTTCCAGGCAAGGTCACTCGGCCCGCACTCTAATGTGCGGCGAGCTCTATTTTCCTCGAATTTTTGCGGAATGCATTAGTGGATTATGACTGGTCTACCCAGAATACCGTGATAATTGCAGTATTGCGTCGCAGCTAGCGATAGTATCAGTTTCAAGTTTGGGGTTCCCCAAAGCCGACCAAACCGAGCTTCATCGAGCTTCCAATGATCATGATGCGACGACGGCGTCTAGATGCCATCCAATGGCTGCACAGCGCACAAGAAGGCAAAACTCACACTATGCACTACTGGCACCGACTGCTTGTTCGGAAGCTATCATACCCGCGTTTACCAGGTATGTTTAAAGGTGCCATGTCAGGGCGCAAGGTGCATCACCATTCGTCCGCACATCATCAGGTCGGTTTTTATCAGGCTTCATATAACTCCTCATCGTGCTGATCATCTTTTCCGTCGTTATCCACAGCTTCGAGCACCACCATTCCACTTCCACTTCCATACGACGCCCTCCAACTTCCACTTCCATACAACTTGATCCACTTGCACGACAAGCTCAGTATCAGCCTCAATCTTTGTCCTCGACCGCAACTTCATAATTTGTGACAATCATGGCTATCAAGAAGGGCGAAGTTGCGTTCATCACCGGTGCTGCCTCTGGTCAGTCCACACCACAGCGTGCATCGAAGCTTCATGGCGGAAACTGAGAACTGACTCATACCCCTCTTTTCCGTGGTGCTGTGTTGTCTGATCGTCTCTAGGTATCGGAAAGGCTCTCGCTGAGAACTTGGTCGACCAGGGGTATGTCACACACTCCCTACGTAGGGTATGCACATACGCTAATTTGGTCTCACTGTGTGCTGTGTAGCGGCCGCGTCGTGATTGTCGACCTGAACGAGGATGCAGGTAAAGCCTACGCCGAGGAGCTCAACAAAAAGGCGGGATCGGCCGTTGCCATCTCTGCCAAAGCAGATACGACAAAGTTCGAGGAACAGCTCGCTGCGTACGAGCTCGCGAAGGAGAAGTTCGGTCGGATCGACTATGGTACGCCTTTCAAACTCCCCACTCACCCCTGCCCATTAACGAGCACACACTGATGCACGATGCCCCTGTTCTTTACTCACAGTCTTCGCCAATGCCGGCATTGCCGAACTCCCCTGGCTCACACCCGGCCCCGCTCGCTCCGTCTCCGACGCCCTCTCCCAACCCATAACCCCACCCAACCTCGCTACCGTCAATATCGACCTCATCGGTCAACTGAACACCGCTGCGCTCGCTCTTCAGATCTTCGAGCGCCAGGAAAAGAATGAGCTCGGGTTGAGGGGCAAGTTGATCCTCACTGCAAGTGTGTTTGGGTATTATCCATGCGCGAGCATGCCGATGTACGCGACGGCGAAGGCGGGGATCGTTAATTTCATGAGGAGCGCTGCGGTATTCTTTAAGGCAAGGGACGTTACGGTCAACTGCAGTATGTGCTACATTCCCCCTCTTTCTCTCAGAAGTGGGCAGTGAGCTGATGACATGGTAAATTATTTTGACTCGTAGTTGCACCGAATTTGATTGGTATGCTTTCGTCTCTTCACTTCGCTTACATGTACCATGCTAATCTTCTTCTACATTGATTGCTCATAGACACCCCTATCGCACCTGACGTTCTCTTCATCCCCTTCCGCGAGCAAAACCTCCTCACGCCCATCTCCCTCGTCGTCGAGCAATTCAACGTGCGTACCATTCCCACCTCAGCTCTTCTTCCTCTCTCGGTTCCTCGCTGACCTTCATATTCCAGTCCCTTCTCGGCACCTCAACCACAACGGGCCAAGCCATCTCCATAAACGGAACTGACGTATGGGTCCACCCGCCCGAAGCCGTCAAGTTCGAGGAGAACGACGCGGCCTGCAAGCTCATTGATTCTGAGATCGCGAAGTTGTTTGGATACGCTTGATCTTGTCTCTCCCTCTATCTCTTACTGTTCGGATTGTGCGTTGAAATAGCTTGAGTCGGTCGTATCGGTAACTGGATGCGGGTGTATATATTCGGTCGTCGTTTATTACAATAAAATTATGAAGAGCGACTGTATACAATCCACTTCAGGCCTGCGTCTGGAATTTGAAAGTTTGAACTCACATTCGTGGGTCTGCTTGTCTGGGGAAGAATAATGATAGTTTGGCTTGGAGTCGTGGGGGCCCTCTGGAGGACCGAAGTCGAGGTGGAACGGCCGACTCACTCGATGTGGCGCGCCACCCCTCTTCGCCAGCAGGTTGTTCGTATTTTTTCCATTCACTAGTACATGCACACTGGCCTAGACGTAGTCATAGCCAAAACCAACGTTTGTGTTGCATGCTAGGAGTTATCAGGACTGCCGAGACGACAAAGACAAAGAACTTCAAGTACACGAGCCTGACTCAAAGAGGTCCTCCTGCCCGTGCGCTAACCCTCCAAAATAAGCCGTAATCGCCTTCAACTTGTTCCCCATCCATTCCTCCTCAACTTCCACCCTTTCCACCCCATCTCCAACGTCATTGTGTCTCCGTTTCCGCTTCGTACCCTGCTTCTCCAGCCCGTGTCCACCGGCCTTTATGCCCTCAGCCCCCGAGATTCCCAACTCCGTATCATCTACACCAACATCGAGCAACTCCGCAATCTGCTCAAGATTCGAGTTCCTCGGTAAATAATACGCCACATTCTTCGTTATCTTTCTCGAGAGCTCGAACAAGTCCCGACCCTGGATAGGACGTATACAATCGAGCGTGAACTCCGGGTGCTGATTTTCCACTTTCCCTTCTACGTCTGGGACCGTCGCTGTAACCGCGGTGAGATCGAGCGTGGAGCCGTTCAGGTATGACGGACCGCCCCAGGGTGGACTTAGGAATACGACGTCGATGGGATGTTTTCGTCTTCTATGGCTGGGACTAGGGCCAGAGTGATCGAGTGGCGGAGGTGAATTGCTGGCGGACTGGATGATAGGCTGGTCGACGAGGGATTGGGCGAAGGAGATGTAGTCCCCGAGGATGAACTCGATTCGGTCGGCGACGCCGTAGATTGTTGCGTTGTGTCGGGCGAGGGCGAGACGGGTAGGTGAAGTGTCGAGGGCGATTACTACATTATATGTTTATTTGGATAGAAAGGGAGAGAAGGCAAGACAAATGCCCAGAACTCAACTAGGACGGTTGACCACAATGACACACGGAAAATATGAAGGAGCCGAGGGGAAAGAGACGTACCTCGCTCGCACGTCTGCGCAAACGCGATCGCGTTTCCGCCCACACCACAAAACGCATCCAGAATAGTCCCACACCTACACCTCTCCGCGATTTGAAGCGCTATGGCCTCTGGAGTGACGCTATACCAGCCTTCTTCGTCCAGTAGACATCCTTGGTCGTAGAGTGAGAAGAAACGAGTTCGTTGCGAAAAGTCTATATATACAAGAAGATATTGAGTTCAGGTTCAGCTAGTCGTTGAAGAAAGAAACCTGTCGAGATATGAAGGAATGAGACGCACATTTCTGAAGATGATCTGGTACTTCTGAAGCGGAGGTATAGTATGGTACGAGGTCTGTAGCGTCGTACACTTCATTCCCTGGACCGAGCAATCCTGGACTTGTCCGTCGTTTTTTCGCGGGTGGTCCCTGTTCGTCCTTTTCTTCCTCCGTTCGTCCACGACTAGTCGATATCAAGAATTCTCCCCCAGCTTCTAAATCTGATGTCGATGGCGTGTCTATAGAGGTAGAAGCAATCGACTTCGCAGGTTTTGATGTAGGTGTGACTGGGGAAGACTTGGACGGTGACGGGGACGAAGGTTGGGCATTGAAGACCTGTAGAAACCGAGAAAGACCGGTCGGATTCAACTTTTTCTTCAGCTTTTTGCTCATGATAATCAACTATAGAAGGTCGTCGCGAAGTAGAGGCAATATGTGTGGTGGAAAGGATGTTGAGGGCGAAAGCCAGAGCCAAGAAACGCGTCTCGACTTGACGCCACATTCGTGTTTGGAGGCGCCACAGTGGCACCTCGCCGTCCTTTGTTCATACTCGAAAAGTTCAAGTCACGGTGGTGGTAATCACAGAGATTTTATTAGAAGGGCAGGCAGTAAAATATGTTGGTCATGTTCTCTATCGATGTCAGTGATTTTGATGGTATGATACTACAGCAGAATCAGGCAGCTAACCGCTCGCTGCCGGTCCTCACCATACCCACTGATCCTCTCGCGCTTCACAAGAAACACTTCCACCTAATCGACATCCAGTCCATCCTCTTCAACCTCTTCAGCATGCCCTTTCGAGCTCACAGAAGACTCCGGTCTCTTCCTTCGACTGGTCTTCTTATTCGGCGCGCGACGCCCACGAGCGGGCACAGCAGACCCACGATGATCACTGTCAGAAGAGAGGAGCTCATCTACTTCACTGGTTGAAGCCTCGCCCATCCCCTCACTTCCGTAGATTTCAGTGACAGGTCGTTGAGAAACCCACTTCAAACTCCTGTCGAGCTCATCAACTTTACTGGTAGCGGCCTCGCCAACACCCTTACTTCCGTCGGAGATTTCAGTGACAGGTCGCTGAGAAACCCACTTCAAACTCCTGTCCTTGTTCGGGTGAGGTCTCTTTTTGTTCTTTTTTCTTGTCCTCATCTGTGCTTTGTCCTTCCCTTTTCCCATCGCCTTCTTTCCCGCCTCCGCACCCTCGAGGTGGACAGTAAATGAATATTGACCGTCAGCACGAGTAGAATCGTCTGAGGCATCTGAATCCACAGGGGGCGTAGCATTGTCAGAGCGAGCGACTGTCTGAGGTTCTCCCGGAGCCGACGTAGCACCAGCACTAGCGGAAAGGCTGGCATTATTGACCCGGGGATCAGCACTGGGAGATAACATCTTGTAGTGCTTGGAATGAGTTCGCGACGAACTAACACCGGGAAATAATATCTTGAAGCGCTCAAATTGCGACGAGCTCTCTGAAGGCACGCCCCTATACGTTGTCGCTGAGATTGGCTCAAATCGCAATCCAGGATACGGTGGCGTACTGGACTGAGGAGCTTGCCCGACCGTGGCAGAGAGTTCTGGTAAGGATGCGATTGCAGGCGAAGTTACGGTTTCGGAAGTCAGGGCTGATGCAAGTGCCGACGGAGACGAAGGAGTAGGAGATCCTAGTTGTGTTGAATCCAATACCGACGAGCCAGGTGCCATTCCAGAAGATCCTGAGGCAGTAGACCAAGTAGGGGAACTCTGTCGTTCGTACAGAGCAGTGGCACTAGATGCAGCACGTTCAGTAGGAGTAGCATGCTGTTTCACTCCTGTGACGTGAAATGACGCGGAGGACGAATCAGATACTAAGGACCGCGCTCTTGCTCGTGCTCGGCCTGATGTAGGGGATGCAGACGTTGGAACCTGTAAATGATACTTATGAGCTGGGGTGATTCTGACCTGCGAAGGTTGGGAAGACGTTACGCTTTCACTGGGTTCAGAGGGCAGTACGACAGGGGACTCTGCGTCGCGTCGAGCCTCTGGAAATGGATGTCGAGAAACCCTATCTAGACTCTCCATGCATTCAGTACACCCACTGAATGCACAGATCGTGCAGCTACGTGAAGCGTTGAGGGTCTTGGCTTGTTGGACAATGCGAGCGAATTCCTATGACAGAGTAGGAAGAGATAAATGAGGGTGACAGATGAGTGAGCGCTACCCGTGGTCGAAATATGAACGCAGAGAGGATTCAAACTCACCTCTGGAAAATGGTCAGGATCTGACAAAGAGGGTATCTTGAGGCATTGACACGTGTCATTGAGACACATTACGGTGCTATGTAAGAGGGAGGAATGTTGCATGAACGTGTGGGAGTAAAGGTCAGCGCGGAACATGAAGAAATTGGTGGCACGCGACGCACGACAATCGCCAAATTGGAAAGGTCGGTGCTATGCTCGATTGTCGAAGAACTGGACTGCATGATACAGGATCAGGATGGGATATTGGTATCAGCAGGGGCGACGAGTATGCAAAGAACATTGTGAACGCTCGCCATACCTGGTATGATATCGAGAATGAGAGCGAATGCGAATGTCGAGACGATAGAAGCAAATTTGCTGGATGAGGAAGGGCGTACCAGATAATCACGAAGGTGGCGCACGAGATTGTGTCGCAAGTGTTCAATGGAGCCCGGAACTCCCGACAAAGGTGTACGATCGCTTCAGTATCGCGCCTGAAGCCGAGGGAAGTCCGACGTCGACAATGGGAAAGACCTCAGAGGAGACAATGGAAAGGGTGTCGCGATTCACAAAAGCCTCTTTGTCCTGACTGGTGACAACAATGGTAAGAAGCGAACCAGAGCCAACGTCGAGCAAGCTCCGAGGACTCAGCAAAAAACCAACCGCAGAGGCTATAACTAGGGAAGTGAGACGTGAGGAGCTCCAGAGGGAAAAGTGAGGTGAAGTGAGAGGTGAAATCTACGAGAGGCCACAGAGACACGAAGAAGTGGGGAAGAGGGGAGGTTCAAGTTCGAGACCCGAACAGATCCGAAGTTGTACGCGACACATTAGATTTACCACGGTCACGATACCGTGTCGTGGTTATTCCGTTTCCGGTTTACTGAAGATTCTAATTTGAGAATTTAGAGGCGCGCCTTGTTCGCGTATCTGTGCCAACGCCATCGCGTTCGGCATAGAGTGAGAAAAAACAAAATGGATCACAAACAGCGATAGCAATAGTACGGTAACGATAGAGCTCGTTCAGACCACAACAAAGCAGTAATGAGAGTCTGAGACTGGAGAACTCGGAAGACGCTACACATCGCATGCGGGTAAGTAAATCATAGGAGGAGAACCAGAAAGACATAAGGGTATAAAGGAGTGGCATGTAAGTAGTCAAGTAGGAGTGTCCTCAACCGAAGAGAATGTACTAAGCAGCGACTGACGTTGAATGGCCGTGCGTGAGAGCATTTATATGGATGAGTCGAACAAAGCAAAGCATAACAAGATTGATGGAGGAGACATATTATGAAACAAATCACTCGATGATATGAGTGATAGGATGCAATGGAGACAATGATGACAAAGACAGAAAGGCGGTAAACAGAGAAGAAAAGGAGGGAGACGAGTTGAAGACCACCTACCTTGAACCAACACCTCCAACGATCGACCAAACCCACACGATAAACCCTCCTGGGCCCCTCAGAATCGCTTCAACGATCTCATAGCACCCACCCCTCAACCAGACCCTGGCCCTCTATACGTTTTGGGGCGATGTTTTGACGGGAGACGACTCTGGCGTGTGTAACTGCATTCTGGTCGACAAAGAGCTCGAAGGAGCGCTCCCACCCAAAGCTCTGGTCCTGCTCCACCCAATCCGCCCGCTAGTGCTGCTGAACTTTAGACGCTTCATGAGAGGCTCGTCGTCGTCTTCACTCGAGCTTTCCTGGAGCTCTTCAATTCGCCTCTTCGGCCCTATGAATTCTCGGACGGGCCAAAGCATCTGACCTCCGCTGGTGGATTTGGTGGGCGTCGCAGATGGAGAGGGTAGACCGCTTGAGGAAGGGCCATGCAAACGACGCGGAGAGGAACGATCAGTCGACGGCACCTTCGACGGCATTCCAGCAGTTGAGCTCGAGGGGAGAACCACATTCGGTCTCACCAGCCCCTGGGCACCTTTATCATTCGTCTTTTGGCGTTTCGAGAGACGTACTTCTACATCATCATCATCATCATCCTCCTCCTCCTCCTCCTTGAGTTCTTCAACACACCTTTCCAGCCACACAGGGTCTCGCATGAGGGCGAAGCTCTGAGCATTGTTTTTGGGCTTTACAGGAGTTGCACTGGGAGTGGGAAGACCGTGGAGTCTCGTCGATAGCGGTACTGCAGGAAAAATGTTCGAGGAGTCGGGAGTGTTGGATAGAGGAGAAGTACGTGCAGTGGATCTAATGGGCATGGCAGGTCCGCGCGTTGAGCTCGTAGATGATGGTATCGGAGCAGGCAGATCGGGATTTAAAACGATCGATAAACCACGCTTGTTGAACTGAAGAGAGTGTCCGACAGGAGGAACAATAGTAGCCTGAGCAACGACAGGAGGAACGACAGTAGTCTGAGCAGGAAGGACATTTTTTGGCGCAGCAGCAGCAGGGCGAGTACCGGCCGCAGAATCCTTGAGAAGAGAGGCGCAGTCAGCAAGAAGGGAAAGAGCAGCAGTGTTGAGGAGATGAGCCGGTCTTGCATCTGGTGCAGAGTTAAGACGAGTTGATGCAACGACGGCAGCAGTAGTAACTTGATCCTGGGAGCCAGTTTCTTTCTGGACAACGACGGCAGGGAGACGAGCTGCACCAGTATCCACACTCGCACTAGGAACCAGCGGGCTTGACTGGTCAATGGCAACTTTGCTGTTCTCTTTTGTCTTTGCGCTTTTTGTTTTCGTCTGTTTAGGTGTGTCGGTGGGCTTCTTGTGGTCTCCAGCAGCTTGAAGGGTTTTGATTGGGGGAATCAAGGATGGGAGGTTCCTATTTTCTACCGAGGACGAAGAGGGCGCTGCATGTGCTGGAGAAAGGGATAGGCTTTGTAGCAAAGAAGGATCACCGACGCGGGCAGTGATGTAGGAGCGGCATTGGTCACAGCCATTGACGGCGACGCAAGCACAGCAGCACTGTGGCACGTAGAATAGATACGCGTCTCGTAAAATGGCAGTGACGAGCTGATATGGGGAAGATGGGTGAATGAGAGAAAGGGTATGCGAGCGGCGGACAACGCACTGGAGAATTTTTCGGAAGCGATGTGGTCGCTATCCATTGCTTTTTACAACTACACTTCTTGGCTCTGCACATTTCCGCGCTCAGTTCTCGTAGATGGCTGTCGTGTGCGGACAAGCAGAGGGGTCGTATAAGCGCGGAAGATTTGGAAATCTCGACAATATATGACGTGCCTCGTATATTCACAATGCAAAGAACGTATGTTGCCTTTGTCCAAGTTGGGAGAGAATGTTTGTGGAGAGTGTGTGATGTGTGTCCAGATGTGTCGCCGGCGCTGCAGTGAGCCTCCCAACGTCGATCGACGCGTCCAGTCGTTTTGATGTCACGTACAAGCCCGAACAAAAGCGAGGTGAATGTATTGGGGAAGTATAAAGAGAAGCGCGACGCGAAAGAAGCTTCTTGTGCCTCTATCAGCAACAACGCGAGTATGTAGTCTGCAATATGAGATGTAGGTTGCGATGAGGGATGATGAGAGCAAGACGAGGAGCGGAGAGAATATGATGCGAGAGATGAAGGAGCAACGAGAATGGATATACGATCAGAGGTTTGTGGTCGGACAGAGACGCTTTTACAACTCCGAACGGTGTCTGGCGGTGTTGCGAGTTGGAACGCCACCACAGTGGTTGTCTCACGGTCACGACGTCGTGTCAGGACAATCCGTTCCCCTCCCGGCCGTTCGCTACATCTGTTTGATTGTCCTCAGGTCGACCTGGTTCCACTTGAGATCACAATGAGTTGTAATCTATTATGTAGTCGGTTTGAGAGGTTGTACATGAGTGTGAAGTAAGATATTGAAGCGAAGGAGCACAGTTAGAGTAAGTCAACTCGGAGACGTACTCTATTGTCCGAAAAGGCGGATGGACAGGATGCTGGAATAATAACAATACGCACAGGGAGAAGCAGCTCCAGTGGCGCGATTCATATGTCTGGTCCACCACATACTCCGGAGAGAGTGCGAAAGAGAAGGGGAGGAGTTGGGAGAGGGATGAACAGAGGGAGTGGTGTTGAGGGAATCCGCCGGAGGTGTATGGTTTTCGTGTGTATCATCGACGTTGGTTACTAATTCAACCCTTCCTTTGTCCCCCCGTCATAGTCCTCGTCCATATCCTCACCGACAGCCCATGCTTCAACCTACACGACACCTTCTGACCCTTCTTACACCGCTCTTCCTGTGATTACGGCCATCATGATCGCCCCCCACGTCGAACCGCACTGCACCTCTGCCCACAGCGTTTAACAGCTGTTCAGTCTCACACTCGAATTCGATTAGACACTCGAACTCGAACTGAGGCTCGAACGGAAGGAACAAGGCCTCGACGTCCACGCCGACATCGACGGTCGGAACGCTCACTCCGCCACCTGCGCCTATCCCCACGCACACGCACATAAGCTCGCACGGTCACAGTGGCATCCACAGTCGTAGTGCGCATCCTCGAATTCGTCCACCGGCGGCTCGCATAGCTCCAAGCTCGCCTCTGGATCGCAGTACTCATTATTCAACGCCCAATCTGCCGCGAAAAAGCTGCGCGATATGGACGACTACGTGTCCTTCGCGGACGTCGAGGGGCCGGGCAACCCGCCCGACAAGGACGACGAGCACACAAATGATGGGCAGAGGGTGGAGGTGGGATGCAGGAATAATTCGGGGCTTGGTAGAAAGTGATGTAGTCTCCAAGAAGGAACCTAGTGCACTCAGAAACGAGACAGTCACACAGTGAAGGCATATCCGAGACTGATAAGGTATTGATGGGGTCAGAAAGATACCACAATGAACATGAGGAAAGCAAAGACAGGGAAGGAAGAAAACGCACCTCGCTTAGACGTCTACGGATTACACATACACCGCAAAACACGACCAGTATCGTCCACACCTCTGTGTAATGCCTCTTGGTATGACGCTCCATCCCGTTTCTTCGTCCGGCAGATATCTTGGGCGTGCATCGAAGGGATGGTTTACCTGTTGACGAAACGATAGGTGAATTATCAGTTCGTGTGGTCTAGAACCGTGGGGGTTGGTCAGGCAACGGTGGGAGCCGTAGTACATATCATCCATACACTGACCTTTGGCGCCTTCCTGTGTTTCCTTGCTCTTCGTCCTAAGCTCGCGAGGAATTTGCAATCATCAATTCGAGAGATCTAGAGTCCATTTCCAAAGTGGCGTTGACAAAATAGATTCCGAAAGGCATGGCCTGTTTCGAAGGTGCTCGAGTCAAAAATCCGTAAAGACTGGGGCTGTGAGGACGAGCTAAAGAACCAGGCCGGGGGTAGAAGTACTGGTCGACTTTATTCCCTTCTGCAATTGTTCAATGCTAGTGATGTGCGACAAAATGAAGGCGTTGTATCCATTGGAGATGGTGGTGGATGCTGCAGACAAGATGAAGCAGCAGTCGCGTCGATGCCGGATCGGGGTTACTGTAGAGCCGTTAGACGCGCCACTGTGGCACCGTATCTCTCTTCCAAGCTGAGACTGCTGGTGATCCCTCGAATTGTTTCTATTTGAGACAGACATTTTATTGAGATGAAAAGGTTGAACGAGCTGAACTAAGGTAGTGATAGCAATGGTAGAGTAGCAAAGCTGATTCAGAACTGATAACACAGCAATGTGAGTTACGGTAAGGCTACAACTTGGTGTCATGATATGCAGGAGGGAAAACAATGAGGGAATGAGAACGTGAAGGAGCGTGTAGTTGAAATAATGCATGCGAGAGGAGAGAGAATAGGAACGAGAGTGAAGGCCTACTAAGGAGGATAAGTGGTGATCTAGGAATAGCGCGTGAAAGCGTGAAAGCGTGAATGAGCGTGACACAACAGGATACAATGCAGCAAGCAATACGAGAGTGTAGATGATTAGGAAAACTAATGAAGACAATCAAGAGATAGTATGCACAAAGATGAGACAAGGCGAGATAGAATGAGCCGAACCGTAAGAGAGAAAGTGAGTGAGAGCGAGGACCAGCCTCGAGACGAAAGAAACAGAGACAGATGACCAAATGAAATAGAGGAAAGTAACGTATCCTCCTCCACCTACCTTAAATCGGCACCAACCATTATACCTTGTAACAGGCCACCGAACTTCAGAACGATCTCCAGGTCCTATTTCCCTCCATACCATCTCCGCAATTCCAATCCACATCCTCAGCCGGACGTAGAACCCGTAGTACTGTCAGAGGGACGTTTGACGGGAGAGGACTGGGGTGTGGGCAGCTGGTTCCTGGTGGACGAAGACTTCGACGAAGAACTCCCATTGGAGGCTCTGTTCTCGCTCCTATCAGCAAGACCGCTATCGCCAGTGGGCCTTTGACGTTTCACGACAGGTTCGTCGTCGTCTTCGATCTCACCATCCTCCATCTCGTCCGCGAGCCTTTTCGGCCTCGATGGCTCTCCTTGGGGCCTGGCTGCATTCGCACCACTGGTAGTTACAGGAGAAATCGCGTGCGACAAAGTCAAAGGGAGTTGCTGAAGAGTCCCATTCCGGTCGAACCTCTTGCCCTTCTTCTTCTGGCGTTTCACCAGCCGTTGTTCCACCTCGTCGTCGTCCAACTCGTCGGCGCGCCTCTTCGTCTTCGCAAGCCTATGGTCGTGTCCAAGTCTCTGACCCCCATTGGCATGTCTCATAGGCGTCGCGATCGGGGTAGGAAGACCATGGAATATATCGCGATGGGGTTTTGCAGGCGTGGCCCTGCCGATAGGAATGGCGTTGGCGCCAGAAGCGGCCTTGGTGGGTGTCATAAAGATGGGCATCGGAATTCTCGACTGAGACTCGAAGGTGAGGTGTCCGTTGGGGCAGAAATCGTGGTGTCCATTTGAGGAGGGACCAGGAACATTTGGAGGAGACGTTGTGACGGTCAGAAGAGTCGAAGCAAAGGTAAAACGAGAAGCACGAAAACGAGCAGGAGTAACAGGAACGGAGCAAGGTGGACGGTCAGCATTCCCAGGATCAAAAGTGTCACGGTTGGCCGACGGAGGAAGAAGAGCAGCATGGTCAGAACTACTTGCACCTCCCATTGGCTCGGCGCGAAGCATCGTACTCGTATGGGTAGCGGCAACATCCCGGGGCTGATCAGAGGGCCTCACTAGAGCGGTGGGAGCGAAAATACCACCAAGATCTGAAGTATCACCAGCGCCACCAGTTCCACTGGGAGTCTGCACATGAGGTTCTGTTGTCGAGGGCTCAGATACCTCGCCCTTGTCCTCTACTAAGAGGGGTTTCGTAGGCTGCGCGTATCGTGATCGGATCTTGGCAGCAACCCTGGAGACCATGGCCGGGTCTATCGAAGGTTTCGATACGGACGATGGTGCTTTCGCTACAGTGCTCGAAGAAGCCAACGGAAGATCTCGTTTTGACGTCGTAGCTGGTATGGCCCTCTCGTTGTTAGCGGGCGTGGCTCCGACCTGCGGAGTTTCGCTTGTTGAGTTGGAGGCTGGCTGAGGCTCGCTAGAGACGACGGATGATGTGGTTTGTGCTGAGGGCGCGAGGTCAGAGGTCAGAGGTGCCATCGTAAGGGTGGTGATCGTTCTCACCTATGATTGAGATATGTTCGGCGCAATACTTGCAGCCATTGGCGATGACACAGAGTAAGCAATCGAAAGGAATTTTGGTTGTGAATGCTCTGTATTTGACCCTGTAGAAGAGCTAGAGTGGGACAGGTGCGAAGAGCATAGGTAAGCAGGAGTAGTGTATGAGTCGTGCACTACTCACTTTGCGTCCGAGTTTTATAACATTAACCTTCCCCCGTCCACAACTACAGAGATCCGAGGGGCACATCGTCAACTAGATCAGTCATGGATAAACAAGCGGGATGTTTGCGTCAACGCGATCAGAATTGAGAGTCCACACTAAACTCACCAAAAGTGTTTTGAGATTACGGGGAGGAAGGGAGTGTGGTGTTCGGTATTTGACTCCTGGTCTAGACTGCATGAAAGGGAGATGGAATGCGAGATTTGGTCCGGATCAGGAAGAGCAAATACAAGGTTAAGACACTATGCGCGACATACACTATAGGCTAATGGTGTTGAACGTCAACGTTGATCGTGAAATTGCGGTCGAAAGGAATATTCAGGTAGTATAGTGAGGTGTCGGGAGATTCGACGAGAGTAACGTGTCCGGTCGTGCAGTATGCAGTGAAACGACGGTGATGGTGTTGAATCCCTTGAGTATCGCGTCTGAGGTCTAACACAGTCTAAAGCAATAAGAAGAGCGATGTTCGAGAATCTGAAGTTGATAGCGCGAAGTGTAGACAATTCCTCCGCTTCCAGAGACGACACTGGCAGACCCAACGTAATTACGGCGCGTGCGTAACGATTGAAGATCTATGTGGTCGGCGATATAAAAGGATAGTTAAAGCCAAGAGCGCGTGAGCAAAGGCTCGGAAAGACAACAGATGAAGGATGAGAGAGGAAAGAAAGAGATGGAAGAACCAGACGAGGATGAACAGGAGATTTATATGAACTCGCCCGCACGGTCACGTGGGTGGGTCAGAGCCAAACTGTGGCGTTCAGTTTCGTCGCTCGCCGCGCGCCACAGTTGTTCGTCTTGCGTTTGGGAGGAACAATCTACATACAGTTTGCATGATTGTATCGGTGGTTAATACAAAGGCGGTGACATAAACCTGTTCAGCTTCCTGAGACAGACGTGTGTGATCAGCCACGGTGGGGCTCCTTGTTACAATTTTACCACTCACACATCTACTTAGTACTGTAGCCACCACTTCCACACAGAAACCAGTCATTGTTCCTTCGGCGCCTGCTTCATTGCTCCCAAGCCCAAATAATACCCAAGGAGCCCACCAATAGAATGTGTCGCGATCTTGTCAAGAGGTCTGAACCCGAGCGAGGGGAATACATCGCCTAATAGGTGGCGTCGCACCGCAGCCACGAGCAATGAGCATTCGAGTAATCATGACCAGAGCAGAGGAGGTTGAAACAGATGATACTGCGATAAAATGAAGAGCTGACATACCATCTTCCCAAAAAAGCCGGAAGACCTGGATTACGCTAGGCTAATACACCAAGAGACATCAGGTTCATACATTTCATCCATCCAGTCAGTCTTGATACATCCTCGCAGATAATCAAACTTACATTTGCGCCACCCATTCCAAGCTGCACCGCACGCATCAAGAAACACGACTTTTTCTTCATAACTTCAGCTCCGTCCTCCCGCTCTGCAAGCTCTGTGTGCACCCCCTCCGGACTCTCGAAACTATGAACCACTCCCCTTTCGACAGTGATCTCGCCATCCTCGGGCCTTAGAGTGCGTCTGATGCCGCCAATGGTAGCGGTGAGCTCTCCGGAGAAAACGCGGAAGATTTCGGGAGTGAGGGGATGGTAATGGGGTGGAACACTGAAGAAAGAGTTCGGCGGGGAGATCACGCTGTTGACAAAGTACGTCGTCGTGGGCGGTGTGGTAAAAATTGTCTGCCTGTCAATGTGTGGGTATGTTCAGAGAGAGCAACAAAAGACAAACCGAAGGATATATTGTCGTTGATCCACAGCCCCTGTGTCATTCAACGGCTGATCAGTGTTCTTGCCATGGCTTGACGTTGAGTCGAGGTTAGTGAACAGGTAAGTGTTTCCCTTCGTGTCTTCAATGACCGTATCATCCTCTAGGGCAGTGAAAATCTTCGCAGCAGGGGTCATAGTGGTGGTCTGTGAAAAAAAGCAAGTAGATGATAGGGGAAGAGAGTCGAGAACGCCGTGCAGACGATGCGTCGTCCCGTTATATATGTAGAGTTGAAGCGCAAGACGATGTAATGGCGTGGGAGGGCCCTGAGTCAGTTGACAAGGAAATTTAGATCCATCATGGGAACGCAGTGAGCCGCTATATCAAGGTCATGTAAAAAAGGTCCACCCATCAACAACCAGGCTGGAGAATTGCATTGGTACGAGGAAGTCTGATAAAATACAATTATGCTAGCAAGGATAAGATGCACAATATTCGATGTGACTTCCAGTGCCTTCACTGGTAGTCGTGAACAACTGGAAGGCAGAAGCGGGACGAAAGGGCACGCTCGCACGTAGTCATATTGCATGACCGCCTTTCCCTTCAAGATGTGAGCCAGACTTCTATTATCCGGCGCCGTACTCATCCAACTCACATATGAGTACGCGTCATTCAGGCAATAAGACGGCACGCTAAATGTACACCCACTTGAATACAGCACATCAATGTATGCACCGTGAGCAAAGCACGACTTCGACGCCAGGACAGACCGCAACTGCGTCAATCTACTGACAACTACACAATCACCTCACCGACCTCGGGCTGCTGATGTTGTCGTATAATAACCAAAGCATTACTCACTAATGATTTTAACTTTCTTTCAACGCCGTTGGTCTCCTATAATTCCATCTTCAATGTCCTCTTCTCTGCATCTGCACACTCTACCGGCACCATAATACACCGTCGCCTCCACGTTCGGTTTCGTTGCCTGATTGACGAGGAAGCAGAAGGGAGACACCAAAACACACGGTCCTGTCGGCAAAGTGAGAAGCATAAGTTTATACGGCTAACGGCCGCATTGTTGGACTCGTCAATATATTGGCCCTGGATGAGCAAGGGGCGGCAGTCATACGTGAACAGACGTGAACCGTCCTTGAAGTTGTTGCTGTTGGCGCTCTAGAGTTTGTTTATGACAGTGTGGGGAGCCAGCTGGGGATAGCTAGCGGGAGAAAGAGCTACTGCAGGACCCAGGAACCTTCGTCTATCAACATATAGTAGATAGGTGGAAAAGAGACGGGAAAATAACAAAAGAACTGAACGCGGTCTACACCGGTCGTTTCACTCGCGCTGGTGCCACTGTGGCACCTAACATTCGAACTTCTCACCCGTTCGAAAATTCGCTCATAGTTGGAAAAAGACACACGGCAAGAGCAGATATCACATCATGACCGAATCAAACCTGCGGGCTAGATATAATTACACCACACGGAGATACTAAAGCGGGGAGCAAAAAGGACCCGGAGGAACAGAGTTAGAGATAGAGGAAGACGAGAACTGAAGGGACGAAGAAGTCCCGACACATGATGAGATACACAACAGTACAGCGTTGATGAAAAATAATACAACATTACGACAAGGTGAACAAGCTCAGATGATACGACCGGAAAGATAAGAAAAACAGGCTGACTGAAAAAAGGAACGAAGTATCGAACAACACCGTAGATCGCCACATTCAGAAGGTCGTGCAGAGTTAGAGGACTGTTTCGATGCAGTCGACTTTGTTATTGTCGCTTCTACAAATGATCTGGCGGCGCGTTAGGAGTATATTCGTCTAGTCCTCTTCGTCCGAGCCATAGTCCATGATGCTTTTGAACGCGGGATGGGGAATTCTAGATGAGACTGTCAGCGGGAGCCTTTCGAGGGGAGCCTTAGCAAGGACATTGGTGATATCTGCAAGCAGGGTGGAGCATTGGCGAGAGCTTGTCGATTGGGCGTGTTCATCAGGTCCGAAGGAGACAGCGGGGGCACTTTGGATTACCAAAGGGCGATATTTTAGCGGTATCTCGGCTGCGTTCTTGTCCAGGACTTCTTCGTTGAAGCCTCCACCCATACCACTAAGAGAATGATCGGCCACACGAGATGCGGGAAGGGTCGGATGGGGACTGGTGTTCTGAACGTGAGCAAGGCTTTCAATCGCTGAATATATAGCAGGATGAAATGAAAGCGCCTGGGTTGCAGAAGTCGGGACTTGAAAAGCTTGGGGGGAAGGAGGATTGTCTTGTCCAGGAGCCTGTGCACTCGACCAGTCATCGTCGAGGACCTCGTTCTCTTCGGAAATGTTGTACTCTTGGAGAAGTTCGGCAGCCACCGAGGGACTCCAGATGCCAGAAAGAACCTGTGTAAGAATAAATGCAATGAGTCAGTCCTTCCGATGTAATACTCGTTTTGCGCGACAATAGTCGCAACTTCAACGAGGAGATGCTGAGAAAAAACGCACGTCATCGAGATGATCTACTGCCTCCTCTAGTTCATCAAGCCTATCCTTTAACACGAAAATGACTTCCCGTGCCCTGGGCAGGAGAGCTCGAGTATCCTCGATTTTTGTCAGAATTGAGCCCTCTAGAAGTAGGTTCAATTTGAATATGACTTCCTCCAAAGAAACATACCCCTCATCGAGGTCCGGATGAAGACAAAGACACTCCTCTGGAACCGTTTTCTCGCACACGGCACACAAGAGCCCGGTACACTTCTTGCACCAGCATACGACCGAGAAGTTCTGGAGTTTCTGCAAAGAGCAGCAGCATACATCACACCCCGCTACTGCACACGCAATGCAGTCCTGCGAGGCTGGAATTATCTCTGTAAAGTCTTGAATGGCATCCAGCGCCTGTGGGTATATCGATGATCGGCGATGAAAGTTTGACGCGTTAACATGGGAACAGGAGGATAATTGTATACAGAGAATGCTTACAGCGTCCGATGGAGGCGGTGCGGGGGCCCTGTCACAACCACAGTCATGCAGATATTGATTACACATTATCGGAAAGTCAAGCGAGGTGGTTTCTGGGCTAACAGTATGCAAAGAACGAGAACTGTGTCAATACGTGCGACAACTGAATGCAATCCATAAGAACTAGAATATACACGCACATATATTGATCGACTGATGAGTCGGGGTTGGAGAGCAGAAAAATCGTGCCGGTGAGATTCGACTGTGAATGAGGAACGAGAGGCATGTTAGCACGCGAGATTACTCAAACCAACAGGCATGGCGCACCGAGCAACTAACGATCTCTGAGAGGATGCTTAATCCAAAAATTTTGGCGAGGGCGATGGTCGAAGGTCGTTGTCTGGACACGACGTTGAAGAGGGACTTGATGTTGGAGGCGTCGAAGTTGATCCTGGATTGTGTCGGGGTCGGTGCCACGTCGGCTGCAATGCTGAACATTGAGACGACCAGATGAGAGGGGTAAATAAAGATAACAGAAGGAATGAAAAGAAAAACAACGCACAAAGAAAACTATGTTGTGGGAGGCCCGCCGAAGATGTCGTCCTGAGCACCACTAACACGAACACGAACGACGTCGAGAGATGTAGCAACTTCTGGATATGGCGGAATCACGTGCTGAAAGTTCTCACTTAAACGGAGGGGTGAGAGGGGTATTCAACAAGGCGCGCGAGGAGGTAAGTGAGAGATGAGAAGGTGAAATGGTGGAAGAGGGCAAAGACGAGACCAACACGAGTGTCATTTGCACGTGCAACCGCGTGTGAGCGCCACTGTGGCAAGTTCCCACGGTCCATGATCCCAGGCCCCAACTTCAAGTCGAACACCTCAGCGTCCCACTCCCACCCATGGCTAGAGAGGCATAATTAGCTCCTCGCGAGATCTATCATTCGTGGAGGCCATAGTAGGCCAGTCCAATTGGCCCACAAGGCGCTATGCCGTTGCTCACTTGGAGCCACCTCCATCTGTCCATTTATGTGACTTTGATGACGAGTATGGCCGGAGTGAAAAGAATGTTTCCTCCTCACTATTCCGAGTAAGTACCAGAGACAGGTGGATGAGAGCGAAATGTGCTAACCTGTCCTTATGAATACGTCACTTCGGCGAAGCTCACTGGTCCTCCCTCGAGGGGCATTGCTCGTCCGATAGATGGGCACTTACCTTTTTTTGCAGAGAAGACTTGGGACGAGTAACATAAAATCTTTAAGAGACAAGATGCAAGCGGTGTACTTAAAGCACCAATATTCACTTCATAGAGCCCATCTCAAGTTACGACACAGAATCTCATCATTTACCTATCATTCAATCTGTGACCGCTGACCCGTACTGAACTCACCTCTTCCGGGATAAATCGTCTTCTCGAAGCCTGCCCAGAATCAGAGAAGCTTTGCGCATACGATGACCATGGAAGTATCAAGTCAGTGGGCGGTATTAACTCGTCTGGTGAAGAAGGTAAAAGGAAATAGCGTCAGACGGCGACCACTTCGCTGCCGATCTCAAATGCAGCGTTCATTTGGCCCTGGGCCGCTCCAAGCCCGCAAGAACATGTATAAAATATCATCAGAGGTAGCATATCGCCTGGCATGGCTCGCCACCGTTGCCGTTGGCGTGAAGCTCTGTATTAACAGCTCAGAGGCTTGTAGTTGAACGAGAGCTCAACAAAGTTAGTCCATAGATTCCTCTGTGTGCTCTGGTATTGGAGCAGGCCTGGCCGAGACTCTTTAGATCAAACGGAGCTGGCAGCATACCCTATGGTCGTGCCGCTTTTGATACCGTAAACAAACAGTTAGAACTCGCGATGAAGCTTAGGTGTCACCCACAAACACTATTGCGGACAGACTCGGACGAGGCGGCAGTCATGTCGCAATGAAGAGGAGAAAGAGATGTTCGTAAGTGGCACTAATATCCTCATGGTAATAGCAGGTTGGTAATGCAGGAAAATAATGATAGAAAGCGTACTGGGTGCCAATCAATGGCAATGGAACTGGGGAGGGCGAGACCACGAATCAGGTTGACGATCGTAGTGCCTTCAGAAATGCATACCGTCAGGAACGAAGGACCATGGCACCCGGAAATAGATAGGATAACTGTACCGACCAAACGAACTATCAACATGGACGAATGGCCTACAAGTCCGCCGCTAACAACGGGGCCATCAAGAGATGAAGAACTCACAACCTTGACCTCCTCCCGACCGCTTCTCCAATGTCCTCAACATCACCACCCTACTGTTGCTCACTATCCGTCTCCGACCACACTCAGAACACCACTCTACGTTGTTCGTACCCAACCACATCTCTTCGTCTTCGTCTACATTGTGCTCGAGAAGAAAAGAGAAGGAACGCGATCACGCACTTTGTTAAGACCCTCTTCCTGAGAATACGGAAAGTATCCACTTGTTCATCCGCTCACGACCATCGTTTCGAACGACTACTGGCAGCGTGAAGCTCAGAGAAGCGGGTGGATGATGTGAGCTGGCGCTGGCCAAGGCGGCGATCTCAGTTGTGACCATCCACGTATTTCAGTCCTTTTCCGTATAGCGAAGGATATAAAGTGGCATACTGCCAGTGTCGATACCTGCCAAAGCTTCGAGAAGTAGCAGAAGAATGTATGAGGCAAGTATGAGGGGATAATTGAATGTTGAACGTACAGAAGAGGACGCTGTGCAAGCAGTCAAACTGTGCGCTTAGTGCCACTGTGGCGCCTCACACGAAACTCACAGGGACCATCGAAGAAACCGATGCAAGGTGGATTATAGTGAACCAGACCGAAGCACTCTTCAGCAGACATTCAAGTTGTTATGCATAATACTTCCGAACCTACTGACCAAATGAGAGGAAGATAAATACATGATAATTTTGAGCAAACATTGTGTTGGGCGACCTGAACTGGGAGATACTGGGAGAGGGGGATGGGATGGGGGATAAAATAGGGGATGGAACGAGATGTAAAATAGAACCTATGCGATGAAAATTTGCAGAGGGAGTAAACCAACACGAAAGTTAAACTATATACGATGTGACCGGACATGATTAAGAAAAAGCCGCGGCAGATATAGACAGCAAATAGATAGCGAAGTGTCTTGAAAGACAGGGACACTGTAGGGATGGAGGACGTGTTCGAAAATTTATGACGAGACTATGATTGAGAAGAGACCGATATAGGCCACATCCACTCGGAAACACTAGCAAAGAGTATCGAGTGCCCTCCGAAGTCACCGTACTCAAAGGAGCACAACCAGTCTATTATAAGGAGGACCGATACGGTGCGCTCCCCCGGACCCACTTTGTTACGGCGAGTGTAGAGAACCGTGTCGGACGCATGAAAGATGGTTTCTCCATAGTCACTAGGTCGCGGCTGTTCGCAGCCGTTTCTTGACGCGTCGGACAAAGATCGATATGTATGAAAGGCCCATCTGGTAAGCCCTCTGACCCTGACCATGCCAAAAAAAGAATAGAAAGACGCACAAAGCTTGTCTCAGTCGCTGACCAAAACATTTCGAACAATGCCTCGTGATTATGTACCGTATATGCCAGGATGTCGTATACTTGTTTGGTGGAAAACGGGGATCCTGAGGAAGAGATGGAACCGGCGGTAGGCTGATCGAGCTAAGGACTTTGAGTCAGGGATCAAGGTCGTCTTTCAAGTCACGGATTTGTTTGAGAGTGAACGGAATGCTATGCGAGGCAGCCAGCGGTAGTCGTTGGAGGGGAGCCTTAGAAAGGATGTTGGTGATATCGGCGAGTAGAGTGGAGCATTGGGGAGAGGCTACCGATCCGGCACGTTCGCCAGGCCCGAAGGAGACTGCGGGGGCACTTTGGATTATCAACAAGCGATATTTTGTTGATACCTCGGTTACGTTCTCGGTGGATCCTCCAGCCATACCACCAAGAGCATGACCGACCGCACGGGACCCAGGAATGGTAGGGTGAAGGCTGCTGTTCGCAACGGGAGCAAGACTTTTCACTGCAAAATCTATAGCAGGATAGTTGAGGGTTTTGTTAGCTCCAGTGATATCGAACTCTCGAAGAAGTTGATCAGCTACCGAAGGATTCCAGACGTCAGAAAGAACCTGAGCAAGAAGAGATGCAACGAGTCAGCCCTTGCGAGTATAACACTCGTTTTGAGCGACAATAGCCGCACCGTTAACGAGGAGAAGCTAGAAAAACGCACATGATTCAGATAATCTACTGCCTCCTCTAGCTCGAGACACGAGGGCATCGACTTGAAGCTCTTGCGGTCTGGCATCGTCACCTGGGAGATCGAGCGGACTGTCCTGTGGGTGAAAGAGGTACGAATAAACCGTGAGCCCCGGGACCCGGACAGGCCAGAGCACTGATCGGAAACAAACATGGAAAGGGATATTTACATCAGTGCTGTACGTCTGTGTAGTTAAGGGTATAATGAAGGACTCACGTCATGTGGGTCGAGATAGCTGCCGGTAATTTTGCGCTGGAGTGATGGATTTCCGGATGAGCACAGACGTGATCAGAAACAGTCAGGCCAATGCAGAGAAAGAAGTGAAAAAACGCGGTGACTTACGGGAGGACTTGAAATACTACAGCCCGGGGCGAATTTGCTTGATTCCTCCTGAATTTGCCGGCTCCGCTCTTCGTAACGTTGCTGAACACAGATGGAAGCAAAATCATCAGCTATTGATTGACAATGCACAACCAAACCACATATCTGCACACCAAGAAAGCGCGGCAGATGCACCAGAAAGTCGAGCAAGAAAATACGAAACCACGTACCAACTCCGCCCCGCTGATCTCCACGGCCTCCTCCGCCTCCTCCGCCTCCTCCGCCGCCGCACACTTGCACTTTTTTGGGCACAACCAACACAGCCCACAGATAGCCTCCTTATCGCACCGACAGCACTCGCATGCCACCTGGACCGGACTCGTCCTGTTCTTGGGACAGAGACATTTCGTCGTTGCGTCCTTCTTGCACACCGCGCACCGTGTAGCCTCCCATTTCATGCACCAGCAGATACTTGTGGGAGGTAGGGCACGCGCTTGTACGCTCGCACAACAGTGATCGCCGCCGTCGACGGCACAATAAAGGCACCCTAGCGAGACATCGCATTTACGGGCCCACTGGCGGGCGAGGTCGTAGACCTGCGAGAGTACCGCATTATCGTTAGAAGCTCAAACCGACACGAAACAAATTTCAATAGTACGACGTACCGCACCACTCTGTCGGACTGATGCGGGATCTTTATTGGAGCGACAAGCCCATTCTAAGCCGCGACACATTTTCGGGCACGTGCGAATGCATGGAATTGTAAGGTTACGGCTGGCGAAGATCGAACGTTGCGTCACGGTACGAATGGGCGAGGACTCGGGTGAACAGGGCGTGAGCAATGGCATGCGTACTTGGCTGTGTTTATAAGTAGGCGAACTTGAATTGAAGCTTGACAATGACGATGGTTCACTTCGCGGATAAGAGCATTTTTTGCACCAAAAGGGTGCTGTAAAAGACTTTGCAAAAGGTCGTCCTTTCAACAACTTGTTGGGACCAGAAAAGAGCGAGTTCTATGCAAGGAAAGAACATAGAAAAGTCGGAATTTTTCTACACGTTTCCCTTTGTCTTTTCTATGCCGAAAAGGCAACGAACAAAAAGGTCAGTCTCCTCTATGTTCCCTTTTTCAACCACAAATAACAGAACAATGATTCCTAAAAAGCGTCAGCTTGTCCGCAACCATTGATGTCCCGAAAAATATATATCTCCAAGCGGCAAACCTGGCGGGGAAAGGTGATCTTTTCTGCAGAGCACACATCCGTGGCCGAAGTATTAGGGCCATAGAAGTGTGATTACAATGATCGGACATTGATGAGGGGTCTGGAAGCGTGTCGAGAGTGTTGAGCTTGGTCGTGAATCAATTTGAGCCAGTGTTTCGATTCAGCGCGGGTCAGATTGGAGAAAAGTGTGGAAGGCGAACGGTGTGATGATGGACGAGATGCACCCGAAAGCGTTGATGTCGACGTCGTTCAAATCGACATGGAGGACACATGAGCTGACGGAGGACACGCGTGAAGGTGACTAGAATGTATGCGCTGTGGATGAAGTGCAGCGACAGACATGGCAAGAAAAGATAAGACAAAGAGATGAGTAAATACGCAGTTGCTTTGACACGTTGTTGAATGTCAGATGCGGACAGTGGTCATGCGCCACCCATGTGCCTTTTGCTCGAACAAGATCCATGGACCCGTAAGCCAACAAGGAGGATTTCTCGAGGTGCGGCACAAGAGTACCGTTGCTGGAAGAGAGTATCATTGAAACTAGCATTATCGATGTTACGCCTATGTCCATCAGTTTTGAGAGCCGAGGAGGGATACAAGTCACCTGTTAGGTGGATGAATGCGAAGAACAGGAGCATCGGTCAGATACAAAGATGGGGGAAGTATGATGATGAAGAGACGTACCGTCAGCAAAGAATAGTCTGAGCACTCAAAAAGAGCTTAAATACACCAAATGACCAACCCAGCATCGTCAGAACATCTGCTTCAAGCTGATCGCTAGTGGCCGGAGTAAGCCAAACAGAAAGAGACTCACATCTTCTGGTCCAGCCCATCCATGCCAGCAACATATGGACATCCTCTTCTCCATCTCGTGTCCCTCGACCATCAACGAAAGAACTTCACCCTTCAGCACCTCGAACTCTCCATCTACAGATGTGATGGTCCTCGCTTTGCCTGTAACGGCAGCGGTGACGGAGTCGGAGAAGATACAAAACTATTCGGTTGTGTGTGGACGCCAGTGGAGTTGTACGAGAACCATGGCGCTGAGCGAGGGGATACCCCTGTTTGATGATAGACGGCGCGGGAGGTACGTGGGTAGGAACAGGTAGGAACACATGGGTCAGCGTAACTGAATGGTGGGCTGGATGATTGACGGAAAACGCACCTCACGATGTACCTCGTAGAATCCAACCCACCTTTGAGGTCCTGTACTGCGAAGTTAGCAGCTTCGTGAAGTGCGATGTACTCCCTACCATTCTCATCTTTCATAACCGTAGTATCGTCATCTAACACCAAAAGGCTTCGCTGGGGCCATTGCTTCTGACCGTACCCTAAACGATCTTTTAGCGACAGCGGTATCAATGCGCTGGGCCTACTTATGGTGTCGTGAGGAGGAAGACGATAAATACTTAGACGCCCTGATTCTGCTCAACGTTCCGAACGCCACAGTCACGGTGCCACATACGTACCCCGCCACACCAGAACATCGCTTGGCCTTCAGAATCACGAACCACAGAGATCCATCAACACTCGAGAATGCCCTCGCACGAGAAATAGATACATTCAAATTGACAATATGGAAAAGTCCAATCAGAAACCCGGATAAGTACGTACTGAGAACAGGCCGCGGCCACACGAGTGACGATACGATAAATACATCCAGATCAGCAACGAAAACGAGAACAACTACAACGAGGAAAATGACAACGAAGATAATGGTACAAGTAACGACAACAGCTGGAAAAACAACGACAACAGCTAGAAAGAGAAAACAGCAGCAACAATTCCATGAACACGGACAGCATCTTCAATGAAGAACATCGACCGCCACACGACGATACGAACAACATCAACAACAAGAGAAGTACATGATCGATAGCCGCCATTGACAAGTGTCGATGGACAGTACAGGAGCAGAAAAACAAAACCAACGATAACAGTAAGGGACGAAAGCAGCAACAAAAACAAACAAAAGTTAAGGTGACAAGACAGCAAGACAACAGAATGAGATGGAATAGGATGGGTGACAGCAGAAACTTCCATTAGCGATGAGTCTAGTATGATAGGTAAGTAGAGCGAGTTCTGGAGCGATAGATGACGGATAAAAAGCAGGGGCATAGGAAGGCAATGATAGCGGCGAGCAACGCACGAGAAAGACAGAAAGAAAATAGATATACCAAAAGAAAATTCAGAGCGACCTACAGAGAACAGAAATTTCAGTAAGTGATACAGTACAAAGGATAAAAAACGAACAACTCACACATTAAAGTTCTTCCTCAAAAAACGAAGTATTGGGCATTCGTAACCCCATATAAAACATGAGGTGATGCTATAATACCGCCCGCGGAAGATAAATTGGCCACCTCTTGCTGTGCGAACATGGCAAATCCGCTCATGCCACCTGCATACTGAGGGAAATGCTGGGCCCGGACGGCGACCCAGTTCGGGTGCACAATGTACCCCTGCCAGAGGAAGAAGGGGATTGGTAAGGTTAGAATGAGCTAAAAATTCACGTTGGTTACCATGGTTCAGCTCACCTCCTCGTTGTCCTCATCCTCATCTTCACCCTCATAATCGTCTTTTTCATCCACACCCCAATTCTCGTACTCATCTTCTACGTCCCCATACTCCTCTCCCTCCGACCCATACCCTTCCTCCGACCCAGACTCATCGTCCTCCCCAGACTCCTCCTCTTCCTCGGTAGAAGAGAAGCTGAAGGGGTGCTGTGTGGTCGCCTTCATCTCCACCTCCGAGTCGGTGTAATGGACATCAATGTCGTTGTCCTGGCTAGCGACGGAGCCGTCACTCGACTCGTCCTACACACCATGACACTCAAATATTAGCAAATAAAACGAGAATGATGGACTACAAAAAAAACTCACAGAGGAAGTGGGAGGGCAATCAGCGTCCGACGCGAAGGGGAGGGATTCTTTGACGTCGGCATCGTCTTCGTCTTCATCTTCGTCCTCGACTTTGATCTGGTGAGCAAAAATGTAAAGGATCAGATACTAGCCCATAACGACAAGGAGGTACAATAGACAATGAACGCGAACGTACAATGTCGAGCGGGCGAACGACGATATGAGGAGAGTCGGGCGGCGTCAAGAGAGAGTAGGTCGACGCGCCATCGCTCGTCCAGGACGCCCTCGACGACCTCCCCGAATTCGCGCTCAACACTGCCGCACGAAGGCGAGGATAGTCTTCGAGATTGGTGCAAAGCCTCTTCCGAGGCGGCGCCATATTCTCCTTGTCCTCGTCCTCGAGGTCGCTGAGGTCGGACTCTGAGCTCCCTTCTTCGTCGTCGGCCTCGCAATCCGAGTTGGAGGAGTCGTAGTTGGGCTCGAACTGGCGGCGGCGTTTCAAGGAGGGCGCTGGGGAGGGCGGGGAGGCGAGGATGAATGCGGTCGATGCGATGCCAGAACGGTTGTTGTAGTTGTTGTTGTAGTTGTCGTTGTTCTTGTTTTTGGTGGTGGTGGTGTAAACGGCGGAGGCGGCCATGGTGTATTGAGTAGACATTGGTGTGATGTTGTTTGAGCTAGTGGGTGTTGTTGTTGGTGTTGTTGCTCGAGCTGATTTGGTAGAAACTGGTCAAAGAGACGGGAGCGGCGTGGGAACGTGTCAGGTGTGCCAGTGTCGGCGCACGCAAAGGGAGCTCGAGGACGATGTGGATGAGGGCAAGGTTACTCACAGATGAGGGACGGATGTGTCAGAAACCTAAAGGTTTGGGAGAAGTTGACGATGGGGAGATTTTGCAGTGGGGAAACACGCGCGGGGTTGCTGCAGCGAAGAAAGATGACGGTGAGCAGACACGGTGAGCGCGAAAGCAGAAACGAGGACGACCAATGGGACTTACGGATATGTTATTGAGAGGGTGTTGTTGGTACGGTTCGATATTCAGAAATTGGTTTGTGGACGCGTCTGCAGAGGAAAGCGATGTGTCAGGACGAAATCCAACTATAACGCGCCACCAGCTGCAGAGGACGACTCACATTCTCAAATACTCGTCTTGATTCTTTGCGAAGATTGGTTGCAATTGGTTGTCGATTTTGCTAGTTGTTTGCGGTAGATATTCGCTGGTGAGAGCGGGGCTGGCGAGCGGGGCAGACGGTCGATAGATGATGGTCTGAAGCAAGAAGAGAGCCTGCGTGCAGCGGACTATAAGGGCACAGCGTGACCGCGCGCCCCTGTGACCGCCTCGCTTTGTGCTCTTCCTGGAAGTCGACGTCGGTGCGCCACTGGTCTTGGAACACTGGAACAAGACCATCAGAAATCGATAAGAAAACAAGGGAGCCATTGGTTATTATCTTGCGACGGTGCCGAACTTGAAATTAGCCGAAACCTGGCGACTCACCGAATTCCCCGTCTTCGAATCCGTGTAGGTCCGTGTATGTGTCGTTGAACGGCGTCGATCTTATTCAATGTGCACAGGTTCGTGGTGGAGTAATTAAGGAAGTTAACGCCTTAGGAGTTATGGAAGAGGGCGCGTTTGGCTGGCCTTTTGTCGGGAGAGTTCTGTTCTTACGAAGAGTCAGACGGCCGGCGATTCCTCACGATATGGGTCCATGTGGATCGGTGTGGATCCAGGAACTGGGCTTGGTGCTTCCATTCTGCCCGACCGCTGGATAAGGAGGCTTCTCGGTGCTGGATCAATATTAATCTTATGAGATAGATAATTCCATGGAGGATTTTGATTCATTTCTGGTTCTCTTCGTGAGCCACAATTGTGGCAAACCTATGCGCGCTGGGTTACTTCGACGTCTGTTCGTCAAGTACTTCGACCATTGTCCAAGCTCAATCTCATTATATCTGTTCATTGGTGGGCGGCAGTGGGCGAAAGATCGTCGACATGGTTTGTCAGGGGAACACCGAATAAGCTGGGACGGTTGCTCAATGCTACTTGTACACGAAGAGACAGTGGGGGACGACGCACCATGATCCGGATTCCGTGGTCGTTGTCCTTCTCTCATCGTCTCGGTATCTAGATCTGCTCACTACTCAGACATCGGTGAATGCATATAAGAAGTCAAAGCACCGTTCCGCCGAAGCAAAGAGCGTCAGCGTTGAGCATTAAAGTCTTCAGTATACTGTACCTCCCAGACGTTAGGCGACGTCCGGTGTCCCGAGGGGCCTGTCGCGTCGCCTATTTGGGCGCTTGTCCCGGTGTCCCGAGGTTCTTGTCGCCTAGGGTAATATATTTGTATTTTCTCGTATTTTCTTCAACAAATAATATAAAATTGTTTTAATTAGTGTTTAGATACAGAACTGCAAGTACCACTGCAGATGGACGTGAAATCGAGAAAGGTTCGAAGTACTGACCATTTGTACAGGGCCGGGTCACTCTCCCTCGGAGGGAAGGTGACTGGCCGTCGCCTGTGTCCCGCTGTCCCAAGGGTCCGTCGCCTCCTCACGGGAGTTCCCACGTTACGTAAGCGGTCGTCTAACTTCTGGGAGGTACAGTAACACTCGTAAGCGAGGGGTACCAGTATGTGAAAGCAACTCCCTCTCCACCTTCGTCACAGATAGAGAAACGAGAGAAGAGAAAGATAAACCAGAACCGTGTCATAAAATGAGCCTCCAAGCCATGGATGGGTATTGTCCAGAATGTACCATTAGTTGATCGAAGCGATGCAGAAAAAGCAAATGGACCAAGATCGTGCCACAAAGTGAGACGAAGGTATCAGTGAAGAGACTCGAGGAAACACCGTGACTGGGCTGTACTTCTATGCATATTGACATGAACGAGCAGTAAGACTCAGGTTTGAGCGGGTAACAAGATGGTGAAGCCAACGCGGACGTCGCACATGAAGTTATCATTGAGCTCCGCGTACACAAGAAGTTATCATTGAGCTCCGCGTACACAAGAATAGATAAGATATAGATTATAAGAAACAAACCTACACAAACCACGATCGACTTCGATTGTCCAGTCACGTCCTGAGCTTTGTCCTACTGAGCTCATGCACCATTCAGGCAACACGGCAGTACTGTGATTGAACGAGCTCACATTGCAAAGCACGGTTCGCACTCTTGAATGTAATTTAACTACGATATCTTACGAAGGGAATATATTAGACGCGAAGATAGAGGCATTACGATGAGGAAGTGACGTACCATCGGCGAAGAATAGTTTGAGCACTTGAATAAGGCTCGACTATACCGACCCACCAGCCCAGCATCGTCAGTAAAACTACTTCAAGCCGACCACAAACGGCCAGACAGAAATCCAGACAAAAATAGACTCACATCCTTCGTCTGGACCCCTTTTTCCAACAATATCATCAACACCCCCGACACCCTCTCCTTCGTCTCCTCGCCCTTCGCCCTCTCCCCACACTCAGCATCAGCATCGTTTAGGTCCAACAATGAATGAGCTTCGCCCTTCCGCGCCTTCAGCGCTCTATCCGCAGATATGGTGGTTTTCGTCTGGCCAGAAACGATAGTGGTGACGGAGCCCGACGAAGATGTGAACTTATTTGGTCGTGTATGGATCCTAGTGGGGTGGGACGAGAAACGTGGCACGAGGGGGAGATCCCTCTACGCGGTGGAGGTGGAAAAAGGTGGGAAGATGAGTATGATAGGAAGGATAGAAGCAGGTATGGTTAGTCGGAAAGTCACGCACCTCAAGATGTACTTCCTCTGGTTCTCCTTAAGGTCGAGTCCCTCAGGTTTGTACTGCGACGTCAGAAACTCCGTGGTGCGTACCCCTTCTCATCTTCCAGGACCGTATCATCAACTAGGACCGTGAACGTGGTAGGCTCAGCGGGGGTCATTGCTTCGAAGCGTACTCTAAACGAGAGGGGTAGAGCAGTCGGGATGGAAAGACGGTCGTGAGTATGTGGCGTTCATGAAGCCTTTTGCATGCACATTCGACGTACCTCGCCCACCACCGCTATCTATGCACTGTGAAAATTGAAACATCGAGACTACTCAAGAAATATTTCGACCAGAGATTGCATGCCAGTAGCGCACATTTCGTTATGTCGTACTATAGAGGCGGTCATCATGACTTGTGTATGTAGTATACCTGAGGATCGGAGTTTGACAAGCACTTGACGTGGATGAATTACTGCAGAGAAGACGAGCTTGTAGAGACGACGTTCGCAACTTGCGTTCGGTGCCCATGGTACATGGTGGGGAGGAAGAAGAGGAATATTTAGACGCCTTGGTTCTGGACGCCATAGTCGCGGTGCCACATCCATCCTTCGCCACACAAGAACATCACTTGAGCTAGAATTCAGAATCACGAACCACAGAGATGCATCAAGAATGTATAAATACATTCAAAAGAGAACCCGAATATGTATGGAGAACATTCCGCGGCCACACGAGTGACGATACGATAAATACATTCAGATCAACAACGAAAACGAGAACAACTGCGACGAGGAAAATGACAACGACGATAACGGCACAAGGAATGAAAACAGCTGAAAAACAGCGACAACAGCTAGAAAAAACAACAACAGCAACAATTCCACGAACACCGACAGCATCTTCGAGAAAGAACAACGACCGCCACACGGCGATACGAACAACATCAACAATAAGAGAAGTACATGATCGATAGCCGCCATCGACAAGTGTCGATGGACAGTACAGGAGCAGAAATACAAAACCAACGATAACAGTAACGGACGAAAGCAGGAACAAAAACAAACAAAGGTTAAGGTGACGAGACAGCAAGACAACAAAATGAGATGGAATAGGATGGGTGACGGCAGAAACTTCCATTAGCGATGAGTCCGGTTTGATCGGTAAGTAAAACGAGTTGGAGAGTGTGATAGACGATAAATAGAAAGGAGGTGCATAGGAGAGCGAAGATAGCGGAGAGCGAGACACAAGAGAGATAAAGAGAAGACAGATATACCAGAAAAAAAGGAATTAAAAACAACCTGCAGAGAATGAGAATGTCAGTGATCTTGTGAGTGCGACAACGCAAAAGGGAAGAAAGGACAACTGACACATTAAAGCTCTTCCTCCTCTTCCTCAACAGCAAAAGAGTGGGCAGCCATCATATTAGAGAAGACTGCTGATGAGACCACAATCCCACCCTCGGAAGAGAAGCCGGCCACACAATGCCTAGCGAATATGTCGTATCCGCTCATGCCCGTATAGTGGGGGTAGGACTTGACTTGGACGGCGACCCAGTTCTTCACTACGGTGTACCCCTGGCAGAGGAAGAAGGGGATCGGTAAGGTTAGACGAGCTAAAAATTCACGTTGGTAACCATGGTTCAGCTCACCTCCTCGTTGTACCCATCCTCATCTTCACCTTCATAATCATCTTCTTCATCCACGCCCCAATCCTCGTATGCATCTTCTACGTCCCCATACTCCTCTTCCTCCGACCAATGATCTTCCTCGGACCCAGACTCCTCCTCTGCCTCAGTGGAGGAGAAGCTAAGTGGGTGCTGAGTCGTCGCCTTCAGCTCGACTTCGGAGTCCGTGTAATGGACCTCGGAGTCGTTGTCGTAGTCGACAGAGCCGCGTGAGCCAACTGACTCGTCCTACACACCACAACAATAATATGTCAGCGGATAGAACGAGAATGATGGAATTTAAGAAAAGAAACCTACCGACGAGGTAGGAGGGCCTTCGATGTCGGATGCGAAGAGGACACTGTCCTTGAGGTCGGCATCGTCTTCGTCTTCATCTTCGTCCTCGACTTTGCTCTGATGAACAAAAACGTAAAGGATTAGATACGAGTCCACAACGATAAGACCAAACACTAGACAATGAACGGGAACATACGATCTCCAGGGGACGGAAAACGACTCGAGGAGAGTCGGGCGGCGTCAAGAGGGTATAGGTCGACGAGGCATCACTCGACCATGACACCCTCGAAGACCTTCCCGAGCTCAGCTCTGCCGCACGAAGGCGCGGGCTGTCCTCGAGATTCAGACAAAGCCTCTTGCGAGGCAACGCGATATTTTCCTTGTCCTCGTCCTCTTCGTCAGAGTCGGAGCTGGTCCCTTCCTCGTTGTCGGCATCGCCATCCGAGTTATATCCGGCCTCGAACTGGCGGCGCCGTTTCAGAGATTGCGTAGGGGACGGTGGAGAGGCGAGGGTGAATGCGGACGACGCGATGCCAGAGGCGGTGTCAGAGCGGTTGTTGGTGGTGTAGTTGGTGGTGTAGTCGGCGGGGGCGGCCATGGTGATGTTGTTGGACATTATTGATTGGTGTTGTTCGAGTTGGTGATTGGTGTTGTTGTTATTGTTGTTGTTGAGCTGGTGTGGTGAGAACTGGAGCGGCGTGGGAACGTGTCAGTGTCGGCCCTTCAACGAAGGGAGGGAGAGCGATGTTGATGAAGGGAAGTTTACTCACGGATGATATAGACGAAGCGTCGGTAACTAAAGGTTGGGAATATATTGAGGTTGGAGGAGAGTTTGGGTTGCGGAAATAGGGGCAGGGCTTGTATGCTGCATCGGCGATAGACGATGGTGGACAGACACGGTGAGCGTGCCATCGAAAACGTGGACGATGAGCAGGGCTTACGGGTCTCTCGTTGAGAGGTTCTTGTTGTTGCGGTTCGGTATTCAGAAAGTCGATCGGGATTGCGGACGCGTCTGCAGAGGAACATGATGTGTCAGGACGATGGCCTTCAACTATAACGCGCCACCAGCAGCGGAGAACGGCTCACATTCTGAGATACCCGTCTGTTGTTTGCGAAGACTGGTGGTGATCGTTGTAAATTGTCGCGTCAAGCTGTTTACGGTCGATATTTGCTGGGGCTGGTTGGAGTTAGCTGGGGAGCTAGGCAGACGGTCGTCGGTCGATAGATGATGGTCTAAAGCAAGAAGAAGAGCACCTGCGTGCGACGGAATATAAAGCAACAACGATATCAGCGTCGGAGTTGAAAACACGGCACAGCGTGACCGCGCGCCCCTGTGGCCGCTAACGCTTTGTACTCTTCCTGGAAGTCGACGTCGGTGCGTTCGCGCGCCACTGGTTGGCACTGGAACACGACCATCAGAAATCGATAAGAAAACAAGAGAGCCATTGGTTATTATCTTGCGACGGTGCCGAACTTGAAATTAGCCGAAACGAAACCTTGCGACTCACCGAATTCCGCGCCTCGAGGTCCGTGTAGGTCCGTGTAGGTGTCGTTGAACGGCGTCGATCCTATTCAATGCGCACAGGATCGTGGTGGAGTAAGTATTAATGGAGTTGACGCTTGGAAGAGGGACACGACAGGAGCGCGTTTGGCTGGCCTTTCGCCAGGAGACTTTCGTACATACGAAGTCAGTTAGATCGACTGATTTCTCACGATATGGGTCCATGTGGATCAGTATGGATCCAGGAACTGGGGGTTTCGTGCTTCCATTCTGACCGACCGCTGGATAAGGAGCTTCTCGGCGTAGGATTGGTCCTGTGAGATAGGTAATTCCTCGGAGGATTTTGATAGGTTTTTATTGATGCCAGGTTCTCTTCATGAGCTGCGAGTGTGCAGAACCTACTTGCGCGGTGCTGGGGTTTTTATTGGACGTACTCCGACCATCAAGCTCTTGGGCGATGTCCAAACTAAATATGATTCTGTGCACCGGTCGACAATAACGAGACAAAAGATCGTCAACATAATTTTTCAAAATCGAGCACATATAAAGCCAGTATGTTCTTCCATGAATGTAGGACTGACGGGTAACACTAGATAAGTCACGGTGTCTACTAACACGAAGAGACAGTGGAGGGGAAGACGTACTGTCCCAAATATTTCGAAGACTCGAGATCGCCCCAATGCCCATCTCCTTGTCCTTCGTCCATTTTGAGAAATCGACGGAGTGCGATACTTGTTCAAGTGTCCCGTGTGCATCTTCATGTCTGAGTTTGGCTGAAACTCGCTATCGAGTAGTATCTTCCCAGCGAACATAAGCAATCAAGCTTGAGGCATGACTACCGTGACGATAATGTGGCTCATTGACACATCGAGTTGTTCCGAGTCGACTAGGGGACGCCGGCAAAGCGAATTGAAACAAAAAAGACTAAGACTAGAGTCGGCATAGCATAGTATGTGCACAGTGAAAATAACAAGCCAACCACAGTTACAGTCCGAGTCCAAGAGCCTTCACAAATCAAGAGAGCGTAAGTATCCCGAACCCCAAATAGAATAGAGTATAACATAACGGAGACAGATGCCAAACGTCGCAAAGCCAGCCAGCCAGCCAGCCAGTCACCCAGACACTAGAAACCCCGAGCCCGAGAGACAAAGAGATGCATGTCACCGCCCAAGCCCAAGGTAATCAGAGTCAGAGTCTACGCCTCGAGTAAGTCGAAGTTCCAAAGGCACCAGAACGTAGTCTAGTACGAGTATCGCAAATGCTCTCCGTCTTCACGGTCGTAGTCGTAGTCGTAGAACACGTAGGTTGCGTTTCGGTCCTGGATCGCTCTTTGACCTGGTAAGGAGGCAACGGGAGTCCATCGTCCTTCTGCTCAGTCTTCACCTTCACGATATCGCCGTCGTTCTCGATATCGTCCTCCGCATCCCGCTGAAAACACAAGATGCCGAGCGCCACCGCCACATTTAGCCATCTGGTGCGCGTTCCCCCCCCCACACAATCAAATCAAACAAGACTCACCTCGTCACAATCATCAAGATTCATCCTATCCAACTTCAACCCCTCTGAGTCGGCAGCCTTCAAAGCCCCTCTCGACCACACTGGCACTGTTCCGCTACCGGTCTTGGTCTGAACGCCGGTCACAGGTAATGGCAAGCCATTTAAATGCGGCCGCTTGCGTGCTGAGAGTGTAGTCGAAGTCCGAGGCTCGATCTATAGAACGAACGAAAGCGATGTTAGTTAGACATTGACACACGAGTAATATGATCAGGAGAGAAAAGCGAACGTACACGATCAATAAGACTGAACAACGGAGCCGGAGCCGGCGCGATATATTCATATTCGTAATCGTCCATGAACGCAGACGAATGTGCTCTTTTGGCCATCCTGGATGATGAGGTCGTTGATGTTGATGTTGATCCACCGGCAGGCAAAATCCCAGTGTTCGATGCGAACGCCGATGTCGAGACTCGAGAATTAATGTTATTTGTGAGGGTGGCGAAAGCGGAGGGTTTGTCGGATGGAACGATGGCGATAGCGGACTGAGGTTTCTGTCATGATCGCAACGTAAGTCAGCGAACTCCACCCATAAGTCGACGTTGCGAGACAGACAGAGTGCACGTACAGTCTGGGATTTAGTTTGGGTTTCGTGTTGCAGAGGTTGCGCGACATGCTTGGAGTTCGAAAGTGCGGTGTTAACGTTGTTTAGATGGGCGTTCGGAGACAAGGACGTAGAGGAACTGCTCGTTAAGACTGAGGTCGACGCGGGGAACGCAGACATAGCGCGCACATCCGAGTGGGGAGCAAAAGAAGCCAGGTTCTGTCGGAGCAATTTCAAGTCAGCCTTCACCTTCCTTCCAAATCAATAAACGATGAACGTACCTCTTGCAAACTCGGACCAGCCTTGACTTTGACCTGCGATTTACTAGTACTAGTACTCCCATGGCCGAACCCGAACACGCCCGTCGGGAAAAAAACGCCCGGAACGCATCGTGGAGCGCCTGTACCTGTGCAGTGCGTTCGCATTCCTTCAACGACGGCCGGCGCCGCTATGGATGAAACAGAAACAGAGAGGCAACTTGACGGTGACGATGATGGTAAGGCTGATGTGGAGGTCGCGATGGAGGACGTCGAGATCGAAGTCGAGGATTGCGATTGCGATTGAGATTGCGATAGGAAGGACGAGGACGAGGAGGATGAGGATGAATTGGAGGACGAAGAAGAAGAAGAGCTTGTCATGATCATGGTGGGGGTGTCCTGATTGGTAAGTACATTCATGAGCGAATTAATGTCGAGGAGTCAGTACAGTTCAATCAACGGCAGAGAGTAATATAGCAAAGACGCATACCTCTTTCTCTACCTCGGGACGATTTGTCAATGGGCCTCCGGATAGATGTAGACGGACTGCAGCGCACAGGCGGAAGAAAGTGATCGTGAGTCCAATCCAATCCAGTGAAAATTGCTTGATAAGTTAAGAAAATATGGTTCTCACCCGTGGGCAGTGCCATAGATGTCGCCGGACATGGGACAGCCGATCTAGAGAAAGACGAGCTGGACGAAACGAAGGACGAGTTCGAAGAAGACGCCATGATCATCGCGCGAGGAGCCGTCGGTACTGGTAGGTTCTACAATGTCAATATACAGTACTGTGATCAGCCCATGACCACCCGCTGCATGCACGTTGGAATGTGGAATGAGATGTGCATGGTCGTACCTTGACCTTAGCAGTCCGAGCTTGCGCATTCCTGGCGAGTGAAAATGCTGCGTTCTCCGCGGAGAGGGTCTTCACTTTCTCTCTACAATTTCAAACGAAATACCAGCACAGTAAGGAGCGGGATAGGGTCAAAGGAAAGAACTAAACATAGAGATCAAAAGATGGTACGAAAGAACATACCTCAATTCCTCAATCTCCGTATCCTTAACCTTGCCTCCCTTGATCCCTTCCTCCCTTTCCTTGCGCGCCTTTGTCAACTCCACGTCCCTCTTCACACATTGCCTCCTCGCCTCTTGCTGCCCCTTAACCAGATCCTCCCTCTCCTCCTCCAGCCTCTTAACCTTCTCATCTAATCCCAGCACCCTCTCCTCCGCCTCTCTTCTCATGATATCCACCATAGCATCATACCGACACCTTAGACTCTCGAGCTCGCACTGCAACACCTCCACCTCCCGCATCTTCCCCTCGCACTCGTGCTTGAGAAGGACCACCGTCGTATCGTGCATGCGGACTTCCGCGTCATATTGACAAGAGAGCGCGTCATGTTGTTGAGAGAGCTGAGAGATGCGAGAAGAGTAAGAGTTCGAGAGTAGCGCGAGCCGGAGGGTATGTTCGCGGGCGGTGCGGGAGAGTTGAGAGCGGAGGAAGGAGATTTCTGAGATTGCGGGTGGAGCGGAGGGGAGGTCGTGGGGGTGGGGGTGGAAGGGCATGATGGAGTTGTCGTAAAAATTGGGCGGGTATAGGTTAAGGGTGGAAATATTAAAGGTATCGCGGGTGAGAGAGTAGGATATGTAGTAGGAGGGCGGGACGTTGGCGGGATGGAAGGGGGTGGATTTGACCACTCGGAGGGTCACCGCGGATTCGCCGCTCGAGAGTTGAACAATGATCAAGAGCCATCGTCTCGGATCGGATCGGCGACGCCACTTCCGTCTGGCACAATGTGGCCCACCTTCTTCTCCAACACACAATTTTCCCCACAATTTCCCCCTTCCATAAATACAGTATACGTACGGACGATATTCCTCCCCACTCGGACCAAGCACTCCATAAACTAGCAGTAGTGTAGGAAGTACATACCCGGTGCATCGGCGGAGATTAGAACGTGCTACGAATGGAGGAACGGGCTCACACGTGCGATAAGTAGCAGAGTCAGACTCTGTCATCACCGTCATATTTCTTTGGTCGTCCACATCCAAGTCCTCTCGAGCGTCCACATCCAAGCTTCAAGACTAAAGCTTTCGCTCGTCGACGCTCGCCGTAAATTATCCCTTATTTCTGCACCTTCGACTCAGTACTCAGTCCCGGAAGTCGACTCGACTCTTGACTGGAAAGTGAAAGCTATCCACACACCTCCGAAGTCTTTTCTACTAACCCAGTCGCTCACTCGCTCTACCACCACTTCGTAGAGCCAGCCACCCCCCGACAGTGCGTCCAACCTCACGAAGCCCACCCCAGCTTCGTCCAGGTCGCACCGTCACCCGTCACTCCCAGTCTTTGCATGAGCCTTCTCCATGCGCACTATGCCCTCCGCAACCAACAGGCCTTCCAGCGCCTCATCGAGGGCATCTCTAAACCACCTGCTCACTCATCTTCCTCCCACTCTCACTCGCACAACCAACACAATACGGGAACGAGTAATAGCGGCGGCCGCTCCTGGAATCGTCCCAGTATCCTCTCCTCCGCCCTCCAATCTCAGGGGCACGGATTGGATGTGAACGCGCGGGATTGGTTGGGTAGGACGGTATTGCATCTCGCATGCTCAGCGACGGATAGAGCTTCGGTCGAATATGTGAGGCTGTTGCTTGGGTGTCCGGGGATAAATGTGAATGCGCAGGATGTGGAGAATCGGTGGACGGCGTTGCATAGGGCGTTGTATAGCGGGAATATCGAGGCTGCGTGCGTATATCCCCTACCCTTATCCCTATCCCTCCTTCCTTCCCGCCTTCCCGCTCCTCCCTTGCCACTGAGGATGAGAATATGAGATGGCGATGGACTGACGTTGATGTGCAGGATCCTCCTGCTCCAGCGCTCGGATATCGACACGAGCCTGACGGACTGGGAAGGCTATCGCGCGTTCGATCTGTATAATACGACCGTAGAGGATACGAAACCGCCGAGGGGGATTGGGGCGGCGGAGTTGTTTACTTGGGGGACTAATAGGTGTGTGTTTCTCTTCTTCTCTTCCTCTCTTTCACACTCTGTTCTCGTTCCCGTCCTTGTTCTTGGTATCTGCGTATCATGGCCCAAGCAATTCCTCCGCCACGTTTGTTTGAACGTTGAGTAGGGCATGCTGTGGCCCGAACAATCCCTCTTCCCCGTTCATTCGAACCATTCTCCTCACCCATTCGAAACCCTCGTCATATCGTCAATCATTCGAGTCGAATGCCGCAGTCCGTGCCCCTTTCCATGTCGGGTCGGGCGCTAACCTGTGTACGGATGCTCGAACGTTCGAACGTCGAGCTCTCAGGCCTCAGGAATTCGCCATAAGTGACGGCGCCGCACGTGCAGAACCGAACCGAACCGAATCCAAACATTGCACGCTCACTGCTCAGATCGCAAAGACAGAAAAGAGGAATATGTGGTGTGGCCTTCAAAGCTGCATTCGTGCACGATACAAAAATGGAAGGGAATGAGGAGATTGTGTGGCGCCCGTCTCATTACTCGCCACCTTGCCCCTATCGCTGTACATGTCACCCTCCCTCCACCAACACAACCGGGACTCGTCTCGGCGAAGGCAGGACAAACCATGGGGAATATATGCGTTGTGGATTCGTTGGACATAGAACCATGACTTTGCTTTGTGTGGTGTTCTCATCCACCTCGTCCTCGTCGTCTCGCCCCTATCTTCCTATGCCCCTTCCTCCCCCAACGCAATCAAGTGTCGGAGAGGGTAGAAAGAAAAGAGGAATATATGCGCTGTGGATTCGTCCACGTTGAGATCCGGACTATGCTTTGTGTGACGTTCTCTGCCACCTCGTCCTCGCCGTCTCGCCCCTATGTCCCTTCCTCTATCTACGCGACCGAGATTCGCTGTGGCCAGGGCTCAAAGAAAACAGAGGGATCTATGCGTTCTGCGCTGTGGATTCGTGCACGTTCGACATAGAATCCGAACCATGATTTCGCTTTGTGTGGCGTCCTCGTCCACCTCGTCCTCTTCTCGCCACTCGCCCCTATCTCCCGTTCCTCCGGTTTCCCTTTCTCCTTTTCATCACGCCGTCTTATCTTCCATAACACCTTCTCATCATGTCTACTTTCCTAAACACTTCTCAACCGACACTGATCATCTCGCCTCTCACAGGAACGCGGCCCTAGGCCATAACGACTCCGACGACAGGACGTACCCCGAACAGGTCCTCATCCGCCCTAAGTCTTCCTCCAATTCCGGCGCACATACCAGGACGGACGCAGAGAAACAGAGCACGCAGGGTAAGGGGTTGAGGTTGATGTTGAAGAGCGCGGCGGTGAAGGAGGTCGTGATGGCGCGGTTGCATACGGGTGCGTTTCGCGAGTTTGCGCATTTTCAGTTCTACCTTGACGTGTGTATACATGTACAGTCATCGTCACCGACGAGCCGAGGGGAAATCTTAGGGTGTGTGGGTTCGCGAGCTCGGGTCGGTGAGCGTGTATTTCTTAATTGCACCAATGTACCACTTCTAACCACACCTCCCCCCCAGCCTCGGCCCAACCCCAGCCCAACACTCCCTCTACACCCCAACCCCCCTCCCCTCCCTCGACCAACACAAAATAGTCTCCGTCGCGCTCGGGCAGGACCACACACTCGCGCTCACCGAGGCTGGCTCGGTGCTTTCGTGGGGGTTGAATAGGTTTATGCAGTTAGGGTATGTCGTTGAGGGTGCTGCGCCTTCAGGTGGGGCAAGTGGTGCGAAAGTAGTGACAGTATCAGGGGCGGGAGGACCAGGAGGAGGAGGAGGAGGGGACGAGGTACAAATGACGCCGCGGGTGATAGCGGGCGGGTTGAAAAGGGAGGTCGTTAGGGGTGTGGCGGCGTGTAAGACTGCGAGTGCGTGTTGGACGGGGGAGGGGGTTTGGACGTGGGGGAAGAATGGGGGGCAGCTGGGTGCGTTCACGTTTTACCACTCTGCTGGTACTCTTAGCAAGGAAAGTTGACGTGTGCGGTTTTTTTGGTGGCGCGTGTGTGTGTGTTCTAGGGTACGATAAAGCGACGCAGCCGGTGCAGGTTTCGCCCCGGTTAGTGACGAAAGTGACGAGGCCGGTTATTGCTATCGCGTTAACGGTACGTCCAATTGTCCACATTATTTTGTCGTCGTCTTCAGCCGCTATTTGGAAGGTGTCTGACGGTTTGCTGGGCTTAGGATTCCGCGATGGCTTGTCTGCTCGTTACGAAGGACGTGGTTCTGTTATGGAACGATGGGTTATCGAAGATTAAGTACGTCTTTCTCTCTCCCTTCCTCCTCTTCCCTTCCCTCACCTCACATTCCCTTCTCCTCCTTATCCCCACACCTCGCTAATCCATCCCATCCATATCATCGCACCGCCCCGTCCTAACATCATTCCCATCGCACGCAGTTTCCCAGCCCAAGGTTTCCCCTCCGAGATCCAAGCCTACCGCCCGCCGCAAGCCGTCAATAACGCGGCCATCGCGAAGGTCGTGTGTTCGAGCGGGGGAGGGGAGAATCTGTTTGCGGCGGTTTCGGAGAATGGAGAGATTTTTACGTTTGGGCCCACCGACGTTGGGAGCAGTGGTGGAGGTGGAGGGGGGTTTGGTGGTGGTGGAGGCGGTGAAGAACGTGGTGAGAAGGAACGTGAAAGGGAGAGGGAGAGGGAGAAGGTGGCGACGGTGAGGCCGCAGAGGGTATGGGCTTTGAGGAAGCAGTGGAGTGCTGTGAGGGTATGTGACCCCCTTTCCTTTTCACTTCTCACTAGCCAACTTCTTTATGTTGATTCGATGCTCACCGTCTGTTGTTCGTTCATCAGGACGCGGCGCTAGGCGCAGACGGCACGATCATCATCTGCACCGAATCAGGCCACGTCTTCGTCCGCTCCCGAAACCTCAAAGCCGCCCCCTCCCTCCCAAACCTCAACCTCAACGCTCCACCCTCTCTTTCCACCCTCTCCACACACTCAGCATTAACATTCTCGTCCCACGCGTCACCCTTCTCCGCGCCTTTCCACACCACACTCCCCAGCTCTTCCTCCAACAGCAACAGTAACGGTAACAAGCCGTTCAAGTTCCACAGGGTACCGTATATACAGCGCGTGGTGGCTGTGGGCGCGAATGATACGGGGGCGTTGAGCGCGTTGAGGAGTGAGTTTAGGGGGGAGAGGATCAAGCTCGACGTCGATGAGGAAGGAGGTATGGGTATAAATATGGGGAGGGGCGGGAGGAGAGGGATCGAGAGGGATTTGGAGGGCGTTAGGCCGTGGGTTGGGTTTGAGGATCCGGAGGGGGATGGGGAGAGGGTCGAGCCGGGGATATTGGAGAGGACGGTTCGGAAGGAGGGGATGGGTGAGGGGACGATGAAGGTGGCGGGTGGGAAGCAGGGGGAGGGAGTGCAGGAGACGTTGGAGGGGCCGGTGGAGGAAGAGGAAGAGGCGGAGGAGGTGGGGGTCGAGGAAGATGTGAAGGGCTTGGAGGAGCTGTGGAGGGTCGTTGTGAAGGATGAAATCAAGAGGAAACAGGAAGGTGGGGATGGGAGAGGCTTGTTCACGGATAGGAATATTTGGGCGCATGGAGCCGATTTGAGTGTGCTGGTCAAGTGGAAAGGCGGAGAGTTCGAGCTCCCGGTGCATCGGGTGTTGATGGCCGCGAGGAGTGAACCGCTGACGGGGTTGTTGGACGGGAGAGTGGAGAGTTTGAGGGATAAGGAGACGGGGATCTCCATGAGCGTCCAGGGCTCCTCGGCGAAGTCGTTGCTCGTCTCGGGCTGCCACCCATTCTCGGTGCTCATTATCGCGCATTATATCTACTCGGACCAACTGCTCGCGATCTGGGACAATCGAGTCTCGAGACGGATGCAGCCCCTGCTCTCCACTGGCGGTGGCGGTGGCTCCAAGAACTTGCAGGCGGCACAAGTGACGAAGGAGCTCAGGGGGTTGGCGAGGTTGATGGGATTGGAGAAGGCGGAGGAGGCGTTGAGGAGAGCGGCCAAGTATGAGCCCGAGGGGACGATGGTCAGGGATATGTGTCGCCTTTTCAGGACTAGTCAGCTCGTCTCTCCTGCCACCACCACCACCGCCGCCGCCGGTCCTGTGTCCACGGGAGCGTTGAAACCGGACGTTGTGCTGAGATTGGCGGATAGGGAGGTGTATTGCCAGTCTGCAGTTTTGAGGGCGAGGACACCGTTCTTTGAGGCGTTCTTTGGGGAGGAGGAGTGGACGAGGGAGAGGTGGGAGGGCGATGATGAAGGTGCCGATGGAGGGAAAGTGTTGAGGATTGAGCTGGGTCATTTGAGGTGGAGGGCGATGGAGTATGTTGTGAGGTTTATGGTTTGTGGGGAAGAGGAGGGAATATTCGATGGATTGGGTGAGTTCGAGCTTTGGCTATGCATCACACATGCCTTACTCATTTGGACCTGGATTGTTGTAGATTTCATTGAGACCGTGGATACTTTATTGGACTTCATGTTCGAGGTCATGTCCGCCGCAGTATGTGTCATCGCCCAGCCTCTACGCTATCTTCCCATGTTTGACCATCTCTTCTCCACAGAACGAGCTCCTCCTGGACCGTCTCCTGCTCATATGTTCCTCTATCATCCTGAACTACGTCACCGTGCACAACGTCTGCTCCATCCTCGCCGATTTCTCGTTCCTCGACTGTACGCCGCTCATGGATCGTCTCCACCGCTACATCGCCGTCAACATGGAAACCCTCCTCGAATCACGCATGCTCGACGACCTCACGCCCCACCTCATCCGCTCCATCGCCTCCTCCGTCCGACACCACCAACAGCTCAAGCTCCCCGTATCGCGATCCGACCTATTAGCCAACCAAGCAATGCAGAAGCCCGAGATCGCTCGTTGGTTGGCTGAGCAGGATATCCCGAAACCGATCGTAAGGACAGCGAGGCAGGAAAGGGAGGTCAACGCGAAGATGGCGATGTCGCCTAGGTTGTCGCCGAAGAGGAGCAGGAAGGCTTCGGGGCCGTCATCGCCGATGAGCAGTCCGTTGGTGAGACCAGCGCAGAAGGCGGCGACGGCGTCTGGGCCGCCACCACAGGGAGATGATCTGTTTGCGATGGACGATGCGGATTTCGTGCCCGCGTTGAATCTCGGTGCTGACGCTGTGCATACGAGTTCGAATGTGCCGACGCTTGGGGCGGAGAGTGGGGTTCTGCCGGTTGTGTCTGGCTCTCCAGGGAAAGCAGGGCCATGGAAGGCAAAATCGGCTGGTCCTCGGTCAGTTGCTCAATTCATCGTGGTGTTTCGAGACTCATTTCTTTTGCCATCGACCTTAGTGTCGATATGAAGGCCATCCTCGCCGCCGAGGAAGAAGAGTCTCGACATGCACAACTCCGTCATGCCAGCTCATCTTCTCAGCTCGTCAAGGGCAAAGCGACCGCGTCGAGAGAAGACATGAAGAGGACGCCCGTCGATCCTGCTCCAGGTTCCTCTGTCCCCGGTTCTTCGGCGGGTCCGTGGCGGGCCACAATGGCTCCTACCGGTAACGTTCCGTTGGGTCCCACTCCGGGTCAGGTAGTCAATACGCCGCCGAGGGAGTTAATGCTCCAGGCAAGGATGAAGGAGTCTCCTAGGGGATCGCCGTCGCCGTCGATGAATATCACTCCGGGCCCCGCTACGCCTACGAGGGCGTCTGGTATGGGTATGGGGTCGTCGAGACCTTCGCTTGCGCCTGTGCAACCTTCGATGCCTGGTTTGGGGCCTGTAATCACGCCATCGAGACAGGCTCCGTCTAAGCCGTCAAAGTCGGGACTTGCAATCTCTCGTCAAGCATCGTACGTCCTCCCTTCGACGGCTCCATTATGCGTTATTTTGTCGTGCTGACTGTTCTTTTGTCCTTGTTCGCTGCTGATCATACAGAACCGTGGGCAGTAACAGCGCATGGACACTCCCTCCCGTCCAACCCATCGTCGAACCGACGCCCAGCGCCTCCCAAGCACCCATGTCCTTCGCCGCCATCCAACAATTACAGCTCGAGCAGGGCGTCGCGCCCGCGAAGGATAAACGGTCGTTGAAGGAGATCCAGGAGGAAGAGAGGGCAAGGCAGGCGGAGGAGGACTTTTTGAAGTGGTGGGCTGAGGAGGAGGAGAGGGTCAGAGTGGAGAATGAGCAGATCGCGGCGTTGGTGTCGGAGCAGGGACAAGGGCAGACACAGCGGCGTGGGCAGGTGGCTGGGTCGAGGGGGAAGAAGACGAAGAAGCCGAGAGGGGAGGGGAAGGGGAGGCCGTCGCAGTCTAATGGGCAGGGCGGGGAGCAGCCAGCTGAGGCCTCTAGGACTGGTGCTGATGCGGGTGTGGCGGGAGTGTCAAAGGGGCCAAGAAGTGATGGGCGGAAGCAGGGGTCTCAACAGCAGCAGCAGCAACCACAACAACCACAACAGGGTCAACCCAAACGGCCATCTGGCTCGAATCGTAAGGCTTCTAGTAATGCGAAGAACGTCCCTCGCTCGAACGCGAACCCATAGCATCCCATGGGCCTGATTATCTAACTTATGCATATGTCTAGTCTCTATGTGGCCATTTCAGTGTCTCCGTTCCTGTATAAGTACCTTTTTTACACCTTTCGTTCTCAAGTTTGGAATGTGTACGTAGAAGTAGATCTCTGGTTTTTGTTTTACCTGCGTTACAGTATTTCGGTCCTGGCTATTCTCTTTCGTGGTAGATTCAGACTTTTCCCATGTATACAAGTAGAATGATCCTGTAGACTTTCAAGTTGTAGGTCAACGTCAATACATGTATAGGATGCTCACGAGGCTCGTTGTTCTATCACTGCTTTCTGTATATCTACAATCCCATAGCCTCCGACACGTCAGGTTCAAACGCACCTTGGATCGAGAATGAGTGTCCAGTAAAAAGACAGAAGACCTCCTTCAGAAGTCCACTCGCAGCGTGTCCAGCAATAGAGGGTCATAAATCGCTACATATGATATAACATTATTACAAGCGTGAGTTTCATTCGTACTTTCATTTACAGCTCGTGAGCGCCACACAGTCAGATCGGTGGCCCCTGACCAAGCAGCAGCGAGGGATCAACTGCAGAACGGCGTGCTATTCTTGATACCATAGTACTGTCGAATCCATAATAGTCACGGTCGTCAGCAATCCCAAGACCTCCAAACATGAGAGCAAACACTCACCACCAAATGGGCATCCGCATCCCCGAACACGACAGAGTCCGAACAATCCGGATCTTCGCCATCGGCCGCGCACTGTGTCGTATTCTCTGGAGAGGCCGGGTCTGGGTTTTCCCAGTACTCGATTCCTGGTTCAGAGGGATGCGGTGAGTAAATAAGGAACAACTTTTCGGGGTGGTGGGTAAGGGGAGGGAAAAAGTTACTTACCGTGGTGGCGGTAGCCAATAGCTCGAGGGATGAGATGAGGAACACTGCGGTGCAACATCTGAGGCTCGAAAAATAAGTATTTCGAAAGTGCTTTGAGGACTTACATGTCCGTTGTGTGGACCGCTTAATTCGCGAGAGTTGATTAGCTAGAGCCAAAGAATGGCATCGATCGTGCATAGAAAGAGAGCGTACATCGATATGCATTCGTCCCGAATTTATCATTCACCCAGTACGCATAGACATCATTACCTGTCCGCACTTGTCCATACGTATACATTCGTACAGAGCTATTCAAGTTCACGTACACAAAATCAACCATCGATAAATAAATCTAGTGGCGAGAGGTCGTAATATACGCACTTCGACGGGAAGTTCTGCTGTAGCGTGATACCAGCGAGAGATGCCAGCGAACCGCCGAGTGAGTGGCCCGAAGTGACGAGAGCGTATCCGGGGTGAGCGTCGAGCTGTTCTTGAACGATAGAGAGAACGGTCGACGCCACAGAGTTCCAGCTGTGGGATGGAGATATGGTTCGAGTTCAGCCATGTCGAAGTCAAACTTAAAGGAATGGAACTTACGCAGTCAGGAAGCCAAGATGTGCGAGCGTGCCAGCTATGGATATACGAGGAGGTTTTGGTTTTGGGAACCATAGCTTGGACGACGATATTGTCAGACGCACCTGGCGGTGAAGTCCCACTGGCTTTGAACGGTACCAGAAGGATATCTACATCTGTAAGATAGTCCTGCAAGGTCGTGCTAATACGGACAAAGACAAGAAATGTCAGCGTTCGGCTGAATTACCAAACGCATCTGGCAGGGAAATCTCCCACGCACCTTCCACGCAGAGACACGATGATTTCCTGACGGGTGTCATCTCGAGCGATAAAGCCTTGGGTATCCGTAGAATTGTTACTGAACTGTGAAAGAAGTTTCGTCGGATCAGGACTGCCAGCAAGTATTCAATATTGGGAGGGAGTACTTCGGTAACGAGCGTGTTCCCACTCGGGGAAGCACAAGTAGTCGAGTACGCCGAGAAGGCGTATTCGACATAAAACGACAGGTCGTCATAGAGTTCTACGCGATGTGAAGAACAAAGATATCAGATCGCGTGATACCCTCACGGTAGTATGGGCATGCGCACCTTGCGATATAGACCTTTTAACAGGCACGGCATGGACCACCTCTCCTAGAAACGTAGCAAGCACGAGAGCAAGATTAAGGACGCGCATAGTAAGCCAGCTAGCTCAGTGAAAGAGTCCCAGCAGCACTCCTTTTCACTATGAGCGGTCAGTAGGCACCGAACTGGCAGGTGAACTGGTCAAGGCTCAGAGCAAGGACAGAGGCTGCGGGGAGAGCACAATGCTTGCATCTCCTCCCCGGCTTATAAGGACATGAACTCGACAGGAACGCCCAGGGATTGCCCTGTGAATGTGAACCCCAAAGATCCGGTGACCTGGCTTCTGCGGACGGAGAAAGAAAGGCGATCGAGGGGATCATGACACGATACAAACGACGAACGGAAATCTTCCTCAAAGTCATGGGGAAAACGCTGAGAAGATTGGCGTCCTCGCCACGCGGACAGAGACTCCTGAGAGGACGCGTTCATCTGCCCCATTTTTTCACATTAAAAGATGTCGGGCTGAAGTTAGGCTGCGCAACTTGGCGATTACAGAGGATTATAGGGTCTCATACAAGCTTTTGTGCTCTGAAGGGGATGAATGACGCAATTTTAGGTTAGGAGTTCATACCGGTCAGAAGGTGGCAGGATGTCGACGTCGATCCGGACGCAAACTGCTCTGCAGCTTTCCAGGGAAAGTTTTCGAGGGCGGCAAGCTGTGCACGACAATTCCAAGAAAATTATCTCCGCGATATTCCCCTCTCATGACAGTCAGCGTAAACGGTAGTTGTTCCCTCGTGGACAGTATTCAAGCTCAAGTCGTGTGACCCTCCTGAGGCCTGAACGATCGCCGTCGCCCTAAAAATGGAGTGGAAGTATTGTTTGAATAGCTGACGCCATCACGTACTCACACTTGTGAAAAGCATATGGTAGTAAGTATAGCACGTTGGGTGGACGTCGATGAAGAGGTTAAGGGAGAGTGGCGACCCCGGCAACCCTATGTTCATCAATAAACGGATCAGTACGAGGTGTCAGGGGGTCTTCTGCTGCTATATCGACCGTAGGTAGCGCCGCGCGCCTGAGTGTTGTATCTTGATACGTGACCGTCATGTCTCGGTTTGTGCGAGCTTCAAAATATCGGTAAGACGTTCTATATTATCCATGTTCGCTTGTAGATATTCATTTTGAAGTCTTTTAGCCATGTTTTCGGCCAGCAGAGCAAAAAGGAGCATGGCTTGGACAACTTGAAGGTGTCGAACAGTGCTTGGGATACGAATCTCATCGCTGCGTCGGGCGTACGTTCAATTTGGATCGCAACTATTTCTACAAACTAATGGTATGGTGTATTATATCAGAAATACATCAGTGTCAACTGGAACGCGTCGGGAGGAGGAGCATTTGCCATTCTGCCCGCACCGTCCCCCTTCGGAGTCACCAGCACAATTCCCTTCAAACTCCCAGACATCATTCCTCTGGCTCGTAGCCACACCGCTGCCGTTCTCGATACCGACTGGTCTCCGCACAGCGACGATACCGTTGCATCTGCCGGCGAAGATGGCAAGGTCATGATTTGGAAGGTCGAAGCATCCCAGTTCGAAGATTGGGGCACTGAGGGCTGGCAACCGCGCGACTTCGACCCCGTCCTCCGTATCGACGCATCCCCTCGTAAGATCGGTCAGGTCCTTTGGCATCCAACCGCGCAACATGTTCTCGCCAGTGCTGCAGGCGACCATACTGTCAAGCTCTGGGATCTGGGCTCACCCGAATCACCGAAGTCGGTTCTTGGCGGACACGGAGATGCGATCCAGAGTCTCGCATTCAATCCAACTGGCCAGGTTGTAGTGACGACGTGCAGGGATCGTAAGTTGAGGATATTCGATGCGAGGGCGGGAGGAGACGCGGTCAGAGTCGCGGATGGACATGGCGGGATCAAAGGCGCGCGGGTGGTGTGGATGGGTGACAAGGATCGGATCGCGACGACCGGGTTCAGCAGGATGAGTGACCGGCAGGTTAGTATTTGGGAGACGGGCGGTTTGGGCAACGTCAAGACGATCACGCTCGATCAGTCCTCTGGTGTCGTCATGCCCTTCTGGAGCGACAACAATATCTTGTTTTTGGGTGCGTTTTTCTTCTTCCATCGTCCTTAATCCAATGTTCTGATCGGCGACGGTAGCTGGAAAGGGGTAAGTCCTGAGAGACCACAGAGTCATTCTTCATACTGACATCGCCGCAGAGATGGTAACATCCGCTACTATGAATACGAGAACGACAACCTCTACGCCCTCGACGAGCACAAGTCGAGCGATCCCCAGCGTGGCATGTGCTTCCTTCCCCGCCGCGCCCTCTCCACCCCCGACTGCGAGATAGCCAGAGCCTACAAGATCTCAGGCTCATCCATCGAAGCCATCGCTTTCGTCGTGCCCCGAAAGGTGCGTAATCTCCCTTCTAACCCCTACCCAACATTCATCTTGCTGAATCCCCTTTCCAGTCCGACTCCTTCCAATCCGATATCTTCCCTCCCGCTCCCTCCGCCGAACCCTCCCTCACCGCCGGCGAATTCTTCTCCGGCAAGCCTCCCTCTGTCAAGCTCGTCAGCCTCGAAAGCGGAGTCACGACCTCCGTCCCTGGTACGCCCATGACCGCCCCGACACCGAAGCAGACCGCGCCGCCACCGAAAGCAGAACCTGTGCCCACGCCTGCGTCTCCACCATCTGCACCGGTTGTCAAGCCTGAGCCAGTCGAGCCTGCCACCCCAGTGTCTGCCGTCGTGTCCTCGCCCGTGGAGGCCAAGGCTCCTTCGCGCTCTTCGACTTTCGGTGCTGTAAGTCTTGTGCTACTCCTATGTATGACCGCAGTACTAGAAGCTGACGTTGGTCTCTGTGTTTCCTTTACTTTTGAATAGGACGCCGGCGCCGCTTTACAGGAAGAAAACTCGAAGCTCAATGCGGACCTGCGGGAGGCGCGGGAAAAGATCAGGAATTTGGAGTTGCAGGTGGAGAGTATGAAGGCGAATGCGCGTAAGGCTGCCGAGGCGTTGATGAACCAGTAGATTCGTGCGGGACGGGACGCTAGGAAGGGGAAAGAAGTTAGGGATGAGGATGGTCGATCGGTTTGTCGTCTTTTTTTTGTGTAGGAACGCGGAAATTTTGGACATTTGCTTTCGTTTTCGACAACGCTGCCTTACGAATGGGGTTTGGTGGAATGTCTCGCCACCGCCACGCTATTGCTGGAACGGACGCAAACCGTTTGCATATCCCAGGATGAGCGAAAATCGTGGATGGTTGTATATCCCATTCCACGAGACAGTTCACTGGCACTTTTCTTGTCGGAGCATTGTGAGTCGCGTCCTCCTGCATCTTTCGAGGCTGTGGTACTTAAGCTGATTTGAGACGCATCGTTTGCAGTTTCCGATCACTGAGCACTTGTGGCACTTCCTCTCAGTCTTCTAGACGAGCTGTGAACAGACGTCATACCGGCGATGCACCCAGGACACTGGCGGCGCTGTGAATGTTTCAAACTGTTTTAACTTACAACTCAGCGTTCAGTCCTTCCACGCCGCGAATTTGACGCTCCGCCGAACAAGGCCATTGACCTGCCCAATATGGTGCCAGCGGAGGTAAAATCATGAGGAGCCGTGGGTTCGGATCTAAGTTGGACTGCGTTTTGATCTTTACTGCATTAATCTCAGACATCCAGCCATCTTCCGCACACATATTCGATTTCGGCTTCAGCACTTGAGCAAACACCACGTCAAGATGTTTCTTATCTTACTAGCCCGTTTGGTGCAGTCTTCCACTATCACCGATGCTAGACAGGGTTGGTCGACGTTTGCCGCTTCAGTCGTATTGTGAAGGCCCAAACTCTCCGTCCACAGCGTCCGTTACGAGACTCATAACCTCCACATATTCGCGCTCACCAGCGTCCCGTGGGCCTCTGACGGGTGCCTTGTTGCAAGCTATGCGACTGCTGCCAGATTGTGCCGCATCAAGCCATTTCTGGCTTCCTCTGGCTTCCTCCCAGTTCTGTCCAAGCTGAGGTGGCTTCCTTCAGGTCACTCCCCTTTCAATCGCGCGCGCTTTGTCGAAGTCGGGATAAGCGTGGATCTTCCTGCGATCTGCCGAAGGTACATACATGATCGACACGAAGAGTCGACTCATCTGGTCAAAGCTATCGGGTGGCATCGATGGTGGCAAACACATGACACTCTTCTAAGTAAAGCGTGTCTCTATGGAGAGACTCTGTAGGATATGTTTTGAGAGCACTCGAGAGCAGATCGCGGTATACCGCCGGCATCCCTCGAGACCATTCCCTTCGGCGACAAGATTGCGGCAGCGACTCATCTCGTTGTTGTCAACGCCATAAAGTCCAGGGTTGGATGCTTCATCTTACGGCAGTTATATGTACGTTGTCGAGTCCACAGCTGGGGCCGTTGTGGGGCAGATTTCTTCCGCGGCACCCGGGTGTTTGGCTGCCCTATGAGGAGGCGCAAACCAAAAAATAAATAAATGCGCTGAAGGCCGTGATGCGAACCGCACCGAATCTCGCGACAGACTGCCATGAATCTGCGAGTGCGCAACGTGCATTTGTGACTTCTTCGCTCAGCCTTTACAAGGGGTCATCGTTGTCGGTTTTACCTCCCAAGCGGACGGAAGATCCTCCCGCGGTCGACCAAATCCGTGCATATTCGTATACGTACTCCCGCAGGGGGCAACGCCGTCTCACTGCCATAAAATGACATCCTCCAACCATCTCTCGCACGCTTCTCCTTCCCGTTCGTCTTCTTGTTCTTCTCCCTGATCCTCGCTCTTACTTGGTTGATCCCTCTCTTGTTGATCTTCAGAATCCATCACTCGTACCATCATCACACACCGACTGCGATCTATGTCGGACTCTAGTCACAGAAGAGCCCCTCTCACACTCGATTTCATCATCGTTGGTGGTGGTGAGTCGTCATGTACTACAAATATCTAATTCCCAGCCCGCTGAATTCCAATTTGCGCTTGCTTCCTTTGTGGGTCCGGACTGAACGATTTGAACCACTGCTCTCGCGTAACAGGTATTGCTGGACTCGCTACCGCTCATGCTCTCTGCTCCTCTGGTCATCGCGTGCACGTCTACGAGAAGGAGCGAGGTACAAGCGACTACTCTGCTGGCGTCCGTATACCTCCAAATGGGATGCTAGTATTGATGAAATGGGGCGTCGCGGATAAGATCAAGGAAAAGAGCGTGAAGTGCACGTCGACAGAGTTCGTCGAAAGTGAGTGTCTACGGTATTTCTCTATGTGAGCTCGGCAGCTCGGGTTCATCTGCTCATGTGACACTGTTGAAACGCTTGTAGTGGATAGCGGGGAGCGCATCGGCATCTTGGAATGGAGGGAGGAAGTCATGAAGGAGCTCGGGGCGCCATTTTACCTGATTGCTGTAAGTTTTTTCTCATCGTTTGATTTGACCAAGATTTTAGGCTCACCATTGAAGCTCTTTTTTCCGCTAGCACTCCGAACTCCACACCATCCTCCGCGAACTTGCCATCTCGTCAGGTGCTCACCTCCATTTCAACACTCCCGTCGCCAGCGTCAATCCTTGGAATGCAGGACAAATGAATGGTTCGAGCCGTGGAAGCACTTCATCGCAGGAGAGGCCTTCCGTGACACTCGCTGATGGCCAAGTCGTCTATGCGGACATTATCATTGGTGCGGACGGCGCAAGGAGCATCGTCCGACCTGTAGTCGTCGAAGACGATACACCAGAAGCTCCGTCTCAGATGACAATATACACCGGCACGATACCCATCGCCACAATGGAAACGGACCCGGACATGAGATCGATTGTCCACGATATTGGCCATCCACATTGGTTGGGAAATGGTTGTCTCGCAATGAGTACGTATCTGGTTTTCTTCTCCCGACTTCTTGGGAGTTGTACGGCTTCAAAGTTCGAGATGTTGACGAAGGTTTTACTTCGCTTACGCAGCATATCCCATAGTGCGTCTACTTCCTATCTTCCATTTAGTTATCTGTTCACCGACCTCCCTTTCGCCATCCAGCGCTCCGGAAAAGAATATACTGCCAGCTTCTGGACGCCTGAACCGATACCTAAAGGAGCGCCACAAGGGTGGGACACACCTGTATCCTCTGCCAGCCTCAAATACGCCAAGATAGAGCCTCGGTAAATGATGGTGCCTTCGATCCCGCTGTTGTGCCCAATACTGATACCCTACCCCTTTTGTTCTCCAGGATGGCGCAACTATTGGCTCATATGCCTACATTAACCCGGGTCGCTAGAGTCGAGAAGGAACGTGCAGAATCATTCATAGACGACACGGAACGAATTGTTCTCGTCGGCGAGGCAGCATACCCTAAGGGGGTACGTACCCCACACACGACGGCACTTCTATGTCGCTGATTTTCTGACGCTCTTACTATTATTTTATATCTTTACGTCGTTAAATAGCCTTGCGGTATGCCAGTCATAAGCGCTGTCATCGAAGACGCGGCGGTGCTCGGTGTCCTCCTTTCCCGACTCCGAGACCATAGCCAGATCCCATCGCTACTGTATGGGTACCAGGACCTCCGTCAACCACGTTTAAACACTATCCTGGACCTCGAAGGCGCAAACCACTTCCTGCTCATGCTTCCTCCTGGCCAAGACCGCGACCTCCGAAACGAAGCGTGGAAACGGTGGAAGGCAGCAGCGGAGGCCAGGGGAGACGCGGAGATCGAGGAGGGAGAGCTGGAGAAGCAGTTTGCTGATGTTTGTGAGGTGTGGGGCTACGACGCGATCGATGCGGCGGAAGACTGGTGGGTCCATTGGGGGATGTTGAGGGAGAGGGCGTCTGGGCTGGGCGGTGGTGGCGTGTTGGACGGAACGGTGTGTGTGCGCGTTGAGGGCGATTTATGATCGTCATTTGTCACTGGTGAATAACTCTTACGCTTTGATTTAGACCTGATGATTATGATACCCTCTTTCATGATGATACCAAAGGGGTTGAGCCTTGAGGTTTAACAAGGTTAAACGTGTTTTTGCACTGCCAGTTGATGCAGAGAGAACGATGTGAATAGCGTTTACTACTCGGTATCGGGTGTAAAGTCATCTAAATCCGAGCATCTTTGAGTATCGAGCCAGCCGTTGAGGCCCGCTCGGTGAGCCGCCTCGGCAGTACACCAAACCTGGACTACGGCTCACCCACGGAAGTATCTCGACTTCACGAAGGGCATGGGCGCGATGACAGCAGAGCGTTTCTTACCCCTCACTTCCACGTTCACCTCGGTCCCTTTCTTATGCATGCCCGACTTCACGTAGCCCATCGCAATATTTTTCCCGAGCGTCGGAGAGGGTATACCGGATGTCACCTCGCCTATTATGGAGGGTTTTTAGTATATGCATGGAAGGACGGAGGAAAGGGACTCACCGATCACCTCCGCATTTTCCGGTGCGAATATTTTCGCGTGTGTTCGGGCAGGCGCACCATCCACGATCAACCCCACCCGTCGTCGCGGTGGCCCATCCTTCAGATGCTTCATGACACCTTCAGCACCAATGAACGTGGGGTCCTCTCGTCTATCCTTCCCTGAAATTTGAAGGAGCCAAATGCAGTAGCTTAGCCAATGAAGAGACTGTCGGAAACGAAGGTAAAGAATATTTACCGATGACCCAAGTGAGACCGGCTTCAACGGGGGTCGTATCCTCGTCAAGGTCCTGGCCATACAGGCACATCCCCGCTTCAAGACGTAAACTGTCGCGCGCACCAAGCCCTGTGAGCCAGACTGGGTCTTTCGAGAGGAGTTGAGCGACTTCAACGGTATGTGCTGGAGGGATCGAAATCTGCGATATGTCCGGTCGGACGTAATGAGCAGACGTAAGGGAGAGAGATACGGCGACCACTGTGTACCTCAAAGCCGTCCTCGCCAGTGTATCCACCACGGGCAACGTGCAGATTGAAGCCCTCCAATGGGACGAACGCCGAACGGCCAAAGGTGAGGGATTGGAGGTTGAAAGACGTCAAAGTTTGCAGGTAGGCTGCGGCTTCCGGTCCTGAAACACACGATCAGCAACATGCCATGTATCGGAAACCCGCCTCAATCGGCCGCGATGTGCAGAGCAAATATATGAGGCTGTGAGACGTACCTTGTAGTGCTAATAATCCCCAGCCCTCCAGAACTTCGTGCTCGACAGCTCCTGCCTTCGCTCTCTCACTGTTGTTCCACCCCTCCAACTTCGCCTTGAACCAAGCCAAATCCTCCGCCCGCCTTCCTGCATTGGTCACGACGTAAAATGCGTCTTCTGCATGCTTTGTGATGATTGTGTCGTCGATGATACCGCCTCGTTCGTTGAGAAGGACGGAGAGTGTGGAAGAGTACGGGGCGAGAGAGGTGAGAGAGGATGGGGTGAGCCATTCGAGGAACGCAAGTGCTGTTTTGCCACGGAAGCTACACAGTTGTCGTGCAATAAGAAAGATAAGCACGAGTGCATAGACGACGGAATTGACAAGATGCTTACTTGCTCTGAACCATATGTCCTACGTCGAAGAGACCTGCCCTCTCCCGAACATGATTATGGCTGTCGACTAGACATACGTGGGCAAAGTCATAAGTGCTTCTACCTTACTGACACCTACTAGGTTGTAGAGCTTTTCGAAGTCGCTGTACGCACCTTGACCCACTGCTCCGTACGATAGCGGCATAGAGTATCCGGCGAACGGTACCATCTTCGCACCATTCTCGACATGAAAATAATAAAGTCCCGTCCGACTGAGCTATGCATAACATCAGTACCATATCATATCTCCCGAACGCATAGTTTTGAGCATACCTGTCCTGCTGGTGTTGCAAGACCGCGACATGATATGCGACCGACAGTGGAGAGCTTTGAACTGCCCAGAATAGTCCTTTTGGCGCAGAGTAATCGTATAGCAGACATCGCAAGCTCTAGTGCGATACAGTCGAGGATACTATGGCCGGGTCGTGTTATCCTCGTGAAAGAGGGCAGAGAAGGAGACTCGAGCTAAACGAACCACCATATCCACTGGTTTTCCATTATGTACGTTAGCGCGCCACACGCCTACAGAAGCTGGCCGCGGCCCCTGATGGGCCACAATATGGGTGCGGAACACCGACGGTATACGATTCCAGATTTTTTGTCGAGCCGCTTGATATTGGAGCGAAGCGAATTGGAAGCGAAAATCCACTGAACTAATCGAAGATAGCAAAAAATACATGTTTAGAGTGAGTTGAGAATGGGTTACAAGTAACTTCGGGGGGTCCGAGTCTATGATCGCAGAGCGGTAGGTATAGCAGGAGGGATGACGATGACTTGTCGATACAGGAAAGCGTGGCATGAATATTCATTAGTGAATAAGGATGGGAGGAGGCTCCGTAAGGATGGTTTATATATATAGTCGGAGAAAGCCAGTAGGCTTGAGAATACACAGGATACGGTAGAGTAGTGGTAGGAAGCATTGAGGAATTGAGCGTGGAGACATTGAAAGAGGAATGAAAATGACTCGTCAAATTTGTCCAGCAAATGAGAGGATGTTAGGAGATGGATTCCGGGAGCACGTTCACGGTGCAGGCTATGTCGATGAGCCTTGGCCGCTAGCTCATCACGACTTCGAACCAGGCTCTCCCGCCTCTATCCATCGTGTGAGGTTCAGTCGAGGTCTGAGGGCCGATATCAGTACACCGCGCACAATATGTAGGAGGGGAGGTTGTCAAACTCGCCATTGCATCGTCATGAAGCTCGTCGACCTCATTGATGAGGACAGTGCCCAGCCAGGTTCTGTCGCCTCTGTCTAGGGTATGAGGCTCGGGGGAGAGTTCACGCTATTGTCAGTTATCTAGGTTAACAGACGGCGCTGGCAGCAGATGGTAATCGAGCTTACAGCTAACATCCCCCCTTCACCACTGACCTTCCCTTCCTCTTCTTCCTCATCGTCGCCCTAGACATAGTCTAAGCCCAGTATAGAGAAGGAATAATGCCGACAGAGCCTGTTCTCACCGGCCTGATGAGCTCCTCAACCCTGGCCTCATCCTCTGCGTCGGAGATTACTTGCTCCTCTTCCTCGGTAAGAACCGTGCTCGTCATGCTCGAAGCAGGCGAAACAAACCAGCTGCATGGGTTGCCAGCAGCATAGAAAAAATCCCCTAGCTCCAACGGTTCTAATGGCTATGAGTGCATAGTGCACGAAAGGAAATACAGTACTCGTCAGTCACTTATACCACAGATACACCTAAAAGACGAAAAGTGAGGTACATACCTGCTGAGCATCAACGAAGGCGTTGGGCACAGCCATAGACTTTTCGAATCCCACACTTTTTAGAGGCTCTCTAGACTATTCAATGTCACAAGGAATACCTTATGGCCATCCGATTTGTGCCGCGTCGACCATCCCAGATCAGGGGGCCGGCTGCTCATCTCTTCCTCGCTGCCACTGGCCTCATCCTGGAATACAGCCGATCGGAGGTTGACGGGTAAGAAGGCTAGAGGGCTATCAATTGGTAGTCACGATGAGGCTCCGGTGGTCAATGAGCGTAGAGTGCGGGGATGGTTACATACGACAGAGCTGGAGAGTTGTGGGTCTCAATTTGGGATGCGGGCTCTAGAGCTTGAGTGTCCACATGCTGCGTATAACGTGAGCGTTGTGTGAGATACGTTGGTCTACAAGGTTGCATTGCAGTTGAGTTCATGAAATCTTTTTACCTTGCTGTTGGTCAACGACTGTTGAGTTTGATTGTGAATGGCGAGGGGATAGGTTCTGAATGTGGATAGCGATGGTGGCGCAGAGCCCGGGCGTAGGATGTGCGAAGAACTAGCCATTGATGATCAGAGGATGGATCTAAGAGAATGATATCAGTTCAGCTTTGATTTTGCCATTTGAGCCACTCGATGGTCGACGCGCTGGACAGTCAACGAAAAACGCAAGATGAAGAGGCAGGCTCATACAGTCTTGGACTGATGGTGAACAAATAAGTAATCTGTCGCTGAAAGTGTGTCAGGCCTGGACGTTTCTCAGATCAGTCTCTGACAGAATGCAGCGAATGAAAGTCATCGAACGAGCATTGTCCAAGCGCGAAACCCCAAATGAAAACACGCACACGATGAAGATTGGGCGTACCGGCGGTTGCGAAATAGGAGGAGGGAGTCCGGGGCAACGTTAATTAATAGACTTTATAAGATGCCGTTATGGTCGAGACTGGGGTGTTGGTGGACGAGTGGAAGGAGCACTGGGGGAAAGAGCGAATAATATAGTCACTGAGAGGGATGAGCCACTCGATTCGGCGTAGGCCGTCGCCTTTCAGACGGACGGCTTCCTTTGTTTCTTGTCATACAGACTCCAAATATATCAGGTGGCGAGTGGAAACCGATTGGGTCCACGGTCAGCTTTGGCGATGCTTGGGAGCGATGGGTATGCATATTCAATGAGGGTCCTTTCGGCTGATGTACCACCAAACGTCGCATGATACCATGTCAATGGCACAACAATGGCATGGACGACAGTCTTCAGATGGAACGTAGATTTCAGGACATGAGCAGTTCGCGATAACATCGAGATTATGGTCCGTGGAGGTCCTGAACAAGAACTGAGTATGAACCGTGGCCGCGTCGCTGGGTGTTCGAACACGAAGTACAAACGGTATATTTTTGTCGAAGGTCATGTCAGTACAATGAGCACGTGATGGGTGCCACACTTCAAGAACCGGTTACCAGGCCGCGAGAATCCTCGATATGAGATAGACGGCCAGCAAACGATATTAACAGCAGTACAAAATGTCACTGCGTATGTAACGTAAGGAGCACGGACAGAAAACATTGTACGACGTAGAAAATATAATATCACACCGCAAGGATGATGACATCGATTACTGCGCCACTCGTAAGAGCCCATCGGCGGCCTTGCGAGAAAGCGAGGAGCACAACGGAATAACAATCACAACAATACAAAGCAAGACGGAAAAGGGAATGGATGTAGGCAATTAACTGGGAGGTTGCGATAGCGGACGATGGATGATGTAGAGAACACAGAGCGGCAGAAAGCAGGAAGACAGGGTAAGAAGTAACGGTGGCAGAGTTCATGGCTAGATCGTAGAGGGCGGTAGCAGAGAGAGAAAAGGATACACCAGAGAAGCAGGAAGGGGAGAAATAGATGACGGCATGATGGTCCTCGTGGATAGAGATGAAAGTCAAGGGCGGAGAAAGAGAAAGTCCAAACAGAGATGTGGAATACGGTTTCATTCCCAGTTTCGCATCGCATTCGCACGAGCGGCCTCCCTCTCTTGACGTTCCATTTCGCGGTCAGCCTCCTCGCAGAGAAGCCACTCTTGTTCATCCATAGGACATTCGTCGAGCATAGGCTGAACATCGTCCGGCCACACCTGCGTTACGCAAAGGACCGTTCAGTATTCAGGATCATGCGCGAGCGAGCACAGACGTAACTTACAGCATCTCTGCTGTACAGTGTCGGCGTTCTGTACGACTCAAGGAACTCCTCATCTTCGATTTGGGAGAGAATTCGCTCTTCTTGCGACATGGGGTGATATATCAAGTCGTCGTTGAGTTCAGGAGGCCAAACCTCGTCAGACACGTCTGATCCAGACTGATGATGAAAATGTCAGGAGAGGGACCATGGATGCAACATGACTGGATGGCAGCTCACATCAGATGTAGAATCATAGCAGCTGTCGCTGGTGATCTCGTCGGAACTTTCGGGAGGGCAGTCGCCCTGGAAAAAAAAGTATCAGTACATTTTCTGGACGTGACAATTTATGGAACTCACCGGCGTCATCTTGCCAACTGCTTGCGGGGCGTACTCAACAAGCCCAGACGTGCGCTTCTTCTTGAATGAGGTGGTTCTTGAACCTGACGAGTCGCTGTCGTCTTCGTCTGACGAGTAACAGGCCCAATCGCGCTTGCGCGAGCATTGACGGTACGAAGACAGGTCAATGAAATTGTACGTGTCACACTTCGTTTCGACTGTGTCAGACGTCTGTGTATCCACATAAATCGTGTAGAAAGAAAATGTAGACACTTACCTGCTCTGGGGCCCACCCGGTGACTCTGTGTTTTGGTCGGAGGTCAAAGCACACTAACGGCTATTGGAACGATGTCAGACAAGCCGGTCGCACCGGAGAGCGTGTTGAAGAGCAGGCTTACTGTTTCGTTCGATGACATGTTATGGTAGGTTGAAATTGAGAAGATTTATGATGCACTTGAGGATAACCTATGGCGAAGAGAAGGCATTCAATATCTCGCCAGAACGACACACCCCAACCATGACACAGTCCCCGAGTCTCGGATGGAGGACACGACTCACTAGATATGTAGACCGAGAGCTCGATGAATAACTTCAATGTTGTTGTGAGCTAGCTATGTTCCTGTGGAAATCAAGCAGGTCTAAAGACCCCAGTTCAATATCGACGCGTCCAATCCCCCGCACTTGACACGGGCGTATGAGATGGGAAAGCGTCAAAGCACTCACAGTAGAAGTCGAGGCCAAATATGACTAGGATGTCGGTGTTGTTTGGAAGTATCTAGAAGGTCGGGGATGTAGTTTAATATCGACGCAATGCTGGGTGGGTGATGGTTGGAGGAGAAGAAAGGCGAGGAGAGGCTGCAGTTGCATTGAGCCACTCGGCTTGGGCCGCGCTGCACCAACACCGGCCGGAACCGGCGTCTTGCTTTGTCCCTGCTGGAGTCCTCCGGGGCTCCATAGGTGAGCGTACTTATGCACTATTACATAGAGCTGTGATCATGTCAATACTCTTTCCAGTAGGGCTTTCTTCCTATATCTGCCGACTTGCTTCACCAACGATCCAATGTGGCTCTGTCAGTGGAATTACATCGAATCTTTCACGTCCCTCTACTCTGAGCAGCGAATGGCAGCTCGTATAGCCAACCAACATTGCAGCAACATTCAGAGTTTTATCGACCAATAGTCTGCACAACTTGAATCCTTGATGGCTCCGATGGATGCGGCGGGGCCTGGTAGCTTGCGAGCGGCGACAAAGTCGTGAAAGCTACCATGACTGAGGCCCAACTTGGCCTCGTGAGCCACATCAGCGTAGAAAGCATGATCAGGTATTCTTGAACATCGTTCCAAGCAGCAATAGCAAATATAAAGTCAAAGGATTCTTGTTCAAGGATCGTTCGATGGCGATGGTCACGATTACGGAGAAGAGGTGTCCGGTTACGGCTAGCGTTCTACTTATCTATGAGCTGGGTGCAAATCTGAGAAAAGTGGCCAGAAGACTGAGAGCGAAAGACAAAGCTTCCGGACCCAGGCATTGAGAAGTTAGAACCAGCCAGGAATCGAGCGGTAACGATAGGGAGAAGGCGTGGTGTAAGTTTCAAGTGACGCTGTCATCGAGTCAGCAGACGTGGCAAGAGAAAGCAAAAACCCAGCAGCTTGGCTCAGAGCGTCACTGTGTCACTGACCGTGGGGAATGTGTCTATGTGGCGCAAGTGGCCCGGACAAAGAATGAACTCAATACCAACCTGTGACATTTCTGAAAGTTTCCACCATAACAACAACTTCAATAAGAAACATAAGGAAGATAAGAACCAATATATTGACGACACTTTTGTAGGAGCACAATGCCCAAGTGTTATGGTAATATGACACAACACTTTTGAAGTGGCGCAATGGCCCGTTCAAAGGAACAATACAATAGGGAATGGATGAGGAAACGCTAACTGAGGAGGTGAAGCCATAACAGAGCGTAGATAAGCAGGGATAAAACATGGTACGAGAGCAGTAGTGGGTCAGAGCACACGGCAGAAAGTGCGATAGAGGGAAGACATGGCTAAAGACAAAGGCGAGAAAGTAAGGAGTGCCACCGGAGGAAATGTAAGACAGAGAGACGGAAAGAAAGTGTGTCGCAGAAGCTACCGGCGACATCATATAGGAAAGAATCGACTTCAGTCCGAGTCCTGCAGATACGTCAGGGATCAACTTCTGGGGACGACGATAGAACTAAAGCATACCTGATCCTCATCGGCGGGGTCATAATTTTTCCGTGCATCCTCTACGATTTTCTGTGATCCCTGAAGTCAGCAATACTGTTCTACAAACAGACTGTAGGGGGAATACTCACCAAGTTCGTGTAGAGGGTTTTGTAGAAAACTTCGGCCTGGATATCTTCCGAGCTCAATTTCTCCGCATTATTCCCTCTGGCACAAATGAATTTTCTGGGTTGGCCCGGCTCGAGCCAAAGTTCCGCATTCTGTGGCTCATGATATCAAGATCGGTCAAGACGATGAGGTGACATAGAACTCACCTTCTCCGTCGCGATGCAAGCAAGAGCCTCGTGAAAGAGGGCGTGCCACTCTGCCTGGGTTTTCAGCGGCTCGTCGGAAACAGGCTCGTCGTCCTCTTGCACCTCCTCGAGCGCGACATCATCGGTCGGAGCAGATCCCTCTATGGGAACTGGCTTCTCGACAGGCTCCTCGACATCCTCGACGTCCTCCTCCTCCTCATCGTCCGCCTCGAACACCTCGTACTCATATCTACTCTTCTCAACGACCTTCTCCTCATACACGTGCGCATACGCGTACTTCTCATCGTGCTTCTCTTCCTCCCAGTCATCTCCATAATACTCCTTGTAGACACTTACGTCTCGTTTGGCCCTGAATTCGGCGATCCTTCTGGCCATGTTCTCACGGAACGGTGGGTACACCCTCTTCACCGGGCGAGGAGCAGGAATCGCAGAGTTGGTCTGGGCAGATACAGAGTCTAAGTATCTGTTCAACATGTGGTAAAACGATTTCGAGATGACTTACTCTGGGCTGAGTGACGGTATCTATACCGTTTGCAACCTCTTCGCGGACGTCGACGGGGGACTGATCGGGCGGTGTCAGGCGTCATGGCGCACACGACAGCGTATGAAGAACACTTACAATAGCATTGGATGACATTGTTGATCTATTGTTGAAACTGAAACAGGCTTTTGTATGCTTTATGAGGGCCTGTAAAGGACAAAGGCAAGACAAGGTGAATATCGATCGCACGACACACAGGATAAGCGGCACCACTTACCAGAGTTGTCGACCAAAGTATTTGCTGTGCGATGGGGAGACTATTGTTCAGATCTGGAGATGTTACCGCCAGATGATCAAGCTCAAGGTCTGAAGAAAGGCAACAGGTCAACACGACGCGCCCGATTGCTCCATCGCGCACATTCGACGATATACTACTAACGCTCAAGAGAACAAGGTACTCACATGAAGGTCAGGGTCTGATAGGGTTTGAAGAACAGGAGAGTGCGTGCAGACCCAACTGTGTTTTGTGCGGTGCGATTGGTTGGGGAAGAGATGTGAGAGGTTGAGAGGAAGGAGAAAAAGGCTGGTGTCGCCCGGGATATACCCTGCCGGAGTGGGCCGAAGCCGAAGCCGAACTCCGACACCTGCTTTCTCCTGCGGAATCCTCCGGTTAGACACCTATAGCAGTTCCCTCGAGCTCAGCACATATTCGCCAAATGGTCATCGTCTTCAGCGAGTATGATGTCCTGTAAGTGCCTATTCTTCAATCATCTTCAGAAGCATGCCTGTTAAACGTCAAGGATCGACAGGATCAGCGCCCTGATTGCGTAGATCAAGGTCGTGTCTGACCTTGTTGATCGCTTCCTTTCGGGCCTGGGGAAGCTCGCCGCATACCAATGAGTAACTTTATGCCCAGGTGCTGTCGACCCGTGGCTGCGATTGCTGTTATGGGTGACCTTGTTCACCAGCGAGATGTGCTGATATATGGGTCTCGCTTTCGAAGGAGACTACGACACTCCCTTTGTCCAAGCAATCGGGAGACACAAAGCTGTGCATCAACTGGAAAGCTGTCTTTGAAACTCTAGGGGGCTTCTGATCTTTCATAAACATAGACTAATGATACTATGGACACACCCTGCCCGAACCAGCGTTTCAGTGTCATTTGAGCAACTGCTGCTCAACTTTGCTCTTGCTTTGAATTTCGATGGCTCCGTACGCCTACAGGAAAGGCATCCACTCGAAATAAACACAGCGGGTGCCTCGACTAAAGCCATCGCGGCCATCGCAGTCATCTACCGCCAGGAAAGCCTGCGACCTACTGTCTGCGAGTCGCTGACGAGTTTGAACCATCCAGAGGACTTTGGGGTTAACTGGGCATGTCCAGATGATTCATGGGACGAATCGATCTGTATGCTGCGTTATTTCATGCCACAGGCTGAAGTCTGCAACGCCAAATGCACGAACTGGCCCTGTGTACCGTAGCCTCGGCATATTCTAGCAAATAATGTGGCACTGGCTGATCGAACGTCACTCCGACGAGACGCGGGCATTATACTCGCGGTACTACTGGGTATATTAATCAAGGGTCTACATGGGGCATGACTTCGAACTTCTCTTGGTGTATCCGCTGTCGAAGGACTGAACTTTTTCATGCAGGTCGCCCCAAGGCCACGTGCGTCTTCGCGCCTGACTGGGCGAATCGTCTTCGCTCGGGTATTATCATGCTCTGTGGCTCGTCAAGAATAGTTCAGCTATATCTGCTGATATAGAAAGTGCATAATATGGCAGTAATGACCACAATATATTTATCGAGGCCTTGCGAAGCACCGAATCTGGAGGTTGCTCACACCACCGATACCAGAGTTCAACGCACACCGTTGTACGTTTACTATCAGCACTTTAAGAGATGAATAACGACAGCTTCGAGGATGAAGGTTCGACTCGGAATACCCAGGCTCTCATTTCACGTAGAACTCCTCATGTCTGTACGAACGCAAAGATGGGGAGAAATACGAAGAGCGAGCGTACCTGGAGCGTACCCGAACGACCTTCATGCCGCGACCGCTACTCTCACCAGCACTCGGAGTATATTCTTCCAGTCTCCCTGAAAGGAGGTATATCCATGGCGTCAAAGGTTATGTTAGATCATTCGAACATGAAAGACGATAGAGCCGCGACGGACCAGGATCTTAGAGGGTCGCTACCACTCAGGATTGGCAGTAGTGGGATTGGCGCTGAGCCCTGAAGGTTTTTCTCCTACGCCCGTGCCTTGAAGGGAGCGAGAGGTTTGCTTTCGAAGGGGGTGGTCGGCATGAGGTGTTCCATGGGTATTATGGGAAAGACTACCGTCAATAGTGCGGATTGTTGATTGTTCCCGATACCCAAAGTGATGACGGTGTTGCCTTCGAATAGATGTGTGCTGTGTGGGCTCGCGAATTCGTATTATAGATGAAGAAAGACTGAAGGGAGTATCTGAAGAGTTACGGGCAGGATTATGCGCCACACTAGGCCACACTCTGCTAGCGCAATATTTCAGAAATTCTATATTGAATTCATCAGCCGAAAAATCCGGTGAAAATATTTCTGGACAACATGAGGTCGCTATACTGATTTTACCAGGTCAGGCAACGGAAACGTACCAGAATAAAGTCTTCACAAATTCGGCGAGGTCGTTGTCTGTCGGTGCCTTGTGAGCCTCAAGGCAAGAGAGTTCCGGAACTTTCCGGATCCACAAAGCCTTGAACCTTCGAGAAAGCACGTGATAGACCGTTTCACTTTATAAACTCGACGCGTTCAAGCTGTGCCGTTGTTACCTTTCCTTTTTATTTGCTTTCTTTCTTACTTTCTTGTTCCCCAAACTTAGAAGATACAGACGTACTGCGGCTATATGCTTCGTACTACCAATCAACTGTCTAAAAATCTCATCTCTAGAGCTCCGCTACGCCTCGGAACTCGAGGAAACATCATCGGGGGCTCAACTGCCGCTAGACTTGTTCTCACTAGCAAATTACCTCTCGTCCGGTCATCTTTTGGCTCTGTCAGACACTATGCACAACCTCCGGGTGGATCTGGTGGGTTTCCGGGATTCAGCATGGGGCCACAACAGCAGAAGGGCGATGCCCTGAAAGAATATGTGGGTGCTCTCCTGGTCATATCGGGCATATTATACTCACGTGTTTCAGAGTGTCGATCTTACAGAGATGGCAAAGAACGGAAAACTTGACCCTACGATCGGGAGAGATGAAGGTATGGATCCTTTGTAGACGTGGCACTTCTGTCGCTGACGAGCACCCTGTAGAGATTCGGAGGACAATACAGAGTGCGTAACAATCGGCCGTGAATTATAATCGAACTCGTCCTAAGATTTCGTCTAGTTCTCTCTCGTCGCACCAAGTCTAATCCAGTCGTAAGTTAACAAACTCAATATTTGAGCTCAGGAATCTCACATGTCTGTTAATTTGGATCTTTAGCTCATTGGACCACCCGGAGTCGGAAAAACAGCCATTCTAGAAGGACTTGCAACACGCATCGTATCCAAAGAAGTCCCAGAGGTCAGTCGTGCACTTGCATTCGACGCGAGTACTCTGTTTGTTGACGTCTCTTCTCGTTCAGTCATTGCACAACAAACGAGTGCTCTCAATTGACCTCTCCGCTATCATGGCTGGTTCTGGTATCCGCGGCCAATTTGAAGAAAAGTTCAAGGCCTTGATTAAAGACATTGAGGACGAAGTCAGTTTCTCTCGCATTCTCGTAACCGTGTGATCACGACGTACTGAATTACCTGTGTACTAAAGGCTGGCAGCGTGATTTGCTTCATCGACGAAGTCCGTGCGTATTCTACAATTTCTGACTCTTCCCTCACCACATGATGCCTGACCGCTCCATCTTTCTATAGACACACTGTTCAACCTTGGCAAAGCCGAAGGCAGCATCGATGCTGGCCAAATGATCAAGCCCGCTCTCGCTCGTGGATTACAACTCGTTGGCGCCACAACGCGTACGTTCCACCTTCTACTCTGAATACTAGTGTAGAGCCTGAGACGATACTTACTCACACCCCACAGCCGACGAGTATCGAAAGACGATTGGTAAAGACGCTGCGCTCGAGCGACGTTTCCAGCCAGTCTCGATTGATGAGCCCACCGTCGAATCGACCATCTCAATCCTTCGTGGCCTCAAGGCCCGGTATGAAGTCCACCATGGTGTTGAGATATCCGATGGTGCCTTAGTCACAGGTACCGCGTTTCCTGCTCACTCATACCATAACACTAGATATTGACCACACATAAATCCCAGCCGCCGTCTACGGAGCGCGCTACGTCTCTGATCGCTTCCTCCCCGACAAAGCCATCGACCTCGTCGACGAAGCCGCATCCGCCCTCCGTCTCGCGCAAGAATCCAAACCTGACGAACTCGAGAAGCTGGAGAGGGAGATGATGACGATACAGATCGAGCTCGAGAGCTTGAAGAATGAGTTGGATGTGTTCAGTCAGGAGCGGAAACAAAAGCTTGAGAAAGATCTGTCGAACAAGAGAGAGGAGGCGGGGAAGCTTACAGAGCTTTGGCAAACCGGTACGTATTATGGGACTTTCCCCTTTCCTTGCTTTTTGTCTTGGATTTTTAAAGCGGATCTTCGAGGCTGATATACAGCACAGAGCGCAGACGTCTCGACCACATCAAAGATACCAAGAAACGCCTCGAAGACGCAAAGCTCGAGCTCGAAATCGCACAGCGCGAAGGCCAATACGAACGCGCCTCTCGCCTCCGATTCGCCACCATCCCAGATCTCGAACGACAATTGCCGAAGGACGGCGAGCGTCTGGAAGAGAACACCGAGTCTCCGCTGTCGATGCTGCATGATCGTGTCACGTCGAACGATATCGCGCGTGTGGTAGCGAAGGCAACGGGAATACCTGTCCAGAATTTGTTGAAGGGAGAGAGGGATAAGCTCGTACACGTGAGTTTTTCTTCTATCGGAATGATTAGACTGTGAATCATGTTTGCTGACTGGTGGATGGTGATGAATGTAGATGGAGGATATGCTGAAAGAGAGGGTCGTGGGTCAGGACCATGTCGTACAGGCGGTTTCAGACGCCGTTCGGATATCTCGTGCTGGACTACAAGCTCCAAATCGTCCTGTGGCGTCGTTCTTATTCCTAGGTCCTACCGGTGTAGGCAAGGTAGGTTACTTCACTCTATTTTGTTTCTGCAGATGCTCATTCTGTCTATAGACCGAACTTTGCAAAGCGCTTGCATCGTTCCTCTTCGATGATGAAAAGAGAGGATTGTAAGTGACAGTTTAAACCCCTCCTTCGCATGTCGTGACTGAAGTTATATATCGTCCTTCAGGATCAATATCAACATGTCAGAGGTATGCGCTGTGGCCACTAGTGTGCAGCCGAATACAGGAACTGACTTTGGCCTCCTAGTACCACGACCGGCATACCATGTCTCGCCTCATTGGTGCAGCGCCCGGATACGTCGGGTTCGAAGAGGGTGGTCAGCTGACCGAGGCAGTTCGACGGAGGCCATACGGTATGTTCATCTTTCGGTGGTGATCAGCGACCCGTCACAATAGACTGACATTACGCTATCCAGCCGTTATCCTTCTCGACGAGTTGGAGAAGGCACATAAGGTAAATACGATTCGTCGTGCGCTATCGCGGTTCAGGTAACTCACGTTTGGCTCTCAGGATGTTGCTATGATTCTTCTACAGATCCTTGATGAAGGCAGCATTACGGACAGCCAAGGTCGCAAGGTTGATTTCAAGGTATGCCTCTTAGTGTCTTCCGGGACGAGCGGCGATTGACTCAAGCGGTTCACTATAGAACACCATAATCTGCCTCACAAGTAACCTCGGCAGTGACATCCTCGCCCACCCTACCGCCTCCGACTCAAACGGCGTAGTGACCACCGAAGCAACCACCGAAGTCCTCGAACGCACCTCCGAATACTTCCCCCCAGAACTGCTCAACCGTCTCGACTCCATGATCGTCTTCAACAAGCTATCCAAAGCCTCGATCCTCCAAGTCGTCGACCTCCGTCTGGCAGACGTGGCAGACAGGTTGAGCGGCAGGAGGATCAAGATTGACGTGGATGAGAAGGCGAAGGACTGGCTTGCGAAGGAGGGGTATTCGGATGTATATGGGGCGAGGGCGATTGCGAGGGTTGTGAGGACGAAGGTACTGTTCCCGTTGGCGCAGAAGATGCTGAATGGGACTATTCGGTGAGTGATTGGTTTCAGCCTCAAGCCTTAATTTCTGTGGCGTGAAGCTGCGTGATAGAGGCGTATCACTGACGAAGGCCGTGTTTCATGTTTTTTTTTTCAACAGTGATGGTGATGTTGTTAAGATTCGGGTCGCGAAGGACGATAAGAACTTGGAGATACAGGATAATCATCCACCGGATGCCTCTGTGCAGAACTCTACCGATGGTTCGGTCACGCCCGTGGATGACTGAGCTGATGTCGAGGTCTCGAAACCACTCCCTATTCGTCATCGTTATTATCACTTCAACTTTTTCATCCAGTGTATTTCTTTTTATGTTCACGAACCATCTCCTCCATAACAGCGCCCATCGCTCAGCCTCCATACCATACATTAGCACACATCTGTACCATACTCTAGCTGAAACTGAACTCTCCACTCATCATGATATCGGAAATATCACCACTGTAGCTCTATACTTTTTTTACTAAAACGTCCTACTTAAACGGAATCATTACACATTGAACTATACGTGTACACACGGTTCAAAATTGAATGGTCCAACGGTCGATTGAATGTTTGCGCTGCTGAGGCCCTAGGAGGCGACGCAAGAAATCGCGCCACACCACACCAACGCCACACTGCGGTGATCAAGGATGCTGCCTCGATCTTATCTTATCTTGCGGTTCAGTTGAACTTCGCGGGTGGAACGACTTTCTACGAATAAAAAATCATGCGAACTATTCGTATCCCGGTCTCGACTGTTCTCGACGACGAGGTCGAGTGCCTATCCACTGTCTTTTATAAGCCCATCGCAGCCCGTCCAAAAGTCATGGCGTCAGAAACCAACGAAACGATGTATTCCACCCACTACGACGTAGTCATAGTCGGCGCCGGTGTCGCTGGCTCTGCTCTCGCTCATGCCCTCACTGCTTCTCCCATTGCCTCTTCGTCTCGGCATAAACCACTTAGAATCGCTCTTCTAGAACGTTCACTTGCTCAGCCGGATCGGATAGTTGGAGAGCTATTGCAGCCGGGAGGTGTACTCGCGCTGAGGGAGTTGGGCATGGAGGACTGTTTGGACGGGATTGACGCGGTGCCGGTGAAGGGGTACTGCGTCGCGAAGGAGGGCGAGACGGTGCAGATTCCTTACCCAGGCAAGCACGAAGGACGCTCTTTTCACCATGGCCCGTTCATCCAGCGTCTGCGGGAGAAGGCCCTGGCCGCTCCGGGCGTGGACACCATCGAGGCCACCGTTTCCGAGCTGATCGAGTGTCCACTCACCGGTCGGATTCTGGGCGTAAAGGCGACAAGAAAGGATGGGGGCCCGGAGAAGGAGCCGTTCTATGGAGATTTGGTCGTTGTGGCCGACGGTTGTTTCTCGAACTTCAGGACGAAGGTGATGGGGAGAGCCGGGATAGAATCAGAGACGAAGAGCTACTTCGTCGGTGCGGTGCTCGAGGATGCGAAGCTGCCTATTCCTCATCATGGTACGGTCGCCCTCGTACAGGGCCAGGGTCCGGTGCTACTCTACCAGATTGGCGAACACGACACACGAATGCTCGTCGACGTCAAGAAACCCCTGCCTTCAGACCTGAAGGTACGTTTCTTTGATCTGGACATTTCGCTCGTTCGTCAACTATACTGACCCTGGCCACAGCATCATATCCTTACCAACATCGTTCCCCAACTCCCCTCGTCCCTTCATCTCCCTATCACGAACGCGCTCGAGAAAGAACGTCTTCGACAGATGCCCAACTCTTGGCTTCCCCCGGCCGAGCAAGGCACCAAGCATTCAAAGGAGGGCGTCATCCTGATTGGTGACTCCTGGAATATGCGTCACCCCCTCACTGGCGGCGGTATGACGGTCGCGTTCAACGATGTCGTGATTCTTTCGAAATTGTTACTCCAGATCAACGATTTCAGCGACTGGGACGCCATGTCGCACGCATTGCACCAATGGCATTGGAGCAGGAAGTCGTTATCTTCTACGGTGAACATCTTGAGCGTGGCACTCTACGACCTGTTTGGTGCCGATGGTGAGTACAAAACCCACGCTTTTTCGCTGTCACGGAATGATCCTGACTGGTGGTGCTATGTGGTAGACGAGTATCTTGCCGTACTTCGTAACGGATGCTTCAAGTACTTCGAACGCGGCGGCGAATGCGTCAACGGGCCAGTATCTCTCCTATCCGCGTACGTCTCTTCTCCCCCATTCCTTCTTCGATTTGCACCCGCATCTTTTCTCACTTGCCATGTCTATGGCTCCAGAGTCGCGCAGGATCCGTTCCTGCTGTTCAGGCATTTCTTCGCGGTCGCGTTCTACTCTATCTGGTGCATGTTCACACATCCACGTCGCGTCTCATCTTCGACTTCGGACAAGCTCGTGCTCGCCGCTCCGGGTTTGGATGAGTACCCGGCACTGTTCGTCAAGGCCTTCTGGGTGGTACGTTAGCATCCCATTGTCCCTCGTCCCTCGTCCCCTTCCTTCTCGCTCATACTTCGATTTCTCCTGGATCTTCCACACGCTGACGTCCTGTTCCTTTTGTTTTTGTCTTACCCTCACTCCAATAGTTTTGGACTGCATGCGTCGTGTTCGGACCACTGATGTGGACTGAGATCCGGTGGTGGTGATAAGTACCAGTCGAGCTTCCACCATCCGTATCCACCCTTCCACCCTTCCGATCGATCGAACCCTCCGCATTCCATTCTTTCGCTTCGCGTCAGAATCAGACAATCTTAGTACAACTGCAGTATACCCTACTCCCCGATTTCAGCCCATCCCCAAGTCGACGTCCTTCTAGTACTCATAGTGGCCTCTGGACGCTGACGCTACCACTTTCCGCGTGGCGCCAGCGCGTGGAACATTTCGCCGTCGCCGTCGGCATACCATCTTTCTTACTATCTGAATCTGATAATACTTACTGAGCGGAGAGAAGTGAGAGGAACGGGAATAAGATCGCATCGTCGTTCTCTGGTCGAAATATCGTACGACTCGTATTAGCGTGGAATAGACGGACGGACGGGTGGTTAGATTTTTGATTGTCGATTTTTTGATATTTTTATGTTTGTAGACGATGGGACTTCGATACAGAGTAAAGTACTTATGTTCGAGGCCGTAGGGTTTCCTGTACGGTTAATTGTTATTGCATTCTTTTGCTCTCATCGTCCCTCGTTTCGTGCTCGGTTTGAAGGTGCAGACCTCTGGATTCAAAGTGAACGGTAAGGTAAGGTAAGGTGCGGGGAATGTTCTCCCTCGGCCGATGACTGTCAATGCAATATTTCTGAAGCCAGGAGATTAGGTGGTCAACGCGGTTGAACTCTGTCAGAGTCTCTGCCCTCTGTCTGCCCACTTCTTAGACTTTGCTCGGTTTGAGGGTGACGTGTACTGTGCGTTCACGTCGGAAGAAATCGAGTCTGTCACCTAGGCCGTCTTCAGTTCTGCGCGTCTACTAGTAGTAACTTCCGGGTGAATGTCTGAGTCTTGAAGGCTGACGCCGACAAGATCGCTATATGTGTGCACTCGCTGAAGTTTAGCATGTTACAGTAAGGTAGTTTATTTGTGATCCTTGTATGCCGGTTCATGCTCTCCGTTCGACGTCGGAAGTATGATCGTCGAGCGGCCCATCAATCAATCAGTAACAGTTGGCAGCCGTCAACTCAAGGATATCGGGTGTTTCAAGAGTCCCGATTAACGCTCGGTGATATTCAGGGGTGTAAGACGGTGTTTGTGACCCCTGACGACCAGGTTGCGGTAGGAGAATGGGTAACTTAAGTTATGTTTGATCCATTGTGCATAGTAAATATTTGGGGCCCGGATGCGATGTTTCTTGATAAGATTAGAGCTCTGATCTTTCATGCGTTTGTTCGGCGGAATAAAAATTTCCCCGCCATTCGTATGTGGAATCTCCGACGCAAAGTTCACCACTGAGGTGTTTGGCGTTGCGTGGCCCTATGAGCGCTTCGTGAGGCGGTGATTGATCATTTCAAAGTCCGCCGGTGCGGAGTTTACGTGGCAGGACACGTGGCCGCTGTCGCATCCTTCTTCATCCATCTTGCCATCTTGGATACCTATACGATGCCGCTCACTGAATGCGCACCCGCCCTACTAACACCACCGACTTGCTACTGTTCCTGCTGCCTCGGTTGAGCTGAGGCTGTTGACATATGTTATCGCTCGCACGAAACTTGCCATGTGGATTTATGTTCGTTCCCAGGTATGTTCTTCTTCGAAGAGGTGCGTTCATGCTAGCCGCCCTCGCTCCAAAACTTCTCTTCATGACGGGAGACACGCCATTCATGAGCATTGCTCAGTATCTTTGTGCATAGCTGTCGTGAGATTGATAGACATCCGATTGAAGCCAGTGGCTGTAGCTATTTGATAGCTATCGCCCTGATTCTTTGTGGCGTGGCACTTCTTTCGAAGGAGGTTATCGTTTACCGGAGTGGGCAGCTATGCATGTCTTTTGATTCTACTATTCCGGTCCCAACCTAAATTGCGCTGCCTCTCAGGATCCATCCATCAGCAGCAGTCTCTCTCCGGCTGCGGTCATTGACGGCGCGAGCTTATCACTCGTACTCGTTTGATGTGCCGGAGACATCTCTTCCTTGATGCTCGTCAACCCGACTGGAAGCCGCCTACTCATTACCAAATAGGGAAATAAAGCCCGCCGCAGACGATGAGGGCGAACACGTCGGCCGCCATGTCGTTTCAGCTGATTGCGGAACGGTACTTTTGGCTATTTCTTCCTGTGTGTACAAACAAACCACCTAGGCAGCCAAACAACGAGCGTCAGGGCATTCTTGTCTCTGATGTTTAGCTTATGTGAGCGCGGCTTCCGCGTGGTTCAACAGGGATTTCTCCACCCCTAGAATTAGACGATGACTTCCTCTGCGTGGACCGTACTGTACGGCAGTCAAAACAGCGGGACCTGACATTTATGCGTTGCGTACTCCGCGGACGGCAGGCTCGCATCAACCGATTCCACTGCAAAGTATTCCTATGGATGGTCGTATGAAAATTCAACCCGACGTCCCTTCTGAAAACGGCTGTTTAGCCCGTTTTTGAGGTCGTGGCATTACGGACTCCGATGCACCTACATCGTGTTTTACTTAGCGTGTAGAAAACGAGATAACTGATAATGCCCTCAAGAGTGGCATTCTATTGTTGCATGGAATCGAAGGTTCTCTGGTGGGAGTTGCGACTGTTATCTTACAAGGCCCACTCTACTGAACTTTTGCGTGGGATCGAACCGCTTCTGCACACGTTGGATAGATGTGACCATATGCCGCAAGCCATCAGCATCTTATGCGCTCCAAGCCCGCCATCATGCTCTTGCAAACACGCTTTTGTTGGCCTGTAGCGTAAGTTGCGAAATAAAACAGCATCGCGACCAGGCGCAGAAACCACGCGATATGCAGGAGTATAGCTCGAAATGGACGCAAATATAGGTTACTGTGCAGATCAATGTATCAAATCCAGTTCAATGTCTGTGCTACGGCTGGGTAACAGCCAAGTTTATCTCACAGTTTCTTCCCCTTTTTTTCCTTTCTGACGAGTGTGGCACATAGCGATGACAGATCCGAGTAGATGGAAGCGAATCCACCTATCTCGCACCATTAGAACGAGTTAGCCACCGGGGCTCCAAGTCCGTGGTTCACTCCAGCCCAAGCAGTTCTAGGTCCTCTATCGGATCTCTGAAGAGACGCTCGCCACCCTACACTTACCTGGTACTCTTCAGATAAAAGGCCATGGTCTCCGTTTGACCTTTACTCGACAGCTCAGCTCTGGGAACTTTCATCTACCTCCCCCCTTCCCTAGCCAAACCACCACGCAGTTGTATCGCCCGACTCATCCCTAAGACGACACCGTACTGAAGGGCCATGTCTGGTACGTTCGTCTCTTTTCATCAATGTAACAATATTGAACAACATTACTTCATTACTCTAGACAATCTCCAGGTTGTGTCCTTGCCTACCCTTCCGGCCGCCACCTACCCAAGTCATCATGGAGGCCAAGGCCACAACTTCAATGTTACATTGACCACTGAAAAGGGCCCTTCATCACATTCTTCGAGGGAAACCCTCAAAGAAGCCGTGGAGATCGCACCGACTTCGAAGGTGTGGGAGGGCTACGAAGACGACGAACTGCCCCACAAGACTAACAATAGAGCAATCCGGAACCTTCGCCACAAGATTTTCTCCATCTACCGTCGCATCTTCGGCGTCATCTTCGTCGTCAACCTCTCCATTTTCATTGCCACCGCCGTTAGAGGCGCAGATGCTAACGATCTGGGTCTCATCGTCGTCGCCAACTTGTTCTGCGCCATCTTGATGAGGCAGGAGTATGTTGTGAATAGTTTCTTCGTCGTGTTTGGGAATATCCCCAGGTCGTAAGTCTTCATCTTGTTAACTTGACTGAGATCATCCGTTGGGTAGTGTCTTGATCCTGTCGCGAACGAAGGCTGATGTCTCATGTATATTTTTAGTTTCCCTCTATGGATCCGAAGGTTGTCTGCAAGAGTGTTCCATATCGGAGGGAGTAAGTTCATCATTCGTCGCCCTGACAGTGGGACACTTGACCTGGTACTGACTACTACGTAGTTCACTCAGGATGCGCCGTTTCGGGGACGGTCTGGCTCATTTTGTTCTTGTATCGAGCAACATGGGAGCTTTTGAACGACGGACCAGTGAGTTTCAAATATTCTCGGCCGCCGTTCCGTAGTACGGCTATCTACCTCTTTCGGGACGCAGGACTTGGCGGGGCAGTCCCACTAAACACAGTGCCAGCCACTGTGGCGTAACACTGCCAAAATATGCGTCAAATAAGGCACCCGTCCGACTGAGTCCTGCGTACCGTGATGGGTGGATGATTGTATGTTTCTATTGTCGAGCCGACTGTCTGATACTGCGATACACCTTCAGACGACTCTACCTACCGTAGTTGTTTCCTATGTGATCATTGCATTGCTGCTCGTCATGGTCGTCACCGCATATCCACGCTTCCGCCACCTATACCACAACCACTTCGAAGTCTTCCATCGTTTCTTTGGATGGACGGCGACAGCTCTCGTATGGTGCCAGGTACGTAATGCTCAGTCGTCTATCCTCTCCCCACAATCATCTCACTTGAGATGCTAATGTCTCACGCACTACGCACGACTAGGTACTTTTGTTGGTGAATGATTATAGACCAGCAGAACAAAGCCTCGGACAAGCTGCCCTGCACGCTGTCCCATTCTGGATGATTCTGATCATCACAGTTTCCATCATATTGCCGTGGATCCGACTTCGAAAGTTCGAGGTTCGCTCCACTGTGCTTTCTGACCATGCTGTTTTGCTCCGATTGAACTACGGTCAGTTAGACTCCCTGCCTCTGCATGCTACATCATTCTCTCACCCTCCCCTGCATTCTCCTGAACGACGCTCCCACCCCTGCCTTCCACTTCCCCGCTCCTCCCACCCGCCTATATACGACGGCGCTTCAGTGGCACCATGATACTGACATTTTATTTGATTCCTTTCTCACAGTGACGCCGGGCCCGGGTTCCTTCACTCGCATGTCCCTAAGCCCGCTCACGGAATGGCACACCTTCGCTACCATTGCAGGACCACCAGAAGCTAAAGAACCACGAGGGTACTCTGCCATCGTCTCCCGCGCAGGCGACTGGACATCAGCGCTGATCGCCAACCCACCCACGCGCATTTGGATCCGAGGACTTCCGACATATGGATTCATGTACCTCGTCCCGATGTTCAGGAGGGTACTAATCGTGGCGACGGGCTCGGGAATCGCACCGTGTACGAGTCATTTGTTGAAGAAGAAGATCCCGTTGAGGTTGCTTTGGGTTGCGCCGAATATTCAGAAGACGTACGGGAGCGAATTTGTGGATACGGTTTTGGGGGCGGAGCCAGGTGCTGTCGTATACGGTATGTTCTCTTCCACTTCTCCAATGCGTGGTTCTTCCATTCTCTTTGTTGTTTGTCGTGATCGCTTACGGTTCTCTCGTCTTTCTTCCGCCGCTGCATGTCAACTCTTTCCTTCTGCGCACTAGACACTCGGGAACATGGAAAACCGGACGTCGTGAAACTGACTTATCGCATGGTCCGCGAGTTTGACGCGGAGGCCGTCTTTATCGTCTCCAATCCGAAGCTGACACAGAAGGTGGTGTATGGACTAATGAGTAGAGGTATTCCGGCGTTTGGAGCGATCTGGGATTCTTAAATCCGCATTCTCCAGCCTCTCATTCTGGCCATCTCACCATCCGTCGAACCCGACCTGTTGATAATGCTGTACCGGTCATAATTGTATACGTGCCCCCGCGACTGTCCGCGATCCTCGTTTCTTTTTCCACGTTTCTCTTCCCTTCCCTTCCCTCCTCTATGTAGCCTGTTTGTCTGTAGAATGTACTCACGCTATGTACCTAGATCTCGGGATCCTTGTACTAGAATGGAAAGATAGAACGACGTAGAGCCTTCAGAACCGTCGCTGGACTCCCAGGGCCTTTGATCTTCCCCAATCTGATTCTTCTTGATGCTGTACCGGCACCTTCAGAGCCACGGTTATATTAATGAACCAGGAATAGCGTCGAGTTACGCCAGAGTACCTTTTTTCCATTTCCCAGTCTTGCTTCTGCTTCTCTTAGTGCCAAGCATGGGTCACACATGATAATCTCAATCGCCTGCGGTGATCACACTGTTCGAAGAGATATCCATGCACTGGCAAGATGCTGGGAAGCAGCACGCGAACTCGAGGTTGGAACGAGTCCCGGATCCAAGATCTAACTAGCAGTGACGATATTGTGATACGTTTAAGCGGTACAGTCGTTCACGGTGTGGCGCAAGAAAGAACGTTAACGATGTGGCGAACTCTTGACATTATGGCGTTATATGAGATGGTGTGCTTCGACGAAGGAACGATTGATGATATGCAACGGAGACAAGGTACGTCAGATAAAGGAACAACGTTCATACGGCACACCATTCAGAGAACTACAACGCCATAGATGCGCAAGCTCCTGGTGAGCTAGAAGTTTCCGCTGTGGCAGGACCCGAGTCCAAGTCCGTATAACTTATACAGGAGCTATCGCAGCCGCAACAGGGGTCCGATGTTTGAGGGCAGAGACGTTCTTAATTTAAAAAACTCTTACATGAAGGACGAATCTGACCGATGAGTACATCTTCAGCCTCAGTTGTGACTCTTCGAAGTCGCCGTTGAAGCGGGCAAAGCATCTGAGTTTGAAAACTCCAGAAAGGCTGTGGGCGAGAGCCACGCAGAGCGATGTTTTGGTGACACCTTTAAACGTTAAACAAAGATCGAGACAATGTATATCATACACAAGCAGCGACGGAGAAAAAGGAAGGAGGTGCGAGGATACTTGCTGTGAATGGTTGGTCACCTCTGAACCACCGGCATGTCAAGCCTCAGATACAGATCATGGTTTTGTACAACCGTCGGAAACCTTCTCCGCACCTCCCTGTATCTCAGCGTCGGCCTCCTCCTTTGCCCTCGCCTCCTTCATCTCTAAAACCCTCTTCCGGATCTGCTGCCTTCTCTCCATCCCAAACACCGTTCTGTCCTCCCTCGCCTGCGCTAGCGCATTGACGGCTGACATATGTCGCTGGTCTGTCATGGGTGCCGCGTTGAAGAGGGCGGGAGAGATGACTATGAAGATGATCTAGAGGATGTAGGGGTGAGCAACAGGACGTCTCAAAATGGACGAGGTGTATCGCTCATTATGGAGATGGGGGGAGGGAAGAAGAAGGGAGGGAGGGAAGGGAATACACGTACACTCAGTCCAACAATAACAACCACCGGGTCCTTCATCCCGTCTAAACCCTTCGCGTTCTTCCCATTTCCTTCGAATGCCATATCCTCTCCCATGCCTCCCATCCCACCGAAAGTATTTGCACGAGCGTTCGTATGATACCTCCCCCATACCTCCTGCCTCTTCCTCCACTCCGCCCTCCTCCTATTCAACTCCGCAGCCCATATATCCGAGTCGTACGCATAGTACGAATAATGGTGCTGGTGCTGGTGTTGGCGGTTGGCGCGAGGATGGTGGCTATAGAAGGAGTCTGAGGGGTAAAGCGGTTGGCGGAAGGAGTGTAGGTGCGGGTTGCGGAGAATGTCATAGGCTTTGGTTATGGCTTGAAAGCGGGAGTGGGCGAGGTCGGTGGGGAGGAGGCGACAGTGGGGGGAATCCGGGTGGTGGGAGCGGACAAGATCATAGTCTGGCCCGGAAGTAATGATGTTAGCCACCAGAAAAGTATAGACAGCGAAAATGAGCTGAAGAAGGCGGAGAGATGGAGGTCGTCGCTTACGTCGGCATCTAGCCGTAGGAGGTCGATTGTGCATGTGGCACAATATTTGACAAAACAAAATACGCACATCTGGACTTTATATCAGCCTGCGACGCCCCCACATCTAGATGAAATATCTGATGAGGCGTCGGGTGTCGATGCATCGGAAACGGGTATTGCTGTTGCAGCTTCCTCCTCCCATGGCCACTGCCTCCATTATTCACATTCTCAGCGTCATTTACGCCACTGATAGTATTTGATAACGGAGACTGAGGAGGAGGAATATTACTGCTGGTCGATGCAAGTCGGGCTTGGACTAGCAGTTGAATCTGGTAGGGAACCTGTTGCCAGAGTGATAGAGAGGGGCGGAAGTGCATGATGTCACTACTTTGGACGCTTAAGTTCGTCAGAGACAGCGAACAAAAGTTCGGGTTATAAGTGATCTCTGTTGGATATAATTGAGAAAGATGCTTCAGCTTCGTTCAGAACGATGAGCGCGGACGATACACACCGTGAGATGAGGGCAAGAACGAGCGCGACGATGCATGTGAGAGTAAGTATGGGCTCATCTTATCTTATCTTAATTATTGACAAATTTATCTAATCTGATTTTCTCGGTCATCATCACCAGCTCGGCTTGCGCCGGCACGACTCTTCACTGAACGTCTACGAACACTCTTTGTTCAAAATTCGCTGAGTACTTGGCCGGGCGTTCCATATATTCGTATCCAGATATCCACGCTTGCCGATCGTCAAACCGATAAGTCGTTTTGTGTGCGTCCACATGGTCGAATCAGACAGCGGTATCTTGAATCGTCTCATAAATGCTGCAGTCCGAGGTAAGTCAGCCCGAGGCAGGACTCGGAGGAGAAGGCAGAACATTGGTTGTGTGCAGTTCAAACACTCCCGTTGATTTTGTTTTGAGGTGGGCCTGTTTGGTGTAGCCGTTGATTACATTGACCCTATGCAGCAAAAGATCATGCCTACAGCCCATACTCCCACTTTCGCGTCGGAGCTGCCCTCCTTGCGGAAGATGGTGAGATCGTTGGTGGATGTAGCGTTGATAATGCGTCCTATGGTGCGTTCTTAAATTTCCATCTCACAGAGCGGCTGCACCTACTAAGTAGCTATTGTGCTATAGGCGCCACCGTCTGCGCTGAACGGACGGCCATAGTCAAAGCAGTGGCAGGTGTTCTCTCCCAAGGCACTGTCCTTCTTCTTCTGACGAAGCACGACACTTGACATACCATAAAATCGAACTGCTTCTTGAACACATACAATATGTACTTCCTGAAGAGCGAAGGCAGACACTCATTCCTCGGGCTGGTCGTGACTAGGTACGCACGTACGCCTGCTCCTCATCCTCTATATACTGCACGGTTTTCCTACTCTGCACGGTTTTCCTACTCGCTGAAAACTTCCTCCATAATCTGACTTTCATTTGTAGCGATGTGGACTACTCGATCTCACCCTGCGGCCTCTGCCGCCAAGTTCTCCGCGAGTTCTGTCCAAAGGACATGCCCGTCTACCTTGTCCCGTCTTCGTATATTCCGACACCGAGTCAAAGTACAACTTCTTCGACGGAGTCCTCGGGGGCACCTGAGACGCTGCGTGGTGTAAAAATCACCTCTATGGGAATGCTCCTGCCCGATAGCTTTGGTCCAGGGTCGGAGGAGATGAAGAGGGAGTTCGAGGAGGTTTCTACTACGCAGGCACGGTCATGTTAAGTATGGCACGGAGTGCGGCGTGACACACTGGCACTGGTTCGCCGGCCGTGCTCTTAGCTTTTTCGATATTACTTATGCTTCTCTTCGTGGTAGGAACTTTGCGTCTTATATACCCATATGGCATCCTCAAAAATATCGTGTACCTAGAATGGTCAAGCTACACAGGAATGCGACTCGTCTCAGATTCGAACTGGGAAACCTCTGTCTATATCCAGCCCTATGAACAATGATCATATTCGACAGACGCGTAACCGGCTACGCCAACGAGCCTTGCCTAACATGTAAACGCCCTTTGAACGTCCTCGCAATGAATGAGCCCAATGGCTTGGCCAATTCAAATCCCACTTTGCGTTATGGTCCGCCGACGGCATCCGCGATGACGCGTTCACGCACGACACCTCGGGCCTCCTCACCCTCGGCCTCATTCAAATTTCGCGATGTTGTTGTTTCGCTTTGAAAGAGACCTGCATCTCATTGTCCGACCATGTCCGGTAAGTTTCTCTCTCTATCCTGAAGTGAACTATCCATATACCACATTCTATAGCTAACCTTCTCGTCAACTTCTCGTGATGGGGCATTGAACCGTGAACGTCGAACATCGAAGACTCACCCATCTTGACGTCCGAATCTCCAGGAAAATCCGCCCTCATCCTAGGCGCAACAGGCGCAGTAGGCCGTCACCTCCTCCGCGAACTCATCTCGACTCCACATTTCACTCGTGTCGGCGAGTTTGGGAGACGGGTCACGGCGCTGGATAGTCCGTATGTGCCGCAGATCCCGGAAGTGAAGGAGAAGTTGAAACAGGGGGTAGTCGATTTTGAGAAGTTGAGCGAGGAGGGTGAGGGGAAGAAGTTGAAGGAGGGCGGCTGGGATGTTGTGTTCATTACGTGCGTTCTTTCCTTGCGCTTACAGTTTATGTTGGCTTCGATTATATCCATTCTAACTATTCAACTGGCCGGACACAGTATGGGAACGACAAGAAAGGCAGCTGGATCTTTTGAGATGTTCTATAAGATAGACAGAGAGTGAGTTTCTTGGTCCTTTTAATACTGTACCTCACCGTTCATAAACCTATTAATACAAGGTATGTTGTCAACGCCGCCAGAGCAGCCAGAACATCTTCACCCACACAAAGACTCGTGTATCTCTCCGTACGTAGGCCCCATTCGCTCTCGTTCTCCCTCACCCCTCAGCTCCTACTTCCTCTGACCTCCTGACCTCCCTGAATTATCGACACAGTCCGGCGGCTCTTCAGCCACATCTCCCTTCCCCTACCTCCGCTCCAAAGGCCTCACGGAACAAGAACTGGTATCCATCGGATATCCAGATACAATCATATTCAGACCGGGAGCGTTGGCGGGTGCAGATAGAAGTGGTGAACCGAGGCTTCCTGAAAAAGTTGCAGTGTACGTCTTCATCTTCATCCCCTCACATAGCGTGATATGGCTCGTCACTAGTGCTCGTCGCTCATCTATTTTCCCTCTGTGTTTCTTGGGGGAGTACAGGCACGTAACGAACTTCCTCTCCCTATTCACAGATAGCTTGCAGATCCAAGTCTCGGCACTGGGGAAGGCGATGCGCATCGCGGGGCAGTTTGGAACGGCTGGGTTACCGGCGTCGGCGCAGGCGAGTAAGGAAACGTTCGAGGGGAAGATGTTCACGGGTATTGGGAACATTGGGGCGTTGGGACTGGCGAAGGAAGAGTTGTAGCCTTTGCTGGGAGGAAGTATGGGGTGTTATGAGGAGCGTACTCTGGGTTCTTTGTTATGTTGTTCGAGTTATTGATCTTGTTAGTACTTTATTGGTTTTTGTTTTATTGTGCGTTATGCAGAGTTTGCACTGCTGCAATTTCGAGTCCGTTTTCATCGAATAATTGCATTTTTCTCTGCGAGAGTCGTCTTAGGCTTACCACGATTGATGCCTGTGTGCCACACCACTGGCATCGACGCCACTCGAACGCATCGCCCCTATCCTGTCCCTCTTCGTTTGCTCCTCACCGCCCTCACTCACTGAGGGCGTAAGCACATTCTGCCCTTTACGAGTAGCCCCTCTCACTTTCCACACTTCACCGCATACACGCTTCTTTCCGACCAGCTAACAACCATATGGCCAAACAAATTACGCGAAAAAGGACTATCACACGAGAACCTTCTACAAAACACAGGTGCAACTACACATGCGACCCGGCTCAGACTCGAACTGAGGATATTTTGTCTAATTTGGCAGGCACCTAAAGAAGATCAGAGATGGGCGATATTGGACAAACGCATAACCGACTATGCCACCGGGTCTTATCTAGCTTTGTCACTAGACCATGCCTACAGTAGAACTCAGTGAAAAAACGATACAATATCGGACGGGGTGAGAGAAACAAGATAGTGTGTATTACAACAACACTCGCCACATTACAAAAGATAAAAGTACCGGAGGGAAAAATCCAGATATAGGGTGCGGACAGAGCAGGAAGAAAAACTGAACGATGACTTCTCGTAACTTACACGGAGGCAACGCACGACGACCCCCATCCTATCTTCCTCGTCCTCTCGCTGACCCTCCACCCTCCACCTCCTGCGTTCCCTGACTCTCCATCGCAACCTGTCCCTGATGAACCCCGACCCACTCACACTCGCACTCACACTCATACTCACAGCTCCTCCTTCGCCAGCCCAACAGCCCCCGAGTTCGGAACCCCCACGAACTCCTTGCCCTCGAATATTTCTTTCTTCGCCTTCGCGGACGGTGGGAGTTTCGACCCCCCAAGGTGGCCCGCAATGAGCATCGCTTTTGCGACTTCGGTAACCTGTTGTCAATTGGCGGTGATAAGTGATGGATGCGCGGGATTGGATGGAGAGTATATGTGAAGTCGAAGCGATAGATGCGTGTATAAGCAGATCAAAAGCCAGAAATCGGAAGCAGAGAAATTGAGGCGAGGCAAAATGTTCAGACAGTCAAGAGAAAAAGAGGATGAAAATGGGCGTACCGAAACCTGAGCTTCGTCGCTGAAGTGTGCATACAAATTCATCAACGGGCTATGCACCGAAAACAAATCAGCCTCCATCGAACTACACTGTCCCTCACATCCCGAGAAAACTTGACGCCACTTACAGACTGATCTTCTCAAGTGGCCTGGACTCGTTTCCCCTGTCCGCACCGGTCAGCGCTCCAGGCCGGAAAATGATCGTGTCTGGATATCCGATAGAGACGAGTTCTTGCTCGGTGAGGCCTTTTGAACGGGGGTAGAGCAACCAGGAGGAAGCGTTAGCCACGTTGACCTACGAATGTTGGGATGTGTGAGAGGGGGGTTTGATACATGAACGGAGTGAGGTCAGTTTTAGTTTATGAGGTACGTTAGATGGAGGCGAAGGACGTACGGAGACATAGACGAGACGTTGGGTCGGTGAGGTCGTTCGTGCGGCTTTTGCGGCGTTCACGACGTATCTGAAGAGTTCCGAACGACGCAAGTGCACGATGGCTGTTGAGTGAATACAGTATGAGGGTGTCCTATGAAGCTGGAACTCACTCTCTGTCGATCTTCTCAAATGCAGCGGCCGAGCCGGCTTTCTTCTTTGACGTTCCCATCCTAAAATAACCGAACCAAGCCAATTTAACCTTCCCGTCTTTTCCGTTTCACCATGTCAATCACATATCATTGGTCCCATCTCTGCTTCCACCACCAAGATAAAGGAGAGGAACACGCACGTGATAAACACAACATCCCAATTCCCCTCCTTCCACTTCTCAACATCTAATTTCTCAAAATCAACGACTTCTTGCTTTAACTTCTCTTTCGCCCCCTCCGGCACATAGGGACTGTCGAGCGGCGTCACACGTCTCCCAAACTCGCCCACGCGGGTGAAATGTGGAGAAGAGAGGACTTCGCGGAGGAGGTGGCGACCTGTTGCGCCGGTTGCGCCCACGATGAGTGCGGAGAGGCCTGTTGATATTCACCGTTGTGGAAGGTTATAATTATGGGTGGTGCTTGGATGAAAATGGAAGGAATTGGGGTCACGACGCACCGGTCATGTTATTATCCTGTGGTCGTTAAATAAACTACTTCCCAGTTCTTACTTTGAGTGAGATAGCTGTCTGAGTTCAAGCTTTGAGAATGACAATTGCAAGGATCTTGAGAGGTTAAGGACCGTCAGAGCGCAAGTCGCGATAGGGGGTTTACTTGGTAAGCATATCGGAAGAAGACGGGCTGGGTTGTTGTGGTCGGCCAATGTCGTGTGGCGAACGACAAGTGGCGTCATCCGGCATCCGCCGCAGGTCCGACCTGCCAATTTCTCGGACGGCATTTCTGTCTTTTCTCTCGCTAACACTGGTGTGCATCGGACCCGCGTTCGTCTCAACGAAGCCTCCAGTGTACTTAATCCGCAAGGAATTTTTGAATCTAGCTCAGTCGCTTTCCTGGAATTAGACTGCTCTGGTGCTCTCAAGGTGCTCTCATTGCCTCAACATCATTACTTGCGACATTGTGATTCTGTCACCACTCACCGGTACCTCCAAGTCATCTGTTCGCCAACGAGATACCAGCTCAGATTTTGTCGCCTTTCGGAATAGTAATGTCTGCATTCGACTTATATTCCGTTGTCGACGGGAGGAGTCTGAAGAGACATGTTTCCTTACACAGCGTAAAACGCCAGAATTCGCCGAGGGCATATTCTGGTCAAATTACGCAATACAACGGGAATCTCCCTGAACCCGCCGTGCCGCGTCTGCCGAGAATGCAAGAAAACACGACGGGATGACATTCTCGTCCAGTTCTTGTCTGTCCTCGTGGAATTCTGTCGACTGCCAAGATATACGAGAATCCGCCTGGCATCCGAGAAAACAAGGTTTTCGAACCCGCTTATGCAGGCCCGGAGCTCAAGCGCTCACTCGGGCTCGACTTAGACTTTTTTTTGTGCCGACTTGCTCCCTCAGTGAGCTCCTCCATGTTCCTCACTCTGGATTGTTTTCTTGTTCCCTCCTTTGAGCACGCTGACACACTGACATACTGACACACTTTTGGTTCTATAGCTTCATATAGCGCCTGGATGCCGTCAGGACAAGGGGTGCAGGTGCATTTGAAGGTATTACAAAGAGTCGAAGGTGCGTCCCAGCAGTACCCAGTGACCCCTTGCTTCCGTGACCGCACATCTGACGTTGTCCTTTCCTTTCCTCGCTAGCATTCTAGGTCAAGTCTTTCGTAGTCCATACTATCTGGCTATATCGAACTATCCAGGGTGATGTTGTGCGAGTCCAAGGGCTCTGAGGCAGAGCGGCAAGCGATGAAGTCGGCGGCTTTGGATAATCATGTTCAGCGACAGAGCGGGTTCGTTCGCTTTCATTCGTCGTGACCCATTGTACATATGTAGTTTTGTCTGTAGTGTATGCTTCATGGAAGCTGTATCTAGTATTATTTTCCTAATTTCCTGGCTGGCCGTATGTGAACATTTCAAAATGCTCGAAAATGGAGCGATAAATGAAACCAGAGGGTCTACAAAAGGAAATTACTGGCGTGCAAGCAATGCCGTCTATTTACAGCAGACCCGGGCGTGTTCGCAAAGATCCTGGTCGCATCTTGCGACATTCTGAGCGGATTCAGTCCGTATCTTGCAAAACTTACAAGAACACGCCAACTCAGACATTCTCGTCGTATTCCCGGCGTGTTCTCCTAAATTCAGCGAATACGCCGAAGATATCCGGCCGGCGGATTCTGAGGCTTTACGCTGTGATATCTGGAGCTCTGCTGTCTTCGTATCCTTCTTTGTCCTCATAGTGACCGTTATGGGCCATGGCAGCAGAGAATCAGAAACTAGACAGAAGATCCCCCCATCATGTTTCGTCGCTCTTTTGTTACCAGTTTGGAACTATGTATCTCTCAGCATCAATCAAGACCACGCAGAGAAACAGATCTCTATTCCATGTGAGTAATATCCGTCTCATCTTATCTCACTCCATTTACTTTCCTTCTGGCACCACGGCTCGTCTAGAAATACCATCTATCATGGCCAGAACACATGGGCTACAACGTGTCTTGATCTTTACAGTGTCCGGCACACTCGGGGGCGCTCACCATAATAGAGCCCTTCATAGCATCATAGCTTCATCTATCACAATGCATACCGTATACGGTCTTCTGATACATATGATATTTCCCGTTCAAAGCGTCTTGCAAATCAGTTCCATGTATGCATGCGTTTCATCCAAACCCTGATGCATGGATGGAATCATCCAAGCGGAAAGCACAGTTTGTCCTCACTACCGCAGGAATGGGGCAAAAGGCTACAAAAAAGAGGACGTTGGAATACATGTCGAAACGACTACGGCCATATCTATGCACTAATCGACTGTATCCTTACAACTACAGCTCGTGGACAAACGACAAAACGACAATCTGATTGGCTGGCCAA